CAGTTTCAGATGGGCGGGAACCAAAGGTGCTACAGTACGATGAATCGGACGGCAAATCCTTACGGGAGACGGAGACCACTCTAATTAATTAATTACCTGGTACCATATCATTCACTCCCATCTGCTACAGTACTTGCCTATGGTAGTATTAGGGACTATCAGTTTTGTTTGGAATGAAGTGTTTACTACCTCCTTATGTAGTGTATTTCGTGGGTTCATCGTGTCTTGGGCCGGAAATTGCGCATCGTGTAACGTGTGAGACCAAATTAAAGACAAACGTGGCATGAATGTCTCGATTTTTCCCTTGCAAAGACGAATACCGTGAGGGAGAGGAACAAAGAAGAAGAAAAAGAAAACTTTGCTTTCCATTGCTGAGTGAGAAGCTAATCAAACGACCCTGCATCCAATGCTACGCTTCCATTCTACTGCCAGGAACGCCCGTGTGATTGGCCCCCATTGGCCCCCTTCGGACACACTCCGTCCAAAGTACGACAAAGGAGGTGTGCTGAGTGGTATTTGCTTGTCAACCAGCCTGGAGATGACAAGATGAAATAAATTTTCGCGGCATTGAGATTCTCTTGTCCTCATCTCATGGCCGGTTACTCCATTTCCAAGCAGGCGAGACGGGTGCCACAGTAACTCGCATGCATGTCTCGCAGCGGGAATTACTAGCACTTATTGTCCTACGAGGGAGTCAACGTGGTGCTACTTGTTGGCACGACGAGTCCGGATTTTTGCGCTTCAAGTTATTCATCACAAGTGTCCCCAGACAGTTGGACCAGCTGGGCCCCATGTGATAGGCCCTTGATTCGCAACCAAATCCTGTTTCGTCTCTCCCATTGTCACTCACTCCTTTTTCCCAGTCGTCTATCGCGTCAACCGTGGCATAAATATCAATTGAGAGAAAAATAATCAACCCATCCAGAATGACCATCTGACCGATCCAAAGACGCTACCAGGGACAGGCCCTCCAGCCTCTAGCGGAGCCACGCCGTAAACAGTCTGGGCCACGGAGCACGCCCCTCTTAAGAAAAGAAGAAGAAAGAAGAAAAAACGGTTTAACCCTGGCTGGGCTGGTATCTGTGGGGGTGGCTTCTGGTCGAACTGCGAGTGAGTGCCGGCTGTACCTGGTCCCGTCTATCCTATCCTCGCACAGGTGGTCAGAAATGCTGCTTGGGAATAGTAGCAATACTAGTCCGGAGCACTATTACCGTCCTGGCAATGCCTATACCCAAGGACCAAGGACGAGGCTCGGAGAATCCATGACGGGGATTAGCATGGGAATGATGATCCCTGGGACACTCCCCGTCCTAAGATCCAAGTCGACGGTTCGCTCACGGGGGCTCACCGACGAGCCCCAACATATGGAGTTGCGTACGCAAGACTCGAGCAAGGTTCGAGAACAGAGCCCGGCACACCGCTTTTGACCATGTTGAGGATTTCCCGTCCTCTGATCTTGTAGCGTCATCCACCAGAGAGGCATACGAGTACTCCGTATTGGTCTGATACATGTGAGGTGCTTGTATTTCAGCCTCTAGATTCGGTAGGCACCACTGCATCACCATTGGTACCAGCTCCATCTCTGCCAGCTCTGCACTGTAGCCACCAATTCTTCCATCGTCTTTCCCAAGAGACGGTGACCAGCCCATCTGATTTATAATTAGCATGACGTTGCCTTGAACGCTGACAGGTGCTAGAGCATCTGTCGAGTTGATGCTGTTCTGATCCATGTCGTGCTCTTAGCTCCACCGTGACGCCACTAGCCAGCGAGCCAGACATGGTGCTGATGGGCTTACGGCAGTTTGATGCTATGCTATGGCCTCGATGCTGGTCGCTTGTCAAGTCGATTGATTGACCGTGTTCCGTGTAATGCTGCCATTGCCACTGTTCGGCCTCGTCCGGGTTTCCAATGCTTCGGTGCAGGACGGGTCCAGCAGGGCGTCATCTGTATAACGCATCACTAGCCGCAGGTAAGACTCTGGTCGCACGAAGCTCCGTTAATACAAGACGGGCACATTCACTGTCACAAGCTCACACGTCCTGTATCATCATCAGCCGCTAGGCTCTCCGGCCCTGGCGAGGGAATATGACATGGACAGGCAGACGAGAGAGCAGTGGCGCCCGGCTCCCAGCTAGCAGCCCAAGATTGATTTGATTTCGTGGCATCGCTCTCTAATTTAGGCGGAACGAACACGGGTCGGTACGGCTGGAGATAGATAGCTTTGCTAGTGAGACCTCATCCCGTTGATGACAGACGGCCTGCTTGTACAAAGTATCAAAACCCATTGCGCATAGCAAAGAGGCTCTGTCCCTGGTGATACCCTGACTTGGTGGTATGCTGCCTGTTGCCTGTTGTCTGTTGCCTGCCTGCCGGTAGCCTGCGGCCTGGTAGTTGTTGGATATAGCACGGAGTTTCGTACTGTAGTAGTAATAGGAGCAGCCGTTCGGAGTACGGTTAGTACTCGTAGTAATATTCGTACGAGGTGATGTGTAATATGTAAGATCCAAGGAACATCGCGTGTATCGACTGACAGCCTCGGGCTGAGCATGAGCCGTCTTCCAGGGGACGGGAAGGCTGCAACTGAGCATCGCTCCTGCTCAAGTACTGCTGACAGCCCCTTCCGCTTCCGCCTCTCCCATCAGAAGATTCTCATCGTACTTGTTCCATTTCTCTTTCTCTGCACGCAATTAGAAGTCTTCTTCATCTTCACACTTCACACTTCACACACAGCTCGCCTCTCTCGTCTGTCTATCGTGTGTCAATTGGATTTTTTTCTTGGGCTCCAGATCCTTTTTGGGCGGTTCCTCTCACCTGTCGTTAGCTTCTGGCTTCACCTGCCGGAAGTGTCAAGAGGCCCGGTAGCGGCTTTTGAGGGGGAGAAAACGAACAAGGTCTGCAAGGCAGCCAGCCCTCCAATTTTTGGAAAAAGCTAGAATTGCTGCAAAAAGGCAGAGAGAAATTCCCGAAAGCTGACATTGGCCGAGCCAGGCTGCCGGTCGACACGAGATCAAGTTTTGAATAGGCCTGCTACGAGGCATCAAATTGCGGCGTTGCTGCTGCAAGAACACCAAAAGGTCCTCGTTCCTTTCTTACTTCGTACATACGACACCGACTGCATCAAGCCTAGCACCGCACAAAAAGTACATTTTGCGATCCAGCATCGTGCTCGCCAAGGCCACAGCAAGCGGATACAGCAGCACGGCGGCCAATTCGGGCCCATCTCGCCAGTCCATTTGTCCGGCCGAACGAACAAAATCCTCCTAGAGCTAGGCTTCAATTACTTGTGCTTGTCCACCGCCCAACTGGCCATCCCACCGCTCTGGTCCCGTATCCCCGTAACCTCTCTGGCAGGGGCTCCGTTGGACTCCGTTGGATCGACACCGCAGCACCACGAATGCCTGGATGCCCCAAGGGGTCCCCGCTTAAGGACTTTGGTTTGCGCCTGTGTCCGCTGTGGGTATGCGAGCACAGTCGCTGAGACGGACGGGCCACTAGCATCCTCACACGACGTCAAGGCCCGTCTCAGAAGCCTCCGGCGACTTTTGGCCGGAACTCTATTCCCAGGGTGCGTCCGGCAGCCATACAGTGACTCGTACTTGTAAGCACGCCAAAGAGACAGCAAGTCGACTGAGGCGCTGCGCAGCCAAGGAGAGACTACTGCCGGTGCTGCCAGGGACAAGTCGACGGCTTACCACGCGAGCCTGCAGCACGCAAACTCTCTCTATGTGGTATCTACGTGTTTAGCAAGGGGATAACCAACCGTGGGCAATCCCGCAGATAGCTGGCACACACACTTTCACACACACACACTCCAGAACACCACAGAACGCACTCTCCCTCCTTCTTCCTCTTCTCTCCTCTCTCCCCAAGTCATCGTGGGGAAGGGAACTGCGAGAACCTATCGTACTGTACTGTACAGACCCAAGATCCAGATCCCTCCCCTCTGGCATCAGGTAAATTCACTCAGCGCCTTCTTCCCGCTCCACCGAATCAGGTCTAACTGGCATCCTCGGTGTTCCGTCCACAGCACAATACCTCCTAGCACCCATTGCTACCCTGCCGCATCCCCATTGTGCCTCCACTCCGGCCCTGTTGCAACCCCCATCTACGGTCCCCTAGTCCGCAACGTAGCGCCGCGAACAGTCGAGAACCCCGCTACGACCACGGCAACGGCAGCATCGTCGGTATTGGAGCGTGAACGGCACGATACATGTACCTGAGAGTGACAAATGATAGTACTGATACCGGCGCAGCGGACGTTTCAACAAGCAGTCGTCGCCCATCGCCAGACCCAGCGTTCCGAAGACTAAGCAACGACCGTAACAGCAGCGTCCAAGACGACGTCAGTGCCAACAAGAACAAGAACAGCCCGACAAGTGCTACAGGTACGACGAGTAGTGGCAATAGTAACAGCGGCGACGTTCGATGTGGCACTGGAGTCCGCATGGTGTTGAACAATGGCATGAGCATGTCACCGCCAGTCATGGATGGATATGCAACCCGCCTGCACGAGGGCGGTAGCGATAGCGAGGACCAGGCCCTGCTGCAGCGGCAGCAGCAACGACAGGCCCAGGATCAGAGCCTAATCCAGAGTCGGCATTACCACCAGGGCCATATGCAGAAGCAGCGACAGCGGCCCCAAACCCCTCTCGAATTCCACCGGATCAACTTGGAGCGCCTCAGCGCTTCGAATCTCAGGTCTTCATTTAGGGTCAATGCCAGCCCGAGACCTGGTCGTTCCATCACACCTGACCTCCCTCCAGGTCAAGGTGGTGCTGCGAGCGCTGCGCTTTCTGATTCAACCATGGCCCACCCATCCCGCGGCATTGGTTCTCAGCAGGGCTCGCCTAGGTCTATCCCGGGCAGCATTGGCCGTCGCCAAGGTGTCGTCTTCACCAGCGATGCTGCTTGCGATTCTTCGGATGGCACAGACTCCAGCCCCGCGACTCACCAGCAGAGAAGTTCAAACGGTCCCCCGATACGGCCCAGGACGCGTACAATGGACGCCTCTATGCTAGGGCCACGAGGGCCGTCTTCAGCAGCCGAGTTTCGACATCGAGTTAGCAGCGTCTCGTCCGGGTCGCAGCCCTCCATCGACGACCCAAAATCGTTGACGCCAAGTTCGGACCCGAGCTACTCGACGATACCGACCGTCAGAGTCCCGGAAATCTCAACCCCAACCTCCGCCTCCAAGGACAAGAGCAAATTATCTCACCACAATCGACGGCTTCTAAAGCGTCAACCTTCTCGACCGACCTCGCCATTAGTCGCACCCCAGCCCTCTGTCGATTCCTTCCCGTACCCCATCCCAACCGACGATGCGAACCGCCTAATATCGCTAATGAAGGCTCTGGGCGGGCGAATGCGTGGCGAACTAGAATACCAGGGTGAGTACCAGGGAACATGGCACACCGGAATGGCGTACATCGACGAGGAGAAGGGCACTCTCATGTTCGGGCTGGGCCATACCGGCCAGAGCGCTTCCTTCCACATCCCTCTGGTTTCCGACCTGCGAGGCTGCAAAGTTCACGTCACAGGCTACCCCGATGCCGAGAGGGAATGCCTAGAGATTGTCCCCAACCAACTGGGCCTGGAGCTTCTGCTTAGGCCCATTATATCGGAGGAGCTGGAGCTGTGGCTCGCGGCGCTCTTGTGCTGGCAGCAGCTCGCGCCTCTCAACCTCAAAGTACCCAACGGAAAACCTAACAGCCCTTCTGGGCCCATTCGCCCGGAGATGAGGCGGCGGGCCAAGTCGAGCGATGCGGCGAGAGCCACAAACATCATCAAGGTCGGCAAGTTCATGCTCTGGGACAAGGGCCCTCCAAGGTCAGCACGTGCCGTCGTCCAGCGATCGTCAACGAGGGATCTCATGCACCCCTCCATGTTTTGGAGAAGGATTTCATGCGTTTTACAGGATAATGGAGAGTTTAGGCTCCTGATGGAGAACGACGTCTCAGTCTTGTCTAGCATCGAACTGTCGCAGCTTTCCCGGTGCGCCATCCAGGGCCTCGACCGCAGCGTCCTGGAGGAAGAATATTGCATTGCTATTTTCCCCATCTATGCCTCCACGGCCACCCACGTTTCCATTTTCCGACCCGTCTATCTGGCCGTCGACAGCCGCATCGACTTCGAGGTTTGGTTCGCCCTGCTTCGGACATTTGCCGTTCCCGACATCTTCTGCCTGGACGACCCTCAGACGGATGAGATTCAGGATGTTGCCGATATCGAGAAAGATCAACCGGGAGAGGTTTTCCGCATGGAGAAAATCATCAGAGTAAGAGTGATAGAGGCCAAGATCAAGGCCACTCCAAGCGTTGAATGGTTTTCGCCTGAGAAGTGCGGCAGAGTTGGCCCGGATCCTTTAGTCGGAAGCTATCTGGCAGAAGTCATCTTAGATGGCGAAGTCAGAGCCAGAACGACTACCAAGATGGACACAAAGAATCCCTTTTGGAGAGAGGATTGCGAGTTTAACGACTTACCGCCGATAATTCAAGACCTCTCCATTGTGCTAAAGCGAGTGGACTGTGGGCCTGACGGGTACTCAAAGTCGGCAAGCTCACCAGAGATTATTTGCGGGAGCGTAAGAATCCCCTTGAACGACTTGGAGAGAGGCCAGGGACAGGAACAGTGGCAGCCCATCTTGGATGAAAAACAGCAGAATATTGGGTCGATGCTAATCAAGGTGTTTCACGACGAGCATGTTGCCCTTCTGTCGAAAGAATACGAGCCACTATCCGAGATTCTGCACCGATTCCCTACGGGCCTGACCACACTCATCTCTGCATCTCTGCCCGGCCAGCTTCGGACACTATCGGAGCTGTTTCTCAACATCTTCCAGGCCTCTGGTTCTGCAAGCGAGTGGCTAATGGCTCTGGTTGAGGATGAGATTGATGGAATAGGAAGCCAGACCTCAATCAAGAAGTACCGGTTTAGCAATAGACTCAAATCGAGTGAATCGATGGAATCCTCCAACGAGCGAGAGCTGATGGTCCGCGACATCCACAGGACACTGGCCGGAGAGGCCAACCTACTCTTCAGAGGTAACTCGTTGCTAACACAGTCTCTCGAGTTCCACATGCGACGCTTGGGCAAAGAATACCTGGAAGAAATATTACAGGACAAGATATACGAGATTAACGAATTGAATCCGGATTGCGAGGTTGATCCGAGCAAGCTGGCACACACCGGAGGAGACCTGGATCAACACTGGGGCCGTCTTATCCACCTCACGACGGAAATCTGGTTGTGCATCGCAGATTCGGCCGAAAGGATACCAGCAGAATTGAGGCACGTTCTCAAGTACATCCGCGCCGTAGCCGACGACCGCTATGGCGACTTCCTCCGCACCGTCAGCTACACATCCATCTCGGGATTCCTTTTCTTGCGATTCATATGCCCTGCTATCCTCTCACCCAAGCTGTTTGGGTTACTTCGAGATCATCCTAGACCACAAGCACAACGTACCTTGACGCTCATTGCCAAGGCTCTACAGAAACTTTCCAACCTTTCAACGTTTGGAAAGCGAGAAGAATATATGGAACCGATGAACCGCTTCCTAACTCAACAACGGCAGACTTTCCGAGGCTTCATCGACCACGTTTGTGGCATCCCAGCCGATCGAGGCGGCCGCACCCTACCCCCCAGCTACATCACACCTGTCACCATCCTGAACCGCTTGGGGCCTACAGCACGCGAAGGATTCCCCAGTCTACCATACTTGATCGACCAGGCCCGGGGCTTCGCGAGTCTTGTCAAGTTATGGGTGGATTCGCGTCCCATTGACGTCAAGCAGTCCCAGGTAGACGGAGAGTTGTTGATATTTAACGACTTGTGCTTTGGTTTGCAAAAGCGCGCCGACGCTTGCCTAGCCAAAGTGGTGGATTTCCGGAACAGAGAGGTCCCTTCGTTCATGTCTGCCGACCAACTTGCCGAAATCCTGGAACAGGTCAATTTTACCGGACCGTATCACCCATATTACGTAGGAAACCCATCCTCTATGCCTAGCAGCTACGAGCGGCCCCCCGGTAGCTCCAGCAGCGATGGGGGCGGGGATTCGAAAGAAAAAAGACGCAGTAAAGAATGGAAGCGCGGAAGAGACGAAGCGGACTCGAAGAAGGGGAACAGTCCCCGAAACACAAGCGGCTCGGCCACCGGGAGTGTGAAGCAGAAGAATGGAAAAGTTGGCAGGAGTCTTTTAAGCGGCATCATGAAGATTGGTGGCTCAAGAGCCGAGAGTCCAGAAACCAAAGGGTCAAGATGAGCCCGCACTTCCTCTTCTTTGGATATATATACACGCGCACAAACATATACATGACTTGGATTGTGGAGAGTATCAACCTACGAAGAATCCACACAAGGGGAATCCCTTTGCACCAGCTTTTGATTATCTTTGTTTTTTCCTTTTCTCTTCATTTTTATTTCTTACTTTCCACTTTTACTCAGGCTATCTACATCTAGCTCTTGTCTGGTTTTCCTTTAGACGTCTTCCGGTTGGATACACAAAATGGTGTTGGGACATAATGGCTCTTGCATGGAGAAAGTTGTCGAAAGCTTCACTCCCATCTTTCATTACGCTCTTTTCATTTTATATATTTTTCTCTCTCTATATCTTGTTCAAAGCTGTCTTTTCCGTATCGGATTGATGGGCTGAATAGATTATGGGGAGTTATCATCATCATCACTGGAGGTCCTCTCGTTTTCATACCTATATACATTATCGCAGTTTGATCCCTTTCTTTCTTTCCTTACTTTTCCCTCGCTGTCTAAAAGGGCTTGGCTCCTGTGCATGGTCCTTGTGATGTGGCATCAATGGCAAATTAGATTTACTTGAGAGGGGAAAGGGGGAAAAAATATAGGGGAAAAGATACCAGCTCCGCTCTCGTTACTGTTTTCCCGAGTTCTTTCTTTACTGTTTTCCGCTTTGTCTTTTCCGACTTTGATATCAAAAGGTGCCTTTTGTGAACGGAAAGGGGGTTTCATTCCCATCCTCTTCTCATTTGTCTTTTTCTCTTCTAATTTTCCCTCTGGTATTTTTCCCGCCCAGTTCGCAAATGTTGGATGAGGATTCCCTTGAGATGGTAATCGGGTCTGAGAGGAGCATATATGTATTGTTTATGCGAAAAAATCGGCAAAGCATTCTTGTTAGATGGATGGGCTTTTTTGTGGCCAGTTGTGTTTTTGTTTTGGCAGTAAGGGCATTGTGGAGGGGGGAGGAAAGGGGTTTTGGCATAAGCAAACGATATCCAAATTACCCCCTTTTCTTCTTCTTTCTTACTAGATAACCTTGTTTCTTTCTTACCTTCTTTTCATTCTTCTCTACGTGATCTTTCTTTCTCCTTCTTTTTTTTCTTCCCTACGTGACTTTTCATCTCCTTTTTGTCGTGCTCTTGTGGTTGCTTCTTTCATTTGGCTTTTGTAATCAGCTCTCTCTCTCTTTTGTATCTACGACATTTTGTTCACTGTGACAACTCTTTTTTGTTTTTGCTTTCACTTGATACGTAATACCATATAATGCTAATTAAGGCAACACAATTTGAACTTTTTTTTTAATTTATGTGTATGTAAATAAGTGTGCTGGTGGTATCTTCCCTCCTTCTTCCACGGTAAACTTATCGCAGAGAGTCTGCTGGTTTTCTTGCTCTAACCTTTACGCCTACCATGCTTAATAAAGATGTTTTTTTTTCAACGACTTGTCCGCCATATCCCCCGTTTTGCTGTTCTTTCTTGTATGTTTGCTTGTTTTAATCGTTTTTAGATACTAGAGATATTCATCTACTGAAAGAACTTCTTGTACGCGGCCTTCTCCTTTGCCGCCTTGGCAGCGGCCTTGGTTCGCACGGCATTGAGCTCGACGTTGACGGCAGAGTCGTTGGGTGCCAGCTTGTGAGCCTCCTCGAGATCCTTGAGGGCCTCCTCCTCGTCCTTTTGACGGACGTTGGCAAAGCCACGGCGGTAAAAGGCCTTTGCTCGGTCCGCGGGGGCGATGCCGGCAATGGCGAGGGCGGACGTGGCGCTGCGGACGGCCTCTGACCAGGCCTCTAGCTTGATGTGCAAGAGAGCAGAGTTGTTGTTGAGGGAGAAGCGGAGGGCGTCGAGCTGGGCCTTGCCTTCGGGCCAGTCATCCAAGTCAGGCTCCTCGTTGAGGTACCGCAGGCCCTTTTCGTACTTCTCAAGACCTAGAGTGATGTTGCCGGCCTTGAACGCCTTGTTGCCAAAGTCTTTGCAGTCTGAGGCAATCTTGTGGGTAGTCTTGGCATCGGGGGGCGTAGCGCAGTCCTCGGGGAAGTCTTCGTGGGGATCGCCCAGAGCATCGGGTTGCTTGACATCGGCGCTCAGGGCTTCGTCACCGGAGAGCTCGCCACAGTCGGCGATGACGGCGTCGCGGGAGGGTCGGTCACCAGCCTCGGTGCGGACGTTTTCGATTTGGCGGACGATGGACTTGCCGTTGAGGACTTCGCCGAAGACCACGTGCTTGCCATCCAGATGAGGCGTGGGGACAGTGGTGATGAAGAATTGAGAGCCGTTGGTGTCTGGGAGAAAATGTATTAGTTAGATGAAGCTTTGGAGCACATGGAGAAAGGTGTAACGTACTAGGGCCGGCGTTGGCCATGGATAGCAGGAAGGGCTTCTCATGCTTCTTGGGGAAAGCCTCGTCCTCGAACTTGGCGCCGTAGATGGATTCGCCGCCAGTACCGTCTCCAGCTGTGAAATCACCACCCTGGAAAAGCTCATGTTAGAAAAGGTTTTGCGCAGAGGTCGTGCGACCAGAACAAAAGAGCAACGCAGGTTCGGTCATACCTGAATCATAAACTGCTTGATTACTCGATGGAAGGTGGAGCCCTTGTAATGCAGAGGCTTGCCTGACTTGCCCACTCCCTTCTCACCAGTGCAGAGAGCACGGAAGTTCTCGGCCGTCTTGGGCACGAGATCAGAGTACAGCTCCATGTTGATTCGACCAAGAGGCTTGCCGCCAAGAGTGATGTCGAAGAAGACGCGGGGGCGCGCGGCCTTGGTCTCGGTTTCGGAAGCCATATCGAGAGTTGTAGAGAGGAGTGGAATGTATTAGGGGAGAGAGTCGAATTGGGGAAACCTGATCTGGGGAGTGAGGGAGAGAGAAAAAAGAGGTTTAAAAGCTGGGCGAGTCGTGGAACGGGCGAAAGAAGCACGTCTGCCTGCAAAGATTCCTTGGGTTTCTCTGGATATGACGATGCGGGGTCGAGCTAGCGATGGGTGCTTTGGCCAAGCGAGGCAGAGCAGAGGCGGGCTGTAAATGGGAAGAATTGCGAGAGGAAGAGAGAGAGGGTGGAAAGGGAAGAAAGAGGGAGAGGAAAAAAAATTAGGTTGATGGAGAGGAGGAGGAGAGGAGGAGAGAAGAGAGGGGAGCTACAAAGCTACAAAGCTACAAAGCTACGCGATGACCTGATTTAACTTAACCTGACCAGAGGCAACCGACGAAGAGCGAATCAATTCATCTATCAAACAATCACAGTTAATCGATACCTGCTGCCTTGTACTATTAATATGTACCAAAAGTACCTGATTAGGTTGTATTGACTGAATTTTGCCTCAATTCTTACATTACTCTTGGGCTCGTGCTGACATTGATCGGTTCAATTCTTTGACTCTTCACTGCCGATGCCCCTCCATTGATGCTTCCGGCTGCCCCTCCATCGGCAAGGTCAGGCATCATTCAGTGCTTGCAGTGGGGATTCGCCAATGGTGTTAGTGGCAACGTTAGTGTCCAACCCCCGCCGCCGTGGAAGTTTCTAGCAGAGGTGACTGGCTGGTGCTTCTGGGCCGCAGCGCATTTGCATGGATGCGATATGATGTACATGCGGTACAGACACATCATTGCAGCCCTACTTGCCTACCTTTAACATATCAAGCCGGGCTACAGACGAGCACAATCAATGAGAACCGCTGCAGAGTACAAGGGAGCAGCATGTGCATAATCTATAGCATCATGCTTGTGAGTATGTACTGTATGTATGTAATCCGCATGCATCGGTACATGTGTGCATGGGGGGCAACCTTGTCGCCAACAACTGCGGTGCAATTACCACATAGGATGGGTGCACGATCAGGCTCACGATGAACAACCCCATGTCCGAGCATTAAATGGTATCGGGGATTTTCTTTCTCTATCCATCTTACTGCTGTAATGAACAGCACTCAAATTTGAAATCAATGCAAGTGACCAGTCACCTGTGGTGGCCTACCTACCTTAGTAGTTAGATCTAACATGCCGCTATTGAATTATCATCATCATCAGCTATAGCCCAGCACTTGTTTAGGCATCAAGTAGTAACCCCAATCGCTCTATATTGCCATCTTGTATCCATTCAAAACAAGGCAATACATATACTCTATATCTTGTATTGAATTCTATCCCATTCATCGTATGCATCATGTCGCCATCATCGTGTTTCACACTACCTCTCAGACACCGGTGCGCCGGCTTGGAGTTCCAAGGTAACCTATCAAGATCAACCGATATTAGCACAGCATCAACGATGAGGAGACTGGCCCTGACCCAGCAGTGACTTACCGGTCCATCGTTAACAAGGGCAACCTCCATCATGGCCTGGAATTTACCGTCCTTGACTCGATCCACTTGGTACATGTCCTTGACCTTCTGGACAAAGTAGTGATAGAGCCGACTCGCTTCTTCGGGATTCGCCGCGCCGTGGAAATCTGGCTTGGTGCCCTTCTTCGTCTTTGCCAACAGGGTAAACTGAGATACTGGATAATTCGTTCATGAGCTTTGAAACATGCCGAGAAGACGGCCAAGCTAGTACTCACCGCATAGAACCTCGCCCTCAATGTCTGTTACACTCCTTTTCCACTATTCGCCAATCACTGCCATTAGCTGTGTCTCACACCCCAACAGGGAGCCTTCACTTACTCGTCCCCCATCCTCGTCGTCCCAAAGTTTCATCTTGACAACTTTGTTGGCCAGTGAATCAGCCTCCTTTTCTGTGTCGCCAGGCGCAACCGCGGCAAACACGAGCACGCCTCGGCCAATGGACGACACAAGCTCCTTTTCTACCGTCACAGACGCAGAGAGCACACGCTGGATTATTGCTTCACATTGCAAGTATTAGATAACATTATCATGCTACTATATCTTGTATACATGGAATCTTGTCCATATAAAAGAGTAGGAAAGTTTTACCTACCCTTCATTATGACAGCCGGTGTCGGAACTAGGCGCCTTGTGCCACCAAAAGTGCAAAAGGTTGGAATGTTTTAGAGGAAGAATAGGGTAGAAACTTAAATTTGACAGCCTTGCTCCCCCTCACTCAGCGTAAGCCAAAAGAGAGACAGGGTTATCTATCCGCTGGACAGAAAATGTAGTTAAAGAGTACAGATACAAAAGAAGAAACTCTGTAGCGAGACCGGCGATTTATCAACGCCTTGGCAGGAAAAGAAGCCTTAATCACTATATAAATGCCTTGAATCGCGCGTATCAAAGTCTTGTGTCATGTGAGTAACGGCGTAGCCACTTATCAGACATCCCACACGGCGCAAGTACCTCATGATAGAGACAATTGAGTTTGATGAGGTACGTTTCTTTTGAAATTTAGGACTTTTTGTATATAAAACAGTCAATTGTGTCATCCAAGTAATCTCATAATCGATAATGTCATTCAAACGGAGTTATACCACATTCTCAATAATTTTCCGCCGCAATCTTTGTTCGATCGGCTAATTGCCGCACAGCAGTCAATACATGCCGCCTGCTAGCCCGTGCAGCCTCGCGACTTGGCCTCATCAACTTCAATCTCGCACGTCCAACGCTTTCAAAGGCTTTTCCAGCTCAACATCGCCACCACGACGTCTGGACAGCGCTCCGGAATCACCTCTCGAGACGGCCGCCTCTGTCGCTTCTTTGCCGCGCACTTGTGCCTCGAAACTGTCACGTGGCGCATGCCGGATCTCGCCTGCATACCTTTGGCCATAAAGGTTGCCCCACGAAAACGGACCAAGTCTCGACCTCCCCTCTGACGAACTCTCACTGCACCCCCTTTGCAGGACCGCTGCGGATTTTCAACAGGCACAAAGCACAAACCGGAAAGGACGCCGCTCGGGCTTTTCTCCCTCCTCCTCCCGACAAAATGGCGGCGAGGAAACTACAACAAGAAGTCGACAAGTGCTTCAAAAAGGTGGCGGAAGGCGTTGCCGAGTTCGAGGCCATTTACGAAAAGATTGAGCAGTCAAATAACCCGGCCCAGAAGGAGAAGCTGGAAGACAACCTCAAGCGCGAAATCAAGAAGCTGCAAAGACTGCGCGACCAGATCAAAACATGGGCTGCCAGCAACGACATCAAGGACAAGGCTCCCTTATTGGAGCACCGCAAACTGATTGAGACTGTTGGTGGACCCCCAGTAATGTTGGGCATTGATGCATGTTCCGGCGCATACTGATGTACTTTTTTTCTCTCTCGCCTTTTAGCAAATGGAAAAGTTCAAGGCCGTGGAGAAGGCCATGAAGACGAAAGCATACTCCAAAGTGGGCCTCGAGGCCGCCGCGAAATTGGATCCCAAAGAACAGGCCAAAGTCGAGGCATGCGAGTTTTTGAGCAATATGGTTGATGAGCTGGAGCTACAGATCGAGACGTTAGAGGCCGAGAACGAATCCATACAAGCCACCCTGAAAAAGGGCAAGAACAAGACCGCCCAAGAGAACCGCATGGCCGAGATCGACCAGATCATCGAGCGACACAAGTGGCATCAAGGCAAGCTGGAGCTGATCCGGAGAACGCTGGAGAACGGAGGCATCGACACCGACCAGGTGGAAGGCTTGAAAGAGCAAATCAGCTACTATGTGTCCGACGGTATGAACGAAGACTACATTGACGACGAGGAAATCTACGACGAGCTGGACCTGGAAGAAGAGGAAGGCGTCTTTGGCATGGGCCAGGATACGGAGAAGAACTCATCCCAAGACACCCAGTCCATACAAGACGACGTCCACGATCTCGAACCGCCACCTAAAGCGAAGAAGGCCGTCAAGGATACCGACTCCGTGGCGTCGTCAACGCGGGGGAAATCGGCATCCAAGTCCCCCTTACCGGCACTGGCGACACTGCATACACCGTTATCAACGATAGGGAATGGGGGGAGCGGTAGCCCTGCCATGAAGCCTGCTTCCATCCCCACAAGGCCGGCAGGGGAGGGGCTCAAGTATGCATCTGCCGCGGCCGCAGCGGCGGCCAGCGATAAGAACAACGTTGGCATTGCTCCTCTACCACCGCCACCAGGCTTCAACATGGGCATCTCGCCGCTGCCCCCCGCGCAGTCGAGGACGAGCGCAACAAACTCCCCCGCCGTCTCCTTCGTGCAGCCCGTTCAGGCTCCGACGCCACAATCCTCCGAACCCAAGCAGCCTGCGCCTGTGGCTGCACCAGTCCCGGCACCCGCACCCGTGGCCAACGAGAATGCCGAGCCTCCAAGTACGAAGCCGACGAAGAAATCAAAGGCATCAGGAAAGCAGCCGGCTACCTCGGAGGCATCACAATCGGAGTCTACTAACGGTAAGTTATATATAAGATAAAATTTTGTTTCATCTTCACTTCTTCATCAGTCCCATCTCCATTTCCCTCGTCATCACTTGGGGCATCTCTGCTGACAGTCCAAACGCAGCCCCTCATACCAACGGATCCACAAACGGCGTCAAGTCTATTACGGAAGAGCGTGAAGAGGAGTCCATCTACCACCTACCTGCATCTTTACAAGACCTCGTTGATTCGTATGAGACGGCACGGAAACGACCGTACCAGCCTCTATCGCAGTCCACTCTGAGTCTTATGAAGTCGAGTCAACTCAGCTATCCAAGTGCTTTCGAGGCCGACATCCCGAGGACGTATCGCCCTGACCTACCGGTGCCGCAAACTGGGTCCGGGTTCCCCACGCAGCCATTGCCCATATTCGACGACCCCCGGCTTTACTCGAGGATAGATCCCGATACGCTGTTCTACGTATTCTATTACAAGCAAGGAACAGCACAGCAATACTTGGCTGCAAAGGCGCTGAAAGACCAGAGCTGGCGGTTCCACAAGCAATACCAGACATGGTTCCAGCGACACGAGGAGCCCAAGAACATCACCGAAGAGTTCGAGCAGGGCACTTACCGGTTCTTTGATTACGAGAGCACTTGGTAAGATCAACTCTCTCGGCTATATCCGAGTTGAACTTGCGCTAACGTATTATAATAGGATGAACCGAAGAAAGGCAGACTTCAAGTTTGCCTACAAATTTCTCGAGGATGACATTTAGGACAGTTGTTGGCTTTTATGATGGGACGCACGGGCTAGGCTGGGACTTAGATGTTGTTTTCACTCTTGTTTCCGTGACTTTTCCATGAGGGTTTTTTCTTTTCTTCTTCTTTCTTTATGGGAGTTCTAAGAGAGCATCATAGTAGCCGCGAGTATGCGCTACCAAAGTTGGGTTTCTCAAACGGGAATAACTAGTGCCAGAATAATCCATATGAGGCGGCCTTTTTTCATCCGCACAGGGAATCTGTTTGCCCTTTTGGCTTTTCTCCTCCTTCACTCTTTGCTTGTTAGAGCGTGAATGATTCGGTATCTGTTGATGGAGTTTATTAGGATGCTAATTGGATTGATACAATAGGGTCTGGCTCGAAGACTTCGGATATTCGGCTTCAGATGCTAAACTTTAGGGTGAGTATGCCCTCACATTCCACGGCTGGGACCTTTGGGCATCTACCTTAGCGCCCTGCAGGGACTATAGAGTCGTCGAGTAACATGCTGGCTCTCAGAACAAGAGAGAGGGTGTTAAGCATAGCCTCCCTGGCACATTACTCAAAGGGGACTCGAAGCGGATAGAGACGACAGCTGAGCTCGAAAGCTGAATGGCAGCTCCCAAAGTCCCTAGTTCACCCCGGACAGTCGCTAGGATGTGCCAAGACCTCCTCATAACGTGGCTGCTGGCACCTATCGCAGCTGTTCTCATAACAGCAGTTGACGGGGGGTTCTTATTAGCTCAAAGGCATAGCCCGTGGGGTTGGCGTTGGCGGCTGAAGGTGGCGATTTTGCACGATCGAGATACGAAGTACCAAGGCCTATCCCGCCCCCCACAGAGTCCCCCTCCTCTCCACCGAGTCAAGATGCTTGCAGATGCCTATCTCGAAACCCCTCGCGACTTCGGGATTTCAAGACTGAAGCGGGGAAAACGGACGCACAAAAAAAGGGGGCCAGAATGCTACTGCATCATGTCGAGGCATGACTCGCCAAAGTATAATCTCACCAAACCTTTTGAGCAAGTGGAGATTAGCATTGGGTATGTGCGCTCGCATACGCATCGCATATGTGTGCGTATGGTATGTGTGTATATACAATCTGATCCGCAAATTCCCATGTTTCATGCTGTCAGCGCGCTCTAGATCTCACATCTGAGTAGATAGTTTCCGCGCCGGGCCTTGTCGTGGCCACTGCAAGGTACGAAAACGTGTATGTGACAGGAGGGGGGCCGGCTGGGATCCACTATGTAATCGAGATTTGGCATATCGGGAGCTAGGTTGTTTAGAGGAACTGTTGTTTTATATGTGTTGTTTTATATGTGTTGTTTTATATGTTTTGCGTGTTGAGCATTTAGCATCGCGAGGTTGACATTCTAGAGGGACTTATTATCAGCGATGGTTTTATGTGGGACGAGATACTATGAGAATTGGTGAGTGGTATTCCGTACTGGCTATCTGTTATGGTGTTTGTATTGCTAAACTTGTGTGTGTTGTTGTTCAGGTTGGAGTTGGTTGGACGTCTTGGCAATGTAGCATCGAGGCGAGAAAGGAGGGGGTGGAATTGTGGGTATGATGAAAGATCGTGCGATGAAGCTGGATCGAGCAAACGAATGCGATGTACTTGAGTACATGGGAAAACTTGCTCTACATTGGGAAATCTTGCTATTGGAGACGAAACTGTAGAGTTCCGGGACTCTGTTTGCAGAAAGGGGGGCGTGTGGGTTCAGTGACAGCTACTGTGATTCACTACAGAATATCACTTCCGTTTGATGTTGAGGATTGGATGAAAGATGAGTGAATTCAATGTTTTGTGGCTGCTGCGTTTTCGTTTGTTTTCGTTTGTTCAGTCCCAAGAGCATATAAATCACATCTTCCTCTCGAGTCCTCGGGGTGACGGACTTCCTCCTACAACCTCTTTCACTACTCTCAAGGGAGATCAAGATCAGGACTTGAACCTATTTTACGGTAAGTACATTGCTATGCTGCAAAGAGACTTATACAGTGGCTAATTCAATGGATTAGGATCATTGCAACGATGGGTGGCGACTCAAAGTTTGTGTCGTGGCAGGATAACTCGTACAAGAAGGAGCAGAAGAAGGGCTCTTCTGCCAATCAACAAGGAAGAATGACTCCATCCTCTCCCGAAATCGAGCAAAACTCTAACGAGAGCACTGAAGCCACTGATCCCAGCACCGTCAATCTCAAAGCCAACGTCTTTACCAAAGTTGCCAACACCTTTACGCTGCTCTTCAACAAGGACACCAGCCGCTACGACCGCCGCCCCGAGACTCCCGTTGGATGGACCACCACGGGTGAACTGGGCTGTTTGCGCGCCGAGCAGGATGCGCAGTACGAGCTCATGGAGGAACTGGAGTTGAAGATTGAGGATCTGAAGAAGGAGGTTGACCAGCAGAAGCTGCTTATCAAAGCATACGAGACCAGGGTCAGCCAGAACGAGGAGCTTCTGCAGCACTGCATGCATTGGATTAGCATGGCCCAGATCTTTGGTGACGTACCTGTTTCCAAGGAGCGGATGAATTGGAAGGCTGGTCGAGACGCGGCGCTAGTTGGGCCCGCCGGGGAGGATGATGAAGATGGTGGTGGTGATGAAAACGGAGAAATTGTTGAGGATATCAATATCAACAATGGCAGGGATGGCGAGGATATCAACGGTGCCAAGGAAATCAAAGATATCAAAGATATCAAAGATGTTCAGGATGGAAAGGGTGCCAAGGATGGCAACGTCTTCAAGTGCATCCACGCACTCAATGCAGACAAGGGCATCTAAACTCGGCAAGGCTCCTTCATCTCGGATCGAGGGCGGTGTTTGCTGCGGAGGTCATGAGGCAAAATTTGGAGAGCCAAACGAGACAAGAGAGACAAGACGAAGGCTTCTGATTCGTATTTGTTCGGGCCATCTGCCGGATGCCACCGTAGCATGCAAGTCGTATGCAGTCTCATACAGTAGCACGCAGGTAGCATCAACAAGGACCCAATAACAATTAGCCTGAAAGAAAAAAAGAGAGACTAAGGCGTCTTCTAGAACCGCCCAGCCCACGTCATAGCGTCGGCCGCACTCCCTGTCTGTGTTGTCTAATACTATTACAGTACTGTCTAGTACATCTGCAATCTGCATGGCTTGTATGCACAGGATTTGGTGTTTGTGGTATTTTCCGGTTTCTCCTAATTAATCAATCAATCAAACCTTGTTTTTTCATTTGCTGCTTCCATTTTCCGCCAGCGTTTGCCGAATGCTCCTTCACTTGCCGTCATCCAAACCGTCCTAGCGCTTTGGGAAGGCGCAACATCTTGCATCCTGTCATTTTCTTTCCACTTATCGGAGGTCGAGCCCAAATGCTGCTCCTTGCAAGCCTTGAAAGAATTTTCTTTTCCCTTTTTTCCTTTTTTGCTTCTAGCTGCCAACCTTATGATAACCGGGCGTTTTGGGGGTCTTGCGGTTTGAGGCCACGGCAGACGCACCTTGTTTTGCTATTTGTTCCATCCTCTTCTTTGGCTCTGACCGCCTCCGGTTAGATGGCACGGCTTCGCAAGCTGTTTCCTCGATATCGTGACGTGCCCAGGTTTATTGGCGCACAAACACCCGCTGGCTGCTAACCTAATGCTAACCTAATGCTGATGCTGATGGGTGCTGATGCACGTTGTCTCAGCACGGCATAGTGAGAGAACAAATTAAGGCAAAGTCTGATGCCTTCAAAACTTCCATTTCTCCGGCATTCAGCCCGGGAAGGCACTGGTGCGTCGACGGCTTCAACTTGCGGGAGGCTGCCGGAACAATGCACCGGCTTCTTCGCCCATCTGATAAGCTTCCTGGGCACGAGGCAACGGGCAGATCATGTGTGGTGTTGCCGCTGTAAGTCTAGGTTGTCAGATCGCCCCTGGCAATTACTATCCTGGCTTTTGGCTTTTCTGCAAGACGGCTGATAAAGGGGCTAGGTGCAGGTGATGGGATTCTCCCCCTGTGTTGCTCTGCTACTCGTCCGCCGCCCGCCCAGGCCCATATCACCACCCATGACGGCAAGATTTTATGCCCGCCTGTGCTAGGATGCTTCAGAGGGCCACGAGGACCAATCAATGGGCACGCGCGTACGCAAGACTGCATGACGATCACCCAGGCTTGGCTTCGGAAACCCTCCTGATCTACGGCCCAAACCACCCCCCAAACACCACCGAGGCTTGCCGTTGTGATGGCTTCAGAATGCAGAGATTTTCTGGTGCTTTGCACGCCACGTTGTAAAAAGGGTGGGGGACATAGCCTGTCACCGCTTACTCCATTGCTTGCCCGGGAGCACGAATAGGCATTCAACAGACACATTATTAGGGACGGCTCCTTGTTTAGGGCCCGAAATGAGAGGGAAATGGAAGAATCCATCCAGCTTCGAACACGTACGCCCGATGAATAACGCTTACGCATATCAGCCATCTCGGAGCACGCCGACAAAGAAGGTTCAATTATGAGTGATCCTCTCGACGAAGAAGCAGTCTAGAAGAGGAAAAGAATGATGGTGATGTGTGTAAGTGAAGTTCTGGCTCACAGTGTTGACCGCGGTGGTACAAGGCTCAAGAGATCGACTTCAACCACACCCCTTCTATGAGATGTCGGGTCATCCTGCACCATGCCCGAGATGGGGTACTTTGCATTGCACTGCAGTGCTTCATTGTTGTGTAGTATCATCCCTTCCTGGAAGCCCGCTCTGTTACAACATCGAATACTCAAGGTGGCCCAAGCTCGGCACCGGCCGGCATTATAGAGCACTTTCGAACCGTAGTTTCAAGAGACAGCCGCTCGTTTGTTGCGGCAATCCATCTGGCGCCTACTCGTCGTCTTGTAGTAGTCCCACTGGTGAACTGCAGTACAACCAATATTTGATACGAAAACATCTTCCTCGAGACATCACCATACCAGGTAACTCGTACCTGGATGGCGCCAACTGCACACCCCCCCTCCCAGGACCAACGGTTATTGATCCATTATTGGCTCGCTAGTGGAACAACATCTGTTGCCGACATGACTGTACAGCCACTAATACTGGTAGCTGCATCTTGAGGCTCACGACCAGGGCTGCCCCCCCGTGCTGGCCTTTGGGATTCGGGATTCGTGAGCTGCATACATACTCGCACATAAGGTGGGGGTTGAGAGGGGCCCCAGAGGTACTTTGCTTTGAAGCCCACGTCTTTGTACTAACCCCTACGTAGACAAATCTTTTTACCCAAATAGGATCGTTCCATTAGAGGCATGGACGCTCTTGCGTGTTCAGAACATCTGCCGAGCTGGGTACAGAGCAACACATATGTTTGGACAGGGTAACTAGCCGCCTGGTGATCTTTGGCCGTGTTGGTGGCTGCACTTCTCGGTCTGAAAACACGACGTTGTTATTTGGGATGACTCCTGTGGATACATCCGTCAAGACTACCCGCGTTTTGTATGCATGATGTTGTGATCGCAAACCTAGACCTTGGTGCCTTTCCCTCCTTGCAACGGTTTTCTGTATCGTCGTTGGCCTGGCTGGCCAATGAGCATGGAGCAACATACAGATGTCTAGCGCTGCCGAATGAGCCGAGTCTGAAGTTCTCACGATGAACACTGTGACTTCGATCCTCGCTAGTTTTAGTGCCCGGCAACTCTGCAGTCGCGCTCCACCAAATGCTGTCCTGGGAGGGCAGTTCAAGATGCCGAATTCGAATGCCTATGGTATATGCAACATTACGCATTGCCATCATTTCTGATAGTATCGGATAAGAAGGGGGCAGGCAGGGGGTGATCCTGGGAGTGGAACTCCCCAACTATTTTCTGGCGGAGTCTGTGCTGCCAGTCCTGAAAAATCGGAATGACCCACGGCAAATATACGATACACGACGTCCTCGACGACGTCCTCGTACTGTAACTATAGTACTAGCGGGATAACGGTCCAAATCACCACGTTGAGAACAACAGCTGGCACCACGGATGGAAGTGTCGGGTTGGATTGGATTGGCTTGGCTTGAAAGCCATCGCCAGCCACGGTTCAGCCGCACGGGCTGTCAAATTCATGAATTAGGATTAATTGGCAACTCCAGCGACGCCGGATGCGGGAACCGTGAAGTCAGAAATAGACGTCAAATGGCATTAGCCACATGGCATTGGCCCAAAGGTCGCGTTGGCTTTGGCTTTGGGAGGGGAGGGCATGTGGTTGCCGAGTTGTTGCTGCGTGAGAATAGAAGTATGCCTCCTCCTGACTGCTCATTGATGATCTCTCGACTGTCCCAAACGGTTTCCAGGGTCTGACCATCCAACTCCACATGGCTCTGACCATTCTGCATGTCGCACAGCGTCCAGTCCCTGCTAAACCTACTGGGCGGTACTTGGCGGAGTCCGGTTTGATACCAACTTGCCAAGCCCGATACCTCGACTTGTTGGACGCCCCTCTACAAAGCTGTGTATCGACTAACGTCTTAGTGTGTACTGCTTCTCTACGTCACGCTTTAGAGGAGGTACTTCTGAACAGGCGCCACGTTTGAGACCCATTTCCGCCCTGCCGGGTTCCATAGACGGTAAATCTAGATAGCTTCTAGAAGCTTGGCACAGATGTTACCCCGAAAGTACGAGGTTCAAGGTTCGTTATCTGGGTTGTGTCGAAATAAACACAGGCCTTCCCCCTGGTCACGCCCAGATTGGCAGGCCTTGCATATAGACTACCCGCTACATCGTTCCCACGAGCCATTGGACTCATAAGCCACCGACTGCCCTCGTCTCTTGGCTCTCGGTGCCGCCTTATAACTATTCCAATTCACATCCTCATCTTTCTTTTTACTACCTCCAAGAGTCGTCGCTACTTTGACTTCACTTGGCAATTGGGTTCACCCACATACACACTACACACTACACAGCTTCACCGGACTCACACAAGCGAATTGCTTGCCCCAACTGTCCAATTCAGCAGGGACGACAGCAGCTCAGCCTGTTTTTAGCCATTGTTTGCTCAGTCATTGACGTTCTGTCGTATAACCGGACACCATGACCGAGGAATTGCAACTCAGTACGTACAGCCAGCTCTGCATCGAGGCTCGGCTGTACGACGAGAACCAGACGTTTGAAGAAGCGCAGATGTTCGAAGAGAACCTGCCATATGGCGACTGGTTCTCCTTCGACGTCAACGACTACAATTCCATGGCAGATGTCCCAGAGCTCTGCGATTCACAGCCTCTGTCCCAGTACGGGGGCTCAGAAATGGGATCAGAAGCGAGCTCCCCCGCATCGCCCATGTCTACAGACTCCTTCTTCACACAGCAGACGTCGCCGACCCCCAGCTTATCTTACCTCCCGCCTTATGCAAGCGCCAGTACGCCTGCGACGTCTGCTTACAGCAGCCCGGATGCCACTCCCGGCCAGGAGGTGACCTCGCCAACAGTTGAATCGCCAACGTAAGTTGTGTGTTCCTTGTGCATTTGGGAGAGGGGAGTTTTTGGGTGGTTAACCGATTTGAGCATAGATTTGCCTCGAGTGGCCGTGACTATCCAGTATGCTGCCTCCACCCCGGCTGCGATGCGAAACCCTTCAAGCGTCGTGCCGATCTGGACCGTCACTACAAGCACAAGCACGCTCCGTCGTCTCAGAAGGACTCGTATCATTGCGATTACGCCCGCTGTGGGCGGCGCCGAGATCCGTTCCACCGTCGCGATCACTTCCGCGACCACCTGAGAGACTTTCACAAGGAGGACATTGAGAAGCGTGGAGTCGCAGCCAAGGAAGATTGGTTCGAAGGCCGCAATGCCTCTCACACCTGGTGGCGATGCACCAAATGCCTGAAGCGAATCTACATCAGCCGCCATGGTTACGAATGCCCTACCTGCAAAACATCCCTGCAAGCGAAACGAAAGGAGATTCGCCGGCGAGAGTAACGGAATTCGAGAGCGAGAGCAGCTAGAGAGCTCAGAAGCAAGCCAAATTCGTACTCGGGGAACGGAACAGTGTGCGGTTCAACCGCCAGCACCAGCCAAGCCCGGCGTCATCAAGCACCGAGGCCACCCCCTGTCCCCCTACCTCCTCCCTCTGACTACATGCATCCACCATCCCACCAAACAGCAGCTGAGCTTGGATCCGTCAGAGTTTCGACTTACATCTGCCGACATACTATTAGAGCGGTTTACTTCCCAATGAATCTTACGAATGGGTGTATTTTTACCATGTCCTTTTTTTTTTTTTTATTACACATGCACGTTAGCCTGTGTTAATTTTTTTTATTTTTCTCTTCTAATGCAGGCCGACCCATTGGGTACAGTTGCTATACAGGAAAGATACCTACCTAGTATTACTTACTAGTCACAAGCAAAAATGTTCAAGTTATCAAAGTCTTCTCTCTCTCTCTTCTTCTACTCCGAACATTGAGTGCGGAGAACTGCAGCTTGCTTTGGTACATTGCTGTCCTCGTCTCGTTAACTTACGCGAGAGAGTGCACTACTGCTCCGAGGCTAACAGTATTGCGGCATTGCCCTCTTCTCTCTTCAGCTAAACTACCAAGTCTCCGCCCTAGCCTCAGCTACTCAGCTTGTGGATTTGCGGCTTGGGTCCGTTGGAGCTATCATGATCTTCCCCCTCCTCACTCACCCCCTCCTGGCTTTTTTCTGAGATATTCCATCTGCCGAAAGTTGGGAACACTCACCACACAAAGGCCAAAGTGTCTATGGTTACATGGTACATACAACTTTGGGCAAAAAGCGGGGAGGGGCCATGATACGGATAGTTGCACCAGCACAATGAAGAGAGAGAGAGATCAGAGAGAGAAAAAAAAAAACTGTGGGACTAGGGATTCATTACACGAAGCTTGCATCGCTAGCGTTTTTGAGCTGGCAGCCTCGGGAGGAGGGACATTTCATTCTCGGAGTATGACTGGACCAGGCTACTTGCGCCTGGGGAGGGGTGTGGTTTTACAGTCACTTCACTTTAACTGTAGCTGGGCTGGTGCTGGGCTAGCCAGCAAGGTTATCAAAGCCACACACCATTTCTTTCCCATGGATGCTTTTTGGGGCTGATGGAGAGAGGGCGGACAGCCTATTGGACAGCCTTTACGATGCGCTCGATGCGGGATAGAATGGATATACATGCATGGGCGTTTGTTTGGTATTGGTATCTTTTTTTTTTTCTTTGTTTCTTTTGTTTTATTGGTGGTGGCTTTTGGGCAAAAAGGGCTGAAAGGGAGGAGGACAAGTAAAAAAAAAGAGACTGCTCCAAAAGAGCTATTGATTTACATACATACACATCCTTATTTTTGGGGGTAACGGCAACCCATCTTTCTTGGACCAGTTCCTATCTATCTTGTATCTACATACAAAAAAGTTTTGGTTTTCCCTTTGTCGGCAATTGTTTTTTTTTGTTTTATTGGATTTCCTATTTTGTTTTACACTGGGGGGGTTTTTTTTTTGCGGGCTTTTCTTGCTCTGATGCCCCCATTCAATCCAAAATAGACTAGACAACAAGAAATGCACATGCACATCACACTCACCACCGCAACAACCGCTCGCGACGTCACATCTAAAGGAATGCAAATGATGCGATAATGGGCTTTTTCACGGGTATCGGGGGCTCGGTTTCGGTTCAGCAGTGGCGGCTGCGTTGGTGCCGGGTTAATATTGGCACGAAAAAAACGGGGACGCCCCCGGAGCTTCTTCAACGGCTTGGAATTGCTCTATGCTATTCAAAGTGAAGCTCGGCTTCAGCTTGCTAGTCTCGATGCGAAAAGGCTTTTGGTTATCAGAATCACGGACAAGGCACGATCATGGTCAGTCTCTTCCATACCGTATTGTTCCCTGTCTTGTAAGAGAAGGCCCCCATCCCACCCCGAATCCCCTGTGCACCGTTCCATTGATCCCTCCCCCCCGTCCCAATCAGCTTCCGTAGCAAATCAAAATTCCTCCTCCAATCGACTTTGATCTCTTCCTAGCTAACCTGTCAACTTACAGTAGCCCCCATCCTCAATCCCTCGAGGCCCAGTTGCTTGGCGCCGCCATCGCAAAACTGACTTTGCACCGGCGCACAGCTTGCCTCGCTGCATCGGCTCAAACCCACGAGAAGCGACGGCGCCCATCGCATGGCTTGGCACACAATCTAGACTTCGACAACTTCGCGCTTCTAAACTCTGTATGTTTCCCGCGTCTACATAAGCCCAATACTTGTTCGTTCCATCGTGGCCGGATGGCTGGCACGTTGGGTTGGCAAGGGCATTAGGCTCGTCGCAGGCGGCATGCACCCAGGCCTTTTGGGGCTGGACCTGGGAACTGAAGTCAAATGATACGACACAGGATAGGCCGGCAAAGTTCCCTCTGTCTCTAAGGGTCCTGATGCAGTAGTGTTGCTCCTTTTGCCGACCGTGAGGCAAGTGCGTGACTCCAGGGACTTTTTGGACAACGTGGTGGCTTTGGAGAAGCTCTGCTGCAGCGTTCAATCTGCCGCCAAGTGCACTAACAAGCGCTCCTTACAGATGTCTGACAGCAACGTGTGCAGGAATATTGTCCACAGTGCCTTTTGCTTCTTGTTTCAGAGGAAACAAAACTTGTTGATCTCTGACCTAGTTTTGCCTGTGCTGCTTCGATACATGATAACTCTCGCTTGCAGCCATGAGGCACGAGGCAGGCCCCACATCACATCAGGAACTGGCTGCAGCTGAAGTACGCCACTATGATTTGGAATTTGGAGCTTCCTCCCATCGCGTGCGCTTTTCCGTACTATGATAGCTGTTTCCTCGTGGCCTTTCAGCAGCAGCCAAAAGTGGCTGGTGATGGCTTCAACGTAGAGCTTGGCGCTGCGTTCCTCCGGCGAATCGATAGCTAGGGTGGGCTCGTGAAAACCAACTGGCCTTCCCTGACAAGGACAAGACCCTGCGATCCTCCAATAGTCCAATGGAGCTTATGGCCATTCAGCCTCCCAAGGCTCAGCGCCCAAACTACCACCGGCCCTTTGTTCGGCCAGACAGGCGCGGCCTGCGGTGGATGACAGCGAGCCGTCGGGGCTCTGGCGCCGGAACCGCGGTCTTCGGCACGTGGTCCTGGATTGCCTGAGATTGAGCCCAGATGGAACTCCACCTTGCCACTCGGAACGGCGGCCGGTGGAGAAGAGACAAGGGAGCTTGCCGCTCTGGTCCTGGGTCTTGGAGTCTCCGCGAAGCGTCAGTGTCACGGTCCCGTCTGGTTTGCATCGCTCTGTATCCTGAACTGATCATTTCCCATCCAGATCCATGGCCAGATTCTCACCTGCTTTTCATCCTTGCCGACGGGTGGCCTCAAATCCTTGACCCCCACTTGTTAGCTGCGCTCGTCTGAGCACGTCGTGGTGCCTTTGCAGCTTCTGACCGCACTAAAATTTCGGCAGTTGTGTTTTTCAACTTCGTGTGGGTCTCGTCGTCCCTTAACATGTGGTTTTCCGTATCACCCCCCGAGCGCTGATGCTGTTACTTGTCCACCACTTCGGCTATATGCTTCGAAAGGGTATATGATACGCGAGTTATGGTTAATCCTCCGCCAAAGTGACTTTCGGCATATCATCTAGCCTCTGGGTGAAAAAATCCGTCCGCCGGCGCGGTATCGGCAGCCTCCCAGTTGCCAATCCCTGGGCTGCCATCAAGCACGAGTGTTTATTCCATAGGACTCTGTCCAAATCTGACAGTACCTGTAATTTGGCCTCCGTTTTCTGTTGGCACAGGGTTAACCCTGGCTGTTATGTCACCCCAGCCACTGTCTCCAAACCCGTTCTTCGTCCGTCTCGCCTTCTGGCGTGATTTCGAAATCACCGATCTGTACGGCTACACTGCCCGTAGACTCTGTTTCAGACGTTGAAGATGGCTTTTTTGCCGCTCCATAGGCATAATCTAGTAGCGGGTGCTCGAATTCTGCCGAAGGCGCGCCTACGATTTTCTTTGGTGAATTGTACATATTTTGACGTCGAGCCGCTCTATCCCGGCATGGCGACGACAGTAGCAGATCGCTGCTCGTACTCGGCAGAGAACAGCCTGTAAAAGACTCACCGGTAATGTAGGACGCAATATTGGCACCTCCAAGCCGTGTGGTGTGCGTTGTTTGTTCGGCTTCGGGTCCAATGCTTTGGGCTTCCGAGTGATCACCGAAAGTGGGATTCCCGATGGCATCTGGGATGGCATTTTGGATGGAATTTCTTTCCTCACTCCATCGAAAATCTCGACTGCCGATGCTTATTCTGACCGACCTAAGGCTAGGTGGAGGTGTGTTCTGGGTCACTCTTCTTTCTCTTACACCTCTCTGTTTGTCAAATTTCGACCGGAATTCGCGACGGGCGACGGACGTTCTGTGCTGCTGATCCAAGATATGCCTCGAAAGGGGTGGACGCTCAAAAATCTGCCGCGTGGGCTCCTTGACTGAGAGTTTCGGCAGTTTGACTTTTGCAACATCTCCTTCTTGGAAAGTTTTCCGACGCTCAGTTCTTTGATTAGAAGCACCCATAGGGTGATTTTCTAACGACTGGTCAGGCACAGTGAATCCACCTGTCTCGCCTGACGAAGCAATTAATGGCAGTTCGGTAACATCTCCTCGCAATGGTCTTAATGGATTATTCAAGCTTCTTGATGCCTCATCTGCAGCGCCTGTGGGTTCACTAATCGGCATGGATGATGGAAATGTTGCTTCCCCTAGGCTCGCGGTAGCTTGTGGCGGAGGTGCATAATTGGGGATGAAATTAGCTGCAGAGAGCGGTACAGGGCTCGATTTTGCACCCTCACGCTGTCGAGAGCGGGCCTTGGCGAAGTATTCTTTTTGTCGTGCCATTTCCTCCTTCCAGCCCTTTCCCCGACGGTGCCGAGAGAGATTTCCTCCCATCCAATTCATGCCGAGATCCTTGACAGAGGAAAGAGTTGGCGAGAGACGAGTATCGAGAGTATCGAGGATATCGAGATTGTCGAGGTTATCGAGAGATCATGGATGGAGAGGGAAAGGTGAAGAGTTGCAGGTTGAAGAGTGCAATAAAAGGATAAGGTAAGGTACGAGAATGATGCTGAAGCAGAGGAGGAACAATTGTGTTGAACGCACTTGCTTCATGTCATGTGTTGGTTACGCGTGCAATTTGGCAAGATGCAAAGGTAGGAGCAATCCTAAAGATCACAGCATTTCCAAACCTTGATACAGAGGTACTTAGCAGGTGCTCCAGGTGTTTCAGGTGCCTGTGCTCCAAGGCAAGTGTCCTAAGAGATACATATCCTCATGTACCTGCAAAACCTGCTGGGCATATTAGGACGCATTTTGGTGTCTTTACATGCAAAATAAACAGCGCCAAGCCAACAGTATCAATTTACTACTTGCTGTGAACGGCGATACGGCACATTATTTTGATGTTTCGTTTTCGAGAACCGCCGTGATGTCTCTAGAGCTGGCGATAAATTGAATAGATACAAGGGATGAAAGCGGGACTGAATTAAACAGTTGCATTTCCATCGATTACAGCCCTATCTATCAGAATAGCATCGTATTTTGATCATGACTATAGATCCATATAGCCATTTGTAAATTATCTTGACAATTCATGGCGAGATATCTATTGCAAGATAATTTGCTCTTATCAACAGACCTCGTCCATCAGTACAGTATAGTGACACAGTGCCCACCAGTAGCACTGTATGAGCTGCAGTAGAATCGCACGCTCTGCTTCTTCCATCCCCTTCTCCTCATCCCGCCTTACCTCCCCCGAAAAAGCTAATGGCACTCGCCCGCGCCCTCCAACGCCATTCTCGGGGTTCCTCTGCCATTTGAAATTCATTCATGTTAGTGATGGTTTATTGGAAGATTGGAAAGACTTTTACAGCCGCCAAGATCGATTGCTGTTTCTAGGTAACTTCAGTTATTGTAAAATGCAATACAGACGGTAAGATAACATGAGAATATGTGCTTCTTTGCTCTGGACGGACCTCTTTTTCGGCTTCAGCCACAGCTCGAGGTTATTGCGAATCAAAACAGGTCAAGTCCTCATGCACCCGTCGTTTCTATGCACATTCACAGGGATGCTTGCAATGTGGCTGGCTGGCGGAGTGATGCCTATGCTACGGTCTTGTACAGCTGTCGGCAAAACTAACCATTATCTGTTTCCCAACAAATGGCGTTAAGATGACATGACATTGATGGATTACGTCCTGAAAGTCTAATGACATGATTCATCGAGGCGATAAGTCAGCCAGATCTCCCAACAGCCCTAGAAGCCCAGCCCTGTTGGGAAATATATTGGACAGTCAATAGTGGATTTGAAGCAGTCAGTCCGACCGGTGATGGCAAGGCGCGTAGGAAATCATCATGAAGCTGCCGGGTTTTCCAGACTTCAGACATTTGACGACAGGATGCTTTGGTGAATGCTACTAGCTGTGATGTAGACCGTTTGGATGGCCTCGAGTACTGGCGAGATCTTGGGTAGCGCACCCTAAGGTACCTACCTATTCTTACATGCGATATCCCGGTATGCAGCGCAAATATCATGATATGCCCAATGTTGTCTGTCACGAACGCGGTATCTGACAGCGTAATCTTTCGCGACCTGGTATTTGACAACGACAGGGTCAAGGTTTGAAAAACGGCGGGAGGGAAGCTCAGAATAATGAAAGCAGCAGTCGAAAGAAAGCAAGGAACAAAAGTTTTATTTCGCTGTTTGCCTAGGATAGGTAGATTATTTGATTATGTACTCGATAGATATTCCTACTTTAAATGTCTTGCTTAGCATGGGCAATCAATAATCAGCTCTACTCTTCCGCTTCCACGCCCAATCTATCCTGTTCTTCCATCTCGATCAAAGATTTATCCACAAACTTCGTCTTTGCTGCAATTTTCAAGCTCAATCCCGTAATGGTACTTCCTCCCATAATGTCAAACACCGGCACATCTGCGTGATAATCCCGAAACAGCCAATACCTAATCACCACCGCCACCAGCGAGTCCACTCCATACGTGTACAACGGCTTGTTCACATCAAGATCATCCTGATTGATGCTCAGAACCTTGCACAGCTTAGCCACAAAAGCAACTCTGATCAGTCCAGCGGCTTCATCGAGAGATTTCACTGAGCGTAGAGCGGCGATGGTCTGCGCAGTCAGTTCGCGCTCTTGGTCGTCGCCGCCAAGCGCAGACGAGTTCTCCTCCCTGTTGGCAATCTGGAGGTGACTGAAGAAAGGATCCTTGAAGTAGTACGGCTTCTCGAGACCCTTGGCGCGCATCAAGGCAGGATTTTCGATGCCGGTGACTACTTGACACGTTGTGGGTGTCGGACGAGGTGTGTTAGGGTTGACGCAGTACTCTATGATGGCGAGGAACTCCTCTTCGCGAATACCCATGAATCCCCATGCGCTTAGGTTATTGTCAATCTCGGCATTGCCGCCCTCAGCCACATATCCAACGGAGAGAACAAAGCCGAGGTCGATGGCGATGGCGTGTTGACCCTGGCTGACGCGATGATGTGCTACTGCATCTTGGAACGTGTTGCCTGCAGCATAGTTCGCCTGGCCACGAGTACCATTGATGCCAGATGAGGAAGACAGTATGACGAAGAAATCTAGGGTGTCCGGCAGCATGCTGTGGAGATTCCAGGTTCCTGGAACTTTGCTGCGCAGGGGCTCTTGGAAGTCGGCGTACGACATGTTCTCGAAAGTCGAGTCCTGCAGAAACAATGTGAGAAATAATACTACCAATCATCGAATGTCTCCAACACTTACTCGTAATACCATGGCTGCTTGTATGCACCCTTTGATTGGCGGCATCTTCCGTGCACAATCCTCCAACACTGCAGCAAGTTCAACGGCGTTGCTCACATCACAAGCATAAATAGTTGCATTCACGCCTCTCTCTCGCAGCTCCTTTGCCGTTGCTTTGCCCTTGTCACTGTTTGGCCCTGATCGGGAGCATAGGATCACATTCTTCAGGTTCTTGTCAACCATCCATCTCACCATGCTCCGAGCAAGGCCGCCAAGACCACCCGAGATCAAGTAAGATGCATTCTCATCAAAGTATTGCGGCATCTTCATCGGAGGGAGTGCCTTGAAAGCAAATTAGCATATTACCCGAGGAGGAAAAAAAGTTTGTCTCTAGACTTACCGGTACGACATCGTCGTCATGAGGTTCAAGGATAATCTTGCCGATGTGCTTGGCCGCCTGCATGAATCGGAAAGCCACCTCCATTTTCGAATATGGAAAGAGATTCAAGGGCTTTGCAGGCGAGATCTTCTTCTCCCTTGCCAGATCCATAATCTCTCTCAAGATTCGACCGACCATGTCGCGATTGTCCTTTAAGACCACGGCAACAGATGGAAAAGTAGCGCCTCTAGCAAACACGCTCATATCAAGACGCCTGTTCAGATCAATGTCTCGCCTGCCAATCTCGATGAATCGACCTGATGGAGCCATGAGTTCCCATGACTGCCGGAGTGCTTCTCCAGATAGAGAATTGAGAACAACGTCAACACCGCGTTGGTTCGTCAATCGCATGACTCCTTTTGCAAAGGAAAGGTCTCGACTTGAAAAGATGTGGTCCTCTTTGATATTATACGTCTCCATCAAGAAATGCTTCTTTTCCGCCGTACCAACAGTGACAAAGATTTCCGCGCCAATGAGCTGAGAAAGCACAATGGCTGCTTGGCCAACACCTCCCGCCGCAGCGTGGATCAACACACTCTCGCCCTTCTTCAACCTAGCCAGCTCAAATAAGGAGTAGTATGCCGTCCAGTAGACGAGCGGCAATGCAGCGGCCTCCGCAAAGCTCATATGCTCCGGTATCCTCTGGAACAAGCGAGCATCGTCCCTGTAAAAGGTTCGGAATGTTCCAACACCGACACTGCAGACCCTATCTCCAACCGTGAATTCACTCACGTCTTTGCCTACCCTAGTTATGACGCCTGAGCATTCATTGCCCAGCCAAGTATCGCTAAGCTGACCCATCGCAATCATCACGTCCTTGAAGTTGAGTCCTACAGCTTTGACTTTAACCTCAATCTCATTAGGACCGAGTTCAACACCATATACATCATCGTCCTGGAAGTGAAAGGTACTTAGTGTTCCTGGAGACGAAATGTCCAATTTCAGAGCTCGGTTATCCTTGGTAAAGGGGACAAGCTGAGTCTCCGGCTTCGCGTACAAGGAGGTGAAAGTCTCGGCAAATTGATCGTCATGAACCAGTCTGGAGATGAAGAGGTTTCCATCCTTGACCGCATACTCATTCTCAGTGATTGCAGGCGACGTTGAGAGACGCATGTACACTTTGGTGATTGAATCCGCCGCCGACTCCACGACCACGTCCTCCTCCAGGTCAAGTCTGACAAATCGGTACCCTTCGCGCTCAGCCCGGACATTGCGTCCAAATCCATTTGACAGTGCAGACAGCGGGTTTTCTGTGGTAAAGGTGCCTCCTTTCGTGACCCAGACTATAGCTGAAGCAGCCCCAACCATGTGTTGTAGGTCTGCATATTCATCCTCTTTAAGCTTATGAATCATAGTGTCGTAGAGCTCAGCAATACATATGACTAGTTTCCTAGCAATGTCATGCTTTCTAATTGATGTGAAAGGCAATATGGTGGCTGTTTGACCCTGTTGCTGTAGTCTATCTTGGACTTCTGATGCGAGAGCCTCCTGCGGGTTGCTAGGGGATGTGGCCACTACAACATCTGTTCCGGAGACTTGACGGTCAGGCATATAGGTGCTGACCAGGATACTAGCTTGGTGAAGACTGGGATCTTCCATGTCTTTAATAATATGGTCGCAGGCCTCAAAACCGTGGCGCTGAAGCAAATTATTCCACTCGTCCGCGGTAATGGTAGGTCCCCATTTCCTGTTCTTCTCTTTGGACAGCCACCACCCTGGAAGCAGACCGAAGAGAAACGGCGAGCGTAAGAGGTCCGGGTTGGTAATTTCCACCAAGATGAGCTTACCGCCCGGTTTCAACAACTTCTTGGTGTTGTCCAACGTGACGTCCAGTCGCGCAGTAGCATGCAAAACGTGAGACGCTACAATCACATCGTACTTGTTGAGCTCGAAACCTTGCTCCACTGGGTCAACCTCGATGTTGAGAGTCTTGTATGTCATGATGTCTATCCAGTCTTGGAACTTCTCTTTCGCTTTGTCGAAGAAGCCGCCCGATATATCCGTGTACATGTACCTAGCAATTCTCACCATTCCTTCGCCGGTAAGTGCATTAAGGATAGTCTTGGTAGCAGAGCCAGTGCCAGCTCCAATCTCGAGGATATTCATGTCTGGATTCTTAAAGGCAGCCGTGTCCAAGTAGGTGGCAAGGTGTTGATGAAGTGTCTCGCTGCCAATGGCGAACTCGTAAAATCGGTCCAGAAGCTGATCTTCGGCCAACAGCTCCAGGAAACCAGTTTCCTGCTTCAGGATCCGACCTAGGTTTCGACCAACCCTCGTCATGGCTTGACCGTCCACTGAGGAAGCCTCAACCTTTTCTTCTAGTGCGACTCGGTCAACCTCTTGCTCTTCGCCCTGTCCAAATCTCTCCGCTTGGAATCTCATCCAGGCGACGTATTTCTCCAAGTGTTCGGGCAGATTTATGCGTGAGTCCTGCTCCAAGGCGGCAAGAGTTTCCTTGATATAGCTGATGCCCAACAACTCCAGGTCATGCGTTTCAGTTGTCCAGTCTTTCTGTTTTGTGTCTCCCGACAGTTGAATAAGATGTTTCGTGTCGACAAAGTCCACGTCTGGTTGCCATGCAATGTTGAAGGACCCAACCTGTCTGTTTTGAGTCGCTTGAGGCGCCGTGGAGAAGTCCGCAGAGTGCACAACTTTCGAGACAGAGTCTCTGAGGATAACCCATGGCGATTGTCGAGCTTCGTTCATCAGAACACCCCAGCCTCTGGCCTCTCGGGCACTCATCCATCTTGCGTTACCATAGCCCGAGAAGCTGTAATCGGCATCGACAGATATTGAAGCTGAGACCCAAAGCTTTCCGATGAGAGTTGGTATGATTGGCTCGTCCAAACTTGCAATTCCACGTCCCATGGCAGGAAGCAATAGTTGCAGTAAGTTGTCTAGTGTGATTGGGTGAATCACAGGCTGGTGATAGTAGCCGTTTGGCATGATTGCCTTTAAATCTGGGTTCTTGATATTTCCAATGAGTTCTCCTATTTGCACCGTAACGAATTCCTATTTAAACCGTAGTACTCCATAAATCAATGCGCACACACCACAACTCCCACGGGGCCACGCCCAAATATAGTGCAGCGCCCTGGTGTATTGCGTATATAAGACCATGTGCCTAGACAACATCGCAATTTCGATTAATGGCGGTTAGAGAAGAATTCGCAGTGACAGCGGCGATTGAAGCTAAGAGCGTACCGCAATGCCTTTGAAGTTGTGGGCTTATAGAGGCCGTCCCCGAGCCAAAGTTACGGCCGCAGCCGGGCTGAGGAAGTTATTGAAGTCATCCCAGCTACCCAACCCGGCGCTAAGCTGGATGAACTAGCCGGCCCGTGAGAAGCGTTTACATTGAGTTAGAAGGGCTGGAAATGCGATTTGAACGAATTGGACTGATTGATAGCTGCTGGACTTGTGTGGGATTTTTATAAGATATCTCTTCCCAGTGCGTTACACTGTATTTTGCTGCATAGGTGTGGCAATTGCGATTTAAGGGTGAACCTAGCTTGTGATGTGGAGTACTACGGTTCAAATAGGAATTCGTTACGGTGCAAATAGGAGAACTCTTTCCAATGGCTTCGTTGTCAGTGTATCTGATGTTGTGGATTGCCCTGAATGTCGGGCCGTACTGCAGCCCAATAGATTCGTAGTGATCGTACATCTGCTTTCGACCCAGCTCTTTCTGGCAACGAGTCTCTGCGCCTTTGACGAGCTCTTGGAGCTCCCGTGCCTCGGCTTCAACTTCGCTTTCTTTACCAGGTGAATCCGTAGGCTGGGTCTCGTACTCAACGGAGACGAGTCCACGGCAATGCTCACGCCATTCATATTCTTCACTGTAAGAATATACGTGGAACTCATTCCATGTAGCAGAGCCTCCGAAGCTGTTATCACCGTGCGGTCGCATGCAGAACATTGTCTCCACGCCGTCGGCTGTTTTGGGTATTGCCAGAGCTTCATGAAGAGTTATCTCACGTAACTGATAGCCTGATATTGTCCGAGTAACATCAGCAAGTTGACGCGATGCTTCGATGGCCATGACGAGAGATGCCGCAGCTGGATAAAGCACCACGTCCGTTATCATATGGTCCACAAGCCAAGGATTCTCAGAGACCCTGAGGACATTCCGCCATTGAGGCTCGAGCGGGTTCCAATCCGAGACAGGTGCACCAAGGATATCATGCCGTGGAAACTTTCGAAAGCGAAACCCCTTGCTCATGCGGCTCTCGCACCAGTACTTGTTCTCGTGGTTCCACGCGTAGCTTGGCAAGTCAACAAGCATTTCCTGAGAACCAGGACTGTTGATGAATTGGAAGTCAAGTTTCGAGCCGTACTTGTAAAGGTTTCCCGCCAACTGCAACGCGGTTTCTATCGCTGATCTGCTCCGAGATAGCATCGAGAAATACTGCATACCCTTCAAGTTGCTCTCTGCAGCCATTGTCTGCTTCATCGGTCCTTGTAGCGCCGAGTGTGGCCCAACCTCGATGAGAATATCCAAGGGGCTCTCTTGACTGCCAATCGTAATTCCCTTCTTCGTCGGCCGCTGCGTGCACATTGCCCGAGACGATTGATGAAACAGGACTGGGGAGACCAGGTTGGACACCCAGTAATCTGATATCGCAACGGACGCTTTGTCGGCCATCGTCCCCGTGACAGACGAAAACATGTCAATCTTGTTCTTTTGGCCGGACGATGCAACATCGAGCGTTTCGAGTTTGGCCCTGTATGCCTCTGAGACTCTGTTCATGTACGGAGAGTGATACGCAGCCTTGACATGAAGCTTGCGGGAGAAGATGCCCTCTTCATCGAGGAGAAGCTTCAGCTTGTCAACCATGTCCTCGTCCCCTGAAACCGTGACATTGGTAGGACTATTTACGCATGCGACTACGAGTATCTTGCTGCTTTCTTCGAGTCTTGCGATGTACTGAAGTGTCACTTGCTCAGATGCTCCGACCGCCATCATTGCGCCAGTGTTGGTTGTGCCCTCAGAAGACACCGCTTCCACCACTGCTTCACCACGGTAATAAGCGATGCCCCAGGCACACTCTCTGCTGATTATGCCGGCTGAGAATGCTGCAGCTATCTCTCCAGACGAATGACCGACGACCCTCGACGGCGCCAATCCCCAGCTTGAAAGCAGCTCCATGAGCGCTACTTGCAAAGCCGTGGAAAGAGGTTGGCTAATGGCCGGATCATGAATCCTAGTTGTGTTTTCATCATCTAGGAATGTGTCTAATAGGGACCACGTGGCGCCTAGAGATTCTCGCAAGTAAACGTCCGCTGCCCTTAAGCTGTCTGCGAAGATGGGATATCTCGAGTATAGAGCTTTTCCCATGCCTTGCCACTCAGCTCCTTGGCCTGTGAATATAAATCCGATATTTGGCTCTTGACTAGATCGAATGGGCTTTAGGGGAGAGTTGTCCATTTCCTAGACGAGTTCGTCGACTGAACTTGCCACGGTGAAAACTTCCAAGGCAGGGAGGTTCTCTTGGTAGATAGGGTGTAAGCAAGCCTCTCCAGAAATGTTCTTTCTCGTTGTTTGTCCGCGTCGTTGCTGAGTATTCCTTTACCACTCGTTCTATTCCCTTTTGATCTGAGGCAGACCATAAGAATAGGTTCGCAGGGGTCAAGTCTGTACCATTCATAGGAGTGCCATTGTGTAAGTCGCCGTTTGTATGCGTTCCGTTGACACCATTCAATGGGACACCAGGGCTTAGAACTGTATTGTGCCGACATTCGAGCCCGTGCTGCTGCAGATAGTGGTATGCATCGTCAAGAATGACGTGAGAGTTGCTTCCTCCGTAACCGAAGGAATTGATCGAGGCCCGCCTCAATCCGCTGCTTGGCCACGGAGTATTAGACGTGGGAAACTGCGAATCATGTCGTAAGATTCTCCTACATGTACTCAAAGCCAAATCCTTACCTTGAGTTTCCATTGCTTTGCTGGAATCTTTGGATTGACTTTCTCCATCCAAATGTTAGGAGGGATATTGCCTGTCTCCAACACCAGAATGGTCTTGATTAGTCCAGCCAAACCACTTGAACCTTCAAGATGCCCTATGTTGGATTTGATTGCCCCGACGATGAGTGGTTCGCCATCATCTTTTGTTCTAGCCTCAGCAAAAGTCGCTGCTATGGCTCCAGCTTCCAGAGGGTCACCGGCCGCTGTGCCAGTACCATGTGCTTCAAAGTATCTGCTTTGCCCCAGCTCAAGTCCAGCTTTGGCATATGTTTCCCTAATCAAGGATCTTTGTGCTTCTTGGCTGGGAAGCGTAATGCCTGGTGTGCGGCCATCTTGGTTGACACCTGTTCCTCGCACCACGGCACGAATTGTGTCGCCGTCACGGATGGCACTGGAGAGCCTTTTTATAATCACCGCCCCGAGCCCTTCGACTCGAGCGTAACCATTTGCCCGGTGATCAAAAGAGTAACACTTGCTATCAGGGGAAAGGAAGCGCATGGCTGTGGAGGGAACCATCTGGTCGGGATTGTAGAAGAGATTGGACCCTGCTACGACCGCCTGTGAGTGGGATTAGTGAGGCATCAACTTTACGGACTTGGTGATTCTGACCATTTCCGCTTCCTCATGTTGCAGGCTTCGGCAAGCTAGATGGAAAGCTGTCAAGCTGCTTGAACACGCTGTATCGAGACTCATGCTGGGGCCTTTGAGATCGTAAAACCAGCTGACTCTGTTGGAAAGCATCGCCATTCCATTACCCGTTGCCTGATATGCCGAAAGATTCTCCGGGTCTCGACCCAAGAGTCCTTCGTAGTCGCGAGTAAATGCGCCGACGAAACACGCTGTGCGCGAAGACACGTATTTGCTCATAGGAATGCCCGCATTCTCAAAGCCTTCATAGACCACCTCGAGCAGCAAACGCTGCTGCGGATCCATCGTCTTTGCTTCATCGGGAGAGATCGAGAAAAAAGGGGCATCAAAAGCCGATATGTCTTGCTGTAGGTAATGACCACCTCGAAAGTTCACCTGTGTTGCGTTTCAGTTAACTCAAAGCGCCCAAGTTGCGATTTACTTACGGTACCGCCATGATCGGCGTTTGGGTGATAGAATGCGTCGACATTATAACGATTTTGGGGGTCGGCGTAAGAGCTGAGCGCCCATCGCATAATAATTCCCATAGACCTCTGGGGCTTGAAGCGTCTTGAGGGAAGCGAACTGAGATGCCGACAATCACAACAGGATCGTCATCAAGGGGAGCATCCATCTCAACAGGAAATCAAAGCATACAAACGAGCTCCGACGTCCGATCTGAATCTGGATGGAGCAATTGAAGATGTAAGAGGTCTTTGCTGCCATGATATCATATCCTTGTCCTAACCCTTTTAAAGAATCTTCAGATCAGATATCTTCTCGGCCCTCAAATACGACAGAACTCATACCACATCGAATGGACGCGCGACAGCCTCACCCCCCTCATGCCGTCCATCTTGGACTGGCTACACGAGGAAGTCGCAGACAGTTTGGACCAGGCTCTGGGCAAAGATAACCATGACTTCCAGAAAGTCAAAATCTTTCCATTTTCGCTCTCTTTGAATTGCAGAATCGCGGCTAGAATCGTAGTGGGAAAGCCTTTATGCCGGGATGTCAAGTTCCAACATCTTTGCGAGCAGCATTCTCAGTTGCTGGTTGTGCTCAGCATGATTCTCAAGCTTCTTCCAGCCTGGTGCAAGCCTCTGGTCGTGAGAATGTCGCCTATACGGGGAATCCAGCGTCAAATTACTGACTTGGTTCGGCCGTTGGTGCTGGTAAGCTACAGGAAGCTGAAGCAAGGCGATCAAGATTCTAAAGGGACTGCAAGTGAACCACCCGAAGAGCAGTCATTAATGGATTCTCTTGTTCGCACGGCTGTATCTAGGACGCCGTCTTTGACTGCTGAAGAGGACATTGTCCACGAAATCACTATGCGATTTCTGAGCATCTTATTCCTCTTTTCGGGGAGTCCGACACTGACGGTTGCGAACATGGTTCTTGACCTTGTCAGCGAGCCACGGGAGCTATACTTCGATGCTCTACACTCAGTGATAACGTCTGTAGTCGAAAAGTACGGCGGCAGATGGACGTTGGAGAATATCAAGGAACTTGACCTCACAGACAGGTAAGTAGGCTGGGGTGCCTCGAAGACTTCAACTGCCTGTTAATAAAGTATATAGCTTTATTAAAGAGTCGATGCGCTTACGTCCAGCAGCTTTTACCATCGCCGGCCGCAAAGTCATCAATCCTCAGGGATACACTCTCCCAGATAACTCAGCCACCGTGCCATTTGGCTCCTATTTGACTCTTCCCATGTACGCCATACATCATGACCCAAACCACTACCCTCCTCGAACTGAAGACGGGTCCGAATTCGATGGTTTTCGGTTCAAGGCTACGGAGAACAATGAAGCTGTGCCACTTGTGGGAAGTAGTGAAACATTTCTGTCTTGGGGTGCCGGCCGTCACATCTGGTAAGCAAGTCTTTTTCCTCTTCAGCGTCGGAGTTCTGCTTTTTAACATACTGTTATTAGTCCCGGCAGATTTGCAAGTGCTGCCATACTCAAAATGTGCCTAGCTGAACTGATCCAAAAATGCGATTTCAAGCCTCGTAATCGGATATCCGATGTCACGTTTGCGAATATTTATGTACCGAGCAAGACACTGACGGTGGAGATGCGGAGGCGGAACTCAGCGTGAATAGAGAGGGCATCAAACACATAGACTCTACCTTAATATTTAATGAATAATAGAACAACTGCCATATTCATGGGCCAACGAAGTAAGGGGGCAGAACTTCCCGCTGTTCGTCTAGGTCACAACCACAGACTTGACTAACATACCAGGAGACAGGTAGAGCCATATCGGCTCTACTGCCGTTTCTCCAACCTGAGATACCGTCCTCTGTGTTGCTGTTTGCCGCATTTCTACTCCTTCTTTCTTAAGTTAGTGGCAGACCCGGCCGGTTTTTTTCTTTGACCCTGATGCGAGTGTCAGTTCCAATGGATTCATAAGCACTAGAATATAGCAATACCATGCATACTGTCGATCTAGAACCCCTTTTTGCAGGGTTGTCTGCCCGCTCACCTTAGAGGTACTCGTATTATCGCCGACGTGTAACCTGCATATTTTTCAAGGCGATTTATATTCCCCGGTGTAGCGGTGTAAGTGACATGGAACGTCTCATTACAAGGTCCAGCACATCCGCCTTGATAACATGAAGTGCCCCCTACCGCACCCATCAACTACGAGTACATGTATGGATTCTGTATGGCATATACCGTCGTGAATCAACATCATAACGATTGGAGATTTGGTCAATGATACATTACCACACAGTATGGCTGCGATTGACGTTGAAACATTCACTACTGGCCAGATCGGCTTATGGAATGGAACACAGGACGGCAAGGATGGCATCGTCGACTACAAGAAGGGCAAGCAAGCGCCGAGACGAATCTCCTGTTTCCACGAGATGTGGACATCACGGTCCAAGACATGCGATATCTGAGTCCTTCACCGGCACTCATGAAGAATGGATATCAGCTCATCACAAGTCCAACGGTCATATCCGATCAAGACTTTGAAACCGCTGATTCAACGACCAAAGGCCTCATCGAGAGCGATTATTACGAAGAAGTAGGCAAAGTAGTTCGAGAGATGACGCAATCTGACCATGTGTTCCCGTACAACTTCGAGACTCGAAACCAACAGGCCAAGGTGCAGGACTACTTGAGGGACGCAGTGACCAGCCAGGACCGCGACCTGTTGCCCACGTTGACAGAGACCTACCCAATGCCATTGTATCGCTGCAATGCGCTCTGGGCAAGGACAAAGCCGACAACCTCTTAAAGCGACACAAACGGTGGGCGCAGGTCAATCTCTGGAGACCCATCGGCCGACCAGTTGTCAAGTGGCCTCTCGTCTTTGCGAACCACGATGCGATTCCAGACTGGGACTACGACACGCACATGGCCCGCGTCTACAGCGTCAACGATCCCCGTATCGCCGACCGAGGGGGCAAGAGTCACAACTGCATCTTGATCGACGACGAGCGGTACGCTTACCATTACGCGAGCAACGTCGCTCCGGATGAGGCGCTGGTGTTTTTCTCGTTTCACTCGGATCCCAAGATGGTGCTGCCGCATGGAGCGTTTTGGGACAACAAGACGCCAGACGATGCGCCGCCGAGGCGATCCCTGGAGGTGCGATGCTTTGTATTTTTTGACGATGATGTGGTATGAGGAGAACGGAGTGTAGGTGATTGATAGCTGGATTAAATAGTAGATACAAGGTGAAAGCGGGACTGAATTAAAAAGTAGCATGCATTTGCTTCGATTACAGCGCCCATCTGCCAGGATAACGTGATATTTTGATCACGACTGTAGATCGATATAGCCGTTTGTATATAATTCTGACAATTCATCTATTGCAAGACAATTTGCTCTTCTCATCCATAGACTTCATTTATCAATACAGTGCGATAACACAGTGCTAATTAACAGCACTGTATAAGCTCCAGTGGCCACCTATGACGAAGGTCCCGCTAACACAAGGGCGACGGCACCGCGTATCGTCACCAGCAAAGAGAGCTTCGAACAACTTGGAACAGCTGCCTCCACCTCGAAGAATTGGCAATGGCAGACGCAGATGAAAAGGAGCGCCAGAAGCAGGAGAAGCTTGCAGCCGCGAGGAAGCGCGTGAGGATCCCGCCTCGTTCTTAGCTACCCTGTCTGGGTCCATCAAGGTATATGTTGGCTGACACGGCTTTCTCTAGGTCGAGCAAATGAAGAAGAAGAAGAAGAAGGATGCGTCCTCCACAAAGGCAGAGCCCAAGGGCGAAGCAGATGCATCCGCTGCCGACACTATTGAGGATACCCCAGAGCAACTCCAGCAGAGCCCGGCAGATGACAGCGCCATCGCAGACGACAAGGCTACCGAAGATGACAAGGCTGCCGAAGAGCCCAAAGTCGACGAAGAAGCAAAGAATGGGGAAGAATCCAAGGCTGAGGAAGAACCTTCAGAAAAGGCTGTCGAGTCGCCCCCCTCCTCCGACACACCATCCCTTGCGCAGCAATCAAAGCTCAGGTCCACCTCCTTCCGCGCCGGCTCGATCGTAGGTCCAGGACCAATGTCGCCTGGACCATTCAGTCCCGAGGGTGACACAGCCCCCGATATCTACAGAAAGCATGTGGCTAGAATCGAAGAGTTGGAGAAGGAGAACAAGCGACTCGCAAAGGACGCAACCGACTCGGAGAAGAGGTGGAAGAAGGCAGAGGAAGAATTGGCTGATTTGCGCGAGTCTGACGGCAAAGAAAGCAAAGATGGTCAAACAGAAAAGCTGGTATGTGGAAGAGAGAAAGAGAATCGTCCCTTTTATGCGCAAAGATTTACAATACTTACTAACGGCGTCGTAGAAGGAGGAGATTGCGTCTCTACAGCGCCAAAACTCTCAACTACAACAGCAAGTGTCTCGCACCTCTGGCCACGCACATCGACAATCAGTGTCAATAAACTCTCCCCCTCCGTCACTCCAAGCTGAACTGGACGCCAAGTCAGCCACAATTGAGTCCATGGAAATCGAACTATCAAAGCTCAAGGCTCGTGTCGAGCGGCAGGAGAGCGGGGCATCGTCAGAAAAGGAGCAGGTCGCCGCACTCGAAGACAAGCTTGCCCGCGCTGAAGCCGCAGCTGGCAAAGCTCAGCGGGAGTTGCAAGACTTGAAGAAGAACCTCGAGCGGACCACCGAGAAGGCCGTCCGCGAAGGCAGTGAGCGAACTAGCGCTGAGACAAAGGCGAAGACGTTGGAACGCGAATTAGACGAAGCAAACAAGGCGAAGGAGGAACTGGAGAAGAAGGTTGAGGCACTTGACAAGAAGGTCACAACATTGACTACGCTGCATAAAGAGCAGGATGCACGATCACAGACTCTAAGAAAAGACAAGGAGAAGGCAGAAAGCGAGGCCCAGGAGCTGCGGTCCAAGGTGGAAAAGCTAGAGAGCGAAAACGCCAAGCTTGCAAGCCGCAAATCAACAGAAGGCGGTGGCGGCCTCGATGACGAAGGCGTTGATGAGCTCGAAGACGAGGGCAGGCTCAAGCTCGAGAAGAAGATTCGCAGCCTCGAAGCCGAGATTCACGAGCTTCGCAGCGGTGCCTGGATCGAGAGACGGCGCGAGATGGAAGCCACCAGTCCCGGCTTCGACGACGTAGATCTCTCGGGCAACAACTACCCCCCTGCACACAAGAAGGGCTCAACAGGTGGCATTGGCGACTTTATTGCACACGGCCTGAATGCTCTGGCAGGAGGAGGTGATGACGAGCTGCTGGCTGATGACGACGTGGAATTCGACGAAGAGGCTTTCAGAAAGGCGCACGAGGAAGAGGCCAAGAGGCGGATAGAGAGAATCAAGGAGATTAAGCGGTCGCTGAAGCATTGGGAAGGATGGAGGCTGGATGTTGTGGATGTGCGGAGAGGTGGAGGGCAAGGAATTGGAGATATATTTGACATTTAGTCACTAGCTTCTTCTCTGATTTGACAATACGAATAAATGAAGACAGATGCATTTCAAGTCTTCTCGAACCTCGTTCAGTGAAATGCTATACCCAGGCAAGTGAAGGTCGGAAAAAGCGATACCGGTAAATGAATAAGTACATACATCTGGTAATATGAGCACCTAATCAACTCGTCAGGAGTGCCCTTACAGGGAAACGCCTATAGTATTCAGCCAGCACCCGAATTTTTTATATAAATATAGTAGCAGTTATTAGGGAAATGTAGACATAGTAGCAGTTATTAGGGAAATATAGATATAGTAGCCGTTATTAGGGAAATGTACCCGATCTATAGATATAGCAGCTACTCCCTTTGTAGGCGTATGATTCAACTCGTGGGTGTTCGATATGTTCTCGGTCTCGGTTTTTCTGTCCCCCGCTTGCCAGGGTATCTCCTTGATCAAAGTGACACAACAAGACCAAATTCCAGCTGACCAACCGTACAGTAAAGACACTCGTATAAATCCGCCATCCGTTAGATATATCGCAGGCTGCTCAGTTCAACAGCGTCAAGGAAATAAATAAACAACCATCCCAGCCGTGACGACCAACAAGGCAAAAGCCGCGAATTCATAATACCGCTGATGCCAACCCCAAGACTCGCAATGAGAACGTTATCAATGGCGCAGGGTTATTTAGCGATTTGCTGCTGCTGCTGCTGCCCATCTCGCTCAATGAGTCGCTAACGAACCCTGCATCATTGATAACGTCCTCATTGCGAGTCGTGATGTCGGAATCATCGGCATCCCATTATCGACAGCTTTCGCCTAATATTGGTCGCTGCGGAGGACTGATCGTAAAAAAATGTCGGAGGTTTAAGTTGCCTTGGTATGTGTGTGCGTAGCTCGCAGCCTTTATATACCTCGATAAATGAGCGCAATGTTGCTCATGGAACCCCCTGTGGAATCCTTGCCGAACTTTATTGCTTGCCATAAACTCTATTGCTTAGGTCCAGAACGAGAGTCGTTGAGCCATCACTGAATCCGGTGAGTTGGGCCTACAGAACGGTGGGCTTTGATATCGCTGCGGTGTTTCTGATGAGTAAAGTGGCTTACTGATGCGGTAGCGCCCTTTAAAGTCATTGTGGCCGAAAACTTCATGTTAGCAGTCCAAAACGCTGTGAAGTGTTAAGAGTTGAAGTGCATGTTGAATATGCCAAGTGACATCATCGGTCGTGTAAAATATGTAAGCGGGGAGGGGAGTAAAAGCTTCATTCAACTTCCATCTCACAGTTTCCCATCTCCACTTTGCGTGGCTTTCTCTCTCTCTCATCTCCAATCCCCAAGCAATGGCATCGGGTCAAAAGACGTTCCTCATCACCGGCGCCGGGCGGGGCATCGGCCGGGGTCTATCCCGGATTCTGCTCCAGACCGGCCACCGGGTCTTCCTCCTAGATAGCAACAAGGCCGAGCTGGACCACACCGCCGGGCTGCTGGCTAAATCACACCGGCGCGGACAGGACTTCGAGACGGCACTATGTGACCTTCGACAGCCGCGGGAGATTAGCGCGGCGGTGCAGCAGGCGGACAAGCTGTTTGCGAGCCGGCTGGATTGTTTGGTGAACAACGCGGCGTACACGGGCGGCGTGGGCGGCACGAGCCTGGCGGACATGACGCTAGAGGAGTGGAACAAGAGCATCGAGACGAACCTGACGGCGCCAATGCTCATGACGCAGGCGTGTCTGGGGATGCTGCGAGCGGCAAGAGGCTGCGTGGTCCACGTCTCGTCCACCCGGGCCGTCATGAGCGAGCCCAACAACGAGCCCTACTCGACGACAAAGGCCGGGATGCTGGGCCTGGCGCAGAGCATGGCGGTTTCTCTGGCGCCGGACGGCATCCGCGTGAGTGCGGTGCTTCCTGGCTGGATTCACGTCTTGAACGAGAGCCGCGAGGCGGATGAAAAGGGCGTCAAGTGGGAGGACGGCTTGAGCGAGGCGGACATGAGGTGGCAGCTTACGGGGAGGGTAGGAAAAGTGGAGGACGTTGCAAAGGCGGTGCTGTATCTGGCGGAGAGCGAGGGCGTGACGGGGGTGGAGATGGTGGTGGATGGAGGAGTGACGAGGAAGATGGTGTATCCAGAGTGATGGACATGTGGACAAGATACGGGATATCCGGGGGAGGAGGGGAGAAGCGTGTGGGGGATTTGACAGGTCACAGTGGTGGTACAATATTCGAGGACATCATCTCCTGATATTGGAGGAGGAGAATCAGAACCGGGCCGACACAAAACAACGAGCCAAGCTTCGGTGCAACAAGATGAGAAATACCAGCGTGCAGCAGGCGATCATGACGACGGCGGAAGACTCGGTGCTGCTCCCCCTTGCATCGCCTTGCATCACTCACGCGAGAAACGAGAAGAGGGGAGGGAAATTAAAGCACAGCTGCATTGCTGCATCTCCAACATTTCCTCATTCGGCATGCGACAGGGAACCCCGCACGCGGCGCATGGTTTGGTGTGCTTGTTTACAGCAGCTGGTTATTTGCTTGGTCGCGCGGCTGAGCCCGGATAAAGGGATGTGTGTGTGTGTGGTGGTGCATTGCGCGAGTTTGGGGGAGAATCAGGAAGTTGGAGAAGAAGAGGACAAGTTGGCGTTTATTTTGGTGTTGAGCCTCAAGACAGCAACACAAGCACTGATGATCGCCTGTAAGCTGTACCGTACTGTACTGTACTTGCTATTGACGTCAGTTGCTGCTCCATATTAAATGACCAAGTAAGGGTAGCAAAAGACAGGCTCCTACATCGGCGTCAACCGAGACTTGCCATTCAAAACCCACGCCCTGCTGTATGCAAATCACCCTGCTGGAAGCAAGTAATAAAATCTCGTCGAGTTAGTAATAACCTGTCCCTTGCAGTGGATCCTCCAACTGTGGGGGAGACACACACACACACACAAAGACAAGGCAAGGACAAGGACAGGCGCGTGGGAAAACGGAGAAGCTGGACTTGGAGTAGTATTACGGCTTAAAACATCCGATACGAGGCGAGGGGCAAGAGAGAGAGAGAGAAACACCTCGCTTGTTACTCGAGTTTGCTGTCCAGAAGACGCATTGGAATATTGTAGACAATACTGCAGCAGACAAAGCATGAAAAAGATCTTGTAATAGTTCATAGTAATATCAGCATCGCCGTAGTCTGAAATTATGGGCTTCTCATGGGTCCAGCTCCGTTTGTCGGCGCCCGTCATATCGATATCGACTAATTGATAACGACGATTGCTTCTCTCAATTCTTTTTTTTTTCTCTCGCGTCTCTCTTATTCCCGGTCTCGTTGGCTGTCACTCTCTAAAAGGGTATGTATGCGTCACACAATTAGACATATAAACCCCCATCGATCCCGTCCTCATTTGCTAACCTCGACGTTCTTCCCCCTCAGCAGCGTTGTACTATAATCGAAAAAGTCGATCTCCGTTCGGCTCCCCGCGCGTTCTCCGATCCGTGTTGCTGCACCCCACCTTTTGATCGCATCGCATCGGCTATCGTTGTGCTTCGGCTTCGCCACCAAAATAAACAGCTTGAACCAACAGCTTGGTCGCAACAACGCCTCCGGTTTCGCCTTTGATATACGCGCTGTCGCAAGACAGAATCAGCATAAAGCGAATCATACGGAACAAGATTCAATCATAAAAAAGAAGAGAAAAGAGGAGGAATACAACTAGCTACCTCTGGCATCTCCCAGCTATACCATAGATCGTCCCGCTATCAGCTTCATCTTTTGCGACAGTTACCTCGGGAAACACAACTCCCGCGCCAACTATACCGAGCCTCTTGGTCCAAGGCTAAGCAGCCTCTTATTATTGAAATAACCTATTCAAATCCCCTTCTTCCTCTCCCCTTTTTCGCCCATCATGAGTGCAGCTCCTCGCCTCCTCGCCTCCCTCTCCCGCCGCGCCGCCCTCCGTCCTCTCCAGCCTCTCCGACCTCTTCGACCCTCCTTTGGCGCTGTCCAGACTCTGTCCATGGCCGCTCGCACCATGGCCACCGCAAGCAAGATCAAGGTCCAGAACCCCGTCGTCGAGCTGGACGGCGACGAGATGACCCGCATCATCTGGCAGAGCATCAAGGACCGCTTCATCTACCCCTATCTCGACATTGACCTCAAGTACTACGACCTGGGGCTCGAGTACCGTGACGAGACAAACGACCAGGTCACTCTGGATGCGGCCGAGGCCATCAAGAAGTACTCTGTCGGCGTCAAGTGCGCCACCATCACCCCTGACGAGGCCCGTGTCAAGGAGTTTAACCTCAAGCAGAGTAAGTTGCTTTCTCCTGAACTCTTGTAAATTCTTCTTATAGACTCCTCTAATTCATGTTCTAGTGTGGCTCTCTCCCAACGGCACCATCCGAAACGCTCTCGGCGGCACCGTCTTCCGCGAGCCCATCGTCATCCCCCGCGTCCCCCGTCTCGTCCCCGGCTGGAAGCAGCCCATCATCATCGGCCGTCACGCCTTTGGCGACCAGTACCGCGCCAAGGACCTCGTCATCCCCGGCCCAGGCAAGCTGAGCATGGTCTTCACCCCCGAGGGCGGCAAGCCCGAGGAGGTTGAGGTCTTCCAGTTCAAGCAGGGCGGCGGCGTCTCCCAGACTCAGTACAACACTGACGAATCCATCACCGGTTTCGCCCACGCCTCGTTCAAGCTGGCCTTGGACAAGAAGCTGCCCTTGTACATGAGCACCAAGAACACCATCCTCAAGAAGTACGACGGCCGCTTCAAGGACATCTTCCAGGAACTCTACGATGCCAAGTACAAGTCCGAGTTCGAGGCGAAGGGCATCTGGTACGAGCACCGTCTGATTGACGACATGGTCGCCCAGATGATCAAGAGCTCTGGCGGCTACATCATGGCTCTCAAGAGTAAGCATTCTCTCTCTTTCTATCTCCCTTGATTCAAAGAAGGAGCAAAATGACTGACTTTTCTTCTTCTTCCTCCTCCCGCAGACTACGACGGCGACGTCCAGTCCGACATTGTTGCCCAGGGCTTCGGCTCCCTCGGCCTCATGACCTCAGTCCTCATCACCCCCGACGGCAAGACCTTCGAGTCCGAGGCCGCCCACGGCACCGTCACCCGCCACTACCGCGAGCACCAAAAGGGCCGCGAGACCTCCACCAACCCCATCGCCTCCATCTTCGCCTGGACCCGCGGCCTCGTCCAGCGCGGCAAGCTCGACAACACCCCCGAGCTCGTCGCCTTTGCCGAGAGCCTCGAGAAGGCCTGCGTCGACACCGTCGATGTTGATGGCATCATGACCAAGGATCTCGCCCTGGCGTGCGGCAAGACTGGTCGTGAGGACTATGTTACTACGAATGAGTACATGGATGCCGTTGAGAGGAGGCTCAAGTCTATGCTTGGTGCCAAGCTGTAAATTGGGAATTGATATCTCGGTTTACTAAGACGATGAGCGTGATTTGACACAAAGAGAAATAAAACATTAACCAAATCTCTGCTAGGATAGAGAGAGGAGTAAAAAAACAACAAGGAAGATGATGTATAAAAGAGGGGACGAATGAGCGCAATTGTATACCACTATGTATCAAGTATTTCTATAGAGATGTCATGTACATAGAATTGTTTTGTTCAAAGACCATTTGTTGAGTTGTCTAGAAATGAAACACAGCGTTGACGAAGCAAAGCAAAATCATTCATCACGACAAGTCCAATATTATTGTCTCGGTTTCGTGTGTACAAACTACAGTCATCACTTCACTTTATATCAACGTAGACTGATTCCTCATGGTTTGAATTTTCCTTTTTGCTAGAATACATCTATTATTACCAACACATTCGAGTTTTTTAGGGAATAAAAACGAAAAATGAAAAAATGAGAGCGGCATGAAGAATTACACGTAAAGTAAAAAACTTTCCGACAGGTTTCCCTCAAAGAGGGCATCCAAACACATCCGCCCCCTCAAAGCCCGAGGTTTTCATTAGCCTCCTTTGATTCCTCCGTTATCCTCTGACTCTGACAAATGCAAAAGTTGGTTGTTTTTTGTTTTGAGAAACAACCTCGTCGCTTTGTTTCCATGCCCATTGGCAGGATAACAAAGAGGCGACAACAAATCTGCGAAAGAAGAAGAAAATGCAATCCCGACTCCTTCCAGACGTTATGAATAGAGCCGAGACCAGATAGTAGCATAAACTTTGATGATGACGCATATGCCGTCATGGCTGCGCAAATAACCATATCTCTCAAGTGCATAATCCCCAAAGAAATGATCATCAGGAAACTCCTTATTCGTCCTTGCTCGCTGCCGCAGCGTCCTTCTTGGATTTACGCGCCGTGGGCGTTGCCTCGACATCGCTCTTGCGCTTCTTTTTAGTCGGCCGGCTCGAAGACCCTCTAGGCTTGTATCCGGTATCGTCGTCCCTCTTGCGCTTGCTGCTGCGGGCTGCGGGTGTCGCTCCGAAATCGCCATCGTCGTCCATGCTGGCATCGCCGTCTCCGCGCTCAGCCGCAGCACTGAGCCGCGCAGCCGCGCCAGCCTTCTTGCCCTTGCCGCTGGCTTTACTGCCGCCACGCTCGCCTTTAGCACTTCCGCGTGGCTTTCGCGCGCTGGCGTGACTGCTTCCACCGCCAGCGCCCGTGCCAGCCCCCGCGGCCTCGTCGTCGCCATCGCCATGCGTCTCTCCGTCTTGGAGGAAGATCTTTGGTGCATGTTTCCGCAGCCAATTTGTGACACTAGTAGGGTTCTTGGTCTGAGGATTTGAAGGGGGACGCGCAATGGGGTGGGCGAGCGGCGCCATCGTGGGCAGGGTCGAGTCAGGGTCGATTCCAGTATCGACGAGGTAGATGTAGTCGTCAATATCGTCGGCGGACAGGAAATGTGCAGGATGGGACTCGCCATCGGGAGCACCCAAGTCGGCAAGGAACGAGGATTTGGTCTCTTTCGCTGAGTCATAAGTCGAATGGGGGATGTCGCTGAGCATCTGCTCGAGTTTCTTCATGGCAGCCTCCTTATCCTTGCTGCGATCACGGTCCATGGGCAAGCAGAGGGCGTTGTCGTCTGAGGGAGGCTTGAGAGACAGGTCTATCCGTCGGTCTGTGGGAATCTGCGGAGAATTGTTGACTTCGAGGAGAAGGTCCAGTAGCCGGCTGCAGGTAGGGAATGACGGGTTAGAATGTAATTCCGAACTGGTGATGATTAAGAACAGCAAGAATTGCACATACTCATTCTCTATGGCCAAGCGCTTCACCGTGTTGGCAGCCTTGGCCTCTTGCTTGTGCAGCTCCTCGCACTCGTGCATCTTGTGGTCGAAGACGATACGCATCTTCCGATACTTCTTTTTCCACGATTTGTAGCCCGCTGGCCTCCGCTCGGAGCCGCCGTCGGCTTTGGCTGGGGAATCAGCCATCGCGGCGGCTGGATGGGGGTGGATTGGCAGGGTTGATGAAGCTATCGTGAATGTAGTGCGGAATGCGCGATTCCGGCGTTGGTTCGAGAACAGTCGCGCGATGTATCCGGAGCAACAAATGCGTTTTCAAAATGAACGACTATGAGTTCGTAGCAGGCCCAAGAAGAGACGTGTTGGCCGATGGCATTGACGATGGAAGAGGAAAAAGAAAGGAAGAGAGAGAGGTCGTTAACGCATTATGACAGAAAAGAAAAAAAAAGTGGGTGGTAACGAAAGGATGAAGCGTCAAAGGAGGCTGATGGAAAAGCAAAGGGGCGTTCGGCGCGATGCTCTTCGTTAGCATCAATTCATTGGATCAACCGACTCGATCAAATTCAATTTTTGCCCGTCTTGAGACGCGCTGGAGGTTGGCGCTACTGGTGAGTGCTGCAGGTGCTCCAGGGCCTGCACAGGCACTAGAGGGCGCTGTTTCAGCGGCACTTCGATGCAGCTCGTGTCATTGAGGCGACGCCAAGCTGCAGTAGCGTCCGTCCGTTGGCCAATTTGTATGCACAGCTTCCAACGCTGCAATTACAGGGTAACAACGCAAACATTCAATGAATTACGGATGACCAAGAGACCAAATTCACATGGATGCGTTCATCAGTATTGAGTATAATCAATTACTACGCTTGATGTTAATTAGCAGGTATTTTATTTCACATTTTTACATCTTCAACACAGACAATGGTTATCCTTATGAGCCTTGCTTCTTTCTTCGTTGGCTCTTCTAATATTATTCATCCATTACTGTATATGCTTTACATAGTGCTCAACAACACCACATTTTGAACCTAATATCAACTAACCCGCCATTGTTATTGTTTCCTTTGCCTGGCCCCTATCATTGTTATTTCTGTTGCTTTCCATCTGCTGTAAATGCAACTCATCCCAATCGTCTCTCATCAATTACGATGATACCTCCTTGCCCAGCCTCTCCAACTCTTCGCTGATGAATTGTGAAGCGTTAATCATCTCCGTGCTGCCATATACCACCCGCTTGCGGGCACGATCTCCGCTTGTTCTGCTAACCCACTCGTGCAGGTTTCCATATTCCTCCATGCTGCCGCCGCCAACTGTGAAGACGACCGCTTCACTAAAGCCCTGACGTCGTTGTCCAAAGCTTGCTGTTTGGCCAGCTTGTGATCCCGGGAGGCCGCCCGGTGCACTTCCTGCCCCGCCGGATCGGATGGCGCTCGGTGGTGGCATGGTACCTCGCGCATTGGCAGAGCGAGGATCAAAGTACAGGTAGTTCTCCGTCTTGGCAATTGCCGAAGATGAGGCCGTGGAGGGCTCCATAATAGACTCGACAATCTTGGTAATCGTGAGGTCACGATCCGCTGGTAAAAAGTTCTTAACTCCGCTAATCAGAGAATCAAAGTTCGATGTGAGGCCAGATGGGACACCAGTCTCCTTGAGGCGGTCCGTCAAGCGGGAGGAAATGGAAGAAAATCGTCCAAATAGGTCAGACGAAGCGGCTTGCTGGTTGGAGTTGTTGTTGATGGTGGTCAGTTGTGTCATCTTGGTAGTAGCCCGTACCCTGACTCATTGTTAGCAAACAAACCCGTAACTATAGTTGCTGGAAGAGATTTGCAACTCACTGTCGAACGTAGGACAGAGATGAAACATCTGCGCCCGCTGCTTCGAGAGCCTTCTCAAACGACTCAAAATCGGCCCGCCCGACTTCTTGTTCCGTGCTCAGGAACCAAATGATAAACAGCCGTAGCTTGTCTGTTGGATTGTTGCCCTTATTCTCGTCCTTGATGATTTCCAAAATTTGAGCCTTTGTTTGCTTCATAACGTTTTCCTCCGTCTGGAAGTAGTTATCCAGCTGTCGATCCTTGATACCAGATAATAATGCTGCCAGAATGTTCATGTGCATGTCTAGAATGCTTTTACGCTCCCGCATCTCTGGCAACAATGTTATCGCAGCCTTGAGGTGCTGTGCGCTGGCACTCGTATCGTTTTGCAAGTCTTCCAAGCTCGACACTCCCGTCGTCTTCGTGATGGCAGCTGTTTCCTCCTTATACTTGGTTAATTCTGCGTCGATATCTTCTGCCACCTGCGGGAATGGGACGCCGGCATTCTTGATCCAAAAGAAATCGTTGGCGGTCAAGTCGTAACCCTTCTTTGATGTGCCCTTGGCGGGGTTGCTCTCATCAACTGGTGACTCGATTGTGATGCGGTTGAGTTTGATAGAGAGAACATCGTGTACAAGAGATTGATACGTCCATGAATGCGACAGCATGGGTATCAAGTCAACGTTGCGGTCGAGGAGGATAAGTACGGGCCTAGAACTTGGAGTGCCGGCTGCCGTAGGTCGCGCGTTGGAGAATAGGTTGTCTTTTGAGTTTAGAATATGATCTCGGAGCTTGCGGTCGAGCCGTTGCGCAACCATCTCTGCGGCGGCACCCTTGGGGCAGCGAATGATTGGAATAACGCCTAGAACGATGCAAGTCAACATATGGATCCTCTCTCAATATACTCAATTGTCTCGACTCACCCATGGTCACCACTACACTGAAAAGTCCACTGACGATCCTATCCACCACCGCATCCAGCTCGGCATCGCTTGTCTTTGCACTGTTGAGAGCCCAATATGTGTGCTCGTTTTGCATCCCCAAGCTGAAGAGATCCGGCTCGGCAACAATAAAGTTTAGATATTGGTCAAAAAGCTGCGCGATCTTGTCCGATGTCCCTGCTTCAGCCGTTTGTGTGGCGAATTCTTCTAGCAGGACTCGAGGAAGAGAGGACAGGAAGTTGACGTAAGCTGGTGAGTATAGTCCTTTTTGTAAATCTTCAGTCATGAGCTGTAGGTTCCGCGCATTCGGCTCGAGCAGATATATGACTGGGACGTCGGGTATGGGATATCGCGGAGTGCCGATATGCCTGTGTGGCGAACAATTAGACGCGGTCTCGCATTGTCGTAGACATCAAACAGGTGAAACTAACATGTGCATTGTCACCCCCATAGAGCGCAAGTCGCTGACGCGCATGACACTGCTGATGACATCTCTGCCAAGGTCATCAAAGACGAGGACTTTCCAGATGGGATTTCCTTCAGCGTCGAGAATCGGGGCAACGGGGGCCAGCAAGCCGTTGGCGTGGGCTTCTTCTGTCTCGCTCGATTCGATGGTTTCGTTGAGGTTGAGGATCTTTTTGAGAGACGCTGCGGCACACCAGGTTGTCAGAATTGGATACCGCACACAATGCTAGCCACGCATTTCTCACCTATCTGGCGATCCCGCAGAGAGTTGGCTTTGGATGCCATGGTTGGAGGGAGCTTGAGTTGTCGTATTTAAGCAGATACGTAGGTACGGGGAGTAATCTCGACTTGCGAGGCAACGCAATGGGAGACGGTCGAGGACTCGCTCGTTGCTCCACAACTATGGCAGGATCGAATCAATCGTTGGCACACATGCGCATGCAATCGCCGAGCACAAAAGAAGAGAAATCCGCAGCCAAACGGAGTTTGCGCCGATTGTTGATCAGAGTCTGAGCTTGAGGCCACGATATCGAATTACCCCCCCAAAGCCAGCTGCGAAACGGAGCTCTCCCGCTATAACTGCCCCCAGCAGGTCACTGACTTGCACGCTAAGAACACCTGCCAGGCGGTAGCTGCTGTGTCGCGGACCGACTGAATGGCCGAGCTGCCGTTCCAACATTTGAGCCTTCCAAGGTGGAGCTCCACTATGACATGCCCCCGGCAAAGCACGATTCCGGGCGCGTTGGTGCCTGACTTCTGGGGCGGCCAGCCAGCACAGCTTGTCTACCAAACACGACTTTTTACAAGCATCGACAACGCTCCGTCAACATCAATCTCCCGTTCCCATCGGGTTGCGACAAGTCCAGCATCGGCGCCATCGAGGAACCGCGTGTCTAGACCTCTGGCGCTTCGAGAAGAGGGAATTCGCGACCAATAACTCCCGCGACGGCACTTTTCTGTTGTTTCCCACCCCCCTTACTTTCCTGGTGCGTCTTGCACGGCTGGGAGAGGGCGAGCTACGTGTTCGCCTCCGGATAATACTGTAAACACCTGGCGGCAAAGGGGGCCATGAAGTTTCTGTTTCTACCGAGTACGAGTACAGAGTAGGCTGTGAACAGGATAGAAATCAATCTGCTGCGTCAAGTGCAGCAGCCGCAGGGTATGCCCACCTCCAATCCCCTCCTCTAGCACTCATTTCCCCGATTCCTGTCTGCGGCACGCAACATGCAAGCCCCTTCATCTTCTTCCCGAGAGCGGTTTTCTTTATCTTCTTTCTTTGCCTGCGCAAGCATCTGTCTGGTGTTGGCGCGGCCATGATGTTGGAGCGGCCCTTTTTGTATCGCGTGACGGCCATGATCAAAATCCATGGGCCGCGCTCTCTATAATCCTTTTGTTACCATTAAAATGCGAGACGTTGAGCAAAGCGACTTGCGCGGCCTCGGCCTTGAATGGTGTTGGACATGGGGCCTCTCTGTAAAAAATCAGGGAGCTCCCAGCCGCCAAGAGGGTGTGTTATTGAGGCCTGACGAGCAGTGTTCCGCCGTGCCTGCATCCTAGCCGCGCCCGGGTCTAGATGTGAAAGGCTGCGAGATGTCGGCAAGGCGATTAAAGTACCGTGTCGTTGCGCCTTGTCGCAGCCCATCGGCAGGTTGCCAATCACGCGACGCCCACCTTGGGCTGTCGTGGCGGCGTCACTTGGAGGCTCTGGGGATGCCTTTTGTCACAACCGGGATCGGGACATGCCTGCTCTCCGTCTGTCAGCACTCCGACCGGCATTTAAAATGGGAAAGGAAAAAAAAAGAGAAGAAAACAAGAAGAGAAAAAGAAGCTATTTCGAAAATCATCTTCCAATTATTTTCGATCCAAGCAGCTCTTTTTCTTTTTTCTTGTCCTTAATCCGCCTGGCGCCTTGTCACCTTGATGGCGGCACACATGCTCTATGTTTGCTTGCCTTGCCGATCCTTGGCTAGCGACGGCGCTCCACCCTCTGTACTGGCAACTTTTACCTTTTCCATCAATGTTTCGCGTCAAATTGCAGACTGGCATCTCGTCTCGCCTTTGTTCTGCTCAGCTGCGTCATACCGCCGACAGCTTCATTTTTCATTTTTCATTTTTCATTTTCCTTTCCCGCATGAAGCCATCGCAGTTGTCTTCAATCCATCTCACCTTCATTCTTCTCTGCAAAATGCTAACCCACCCTCTTTTTCTTTCAACAGAACTCGCCCTACCACCCCTTGTCCATGCAATTTGCCCTTTTCCGTACTAGCGCTCTGCTGCCGAACTCTGCCGACAATCTCCCGCTAGGCCTCGAGTGGCTTGTGCCAAGTACCGTCACACATCAAATTCTTCGGGTGAGTACTTAGAGCTTTGGTTGCACCGCCTCACACCCGCCCTGCAGCACTTCTGCATGAACGCCACAGCCACACCCACGCGACATTCGCAGCAGCTCGCGTTTCCAGCATCGACGTCACATTAACAGACCAGACTTTCCCTTTGTTTTCCCTTGAATGCTGGAGTAAACACAACCAATCATCTCCTCGGTTGCTGATGGAATCCTAATAGTTCTAGAATCTGATCCACCTGTTTTTATGATTTGCGTATGTTGCCGCCTGTACCAGATATAATTGTCCGAAAATGCAGTCCTGGTCTGGCTCCGGCCAGAATGGCGCAAATGATGGGCATAATTCCTGGCAGTCCGGCTACACATATCAAAACCAAGGCAACCAGTTTGATCCTAACCAGGCCTGGCAACAACCGGCAACTGAGCAGGGCTCATACCCTCATTTAAACCAGCAGGACCCATCCACGTCCAACTTCTTTGAAGCGTCCCACCAGGGAAATGCCTTTCTTGCTGGAGGCCTTCACTCCGCTGCCTCCAGCCAAGCCCCGTTCCATGCTGGCCATGGCGCTCTTTCTTTGAACCAACAGTACTCGCAGCCGGGCCAAGATGTGATGGATCCTGCTTTCAGTAATATTCACCCTGATTTATATGGTCACCAGCCAAAGGTCAACCTGGGTGGAGATGGTATTGGCCATATGGGACAGGTTCAGAGCCACCCGCATACGTCAGCTCAGTTCACGCAACATGAATTCGCATTCGCTCCCCAGAACGAGCAGCTGTACGATCCTGCCGTTCCGTTTAACCGCCAGCCTCAGCAAGTGTCTCAGCCAACTCGTCAAGGAAGTCACACTCCCGTCCAGCAGTTTGATAACTTGCAGGGTGGATATCCCCAGGGCCATCAGTTCAGGCAGGCACCGCAATCAGTGCCGGTTCAACACCAACAGCAGCAGCCATATCACCAGGGACAGCCCTTCCCAGCCGCTGTTGGTGGACAGGGTGATCAATACCAGCTTAATAATAATTTGGTCTATCAGCAACCAAATCCTCAGTATACTTCACAGCAAGGATATGCACCCCAAAAGGCAAATGCATATGCTACACCCCCTCAAGGAACGCCCGTACAGCAACAGTCGCAACCGCTTCAGCAGCCTTCCGCGGCATCCTCCAACCATCCGACGCTGGCGACGAATGCCGGTGCTGCTCCAGGTATACAATATGGAGTATCCCAGCAGCCGAACAATAGCGGCATCGTAGCCACCTCTGCTTCTATTGGCCAAACAGTGATGGAGGAGGCGCCAAAGAAAAGGAAGCGCATGACGAAGAGTGCTGCCGAGTCGATAGTTCTGGAGCAGCCGGCATATCCCATAGATTTCCCGGTCGATGCTCTTGGAAGAAGAGGCGAAGAATCCGAAATCCTGTCCGTTCCCGTACCGTCAGAGGAAGAGGCGCAACTCATGGCCCAGTTTGCGAAACGGACCAAGGCTGCACAGATCAAATATCCTTCGATTAATGGACTTCCACACCTTGTGTATGATGGTACTATTAAAATTCCAGGTACGAAGTTGCCAGGCACCATGAGCTCTCTTCTTCCCTGTCTCCCACGTGTAGCTAACATCTTCTTCCTTCACACAGCACCCAAGAGCTATGACAAGTTGACTCCTTGCATTGCGCTGCCGCCACGCCACGACCGTCCCGCGATTCCCGAGCTTGGATACCTGCCTTGCGAAATTCAGGGTAAATTTACCATTCAATATCGGCCATCTGCGGAAAAGGGCGGGTTGGACGAACGACGGGACGAAGCAAGCCAGTTACTGGATGAATACGATCGCTCTATGAATGCTCTCGGTAAACGCAGACCAAAATACACCGAGTATCCACGTATGTTGAAGAAATCCTTGCTTTTTGTGTGACGGTAGACGATACTAACTCAATCTGCAGATGCTTTCAAAGAGCAGCTCAAATCCGACGAAGCTTCGAAGAACAAGGCGGAAAAGAGGGCTAAGAAGGAACAGGAGGATGACCGAGCGAAGCCGGTATGTTATTTCATATTGCTGAGCTGAATGAATTTTGTGCATCGCTAACAATCCCTAGATCCGTTCACCCATCCGCCCAACTGATCCTGCCGAAGCCGCTGCTTGGGATGCTATTGGAATTGTCCATATTGAGGCCTCTGTTGCTCGTACTAATGCTCTTATCGCTGGAAGAGTTCAGCAAGCGGGAGAATTCTTCATTAAGCTCCGTGGCGAAATGAACAAGGCCAAGTTGGATGTGGATGCTGCTGTTAAGAGCAAGGTGCCGGATGCCGAACTTGCAGAACTAAAGCACTTAGCAGAGCAGAAGAAGGAGGCCTTCTACCGCGCCCTCGACGTCACCATTGAGCATGCCGACGACAGCGTCTTGGATAACCTCGGAGGCCACCAGAAATTGGTTCTCAGTCTCGTCAACGCCATGATTTCATCAATCAAAGCAGGCGACTTCTCCGGGAAGCTCCCCAAAGCATTACTGGAAATCTTTACTCATTTCCGCATGACAAAGAAGATTGCCGAGACGACGAATTTTGAAACGGTCAGAAAAAGGTTCGAAGATAAGGGCGACGATGAGGTCAAGGAGATGGCACGCGAAATTGCTGCGAATATGAAAAAGGTTACCAAAACTGCAGAGTCAGAGACGGCCACGGGATACACTGGAACCTCTGCAGCTAGCAGAGCTAAAGCTGGCGTCAAGCCATCTGCAGAAGCTCCTTCAGTCAAGCGAGGTCGAGACGACGACACAGACTCTCGGACTGTGAAAAAGATTGCGGTGGAGCCCGGTAACAGCTCTCTCAGCAAGAAGCTGGCCCAGCCAAAGATTCACCCTCCGGCGGCATCGAAAATCATTCCACCCAAAGCGCCTTCGTCGATCTCGTCGATACTGCCTGGTAAAGCACGACCTGTACCGAAACCAGTGGTCAAGTCAGAGGCAGACAGTCCATCTGCGTCTAGTGATGATAAGAGCAAGATAGACGTCAAGAAAGCAGTAGCAAAGGCGGAAGCTGGCAAGCTGGCTATTAACAAACTGGAAGCCAAGCCTCTCGCACAAAAGGCATCTTCGACACAAAGTGCCAGCGCCCTGTCGGGCATTGCTTCTCTGCTCGATTCCATCAACGCTCCTAAGGCGACAGAAGCTCTTGTCTCAGTGGTCAGAGAGACAAGGGAGTCTGATACACCAGAAGCGCCGGAAGAAAAAGCTAAACGACTTCGTAAAGAGGCTCGTCGAAAGCTTAGGGTCAGCTGGAAGCCTGAATCAGAGCTTGTGCAAGTCAAAATCTTCCACAAAGACGATGAAGAAGACGAGGGCAGAGAGAGCAACATGATACGAGACGCAGCCGATGACCGCTCCGAGGGTATGGTTCTGAAACAGCGCGCAAACGTGGAAGAGGACGAAGACGACGACGACATTCCTTACCAGCCTTGGTTGGGACCGGTCGAGATGGACTTTTCAGTGCTGGCCGACGATGTACGGAGTAAGAACTACGTTACGCGTGGCGGCACTGTGACTTTTACGACCGACGAGCAGCAACGAATCGCAGAGAGGGAGCAGAGAGAGCTTATGGCCATTTACACTGATATTGACGATATTCCTCCAACGCCCAAATCTCCTATTCCGGAGACGGCAACTACGAATCCTGAAGCCAAGACTGGCTACCTTCCCCGAGATGATGCCAAGTACGAAGAAATCCAGCTTAGATGGCGAGATGAACAGCAGTATGGACTCGATGAGGCGCTACGCTCTGCTATGAAGCGGCTCGACGCCAAGAATAGCCCGTCTAATAAGCTTGACTCTATTCTCGGCCGGCTTCAAGGAGGTGTATCGTCGTCATCTGCACCCTCCTCACAACCCGCATCTTCTGTGCAATCCCGGCAGACATATCACCAGCTCCCGCTTCTCTTGGGCCCTGCAGCAGAGGCACTTGTACTTGCGGCGCTTCAATCAGACAAGACCAAGGCTTGGCGCGACACAAACCCCGTTCAATACGGCGATACTGTGCGTTCCTACAACTATACCGACCCGACAGTACGACTTAATGGAAACGCTGTCGAGGATGCTGCGAGGAGCTTGATTAGCAAACCGTTTCCTGCAATCGCACCACCAGACTGGCTTTCGTTTGATCAAGAAAGGGTCAGGGAATGGTGGTTTGGATATAACAAGGAGGTGGCGGTCAGACAGAAGAAGGAAGAAGAAGCACGGGCCAGAGCTGAAGCTGAAGCAAACGCGCTTAAGATTGCCGCTGCTACTGCCGCTGCCGCTGCGAACCCCTCGAATAATGGTCAGTCTCAAGACTGGGCGACGGCGCAGTTTGCCCAGCAACAGAATTACGCCCCGTACATGGCACTGCTACAGCAGATGACTGGCGGGCAGCATCAAGCTATTCCCCAAATCCCATCGACAGCAGCACCAGCGCCATCCCAAATTCCCGACGGTCAACTGCAGTCGATTCTCGCAGCCATCAACCAACCTCAACAAGCTGCTGCAGCGGTGCAAGCTGCGAACATTACCAGCTACCTGAACCCGAACGACCCTTCGTACCAGCAGCTAATGATGCTTACTCAAATGGCACAGGGCCAGCAGCCACCTCCACCTCCGCCACCGCCGCCATCATTTGGCCATGGGGCGGAGCGAGAGAGGGAGCGAGAGCGAGAACGAGATTGGGATCGAAACGAGAATTCGAGAGGAGGCGACAGAGGAGGCGATCACGGAAAGGAAGGCAGGAAAAAGAAGGGTACGCTGCCACCCCATAAGCCTGCCAACAAGGCTCTCATAGGGACCAAGCCATGCACTTTCTGGCAGCAAGGCAAGTGTGCTCGAGGTGATAAGTGCACCTTTAGACACGGGTGAAGAGAAGTCTACCATTTTTGTTTCTCTCTTTTACAATTTTTTTTTCTCTTTTCATCATTCTATCAAGGGATTGTATCGAGGCACATCGAAAACAAACGTGGCATAACGCTCGAATAAGTTTATCATGGACAGCGGGATAACTGGAAAACCTGAAAGGCGTTGAAGTTTAGAAGGGTGGGTGGAATAGGGCAACAATTGTTTCAACAAACAGTTTGGGCGTACCTGCATGCCTGTATATTAGATATGAGTCGTCTTAGTTTACAATCTTCGGATATTCTTTGTTAAACACAGATATATAGTCTGTGCATAGGGAGCAGTATTCTTTATGCACATAGCTTTTATTCCTAAGCCACGCGTAATAAAAATGCATCATGATTTAATCATATTGGGCTGGAATCCAAAGATACATTCTGTGAACAAATTGAGGGGCTATGAAAAATTATTTATGCCAACCATGATGAAACAGGTTTGCTACATTCCATCATACTTTGACTCTTTTTTATGAATCTTGATGTGAAATCACCGACTAGTAGATACGCGACTTTCATCGTAACAAAAGGCAGTAGATGAGTGTAATTTCACGTGAACTATTTTCATCTCAGCTGCTAAATCTTCGTTCCATCTCCTCGCCTCTCTCTCTCCTTTTCTCCCCAACTACTCAGCAGCCTCCATCTCCGTATCCCCCGCCGCCCCAGGCCTCTGAATCAAGCCCCTAAGGCTCAAATCATACACAATGTCTTCGACCCTCTTGACCTCGTATTTGACGCCGTCTGCGCGCTTGCGAATGATGTCGTTCTTGAGGTTGAGCAGCTGGAATCCCGCAAAGAGGTCCTTGACGAAGGCGCTGATGGTGAGGGGGAGCTGGAAGTCCCCCAAGGTGACGCTGTTTGTGGCGAGGCGGGAGAGGTCCTGGGTGAGGTCGACGAGGGAGAGGAGGTATTCTTCTATGGTGATGTGGAAGGCGTCGCGGTCTTTGAGGTTGGTTGGGACTTTTTTGGTTTGTTAGTTTGTGTAGCTTGTTTTTTATGCAACTAGATAGATAGCTAGAGAGAGAGAGAGAATCAAGGAGAAGGCTTTACCCGAAAAGATTGTGCCGACTTCTTCGAGGGTGAGGAGGCGGCCGATTTCAGCGGGTGAAGAGGATTCGGATTCAGAGGTTTGGGATGGGGGGAAGCCGCCTAGCCAGGCGCAGTAGATGGCTGTGCCGATGGCATGTTGCATTGAGCGCGTCCATTTCTGGTTGTATCTGGATGAGGCGAGTTAATTTGATGGTTCATTGTGAAAAGAGAGAGAGTGGGAGAACAAACTTGTAGTAAGGGTGCTGGGAGGCGACGGTGTTGAGCTCGCTGATGATGGCGGCTTCTTCTTTGACAGCGGCCTCGACTTGGGAGACTAGCTGAGGGTCTGTGGATGAGAGAGTTAGTATGGGATCGTTTGATTCTGATGCTGTATTTGAGATGGATGTGATGTGATCGAAGGGGAGCATTTACAGCGTGAGCGAGGCGTTGAGTGAACTCGTGAGAGCAGGCCTTGGGCTGTGGCCACGACCCGATCCAGTCGCTGGATGAGCTGTGAGAGAGTATCGCGGATCTGGGTCTCTTCCTCGAGCTTGGCTTCGAGGGAGGCGAAGATGGAGGGGTCGAGGAGAGCTGGCGGAGGGGCAGACATTGTGAATGTGAAGGCTTGTGGTTTGTTTGTTTGGTGAGATGGACAAGGCTGAGATGGGGTGGCTTTGGTTGGGCAAAAGTTTTTTTTTTTCTTCCCTCTCTTTCTCTTGTCCTTAGTGGCTGGAGGTTTTGGGATCTGGCTGGGCTTTGAGGATGGAAATATGGCGTTTGATGCTACGGGCTACGGAAGATGGATGGGTGAGAGCAGATTTTTACGGGGTTGGGGAAGATGGCGAGGCTGCATCAACGCGAGGTTGCATCCAGATTTTGGTGACGTCGCGAGGCTACAATTTGGGCGCATAATCAAGTGAATCTACGAGCAAACTTCAACCTCGTCACGTCACAAATCTTTCTCAGAAAACTATCTACGCTGTCTATGGAAAGAATCTCTTCTTCACCACCAGGGCAAGCCCCAGCAAGCAATGAAAAGAGATGGTTGTCGCGTCGCCTGGAGGCAGTGTAATACCAGGGACACTGTGGGCGGAATCATGTGCAAGCACAGAGGAAACCGCCCCGAAACCAAAAATAAGAATAATCACGATTGGTCTCCTTAGAGACCTTTCAGAGATTAAACTGAAAAGAACAGATACTACACTTGATCTAAGCCAAAAGGCAAAGAGAGCTAAAGAAGAAAGGAAAAAAAGATTCTAAAATGCGGGCGAGCTGCGAGGAGTTTTATAGCTGTGAATTGGGCGGTGAGGTGTGGGGCGGCAGAATGGCAAAGTGGGTGGGGATTGGCTGGGTTGGAGAGGTTGGGGGCTGTTGCCTGGGGCTGAGAGCTCCGGTAGCATCGTGAGTCGTCTACCTTGATACGTCCAAGTATCTACCTACTATCACGAGTACAGCACAGCACTGTCATGTAAGTACGAGCACGAGTACGGAATCAAGGATTCTTGACAAAGCTTTTGGTGTACCTCCAAGATTATATACAGGCATTGGATGGTATCTACTACTCAGGATTCTCGCCGGCCACTGTGGAAAACGGCGAGCTGCATTCACATTGCTATTGCAGCAAGGGAGCTCAAAATCGCCCTGCCTCGTCTCCGATATCCCACGTTGGACCAGTCAGTTTGTGACGGCCAAAAATCTCAATGGCGTCCCGCACAGTCCACTTCTTCCAGTCTGCGTCGGCATGGCGGCCGTACCACTCCCTCGCAAAATCCCAAACCTGCTTGATCGGACGCACGTCTCCCTTTGCAATCCCTCTTGTAGCGCACCATTCGTCCACCTCGGCCTCATTGCGAAAGAGCAGCTGGACCGAGCAGGTGTAGATGACATTGTCCCAGACCTTGGTCATGGGCACCGGAAAGTGAATCACGAAATCATCCGTGTCCACCAGCTGTCCGTCCCGAGCCGTGATTGTCACTTCGTCGCCGATGGCGCCAGTCCGTGTCGTAAAGGTCGATGTTCCACCTACGAGGTGCATCACGCCGAATGAGCACCAGGCGCAGTTCCCCCACCACTTGCGATCCCCTGAAGACACAATGCAGGTTGTGGGTGCTGCCGAGAAGGGATGGCAAACCCACACTTCGTCGGATTTGGGGTGTAAGACAACACCATGGTATTCTGCCAAGGCTTGCAGGCCTTGCCTCGTCGTAGCTACATCACTTTCGAAGCGGGTTGCGATGTCGCTGACGGTGGGAGCACGCTGGTTCTTGAGAAAAGAGGATATGATGAACTCGTGCAAGCTGGAGTGATCCATGATTGCAGGCCCGGAGTATACTATATGTGGCTTCGAGGTTTCGAATGTTGCGACTCAAACAGACTTTATTTGTATGATATGCCGGAAAGGGCCTCTATTACACATTTATATATTCCCGATGTAGGTCGTGATATTGCCTCAATTCGGTAGTGATCATGTAAGTTGGCTGAATCAGCATGATTATTTGATCGCGCGGGCCGTGGAAAGGCGCGCCCAAGAGAAGCCGAGTGGAGAGTTCCACTGCTTTGTACGCCATGTTGATTAATCAAAAAAAAAAAAAAAAAGAAGAAGTGTATGCTGATCTCAAGTGGGATGAATTGGTTTGGTGAACCAGAGGGGCAGCAAGGCAGGCACAAGGTGCGTTGCTCTTTGTATCCTAGATGTGCGAGATGGCGTCTTAGTACAGAGCAGTATATAAGATGATACTAAGCAAACTCAACAAGTCCTATGGATGCAAACAGTGAATCTTGCAATATAACATTTGAACTAAACACAGTTTTAGAGCCGCATTACTGTTCCAATTGCCTAGCAGTACAATAGCTAACCCGACGGCGAAACTCTCGAACATGCCCAGACGACGCCACGAAAACCCGATCGTGGTGGTTGAACAACCTCCCAAGGGACGGACAGAAGAGCTGCTCCTTCAGTTGCAAATGGAACATCTCGCTCTGCAGAAAGACGATTGTAGTTTAAACCGCATTCACACGGCGAATTTTACAGTAGCAGCGCAGATGAAGAAGCGTACTGCGAAAGTCTGGTGCGAGGGGCCTTTGCACTGGCCGAGACAGATCCCACAGAGTATGTTGCGTGCTTTAGAGTGTGTGTTGAGAAGTGTTTGAACACGAGCGCACTGCAGGCTGAGAGATGGAGCACTTGGGGAGGCTACAAGGACGCCCAGGTGAATGTATGTAAACAGACTGGCGGCCCTCTCTGCAGAAGCTGGTAACATCCACATCCTTCCAGCAACCATGACCGTCGCGATAGTCGTGGTTAACTCTTATAGTCGCTTATGGCTACCACTAAACCTTTGACTTAAAAAGGCCCCTGTTTCGTAGGTGGTTTCGGACATCAACCAACACAGCCAAAACCGGCTATGCCAACCCTGCTGTACAGCATCATTGCGTCTAGTACATAGGCCTACAGTACCTACTAGGTAGTAGATATCAAAACAAGTGTCCGGGATTTGTTATAGTGCACACTTTTCAACTGGACCTAACATGCCCCAGAAATGGATTTCGTGGTACATAGTGGTGACTGTGACCTTCAAGTTGTTTCTATTACCTACATGTAGGCAGCCACAAGGCTGGATGAGTCGTCAGCTAACGATGCATGCAACCCGCCAGATTGCGTCAAGGTATGCGCCCACTGAGCCTCGAAAATCTAGCCATAAGCCATCCATAAGCTTCCTCCGCCCACATACTCCCAGACTCCGCTATCTCATAGTTCACCCTCATTCATCAAGGTAGCGCAATGAACGATGACGACGATAAGGACCAGTCACTTCACGAACTCAGCCTAGGCCACGGAGCATCTATCATCTCGCAGCTCGTCGATATAGGCAGCGAGCAAAATCAACAAAGACACACCAAGTTCCGTCCCTTCGTCAGCCGCCTCCAGTGTCTCCGGCCGCAAGGCAGGGAGCTGCGCCGCACGTCAATCAACGCCTTTCACGAGCAACAATATGTCGCGCTATCATATACCTGGGAGCCTTCAGAGTACGAAGATCCTTGCAATGGGCGGTACCGCGTTGAGGGCTGGGATGTCAACCGTCTCAAACTTTCGGCAGTTCGAAATTGCGTTCTTGATCGCGTCCTCAGCTACATGCGCTACGCCAAAGTTCAGTTCCTCTGGATCGACGCTGAATGCATCTACCAAGACACGTGCGACGATGTTGCCGCTTGCACCAGCCACCGCCGTTGCACTCAGAAGCGTGATGCTCTACAAGCTATGGACCTCGTCTACCGGCTCAGCAAGCACCCCGTTGCGCTATTAGCCCGTCCCCTGCAAACGGAATTCGAGCTGGACCTCCTGACAGACATCCTCTCGGGGCATCTCGTCGACGGCGACTGTAACTTTCGGCTCTCGCGACCGACTACCGTCGACAAAGCGACCGAGGCCTTGTCGCTACTTGGCGAGATCACCCGGGACATTTGGTGGAGCCGTGCCTGGACTTTCCAGGAGAACTATCACGGCGGAGACCGAATGCGGCTGCTGATCCGCCATGATCAATCACTAGAGCGGCAAAAGCTGCGAGTACGCCATGGGATATTTGGTGAGATACCGGGCGAGTTGTGCGTGTGGTCCGTCGCCTTCTCCACAGAGGCGACGCGCCTGTGCCTGGCGCTCCGCGGTGCAGGGGTAGAACTGCGGCCGGATGACGTCCGCCGGATCGACGACGTGCTTCGAGCGGCTACGAGGTATACAGCGGTGCTGCACGAGTCGAGCACAATGACACCGGCAGTAGTCACTGACATCGAGGCGCGTGGGTTGTCAAAGCCGTGGGACCGGCTTGCTATTCTTGCAAATTGCTGTCAATACCCGGTGCGGTTGGATTGTGAAGCTCTCAGCAAGCAGTATCATAGCCTAAGTTTGTCGGTGCTGGCCATGTGTTTACTCAATGGCGAGATTCTCGACAATAACGACAGCAGCCTGGAGCTGGTGGCCCCGCTAACGACATCGGGGTTTCTTAAAAGAAAGCTGTTTGGAGCATTCAGCGCGCCAGAAGACGACCCCAGGCGGCTATCATTCAACAAGGGCTGCCGACTGACCGACGTGAAGCTAACAGTGGGTGGTATCTTGACAAAGGGGCACTTGTGGAAATTAAGCCATGTTATTGACACCTCCATGTTTCGGAAGAAGCTGCCCTGGATCAACAACCCGAGCGGTCGACTAAAACCGAACCAGCGGAGGCGTCTACTACAGCTGGTTTACCGCTTAAATAAACTTAAACACTACCCTCTCGCTGGCCAGATGGACGAATATCTTGCCACCGACGCCAAATCTAACGCTAAGAAGGCCTATACCCCCTTTACTGAGAATTATCTCCACTGCATGGCCGCTGAAATAGCAGCAGCGATTAAGGCGTGCCGAAAACTGAGGTTAGGCAGCATATGGTGCCCGACGAGGCGGTCGCCCTACAGCGCAGTCTTTGTGTGGCCTGATAAAGACGAGGACGAGGACGAGGCGCATCCACCGCCGGCGTTCGTCTTCACCTCGGCATGGTTCCGCGATCCGGGCTCAAAGACTTACGAAGCCAACGACATCGACCGCCACGTCTCGCTTGAGGTTAGCCTCGAGGAGGCCCTCGACGGCACCGGTGTCCCACACCTCCGTGTCCGCAGGTCCCTGCTCGGCATGTGCTTCTTCCACGGGTACCCACGCACCAAAGTTGTGTTTCCCTGGCCGCGAGCGCTCCAAGCAGTTAAGCCTTAGTACAAGGCCTACTCGTACTAGTAGTGAGGAGTAAAAGTACCCATGATAGTCGGTATTAACCTCACTACATGTAATTAGCCAACGTTCTAATATATGATAATTCTCATTTCTTCGTCTGCTTTTATATGTTAGCCGGTCGCCAAAGCTGCAGTTCTAAATAAACATCTTTTCCGTTATGTATATGTACAATAGACAGTATCCAATTAGGTAGCGTATGGTGTCGAGTAATGGGCTGAGCTCAAAACTGGAAGACCATTGGTTCAGTTCAAAGGCCATTTCGAAATGTATAGTATAAATGCTAAGTTATTTCCACTCGCACTGTACTAGCTACAAGCCCCACAACCAGGTCCATGCGGACAGAGATTCTAAGGTAATGAACCGGGACACTTATTTCGGTTTTCACTGTAACACTAATGCCCTCCTGAACGCTTTCCACGCTGTCACTTTCCTCCCATCCTTTTTTTCCAGCTGGGTGAATTAAAGTCCTCCTACGCTTATAGCCATGGCTCTCCAACTTTCTATTGCAGCACGCAATCTCTTGAATCAGTAAGACGTATTAATCGGGATCACCGAGGCGTCGTGGGGGCATATCAAACCGATGGCCCAGGCGCGTCTTTGAGTACTGTTTCTTTATTGTAGATTTGTTTGTCAAACTGGATAGGTATTATACTCCTTATTTACCTACCATGGTGAAGCCTATTGAGGTCTCGTACCGTGCCTTGGGGTGGCCCGTTCCGAATTCTCGGGCCCTTGCCGGCACCGTGCCATAGACTGGCAGGCTGCCAAGAGGTGCTAAATGGGGGAATTGAATATGGTAAAACTTGGAATGTAGTACTGTAATTTACCTATGTATTTACTTAGACTACTACTGTATAGCAAGGTAACATGCGACTCCTATTTCGCCTTCTATTGTATCGGTGTTTACAGAGGGGTGTTCCATTATAACTTTAAGTTACAGTATAGATGTATAGGTAGTATAATAACTTGGCCTCTAGCCTAGTTGTCCAGTGTTATATTATATTTACAACATCATTCTCACTTCCAATTAGAAAACACTCTTCTCCCCAGGGAACGACGTCTTCAAACGTCTAAGCCTCCTTGAACTGAATCTCAATGACAGCACTCAAGATGAGGGCACTTTTGCTCTTCCTCGTTATTGGTACCGTGGTCACTTCACACCCAACGGCAGAACCAGCACTCGTGACTCGAGAGGAGGTCCAGAAAGCAGTGTTTGCCAAAGTTGCCATTGCTTTGCAACCAGACGGCCGCGAACTCCTCGAGCAAACTCTCCATCAAGTCTCTGACCCCTCAAGCAAGCAATACGGGAAGTACCTCAGCCAAGAAGAAGCCAAAGCTCTACTCCGTCCTCGGCAAGTCTCTACCGATACCGTCAAGGGATGGCTGCTAAAAGCTGGTATTGCTGCTGCTGATATTGAGAGCGATGGACAATTCATTCATGCCGAGATCAAGGTTGAACAGGCCCAATCTCTGCTGGGCTCCGGCTACAACTCGACTCTGGGTTCACAGACAATACCGGTTTCTTCTCTGCCAGAGGAGGTTGGGACCCATGTCACGACCATCCAGTATGCTCCGATACCTGTATCGGCGACATATCCCATCGACAATCTACCTGTTGCAAGCCCGGACCCCAAGCAGAACCAGACGGAGATTCCTGTTGATCTGAAGGAATGCAATTCGGCAATCACCCCCGGCTGCTTGAGAAAGTTGTATCATGTCGGTGATTATCGTGCGCAGCCTGAGACAAGCAGCCTCTTTGGCATAGTCGGTTTCGTAGGAGTAAGTCATATCATCTTGAACACTCTACCATGTTATAATAGAGAGACTAACATGTCGATATTAGCAATCGGCTCAGTTTGATCAAATCACCAAATTTCTCAACGACTATGCACCCTATGCAGCCAACGCCAGCTTCTCCGTCGAATCTGTCAACGGAGGGTTAAACCATCAGGGAAACGATACCTCGCAAGGGGAGGCAAACGCGGACATGGAGTACGCTATTTCGCTGGGATACAACATACCGGTACGCTTTTACGCAACTGGTGGTGATAACCATGACATTGTTCCGGACCTGGAGTAAGTTTTGCTTCGTTTTCGTGACTGCCCAGCTTCCACCTCAAAAGGAGGCACTGACAAATACAACCACAGCCTGAATGATACAAAGAGCGAATCACTTGAGCCATATCTCGAATTCGCCCGCCACCTCCTAGATCTCGACGACGACCAGCTACCCAGGGTGGTCTCCATCTCTTACGGCGCCAACGAGCAACTGTTCCCCAAGGCATACGCCCAGCAAGTCTGTGACATTTTTGGTCAGCTTGGTACCCGTGGCGTCTCCATTGTCGTAGCTGCTGGCGACATCGGCCCCGGTATGTCATGCCAGTCGAATGACGGCACGAAAAGGCAAAAGTTTATGCCGTCGTTTCCTGCAACGTGCCCCTATGTGACGAGTGTAGGGGGCACCTACGAGATAGGCCCCGAAATAGCAGCTAATTTCTCGTCGGGTGGCTTTTCCGATTACTTCGATCGCCCGAAATGGCAGGATGAGACTGTTGGGAAATACCTCGAGCTGCATGGAGAGGAGTGGAAGGACTACTACAACCCTTCTGGGAGAGGGTTTCCAGATGTGGCGGCCCAGGGGGTAAACTTCCAATCTTGGAGTCATGGAAATGAGAGCTCATTCACCGGAACAAGGCAAGTTTTTTCCTTCTTTTATACGCCACGCAATTGGGTTGACTGACATGGCATACAGTGTGTCTGCGCCAGCGTTTGCAGCTCTCATCGCCCTGCTCAATGATCATCAACACGGAGAAGGGCGGCCTTCTATGGGATTCTTGAACCCTTGGATCTACAGTATTGGTAATGATGCATTTACAGAGTACGTCGGATCTGGGCTTCCTTTGAACTTGTTCATAATACTTTGGAGTATGCTGACCCGAGAGTGACAGCATTACGGAGTCCAAGTCAATTGGATGCTACGGCATTAGCATGTCAGGTGCTGAATCGCCTGTGATACCCAATGCAGGCTGGAGCGCCGTACCGGGATGGGATCCAGTGACGGGATTGGGCACGCCGTTGTTTGACAAATTACTGAATCTGTCATGCGTGTAAGAGACGGCTAGATGAGAGCAGATTTAGTTGGAGATGGCTGTTTATAGCTCCATACCGTTTTATACGGAGTGCCTTGTCCACTGGATGCCGACAGGAAATCCCATACCATCAGGCTAAATATGGAGCCTCAAGAGGGCTAAGAATGCTGTGAATTGGCAACAGGGTGGCAACAATAACAATACTTGCAACGTGTTCTGGAAGACTAAAGATGCTATGAAATCAGTCAATGGCCGAGTTCGTGATGACGTGCAGCAGGGTGGGGCGTGAGATGAAGCCCTCGGGTGAGGTTGAAAATGCTGTGAAATGTCGTCCTCGGTCACCTGTATTCGGTCGAGGCGGCGCCTTGTAGTCGAGACGCAAAGCTGTGGAGCTTGCCGGTGTAGAAAAATCATTAGGCCACGAGACTAAAACACCTTTAAAAACAGATCTTCTTTTACTGATTGGACAAGAAACATGAGGTGCATTACCTCAAAAAGTCATGACAGGACTCGTATACTCCATGCAGAGAGGACGCCAATAATAGTTGATTCCATCATCGCTACCGCTAAAGGTAGAACCTGCAGAACTTGAAGCTCTTGGGTAAAGCGAACCCTTACGGGGCAATCCATTCATGCGTCATTCTACCAACTGCATATTTATGGTACACACAGACTCACATCTGTTCATATAGACTAATAGGTACTTCAACAACGGTACATAATAAAAGACATTGCCTCTGCATCCTGTTGACGATTGAACTCCACGCAGTCGCTCGGGTGGCGGCATGGTATCTGAAAATACCGTTTATTGACAATAAAATCCATTCGTCTTGCTTTTGTTTATCGGCCATTTATCATCTTTGTTATAATATTGGCATTCTATAATGCTACAGGTAGCCACTCTCTGACACTATCATTACTTTCTTCCAGTAAGTCATTGTCTCTATATCCCTGTACCTTAGTAGGTAGTATCTATCCCTATTTCTATATTTCTCTAGTATCTGTGACTATCTATCTCTATATTTCTCTAGTATCTCTTAATATCTCTATGTTCCTCCAGTATGTGCTATTATAGCTACATCCCTCTGGTATTTGGCGCTATCACCAAGGTAGCTTGCATCTTCTGATCACTGCAGCTCACGGCAAGCCACATCTCCCGTTGACTTTGACCAAACCCTAAGCTTTCAATCACCACTCGCCACTCGCAAAGGTTCAACTTCACAAGGCTTTTTTACTTTTCCTCTTCTTCTATGGCGTCTATAAAAACTACATTTTCCCCCGGCGAGTCTACGTCTCAGTCTTCTTCCAGTCTTTTTTGATCTTTATCCTATCGACTAAAATCCCGAGTATAAGAGCCATCAGGGATTCCTAGCCGCTCGAGGATAAAATACGTGAGCTGATGTCGATTCTCGACACGACCCAACTGGAGAAGCTTTGGAAGCTTCGTAAGTTGACGAGTCTTAACGAGGACCAAGTGCAGGGGCTGCAGAGACTGCACGACCGCTACGAACTCGAAGGTCTCATCGACCTAGCCAAGAAAGCGCCTCACAACATCCGGAGTCTGATATGGGACAGACTCGACAGACAGCCCGTTGATGATTATGTGACTGAATTCGAGATTCGATGCGACATTTTTGACCGAATTAGGTGCATGTCCCGCGGCGAGATTAATACAGCATTATTTGCAGTCCTTATGGTGGCCCCGGTGCATGTTTTAAAGTCGAGACTTGCTGCGTTGGAGGATGATCGCGGAAACCAGACTGAAGTCGATGAGATGCTTTCTCAATGGCGAATTGCGAGTTTAAAAGGCATCCAAGCATGTATGTCCCCTTCTCAAAATCTTGGCTAGTATCATACTTCGTGAACGATTATTTGCTAAGCCTATGCTCTCCAGTTGTTAACAAAGGAAGTTCTCAAAAAGGAGGGCCATCGGGGGCGCCATCGATGGCAAATAGTCAACCAATCATCCTTCAACCAGCGCCGACTGCTCAATCACCAAATCATACGCGAAGCTCCGAGGCGGTGAAGCTTGTGAGTGCCTAGACCGCCCATTGGACATTTATCTCTCTAACAGTTATTACTGTAGTGCAAGCGCCGAGATGACAATAGATGCTGTTTCACTGGTATGCCCGACTCACACGAGGCTTATATTTTCCCATTACATCTATCAGAAAACACAACTATGATAACGGATATGCTCGAGATATTTTGGGACGCAGATACAGTGACTCAACTTGTTCCGTTGATTAGAGATCGTAACGTTACAGAATCTCCTCAAAATCTAATCTCCATGAATGGCCAACTTCATACCTGGTTCGAGGGCTGTAAAATGGCGCTTAAACCGATAGAGGAGACAGAAAAGGGCGTTGTAGTCCAGTTTCACTGGCTTAACAACAGCGAGTACGAGCCGGATTTGGACGTTTCCAAGGATTATATCGAGACCTTGACGAGTAAAACTAAGACTCAGAAAGGCCCGTTTTGGGGCCATGTGCTTGCTCATCGAGCAAGCGGTTTGAGACTTGATACAGGTCAGACTTTTGTATTGCGGTCGGAAAACCCGGATCATATGCCTAATTTCCAGCTTCTCAAGATGTCATGGGATCTCCGTCGTGTTGCCGCAATATGTGGCGCTGCTGCTGAAGAACCTTGGGAGGAGTCAGATGATGAGAAATACATGGATTACTATAGCGATGACGAGACTTGTTCATCTGTTTCGGAAGAAAACAACTATCCTGACGTGTTACGGTGGAGAGAAGAGGTTGGATGTGGGATCGAGATTGAAGCTGATGTCGAGATGGAGACGGACGAAGATGGACAGCCTGATGATGATTCTGAGGGATCCTCTTAGAAACAGGGGACTATTCCAGATCAGCAGGCCAGTAGTAGAGAAAGTATCCAGAGTAGAGGATACTAGAGAAATATAGAGATATGAACAGATACTAGAGGAGTATAGCTATAGTAGCAGGCACTAGAAGAAAATAGCGACAGTAGAAGATACTAGAGATAGTAGTAGTAACAACAGCAAATATCACTTGGGTAATAAGAAAGTAGTGATCTAGTCAGAGTAGCCGTAGTAGAAGACACTTGAACAAGTCTTAGTTTATAGTGTCGTGTTAGATTGGAAAAGAATCACTGTTGTCTTTCTATCAGTACGGAGTATATTCCTGTCTTCTTTCATCTTTGATATAACTTATATGCTGTCTCATCCCTGTCCATTTGTCTTGAAAAAGTGCCTACAATAACCTACCTATACCTTACCCCGCGGTGTGGTCTCGATGAAGGTTAAGATTGCTGTGAAATATGCAAGTCCAGGGGTGTGGTTGACTTATTTTCTACATTTGCAAGGATTCTGCATGTAATGACGTCAAACGGAACAAGTTGAATCCTCTTTTTCTTTTACGCTCCCTCCTTTCATTACATTCATTTTTCAAAAGCTGTTTATACCTTCAAGCTCTAGAACTTTGGTTCTTATTCGAGATGGAGAACCATCTTAACGGCAACGCGCACTCTCCCGAGCATGCTCAGGCTGATCTTCAGCAGATCACAGCCATCCTGCTGGATATCTATAAGAGCGGAGCTACGTCAGCTTACCACGCGTTTCGACACAGCTGAAGCCCGAGCCGCTACGAATGACGATCGACTAGCCGCAAACAACGATCAAGAATCTCGATGGGCGAGCGCGAAACGCAAACTGGTATCGTGTGCTGAAATCTGGGAACAAGGTAGAGACAAGGCCACGACAGGACGTGAAAATGCCGCAGATAACAAGTGGCAGCGAGGCTAGAGCTAGGATTAGTTTCCCATATCTTGCTGTTTTGCGAGGTTAGGAGTGCGGTAAGGAAAGTGATGGGAAGATACACCCAGTTCACCTGTGAAGCGCTATTAGAGGACATATAAAAGAGGGGGGGGGGGGAACAATTGTAACGTTTTTCTCAAGGCGAAATACTAATAAACTGGTTTAAACACTTCTTCTCTACACGGATGTTATTTCGGTATTTGCGATCTCTCTAATGCATTGGCCACATGTGTATACAGCCTCGGGTGAGGTTAAAAATGCTGTGAAGATTATGGAGGGGCGTGGCAGATGAATTTCAGACCCGTACATATGCATGTGCTGATAGAGAGGCAACAGGGGAGTTATCGCCAGCGTTATCGCACTTTACGGCCGCATCAAGTTGCTAGGCACACACCCAAAAGCTTGTTTCCAACCTATTTATAATTCCATGTTGGAATCTGCGTGTGATTGGGGTGACATATATCTCACAAAGCCTCAGGAGGACCTAAAATTGCTGTGAAAAATTATACGATAAGACTGGTTTCTTCTATATCTCTTGTGTGTGGATTACTTACACACCTAATAGGTAGGCACTTCGTAAATACCGCCATGGAACTACAAGCAGGTATCCCCAGCTTAGGTAGACTAGGTAAACATACGCGAGGCTCTCAGAGAGCGCAAAAATGCTGTGAAAGAAGACCTTGGCTCAGGACGCGAGCCGCAGACCGTCCGCCACGTCCGCCTCGTTTAGACATATAACATCGACATAAATTGCAAAGCACAACCAGGATGTGGAGCCTTATATGGCCTCGGGAGAAGTTAGAATTGCTGTGAAATGGATCTTATTGGCATTGGAAGGGGTGTGGAGCCTTATATGGCCTCGGGAGAGGTTAAAAATGCTGTGAAGATTGCCTCGCTATACGAAGAGTCCGCAACGCCTCGCGGGAGGTTAAGAATGTTGTGTAGGTTGCCTCATTGTTGCTATGATTCTTACGGGGATGCTCCGGAGATGTAAACCCACATGGGTCTACAAAACTACATGTACATCGAAACACGTCATAGCATCGGCGTCAACCTATCTAAACACAACGTCCAAAATACATGTAATCACAATCACGTTTCCAAGAAGTAGAAGTAATATCTTTTGCCATGGCATCTAGTGTTGAATTGCCGTCTAACAAAAAGAAGGAGATTTGCAGCACTTAGCCGCCCCTTCTAAATATACATGTTCTAGTCTCTATAAAGAAGACAAAAACAAAAGAGAAAAAACAAAAATCTATCATCGCCCGCACGCTGATTTCATGAGCGTAAAAACAGTTAATGCTGCGCGGACATCCCTTCTTATGTCTTTTGTTTCCGTTCTCGGAAAACAAATGATGTAGTCGTTCCCCCATTTTTGTCTAAAGCAGAAAAAAAAATCTTGGTATCTCCTCCACTCCAAAAAACAAGGATAGTGTAGAGGATATATGAAAAAACAAAAACACAAAAAAATGCCGAATTAACCCTGGCCATCCTTTTCTTCCTCGTCTTCTTGTTTTGTCTCGCCGTGATAACCTTCTCTCTTCTCGTTTCTTTGTTCGTGCCTCTACCCATTTTTGTGTAACCGTGACGCCGCGCCATAAAAAAAAAGCACAGAGAAAAAGAGAAATATATGCCGCCGCCGTGTCTTTCCCAAACACAGGAGAGAGGATGATAAAAACACAAGTTTGGTCGTTATAGTGGAGATGGGTTGTTGTTTGTTGTTTGTTTGGGTTTGTCATGTTGGAGGCATTTTGGAGCAGGATGAAGCTCATGCAATTTACATGAGCTGCTGCTGCAGCCTCTCCTTCTCTTCAGCAAAGACGATGCGGCTCATCTCGAGAACCCGCTCAAAGCCCTCGCGACCCTTGACGGCGTTCTCCTTGAAGCGCGTGCACAGCGAGTCCTCGATGCCGTTCTTGATGCGCTGCCAGCCGCCGCACAGGGCGGTGATGCGGGCGCTCTGGATGAACTGCGTGTGGTGGTCGCTCAGGGGCTTGTAGACGACCTCCTCTTGCACGCGGACCAGGTTGCTCCACGTCAGGTTCTGGCTGACCATTGTGACCGTCTTGCTCTGCGGGTCGACGTAGCTGGCCTCGTAGACGAAGCTCTCCTCCATGTTGCCGCCCAGTAGCGACTTGATCCAGTCGGGGGCGGCCTGCTTGCATGTGATGAGGCGCTCGGTGCGCAGGACGCCGGTCTCGGGGTCGACTCGTCGCGAGAGCGTGTCGACGGCGATGACGTGCTCAGACTTGTTGTTCCATGGGCCGTACTTGCGCCAGTTGGCCGTTGACACTTCGTCCCACGAGTAGTCGTAGGTGACTTGGTTTGAAAAGACCTTCATTGCTTCGTTTTCGTGTGTCGGTGTATATGGGGGAAGCAAATGAGCGAAGGGGGAGAAAAGGAGGGAAAAGGGTGTTTGTTGGTTTATATCAAGAAAAAGCTCCGATGCAGGTGGCGGGTCGCGGATGGCAAAGATAAAACCAATCAATGTCGTCAATGTTATCTAGGCTAGGGCAGTGATCAGCCGCGTGCGTGCCTGACGCTGTGACTCGTCTCAGCGATGTCCGATCGAGTGTGGTCCAGTGGAGTAAATGAAAGAACGCTGCCGTCTATTAAAAGAAAAAAAAGGGATCAGGATCTTCGTTGTACAGTATGACTCTTGCAAATGATCAAGAAACGAAACGATCCGGGGGCGGGAATTCGCAATTATATGGAGGCCGGGGTTAAGAGAAAAAAAAAAATCTAGTCAGCCGTGAGGGTTCGTGCGGGTTTTTCCCTCAGGAGCAGCTTCGCATGTGAACGGGCTTAGAAGAGGAGCTTCGGCATCGGAGCAAGCGACCTCGCCGGAAAAGGGTTTTTCTTCATTTTTTCGCTGTGAGGCTCCCTCTTCCATGGACTTAGTCATCTTGGCTATCGAGGAGGCTATTCCGCAAGAGGGAGCATCCAGCACGCATCAGGTTAGGGCCGCTGCAGCCGAGCGAGAAATCCTCGGGACGGTGGAAGACGGAAGTGGATCTGATTGGACTTCGGCGGTGCGGGAATCGGCAAGAAAGGGCAAGAACAAAGCAAAAATACGGTATGCATGGGAGGGGCAACAAAGAGGGCAGCTACGGTCCGGTGATGGCGGTCGGTCCTGCGCAAGTTGCGCTCTCGGCTCGATAAAGGCAGACCTTGGCAGAGAAATTCTTGTGGCGAGCAAACGGCAGTACCGCAACAAGGCGGTGGCGACGCCGGCGACGATCGTCATCGAGGGCCGCTCATTGGATCAGAATTATGGAAACATGCCAACTTTTTGGATTCTTGGTGTTCGATTGATTATCCATGGATTTTCCTTTGTTTAAGCCTTATGGGCATTTCCACGATCCCGGGGAAGGCCGCTTCGATCTGATGCGGAGAAGCATGGCCTTGCCCTACTCAGCCGCATCCTCGGGTTCTTCAATTGCACCCCGCAGATATCAACCGACAACCGCCATTGAGTATCTACCTCCAGTATTGAAGCTGATGTTTCTTTTTTCTTATATCTCTACTGTACTATATCCATACTGTAGGTAGCTTAGTACTAGCTAGGTGCCTTATCAAAGGACCTTAAACACGTAGCAGCAGTAACAGTAGCAGCAACAGTAGCACATTTAGTAATACCGCTACTACTACTACAATCACTTCTGCCGTGACTTATCTCCTTGTCCCCATGGGCTGACTATCAAGAATGTCGTATTCCAGAATTCATCTTGACTCTAGTAGTCTTCTCCCCGGCTGATGACCTCCTTCACGGTGGGTCGGATAAGTATAGTCTGCAGACAGTGTGTTAGTCTCCTGCATGTTCCAACGTCAGAACTAGGACAACTTACGTGCTCATACTGAGCGGTGTACGAGCCCTTCTTATCACACAAGGGCGGGTACGCCTCGACAATGTCGTTTTGCACCAGGCTGTTGAGCTATAAGCGAGTAAACAAACGTCAGCATCAAGAATTCTCAGTCAGGCATAAAAAAATGCGCCCCCCGCCCCCCCCGATAGGGGTATCACCACTTACACCCAATAGGTACTTCTCCTGGCCAAGGCGGTCGAGGTATCGTCGGCAGAAGGGCAGCGTTCCGAAGTTCTTGTTAATCACATTGAGCAGCGCCTTGGCCGAGCTGAGGCGGAGGTCGACGTGCTGCACGTCGCCAACCTTTGCGTAGTGCGACACCTCTCCGTCGTCACGAACGTATCCGTTACCCGTGCTGCCAAATGTCTCAATGGCAAACACGTCGCCCTCCTCCATCTTGGTCTGATCATTGCTCTTTACAATGGGCACGGCCTTTGTGCCGTGAATGCTGTACGGCAGGATGGTGTGTCCCGTCAGGTTGCGGATACTCTTGACGGGGTACGTCGTGCCGTCAATCTCGACCTCGTAGCTCTCCATGACCTCCTGAATGACACCACCGATCTCGCCCACGCGGGCATCAATGCCTGCTTCGCGCACACCGGCGTTGGTGGCGGCCCTGACTGCTGCGAGCAGGGGGTCGTACTTGGGCTCGAATGCCATGGTGAATGCAGAGTCGACAATCTTTCCGTTGACGTGAACACCAAAATCCACCTTCATGACGTCGTTCTGCTGCAGCACCATCTTGTTGCCCGCATTGGGAGTGTAGTGAGCGGCACAGTGGTTCAAGCTGAGACCGCAAGGAAAGCCCATACCGGCGATGTGGGCATCTCCCTCCTCCAGGCCCGCGTGGCCCGTAAGAGCACGCACACTGTCCTCAATGGTCTCAGCAATCTCGGTCAGGGTCTGGCCGGGCTTGATGACCTTTTGCGCATACTGTCGCACTTGACGATGCACCTCAGCGGCCTCTCGGTAGTCGGCCAAAAACTCGCTGTTGAGGTTGTCGAGGTGGCGCTTCTCCTCGTTGGTGGTTCGGTAGGCGTTGTCGTTCACGTACTCGACCTCCTCGCCCTTGGGAAACGTCTTGTTAGGGAACAGCTGGCTGACCATTACCCGGGGAGGCTCGGTCTGGCTGGTGGGAGCCTTCTTCTTCTTCTTGGGCTTTCTCTTCTTCTTCTTCTTGGCAGCTCCGGTGGTGGAGGGTTCTTCTGCCTCATCTTCGGAGTCTTCTCCGTCGTGGGCGTCTTCGGCATGGCCGTTGGCCGAGTTCCCTGCCTGGCCAGCCGGCTGGGTTCCTTCGGCCACTGGAGTTTTGCACACGGTCAGCATATACCGAGATTGTTTTAGTATGTAGATTCTCACCTTTCAGCTCCTTGAGAGCTTCAGTGGGGATTTGGGCTGCCATCTTGGCCAACTTGCGTTGTGTCGTGTGTGAGGTTTCCAAGCGATCAAATTTTGGCAGAGGGTTCTGCAGCGACTAAACCCCGCCATGGGTGCTGACAAAATTGTGTACACTAATCGGCAGTCGCTCCCGCGGCCTTTTTGTATGACAGAGTGACTAGCTTTTTATGTCTTTGAATTTGACAAGGGTGGATGACATCAATGCTTTACTTGTCGCACCTCTGAAAGCTTAGCAATGTTGGACAGCCGTATATCCGCAAACTGGCATACTCTCGTTGTCACTGAATGTAAAATGCATATACATTCGCCTATTTACCAAAATACGAGCGTCATCTCTCTACATGTATATAAGCGGGAATAACTTATTTCGCCAAAAATAACAAGTCCATCCATGATTCGCCTGGCAATTAATTTGTACATGCGGAATTTCAGTGGAGAGACGTGGGGTTTGCTTTGCTACAGTACCACAATCGGCGGGGCGGCATCGGATCTCATTCCAAGGTCGATCAGGCAGCAAACGAAGAGCTTTCAACTTCAAGCAGAAGACCGATGAGTTTTGGAAGATAGCATGGAGCCTCAAGTGCAGAGATTGCTGGACAAGGTCTGGAAGAAGTTCCAGGAAACACCTCAGGACAAACGCCTGTGTAAGCCAGCCACAACTCCATATCAATCTCTTCTTATAAGGCACCATGGGCACTCATATAGAATCCCATTGCGCTATTCTTATGGAATTCCAAAAACCAGAATCATCAATTACTAACGCTTCTTCAACATAGTAATCGGCATAGGCGGTATCCCAGGCTCAGGCACGTATCCCTTCCTCCCATCAAACCTCTCACTCTCACTCTCACTCTCACTCTCACCTCCCTACTAACAAAACTCCCCAGGCAAAACAACACTCGCCCACATCATCACAGACAAAATCAACGCCCTCTCCCTCAAAAATGATCCCTCGTCTCCTCCACCAGCGGCCTTCGTCCCCATGGACGGCTTCCACCTCACCCGCGCCGCCCTCTCCGCCATGCCCGACCCAGTCACCGCCCACGCCCGTCGCGGCGCCCCATTCACTTTCGACGCCCCCAAGTATCTCGCCCTCGTGCAGTCTCTAAGAGAACCCATTTCACCTGCCGTAACGATATTCGCGCCGTCGTTTGATCACGCTGTGAAGGACCCCAAGGAGAACGACATTGCAGTACTGCCGACTCATCGAATTGTCGTCTTGGAAGGGCTGTACCTGACGTTGGACAAGGTCGTATGGCGAGATGCAGGGGCATTGTTCGATGAGCTTTGGTTCGTCGAGGTGGACTTTGAGGTGGCGAGGAAGAGGCTGAGGGAGAGGCATGTACGAGCGGGCATTGTGAAGACTGTGGAAGAAGGCGATAAGAGGGCTATGGAGAACGATTTGGTAAATGGGAGGGAGATTATAGATTGCAGGTTGCAAGTTCATGAGTTGGTTCAGAGTAGAGAAGATGGAAGTTGGGTCCATGAATAGAATATGACAATTTATATACATAGATCAAAAACCAGACTTTTTCTTTTTAGAAGACAAGTAGCAACCAGGCTAAAATAACATGTACGCCGAGCAAATATGTAACAGCTCGCTTCAAAAAGAAGAGGTAAAGAAGAAGACTAAATAGTCACAAAGAGAAAGGGGAATATTGATGTCCATCCAATCAACAAAGAAAGAAAATCCAACAAGAAGTGATTCCGAGTAATGAAAAGCGTGCAAACAGGCAAATATCCAAAACACTGTTCAACCAACTGCCAATACTTAGTTGTTCTCAGCCGCCACAGGTTCATGAGAGTGCTCAGCACTTTCGCGAGCCGCTTGGCTAAGCCTCTTCATCTCAGGGACCATGGTGACACCCGTGCCCTTTCTCTCCCGCGTAGCTTCTACCCACCTCTTTTCATCTTTGGGAGCTGGCACATGCGCCTGGGCATCCAAGCCCAGCACCTCCATCAGCTCGGGTATCTCTACATGATCCCTCGTAGTCTTCATCCTGTGGCACCACGTAATCCTCTTCTCTTCAGCCCGGTCCTCCTCTTCTCTGGCCTTGCCGTTTTTGTTTCCGTTTTCCGGCCTCTCAAACGTTCCAAACTGGGGATGCTGCTCCTCATGCGGCGTTGTAACCGGCGTCGAAACCTGGAACGGCTCATAGAGAAACTCGCCGCCCACCTGCCGATGGTCACCAGATTTCAGCGCCAGGCCCTTGGGCACTTGCTTCAGCCCCTGAACGATGCTATCGAAGATCCCTCTTGACGTGCTCTTCTTTGCGTATGCTGGCTTATCTCCCATGTTGAGCGTCTTGACCATGCCCAGTGCGTCGAATAGCGATCGAGTCGGGTCCGTGTATATGGGGAACTGGCAACCCGTCTCTTTGGCATACATGTCGATCAGGGCAGGGTCGCCGCATCCGACGACGGTGATGAAGGTGCTGATGGGGAGTCGCAGAAGAGAATCGGGGGTAATATGTTCGGACAGGGTACGGAGGTATTCCTGGCAGTTCTAGAGCTGGGTGTTAGCTGTGCTGTCACAAGGAGAGCTAGAGCAGCAGTAAGAAACAGAAAAGACATACGCCGCAGAAAAAGTGCCGGATAAAGATGACGAGCACTCGTCTGGCCTTGTTGTTGCCCATATAAAGGCTCTTGAACGTCCTCGACTTGCCATGGCGGTCCAGCACGATGTAGTCTTCAATCATCTTCTGGACATTGGCAGACGGCAGCTCGTTGTTCGTGGACAGCTCGCCATCAAAGTCCTGCGGCTGGGTCTTGTCGATGTCGATGGAAGCCGGCTTGGACCGCCTGTGAGACGACGCCTTTTCCGACAGTGCGTGGTGCTCTTCGTGACTCTGGGAAGCATCGTCGCTTTCTCTGGGCGGATTTTGGTGCTCGATGTCCTTGAGGATGCCCGTAAACGAGTGTGGCGGGGGGCCAGTTGGGTCAGCCATTTCGATGCTGTGGTGGGATGTAGGAAGAAGGAGAAGAGTTGGTGATATAAGTAGCTGTAGCTAAAGAGCAATAAATGCCACACACAAAGCAAGATGAATCAGAGAGAGGAACGAAGACGGGTGCAGCCAGCTATGATGATATATCCATCACGTCCCGATGCAATCGGACTTCAAAGCCAGGGGCGCTTGGAGCTCCATCTGACGCTAACGCAACCTGAACCTTGGAAAACTGTCGTCCCGGCCTGGGAACCAAGTTACTCCGTCCGGTCGTCGTCCTCTTCTTGCGCTGCGCCACGGCGGACCAATGCTTTTTTTCAGGGTCCCCATGCGGTGCGGTGACATGAGCAGCTGGTGCTGATGACACGAATCGCTTTGCTGCCATTGGAAGTGCCCATCCTCTGGACGATATCAACGGGATGGTTCCATTTCTTAGAGTTGCCGGCGTTCGGATTGATTGGGGGTGCGGCGGTCGGTACAAGCACAAAGCCTCAAAGGGGACTTTTCAGTGGGCGCCAATCGGCTCCGGGGCTCCTCAGGTCCTTGGACCAGCGGCCTGCGGAAGCGTCCAATGGCAGCGCTTGGTTCGGTGAATCTGCGCCCGGATGCGTGGATGACAAAGGCCAGCGTGCGTACCTGTACCTGTATCTGTGCCCTTTGTGTGCCTGAATTGTACCGTTACAGCACGGAGCATCCAGTATTAGTAACGCCTCTGTGGCTGGGACTGGACCCATGCAGCTCTCTTGAATCTCACATGCATCCATTCTTCAATATCACAAAGGCTACTGTACCCAAAATACTCTAATCCAAACCCCAGATCCCAAGCGATGTCCTAAGCCCCAGACTCTCCACCGCGGCTGTGCTCGTTTCGTCGTTTCAAATTCCGTCAATCACTGTATTGTTAATCCTAAAATCTGCAAGTCAAACGCAGTGACAGCGCAAGCTTATATCCGTCAAGTGGTTTGCCGCAAAGGTGGATCCATCCATCACAAGTTTCATCATTCTTGGCTCTCATCTTTGCATCCACCTCCTCGACATCGCCATCTTCACCGTTTAGCCCACCATGTCCGACGCAGACGAAAACGACCTTTTCAACATCCAAATCTCCGATTCAGAAGATGACAAAGCAGAGAAGAAGTCCAAGCGCACCGGTCAATCAGAGGATGACTTCAAGGCAGTGAAAAACACATATCATGCCAAGATAGAGAATGGCAATGTAAGGCACTCATAACACGCTTCTTGGATAAGAAACATGAATTAACCGGTGCCATTATCCAGATTTACCAAACACTTTCCCTCCCATTGGGGCCTGATGCCAACAAGCAGCATGTCCAGGAGGTCATCCATGCGGCAGAAGAGCTCTACTTCTTCCGCCGCTATCAGCAGGTCGTCGATCTCGTATCAAAGGTCCTCGATCTGGAAGGCGACAAGGGCGGCTTGGATGAGGAGTCAAGAGAGCTGCTCACCATGTATCAGTCAAGATGTAGGCAAAAAATGAAGCAAAACGATTAAATCAACCCTTTTCTCAACACAGCCACTCAGCAACACCCCCTTCACGCCTGTGATTTTTGGCCACTCATGCAGTTAATCTCGTATCGTCCTACACAGCCCATTTGTCGGGCCTATTCATTACATTCAATGGACCTCTATCAACCATCCTAGAGATGTGCCTAAGCCTTGGTCCAATATAGATAGGCAATCCATTTTGATCCTTTCAACATTCATCGCACACACCAAAAATCTCACTATTAGCCACGATTACCAATCCTCAATAATACCTCAAAAAGCTTTTCCCAATCCATCACGTCTTTGCAGACACCGGCCCTCAGAAACTAGCAAAGGCACCCTCGTTTGCGACAGGCCCGCCGCCCACCGCCCATCGGGAAGAGCTCAAGCCTTTTGGGCTAGGCTTAGGCTTCTTGCTGATGAAGATAGGCGCTGTAGGCTTAAGAGGAGTTGTTGCTTCTTTCTTCGCAGCCACGGCCGCAGTCGTCGTGGTCGGGGCTGAACGGGCTATGAAAGCAGGATCAGTAATCTTATCCATCTCTGTTACTCTCTGGCATGACATACTGCCTGGAGTGGCCCATCGAGACGTCGCAAGTCCACCTGGAGCCTTCAAGTCAGATTTCGAGGCTCCACTTGATGCCTTGGAGGCAGAGTTCAACGGTTCGGTTGGCGTCGCTGGGGTAGGGCTTGAGACATCGGTTGTTACCTTCGCTGTGGAACTTGGGAGTTCTGCTCTCGAGGTAGATTGCGAGGGTATGCTTGGTTCCTTCAAGCCAGTATTAGAAGGGCGAACTGGGGTTTGTGGACCAGAACTAGAGGTTACCTAAGCTCTATGTTTGGCCATACCCAGATCAATCTTCTTCTTCGGCTCATCTGCAAGAGGCGAACCCGTTCTAGAGCCACTTGGAATAGGTGAGCTCCTTTTGGATTCAACTTCAGCCGGCTTAGGCGACCTCTTTTGGATTTCTTGGAGTCCTGAAGCCTTGATCTTATCTTGGCGCGACACGGCATGCGTCTCCAGTTCCTTGATATCCGCAGTGGTGTATTTGATGCGCTTGCTTGGCTTCTCGGCAATTTCTTGGAGATCTTGCAGTGTTTCACTCGAAATAGAGACGCCGTTGTTTCCGACGCTGATGCCATGCCTATACTGTACCTTTCTTTTGATACGGACGAGCAGTCGGAGAAGATCAACAAGTTCGTCTTTCAATTCGTCAGACTCAGCCTCGGATTCCATGAATCCCTGGGCCATCCAATTGGCGATCGCTGTCGATTCGATTTCCGCAACACCCTTTTCAGGGACATTAACTCCAGTTGCAGTGATCTCTGATAATATTTGGTGAACAATGCACTGCATGTGGTCTGCGGCGGCCTCTATAGTCAGTGATGGCTGCGGTTGAGCTTCATCCTCCAAGTTAAGAAGGCTTTTTTCGGAATCTTGGTGCAATGGTGCTTCGGTTGATTGTGGCGTTTGTAGAGTGGCTCTTTTATCGCCATCAGCCGTCTCTGGAACATCTTCCGATGCTTTCGAAACGGCTTTCGGAGCTGCTTTCGAGGGAGTTGGGAGAGGACTAGCTGCTTCTTCCTTTGAAGCAGCGACGATTGGGGCGAGTTTGGGAGACGCAGGTCTCGGCTCACAAAACTGCCGAGCAGATTGTTGGAGAGTTTTCAGCAAATACTGAAAACTTTCCGCAGCAGCGACAGTTCGGAGCTTCACCTTGTGCAGGCGCTCATTCCTTGCGCCATAAATGATACAATAAGGCCCTTGAATGACCGGAACACCGAGGCTGAGGACGTTGTAAACTGATTGGGGTTGGCCGGATGGCATAAGCATAAGGAGTCCCTCGTTTCGTTGCATAGAGACCTTTGCTACGAATTTTGCAGAAACGGATGAGCCATCGCCGTCAATAAGCGTGCATTCGCCTTGAGATAGGATGTGCTCCACGGTCTGTTGCGGAGCAGATGATATTGGCCTGGGCTCGCCGAGATTTCTACTCGCAGAGACGGCATTTTGGCCCTGGCTGCTAGAGCCTGAGCTGACTCGGAGTCCATTGCGCGGCGCATTTGGATGAGAGACATGAGTTGATGCCTGCGCGAGAACATTACTCACACCTCTCGAAGATCTAGTAGACGAGGGAGCCTTGGGAATGGCAAAGGGCCGTATTTGGGGTGCTGGCATTGCAAGCCTTGGCGGTGCACTAGCAGAAGATGTGAGCACAGATGAAACATGGAATCTCTATGCAAGGTATCTTGACTTACGACTCAACTGCATGGCGTGCCATGTACTGATTTGTGATCTGAGCCCAAGGGCGGCTACTGCCAAGCTCTAGCCCTTCCATTTGTTGGCTTTCTTCATCGACAATTTTTTCTATGCACATGTTAGTTCGGAGATCAGATGATAATCAGGCTTCGTTCACTTACTTCCCCATTTGCTCTCGAGGTTATCCTTTCGAGCTTGCGGGATATGGCTCGTTCCAGAGCGCATGGGCTGGTAGCTTGGTCGCTTCGACACATTGCTCAATGGAAGCTCATCTTGCCTGCCTCTTCCGAGCTCGGCCTAGAGTTGGAAAGGTTAGCTACATCTATTCTTCTTCATTTATCGAAGCATCACGATCATCGAGTGAAGAGAAACGACGAGTTCGTCAGGAAGGTGTCGAAGGCTGATCAGGTTCATCTTACCATAAGGGCTTGCTTGACGACCTCCTCGGGATCTGGACCATGCATCGTGACGATTGGCAATCTCAGCGTTTGGAAATGATGCTGAAGGCTGCTGATGGAGATGAATTCCCAAGAAGAGTTGAGGAATGGCGTTATGGGTATTGTATCAAGAAGATGTGCAGGAGGATGCGAAGGGAAGAGTGTGAAAATTGGGTGAAGAGGGATGGAAGGAGATGAGGAGGAAGGGAAGGAGGAGGAAGGGCTTGGAATTTCTGTTTTCTTTTTATCAGGCGAGAGATCGGATGAAATTCAATACCTCAGGCACACAGGGGCAGCCTGCCCCTTATCCAGTGCTGAGCAGGTGCCAAAGCTCCTGAGAAGAGCTGCTACAGCGCTTCTTATCGGCCGCAGATACTCATTGCTTTGGCAACCGATAAGGCACCTGCAGAATGCGCATCTACAAAAACGAGCATTGTTGTTTCTCTGCCTTGAAATGAGGATCTTGCGTGGAAAGGAGATTCTCGCTCGCATAGCTGCTTTGTGTTGGCTGAAGATATTTAGCTCTGTGCTGATCAAGACCTCAGCGATTTCAACAACAAATATTGTGCCAAGTCATATGAAATACAGAGATCTGAAGTTAATTGTTGCTTGTTATATGTCGTTGTTTGCATTATTCCAGCAACTCGTGTCGTGCTTTAATGCACCTATCCGATGTCAAATGTCCATGTCCCCGAGGGGAGAGAAGGCCGTAGGCAGACTATTACCTGCCTTCATTTTTTTGGTTTAAACATAAATCACAAATTAAGAGTGCAAGTATTAACCGACCTATACGACAACTAGAATAGAATTAACCGCTTCTGCGATTGGAGAGAGATGCGATCTTACCACCTCTCTTTTCGCAGGTCAACTGAAGTAATGCTCTATTTTTGGCGAACGTAGAAGAATATCACATACGTTCGATTCTAAATAGCAACCATAACAGTTTGCTGAGCGAACATGTTTATTTGCTAATTTTGTGAGAGTGGTGATTTGATGAAGTTTCGCTATATTTGTTCGACTCGCTAATAAATCACCTACTGTAATTGGATTCATGGATCAGTTTTGCCGCAAACCAACGCTGCACAAACAGCTGACAGAGGCGCTCGATTGTATCATATATCACAGAGAGTACTATCAAAACCAGATTTGTTCTATCCTGCTTGGTTTTGATATAGTTTCCTTAATACGTGAGGGCTCACGTTTGCCCGTCATCCGCCGGCTATAGCGATTCATCCGTCGGAAACTACCAATAGCAGCCAACATAATACGGCTTTGCGTCCCAATGGCACTTCCCCAGCTTTCTCCAAACTAGCCTCACCGACTAGCACGAATCCACCCGGCGCAGCTGTAATAAATTGGGGTATTAGCGGCAAGAGTCGGTCGGCTTTAGACCGAGGTTTTGTACAAATTGAGGACTTGTTGAATGTTTTGCGTATTTGCAGCCAATCTCTATATAACCTTCTCATATTATGTAGATACTCTTCTGCTATCTGTTGACTTAAAATGGAATGTCGAATAAACAAATCCCGTGATAGAACGAACCGATGCTTGATTTATGCAGTCATATGTAAAATATTGCAATCACACAATATCTCAGATGCAGCTTGATTGCATCTCCAGCGACACGCTATTCCCTATTATTTCCCGCCAATTCGGCAATCAATTCAAGTCTCGCTAATCCTTTTCCGAGGCGTTAGATGCGATGTCGGCATGAGCATGGTAGCCAGAAATTCGTCTATCTACTGCAGCCCATGATTAAATGTTACTTATCGTATTATTTCATTCCATGTACGGAGTATTAACGTGATACTGGTGATCCACCCCACCTTAGCACCTTTGCCTTGAGTATAAATGGTGAATGCGGGGAGGGTAGAACAACACACGTCTTCATTTACTTGCACACCAATTCGGCATTGAGCCGCTCATCTTTGTACAGAAATACTTGGCAATTCCCATCTGATTTACAAAACAAGACGCCATGACAAGAAAAGTCTCAACACAGGAAGTTTCCCGGCACAATAAGAGAGATGATACGTGGATCGTCGTGGATGGCGAGGTGTACGACATGACTGAATTCGCCCCGGAGCATCCTGGCGGACCAGAGAGTGAGTTCAATCTCACAGAGCAATTGTCCATCATGTTACTCAAGTACTGTTAGTTATACATAAATTCTCTGGGATGGACGCTACAGAGGAGTATAGCAGAGTACATTCGCCTTCATTAATTAGGGAGACTCTGGGAGCAAAAGGCCATGTTGGATCGTTGGACACATCGACGATAACAGAAGACTGGAAAGCCGCCAACCAGGCCACAAAGCAGTCTGCCTTGGCTACACCCCGAGAGAAGCCAGCTCTTGATGAGATTTTCAACATGGATGATTTCGAAAAGGCGGCACATGTGACACTATCGGACAAATCATGGGCCTACATTAAGGGAGCCTCGAATGACAACATTACAAGAGACGCCAACAGTTCCATGCTTCGACAGATCTGGCTGCGCCCTAAGGTTTTGCGCAATGTAGGCAGTGTGACGGCACGGACAACCCTTTTTGGATGCGACCTTGAAATACCCGTCTTCATCTCGCCTACTGGAGCTGCGCGAGCTGGCGGTGCTGAGGGTGAACTGACTTTGGCTCGAGGCGCTGGTGAGGCCGGCATTGTGCATTGCTTCGCGACGCCATCATCATACACCCATCTAGAGATTTTACAGGAGACAAAACACCAGGCATTTTTCCAGCTGTATGTCAACAAAGATCGATCAAAATCTGAAACTATTGTCCGCACAATCGAGGCTACTGGCAAAGTGAAGGCTATTCTCGTGACAGTTGACGTCCCTGTCATTCCGAAGCGAGAAGATGACGAGCGTGTAAAGTCAAAGGAGCAGCTCCAGATAGCTGGAATTGGTCTAACACCTGAAATGTTCGTTGGCGATAATAAAGGCGCCGGCATGGCACGTCAAGTCTCATCGTTCATCGATCCGACATTTAGCTGGGACGATTTGAAGTGGCTTCGAAGCATCACGGAGTTGCCAATTGTCGTCAAGGGCATTCAAACCGCAGCTGATGCCATCATGGCTGCGAAAATGGGAGTTCAAGGTATCGTGATAAGCAACCATGGTGGTCGTGCAGTTGACACTGCGCCCCCGACCATCCTTGTCTTGCTGGAGTTGCAGAAGAATTGTCCAGAGATATTCAGCCAGCTTGAGGTTTTGATTGACGGCGGTTTTCGACGAGGCTCGGATATTGTCAAGGCTATTTGTTTGGGCGCATCTGCCGTTGGACTCGGCAGACCGTTTCTCTACTCCTTGGGCTATGGCCAAGAAGGTGTAGAGCGTGTAGCATGGAGTAAGTTTTACCAATTTTCTCTCGGCATGAGTTTGCCATGGTACTGATGACTTCTGCAGTTCTCAAAGACGAAATTGAAACCGCTATGCGCCTATGTGGTATGACGGATTTGATGAGAGATGCGCATCCAGACTTTGTGAATACCAGCACCCTGGACTTGATGGTGCCTGGTCTCAAGCATCCCTATGCGCGTAAGGTGAACAAGTCAAATGGATGGCTAAGTTCACTGCGGTCTAAGTTGTAACTTGAAGAGTGATGATATGGTGATTTGTATAGCGCGATGAATCGCACGAAGCCTCGCGAGGATAGAATTTGTTTTCATGCTGGTAACAATCTTCAACAGAGAAGCTCTCCTGCCTAGTCTAGTATTATTTACGACACGGGATGCTCGATAGCAATATTGGGGTGTTGAATAGGCGCCCCCTCGCTGTCGCCTCCATTATCCAACATCTATCCCAATCGTGTCGCACCACGCCATGAATTTCTCCTTCTCAATTATCCCCCCATGTCTTCTATCTCGTCCATACAACCCCATAGACCACCCCTCGGTCCACACCGCGTTCGTTTTGCAATTGACTCTTCCCGCACAGACAGTCTGCCACATGAACAAACCGCCCAGCAGGCCCGCGTTGACAAGAGACGATGAGTTTGTTCTCCAGCTCTTGATGTCGTAAGCGAACTTTTGGCTCACCGTCTCCAGATCGTGGAACCGAGCGGGTGCCAACGCTGTGAGAAGGCGTGCTCTTGTGAGCCATGATGTTATGCATGCTCCTTGTAATATTGGCCAGCTAGCGTGCCTTGGTTGTTGCAAGCTGATGATGGATTGCCGGAAGTTCATATGCCACGCATAAAAATTGCCGGTTGTACTTTGTGGAGGATAATTGGTATTATGAAGATCGTATTCCATGCCCAGCCATTCGTGTATTTCCTGCAAATCGTCCATGAGGCCTTCTACAGCTTCTTGGACATCGCTGGGTGGAACCGGCTCTGGGGACAGGACCATTTCGGTAATCTTCTTGAAGAGATTCGGTCCGTCTATAAGATGCGTCCATAGAGAGAGCACGGCATTGTTATCGTCCGCTGAGTTGGATGTGTCACCGCCAATTGCTTCTCGTATCACTCTTTCCCATTCGTCTTCTGCCAAGAAGCACGTATTATGGTTAAGAAACGCCTCGTGAACCTTGAATAATCGTACATTATTAGGATGTGTGTTTCAATCTCGGTGACAGAACACAAGACTTACAAGAGGGCCAACGTAGGCTGCAATCAAAGCCAACTCAAAGTCTGTCTGGAAGTGATCGGCCCCTTGATGTTGTATAAGTTGAGCTACGCCCGCAGCATGTTGTGTCCAAGAATGCGCTGTTTCTGCCCTTCCATTTAAAAGCTAAAATGATGCTTCAGTAATTGTCATCAATGAAGCTGTACATCGTCAATACCTCAAAGAATCCTAATAATTCCGCGGCACAAAGTGTTTCTGGTGTCTTCCACTCCTCTACATCATTAAGGGCTTCCTGGAGAGCCTTTAATGCTTTGTCATATAGACGATAGACCTCCAAATCCGGGTCATCTGAGAAGCCATCATCTTTGAGCGTGATTTGTCGAACACGGGCTGCAAGGCAATCTACAGCACATGTCAATGGTAAAACGTGTCCATACCGGGATGGAATGACAGATAGTAGAGTTTTGCGCTGGGGAGGCTGTGATTCATGTAGCTCGAGTCTCGGATTGGGAGATGATTGGGCTTTGAAACTGAGGTGAAGTCCCGCGAGTGACTCTACCAGATGTATAATTGCAAAGTTATCGGCAAAGTAGCTTCTGGAATGCTTATTGGCAGTGAAGCTGGAAGGCCGGCTGGATATTCCCGTCTGGTGGAAGTAATAGCGCTCGTTGGTGCATCGCCACGGCTAGAAGATGATGCCTCTGTTGAAGAAGAGGTCTGAGAAGAGCTCGAAGTTTTTAAAATTGTGTTCAAGATCCATTTAGGAGGTTGTTTGATACCGATTTTTCCGTAATTATCTCTTTGACGTCTCGTTTCCGCAACATTTCGCATAGCATGTCGTCGAATCACATTGCGAACGGCAGGATCGGTAGGTAGTTTTGCATCGGTGTATTCGACAAAAGTGAATTCTTTTTCCTGTTCCTTCTCCTGGTTATTATTCTGCATGGCATAGAGAATTTCAAGGCAATTCTCGTGGTGTTTCTTCTCCCGGTCGTTGATAGAAGCCGGAGTTGGGCGTCAAGGGGCAGACAGAAAAAGTCATAGAGTAACGGAAGACGAAGAGATTAAGGGAGATGAAGACTGATGCGAATTCGAGTTGAGTTCCATCGACACTGGGATATAAACTTGGTAAACACGAGGACTTTACTTGAGCACCTCCTTCATCAAGTCTATAACGGCAAGAAGTGGTCAAAAGGTCCATAGTCTCTTGTATTTCCGATCAATAGCTAATTGCTAGCAGTATAAGCACGGGCACTCGAAAAATTCTGTTAAAAGGCTGTTAACTATATCCGGTTGATACACGGCAGATTCAAAGGAAGCATAACGGTGAAGTCAACCGCCTGGATGTAGCTAGGGTCGCTTATATCGCCTAATAGCCAACTCTACGAATTGGTCTACAAATGGAAGGACAGCAAAGATGCACCACGAAACACACAATTAAATGATAATTTGCACCACGAAATGGATCGTTGAATGCTACAAATTGGACAAATCCTCGGAGATGCATCGACGTTCCTCGACTCGGTGACACCGTAGGGTATGGGTTTGGTGGCGACTATTCAGTTCAATGTTTGGCTAGCTCTTGGGCGGATGTTTCCTAGTGCCAAGCAATGGAGATTGATACGGGGTTACCAAAAAAAAACATCCATACAATTTTATAGTGCAGTCCGGCGGTGATTTTGACATCTCGCATCAATTGAGTTATGAACTTGGTAGCATTGAGTAATTACTGGACATCGAAACGCTACAGCGAAAAATGTGTGATACATATATGCATGTATATAGTTGTCTTAGACCTTCAACTTATTTGTGAAAAAGTCTTGATCTTTAAATTCCCGATGTCCAGTTTCTTGTTTCTGCCTTCGCTACCAGGTAAGCTGTGTACATACCAATTCCGCGACATCTCACTAACGACAAAGCCATTATTTGTTAGTAAACTTCAATTCTATTCGGATACCGGCAGCCACTAATCTCACTCCCTTAATAGTCGGCCTGTCCGGAATCATTTAAAAAAAAAGATGGATTGAAATTTTCCTCTCCAATACCAACTCAAGGGAAACAGCCGGCGATTTTAACATCCATGGATCGCGGAATCGGCTTCTTCCTTCCTTTGCAACGCCGAGCGTTAGCTGTTCACAACTACGGAAGATTCCGCTAGTGGGGAACCCCCAGAGCCGGTTCCGTGACGGGCAACAATGCTAACACCGACAAATTACTTAGCGTAAACGCCGAATAATATGGAGGAGGTTCATTTTGTTGCCTCTGCGGAGTGAGCAATCTGTGAGACAATTAGCATCTGTGAATCGCACCTTGGCAGAGAGATTGGGTGTTGAGGTCGTTCCGAAGACATACCGACTTCAGGTCCCCAGCAAGAGAGTAGAGACGCGAGTCAGCAGTCGACACAATGAGCGCCGAGCATGACTGGAGACAAACTGTCGCGGTGAAGCAGCAGCAAAGGCAATCGAACGTAGATGCTTTCATCGCCGATCAGGATCCGGCCTTGACAGAGAAAATCACGGCCCTTGATGATGTTGTCGTTCTATCGAAGCTGTTGGCTACGGGAGGGCTGAAGAGCGAAGATGTGACAAAGGCATACATTACAAGGTAGCGACGTTCGCTCTTACCGATTAAGCTGAATTGACTGACATTGAGGCAATTTAGAGCTATTGAAGCTCATAACAAGGTGAGTTTGCATACTCATGTCTGCGTGGGTATATTCTACAGACATCTAACCATGGCGAGAACAGACAAATTGGCAAGCCCTCCCCCTCACTGAATCAGCCGCTTAATGTAGCTGTATGACTAACAACTAACCTTTGAGAATACAGCCTTACGGAGGTGCTATTCTCCGAAGCTATTCAGGACGCTCAAAGGCTGGATGAGTATCTTCGTGCGAATGGAAAACCCATTGGCCCCTTCCACGGAGTCCCAGTGACGCTCAAGGATCAGTTCAATGTCAAGGGCTATGATACCACGCTTGGATACACTGTTAGAGCACTCAAGCCTGTTTCTGAAGATGCTGCGCTGGTAAAAATGCTGCGATCAACGGGTGCTGTCATCATAGCCAAGACAAACGTCCCTCAAAGTGTTATGGTATAAAATCTTCTCCCAAACTATGGAGAAAGGAAGATCGTGTTTCTAACAACATCCAGTGGGGAGAGACGGACAATCCGCTTTACGGACTGACAACGAATCCTATTAACGCAGACTATACTCCAGGAGGTTCAACCGGTGGCGAAGGCGCAGCATTATACATGAAGGGCAGCATCTTGGGGTGGGGAACAGATATTGGCGGGAGCATTCGTATCCCAAGCCACATGATGGGTCTCTACGGCCTCAGATGCAGTGTACGCCTACGGATTAGCATGTTCTTCAGTGATACGAACAGACGGCTAATGTGTTGCAGAACTCGAGATTGCCGCACTGGGGGTGTCTTGTCTCGACAGATGGCCAAGAACATTCGCCGTCAACCGTTGGTCCGCTCGCTCGCTCTCTTTCCACCATCCACCATGCCATGAGGGAAATCATTCTCCGTGAGCCCTGGCAGAGCGACTCCAATGTCTCGCCTATCGCATGGCGGCAGAACATGTATGACGAATATTCTTCTAGGAAGCTAACAATCGGCCTTTTTCTTGACGATGGCATAGTCAGGCCTCATCCGCCAATCACCAGAGTGTTACAGCAGGCAGCAGCAGCTCTTAGAGCCGCAGGCCATGAAGTCATTGACTGGCCACTGGACCTCCATGCCGAATCCATCGAATTGATTGACGAGCTGTTTGTTGTCGACGGCGGACAGGACATTCGACAAGATGTAGAGGCGGGAGGCGAGCCCTTTATCCCCGCTATAGAAAGCCTCGTCAACGCGGGCCCTGCTATCTCCGTGTACGATTACTGGCAGCTAAACAAGCGCAAGGCCGCCCTACGACAAGCTCACCTCGAAAAATGGAAATCCGTCAAGTCTCCCGCGACGGGGAGGACCGTAGATGCGATACTGATGCCGGTCATGCCTCACTCGGCGGTCCCGCACCAAGCAAGCCGATACACGGGCTACACCAAGATATGGAACTTGGTCGACTATGTAGCATTGGCCCTTCCAGGAGGCAAAGTTGAGGCTGGTGACTGTGACGCGCAGTGGGATTATGCTCCGCGAAATGAGAGGGATGAGTGGATAGGGAGCGTTTGGAGGGATCGCAAAGAGGAGATGGCTGAGATGGGGCTTCCGGTTGGAGTGCAGATTGTTGGAGGGAGGTTGGAAGAAGAGAAGGTGTTGGCAATAGGCAAAGTCTTGGACGACTTGTTGAGGGCGTAGGGGTGGTTGAGAGGCTTTTTGTGAGTATCGTTTCAATCATTATGAGAGCGTCCTATTCTTCAGTCTTCCTCTATATGATCTTTTTGACGGAGACATCATTGAAAGGTCATTTTCTTTGAATCCATGTCCCTTGAGAAGAATGTATGCCTCCTGGGGGTTCCTCTGACAAACATCCCTATCAGATGAAAGCTGGCGGAGAATTTCGGATGCAACGAGCCGATGCTCTGGTCCAACAGAAGTCACAAGTCTACGGAGCACTGCATCTAACCATTTCTACGACTCAAGGTAGTAGCACTAGATCCCAAAGGAATGGGTCATGAGGCTACTAGGGATACGATGAGGCCACAATATACAGCTGAACCTATGGATCAATAGACTCATACTGTGTGTCTACTAATGTATGCATGAATGGATGTGCATGTGAAGGCAAGGCAGAGTCAAAATAGTCTACTCTTTGCCATCCGTACTCAGTTTACCATGTCTCAAGTCATTCAAGCAACTACAGTGAAAGGAATAGGCACTTCGAGGCAGCTCATGTGCCTCTTTGCCAAATTTAGGTCCGAGGAGAGACACCAAGGGATGGCTGTGCTCACTTGGTCCGTGAGCTGAGGCGGGTTGGCGGGCAATCAAGGAAAGCAAACTCCGAGGTCCCGATGGAAGCCGTAGCATAGCGTCTTGTGAGGCGATTCGTGTTTGTGGAGCGATGTTCCGGCCGTTGGCCACCTAGACCCAACATGGTGAATAAAGTAAAGATGCAGCGTCGCATCTGGCGCTCCCGCAATCGACTCTAATCTGCAGGAGAGCGGGCTGGGCTGTCAATGCAAAACACGTTAAAAGTGATCGGCCTTGACGCAACCGTAGGTGCCAGTGTACTGTAAAATACTACGCAGATACGCTCCTGCAAGGCGGATTCTGGGAGATTTTGTGTAGCATCTGAGATTGCGTCTGCTGGAGTCGCACGCGCCTCTCCTGACCAGTTGACCAACCCGACCCCAATCCCCAGGGCTAACCAAAGGCAGTGCAAAGCACAGGGCTGGTCAGGTTCTAGAAGCTTATGCCAAGATCCAGGTGTTGATCTCTGCTTTTGATGTGACTAAGTGTTACTACGCTGATACCACACGATTGATTGCCTCGGCGAGTTCGCGTTGATGCTCCGTTGGACAAGTGATAAGAGCCTTGGCGATATCCCCGCTCGACAAACAGACGGCGACAAAAGACGGTGTGATTTGACAAAACAAAGAAGACCAGAAACCCTCATCAGTCCGATCCGTGCTCCGAGAATGTTCCCACAGGTTGGTAATGGTATCAGTAAACACGCAACTACATCAGGTTCTCCCTTCGGAGAATATGGGGAATGTATTGAACAGGGCGCAGAGACGAATTATATCCGCACGGGGATGATTTGTGCCTGAATTCACCCGGGTATCATAGCATTTTGACGACGATGCTGGTCGTGAGACGCATTTTAAACGGTTGACTTCACGGCTACCGGCACCAAAGCATGTCATCTACAGGTGACTAGCCGATGGCGATATTTGTAGATGGAAAGGCGTAAGGGCGCGTCTGTGGCTGCGGGAGCTAAGATAGGTACAGATTCGCTTGGGCGCTACTCGTATACTTGCTGAGGGCCAGGACGATGAGGCTCAAAATGCCAGGCTTCTGGTCTTGTCTGTATGCTTTTTTGTTGTTTTTTCTGCTTTTTGGACGCAACGCACGTTACAACTGGAGGCAACCGTCAGCTGCGAGTTCCTTTGCTACGCATGTTGGCTCTTTTCAACCGCTCCTTTCCATTTATGCAGAGGGACGAGCCACCGGCTGGCCCTTGACCTAAGGACTGGGGTAAATCACGTCAAGGCCCGAAATAGGCAGGTCGAAATGCTTATCCCTGGATGCCGACAAATGGGAAATTCAGAAGCCGTGGTGTGGCGGGTCCCAGCAACCTTAAGATAACCTAGAAGCACGAAGCCCACAAAAACGGACGATGCCTGACTAGTGCGGGCATTCGGAGAGAAGAGGAGAAGAGAGGAGAGGGGATTGGGGCCGTTGCGAATGGAGTTGTGGTGGTTGACCAGAGGTGAGGTGGTTTGTATGAGCGGATGGTTGAAAATGGAAAAGTTCAAGCGTTATCTACATCATGTTGTTTTGACAAGAGACAAAAAGTAAGGGTTCGAGGTAAAGATAAGAATAAAGATAAGGTAGCCGACATCAATGTACCAGTAAGCAGCGAGATAACACCCCGTCCGTGCTTGCTCGGCGCCCAGAATCAGGTGCCGGACTCTCGCTACGACCAGCCACTAAAGCGCCCCCGAGTTGAAGTAAAATCCGCCTCCGCAGGCCCTAAAAGCCCCAAGCGCAGTGCTTATTCCTCTTAGCTCGCCCTTCTAGAACCCTTCTGCGCCATTTGCGTCGGATCAACGTGTGGCGCTTTCTAGTGTCTCGGCCGCTTATCTCTTTTGTCCTTTCTGTCCGCCACCAGAATCAACCAACAATCGACTGCCAGGCACCAGCATTTCTCACAGGCGTCTTGGCTCGCCTGATGAATGGACTAGGCTGTCTATTCATGGAGGGCGTCGGGTGTCTTATTCACTTTCTCGTCCCGGTCCCTCGGGGTTCATTCAGTCTACAGCTCACCCCGCGTTTGCTGCATACGCAATCAGAATGATGCAGCAGTACAGATAGGATGAGCCACCAAGACGATCCCGAGACAACTCAGGATGAGGTCGATTACCTGAGACATTGACCGCGTATAATAGCGAGGTCAGCTAATACCATCTATTCGTATTGTTTTCGGTTGAGCAAATAAGGTGCCAGCCGCCGTGGCACCAGCGGGGCCAGATAACCCGATATCTCGACTCTACAATTAGAAGCGCTATGGCCCCAGTCTCGTGGCAAACTACGAATAATCTTAGGGTTTCTCCGAAATGTCATCGGCTCACGTTCCCCTCTGTGCCCATCGCTAGGCGACGGCTCGCCTGTGACAGGATTGGGAGGCTCCGAGTGAGGCGAGCAGGCAAACCTGAATTGTTCGGTCATCCGCCCTGCAAGAAAAAGAGGCTCGTACGACGAGCCCTGTCGTACAGACAGCCAGCCGTGTTAAAATCAGCACCCAATATCGAGATGTTTGTCATGCCAATACCCCGTACAGCCTCCATTTGCGCGTGGTTGGAGAACCAGGGCGGAAGGCACACGAGTCAAGTCATGACGACCAAGAGGGAAGAACATGTCCTAAACCAACGCTGCCAAGCATGTCTACGGAGTCGACTAGAGATTCTTGCCTGCAGATAATCAGCTCTGATGGATGTAAGTGTGATACTGTACTCCGTAACCAGAAGAAAAAGTCAAAAATACAGGGATCATGGCAACCCCACACAACCACGACCATCATCCTCCCCAGGCGAGGTGGGATTATTGGTCCCCGATTTTCTCCAACGAAGCACCTGGTCCGTCCCAAGAATACATCAACCTCCCAACATACAAACAGGTATTTCATGGCCCTGAATTGAGCTAATCCTTCGTACAACAGCTAGCTCCCTTGGCAGAGACAGACGCGCCAGCAGCAGCGGGATAATGCCGTCACACCAGCCGGCCACAGGCTGCATCTTCCCCAATCTCAATCTGCTACCTAGCCCAGCCTCAGAGACCTCGCCCCGGTCCGTGCAGACCATGAGGCCATGTCCCTTGCCTCTCTCAGCTTGCTTCTCCACCGCTGAGGCCCCCGGCTCGGGCTTTTTGCTGGTTCTTGCTGGAGACCCGGTGCGGTGATAGGCTGACCATAGGGAGGAGTCGAGATACGCAGCATGCCAAGGACATGGAGAAGCCCATCTCCACGGCTTGGTGCGTGTTTAGCCTCGGGGATCCCATGTCTGTCCACCTTCAATACCTGTACATGCACTCGCCTCTGTACTCGTACAGGTGTACATCAGGTCTAGCCATGGCATGTGGCTGAACCCAACTGCTCAACAGGCACAAAGTCTCAGACTCCATAAAAAGTACAGGCCGGGATGGACCAACCAATCCTAGCAGCTCCAAGCTTGACAAGCAGGTGAACACTTATAACCCAGTGAGGCAGCCTCCTCCGTGAGACAACCTTCTCTGTCTGCCACCATCCTCTCTTCCTCTTCTTACCATCTCTTCTACCTGTCGTCCATCTTCGTATATCTTACGAAGTCGACAGCGTGGCGCGTCTCTGTTCCTTTTGAGACATCCGTCACCTGAGTGGTAAAGACCAACCTTTCCGTCTCCCTCCTCTCGAAACAGTCCTCCGGGCATATCGCCGCCATGAGTGACGACGATGGGCTCTACGCTCATACTAGCCCCGCTGGCTACGGACACGATGTCGAGAAAAGCAGCGCCAGAATCGGAAACTACGAGAATGTTCGCATCCGTGGTATCGAGACTTCGCCTGAGACGTCTCTGCACCGGGGTCTCAAGGCGCGCCACATTTCCATGATTGCCATTGGTGGTGCGCTCGGTACTGGTCTCATCATTGGTACCGGAAAGGCCCTCGCCCAGGCTGGTCCCGGCTCGCTGCTTATCTCGTATTGTTTCGTTGGAATTCTTGTCTACGGTGTCATGGCTTCTTTGGGAGAAATGGCCGCTTGGTTACCTATGAGTGCTGGATTTACGGGCTACGCGACGCGATACTGCCACCCATCTCTGGGATTCGCTCTTGGTTGGACGTAAGTTTCGAGTTGTGGTTTTCATTCGACAATACGTGGGGTTGCTAACGGTGATTCAAGATATTGGTTCAAGTACATCATTACCACCCCGAATCAGTTGACAGCTGCCGCCTTGGTCATTCAGTATTGGTGTCCTCGAGACAAGGTCAATCCAGGTGTCTTCATTGCCATTTTCCTAGTCACCATTCTTGTTGTGGTATGTCTATTTGATCCGTTTTCTGCTATTTCTCCTCCCAAATTTGGGCCATATGCTAATTACCTCGTAGAACTACCTAGGAATTGAGCTTTTTGGTGAGCTGGAATTCTGGCTGTCCTCTTTCAAAGTCATCATCATCGTCGGCATCATCATCTTTTCCTTGTGCATTGCCTGCGGAGGCGGTCCCAACGGCGATGCCCCTGGCTTCCGATACTGGCACCACCCCGGTGCCTTTGCCGAACTATATCAGACGGGCTCCTTGGGCAAGTTCCTCGGCTTCTGGTCTGTCATGGTCAATGCCACTTTTGCGTACCTTGGAACCGAACTGGTCGGTGTCACCGCTGGTGAAGCTCAGAACCCCCGACGAAGCATTCCTAAGGGTACGTTTGATATGTCCCCTATTCTACGGAATAAGAACTAACGCATATAATCACAGCCATCAAGCTCACCTTCTTCCGTATCCTCTTCTTCTACTGTCTCAGTGTCTTCCTTGTCGGCATGATTGTTCCTTACAACAGCCCCGAGCTCTCCTTCGCCAACAAGCAGAGCACAGGTGCCAACGCTTCGCCTTTCGTTGTCGCTGCCACCCTCGCCGGCGTCAAGGTTCTGCCGCACATCATCAACGCCTGCATTCTGGTCTTTGTCTTTTCCGCCTCCAACTCCGACTTGTACATTGCCAGCCGAACTCTCTACGGCCTTGCCTCCGATGACGCTGCTCCCGCCATCTTCAAGCGAACCAACAAGCGTGGTGTTCCCTACCCAGCGCTTTTCCTTTGCGCAGCGATTGCCTGCTTGGCGTTTATGAATGCTTCTACCGCCAGTACAGTGGTCTTTGGCTACTTTGTCAACCTTGTCACTATCTTCGGTATCCTGACTTGGATCTCCATCCTCGTCACCTATCTCTTCTTCCTCCGTGCTCGTCGCGCCCAAAACATCCCCGACAGCGCCATGCCCTATGTCGCCCCTCAGGGCTACTGGGGTACCGTCGTCTGCTTGTTCTTCACGATCCTCATCGCCTTGACTAAGAACTACGACGTCTTCATCCACACCGCCGCCCGCAAGTTCGACTACAAGAACTTCATCACTGGATACCTCGGCATCCCGCTCTACATCATCCTTCTCTTCGGCCACATGCTCGTTACCAAGAGCAAGGGCGTCAAGCCCCACGAGGCGGACTTTTACGCTGGAAAGGAAATTATCGATGCTCAGGAGAACGAGTACCTCGAGGAGCAGGAGGCTAAGCGTGCGAACAGCCAGGGTCTGCACAAGTTTTACGATCGCTACATCTCGTGGCTGTTTTAGATTCGGGCGAATACGTACTCGGGCAAGTCGAAATGGGAGACTGGGCCCTCATTTTATGTATTACTACGTGGTATGAATATATGAGTATAATAAAAAACTCAATGAATATGATAAGATGTTCATGATTTGATCATTGAAGTTATCTACTGATCATACAATGTGCACACATGTTTGAACAATATCGCAGTTTCACATTCCACAAATTGTCATATGAAAGCCACACAATTTGAAGCCTCAAAACATCATCATCATTCAAACGTACTCTAGAATATCTGCTATGCAAATGCGTTCCCTACCAAACAATAACATCAAACAAGAGGCGGAAAGAAAACGCCGCTAAGCCACACACCAACAGGCCGTAAATGCATACAGGAAGAATATGAATGAAAGGAGGAGGAGCTCCAGACCTCTACTAAAAGCTACAGCTTCGATAAAAAAAACTCCAAACATAAAGCATAGGGGTAAGTTGTATACATGCAAAAACAAAAGCCTTTTGTAGTTGGCCCATCTTCAGTTGCTGCCCCTCCACTTGGAGAAATAAAAAGGGGGTATAATCCAGAAATTTAATAACACAATACAGACTTTCTCTCATGACCACTTTAGCATCATATAACTCTTTTTTTTTTCTCATCTCTTTCTTATTTTCCTTTCACTTTCCTCTTTCTTTAGACACCTCTGAAGAGTCTGACAATGAGGAACCACATAGCTCCGAGGAACTTGAAGCTACTCAGCGCAGCAACACTCCACAGAACAACGGCCATGTAAATGTTGGATCGCTCCGTCTGCTGTGCTTCTTGATCATCCGAATTACCAGGCGTGATCCTCTCCAGACCAGCAGAGCTCAAGACGACAGCAGCAAGCGCAAAGTTTGTAATCATCCAGATGAGCACGACACCAGTACGCACACCTCGGTAGTAGTCCATCTGCTTCTCCTGGAGCTGTGCCGGCGTGGGGTCCTTCTTTTCTTCCTTGAATTTTACGCTGAACATTGCGACTTCTCGCTGGTACTGTGCGTTCAAATCACCCTCGTCGGGAAGGTCCGTTTTACCCTCACCATCTTTGGTGTTGACGGACGGCAGCTTCTCCACCTTATCGTCACCCTTTGTACCCCAAGACACGTCGTGGGTGTTGCAAAAGGCGTAGACGTTGAGAACGTTGGTAAAGGTTGGCGTCAGAAGCATGTACTGAACGAAAGAAGTAACCATGTGCCACGGGTCGAACATGAGGAGGGATGCAATGAGCCAGATACCGTAGGTTGACATGACGGAAACGATGAGCGTGTAGAAAACCTGGTTCTTAAACAGCTGGCTAATGTTGAATCCGTCTCCGTCGTTGAGATCCGCGATGATGGCCTTGACGGCGATGAAGATGGCTGCAAACATCAAGTAGCTAAAGGAAAACACGTTAGAACAAGGACACGGAAGACAAGATAAGGGGTCTCCGCTTACATCATAATAATTGCCCAGAACCAGACCATGGCCGAATAAAGCTTACCAGACCCTGCCGGCCGATTGCCCAAAGACAAGACAAAGCAGGTGATGAGGATAACGCCATATAGCCATTCAAATACAACGCCCAAGATTTCACCCGTTTTGCCCAAAAGGGTATCCGAGCCCAAACTTGTCGTCAGAATCTTGAAAACCAGGAAGAAGTTGCCAATCGCAAACCAAGCAAAGATCATGTTGATGGTGTTGAACACAAACTCAACGAAGAATGCCATCTTTCGGAAAAAGGAATGATCGGAGCGGAAGAAGTCGTGGAAGTGAGCAATAGCATAAATAGCAGCAAAGAAGGAACCGTTGAGCCAACGACGTCGTTGGAGAACCAATTCCGTCACCGTGTCGGGCACATCAGTCTCACCAGTGGCGGACTTGACGTACTGCAGGATCCAATGGCAGTTTCGCTTGGTAACCAGCTCGAAGCAGAGAATACGATCTTCGGCCAGATACATGTTGGACTCGAAGAGACCTGCTTTACCGCCACCGTGGAGCGTTTCACCCAAGAAATACTTTTCGAGAGGGCCTTGGCCGTTCTTGTCGTTCTGCAAGGCGACATATCGATAAGCTGAAAAGGCACCAGGCAACACAGAAATGAAACCAAAAGCCGATTCCAGGGGCTTGTCTAGAATGTTGCTCATCTTGTATTCAAAATTCTGTGTCGCGACAAGGGGGTTGATCAAGTTTTTGCCACCAGTACCCAACATGGCCTTGATCTCACCACAGGCACCTCCGCACATGGGCTCCAAATCAAACGCCTTCCAGAGGTGATAGATGGAGCTACCACCGGGCCTCGTACCAGCGTCAATGAGGACGCAAATGTTGGGGTCCAACACACGGCCAAACGCTTGGAAGAACCATCTGTGAGAGTTGATCTTTTTCGCGTTCTTCTCCTTGAGGCAGAAAAGTAGCTGAACAGGCTGTCGGCGGTGGACGAGCGAGACAACGTCCTTGTTAAGCTGCAAGTGTGTCTGTGTGGTGTACTCGTAAATGTGGGCAGTCACGTCTTTGTTGTTGACCTGCTGCTTGGCGATACCCTCTTGATAGACTCCGAGACCTGCCAACACGGCTCTTGTTCGGGGATTGATCTTGGCACGGCCATCGCTGACTATGCAGACGACAATCTTTTTCCAAGCGTCCTTGCCCCACGTCTTGCTGTTGGGACGGTTGCACATGTATTCGATGTTCTTGAAGACACCCACCATGGTTCGCGCAAACAAGACGTCATCCTCATTGTACATGGTGACGACAATGAAGAGCTCAGTGTGGCGTGGTTTGCTGAAGAGTTTTTGGCGCAGGGTAAAGTTTTCGTCGTAGAAATCCTTGGGGTCACAGGTTGCAGCCGAGTAGCGCATGTGTGTAAACTCGTCACGCTCGCCGTGGGGGTTTTCGCGCAACATAACTGGAGGCACTGGACAATCAAGCACCAGGTTGCCGCGATACAGGAGCACCTGCTTTACCGTTTTCCATCTTTTGATACCACCAGTCGGCGTGACTGGCCGGGTATCTTGATATTGATTGAGAGGAAGTTGTTCGGTATTCTGGTGGGAGAGCATCGGCCGCTGGTCGTCATAATCGTAGCCCTGCTGTTCGTATCCCTGCTGATCGTAGCCTTGCTGATCGCTATATGGGTGCTGGTCATAGCCTTGGCCGTCTTGCGGGTGTGGCTCATAGGGCGCGTTGTAATAGGCATCGTGATGGGCCTCTGGGTTTATTGAGTAATCCGCGGGGTGCTGGCTGTTGTTGTAGGACAGAGTATCGACAGAGTGCTAAAGGAATTCGGTCAGGCTCGACAGCTCTCCAATTGCTTATGGGAAAGGGTTCCATCTGGCACTTACAGCGGGGTTGATGTGTAGCTGATCACTTGGACTGGCTAGCCGTCCAATATCAGGCATCTGGGGATTCTGAGGATGATGGCCGTACGGGTTCTCGTCAAGCTGATATCCTTGCTGGAGCGGATGCCCAGGCGACGGAGTCCTGTACGGGTTACCCCGGGGATCCATGTGTTGACCGTCGTCGAAGTCGTGGTCTGCGAGTAGAAGTCGTTAGATTGCGGTGAGGGGAGAGGATCGATCAAGCAACGCAGAGGTAGCAAAAGATTGAGAAGGAGGAAGATGGTTGGAAACGAGGCGCAACAAGGCGCGCTACGGGCCTATCTGTATGCGTACGAGTACACGAGCACGGGTAGGATGCCGCAGCGCAGGGAACGTGGGGAGAGGATAAGAGGCTAGCCCAGAAGGTCGAGCATCGCAATGATGAAGATGTCGCAACAGGGAGCAATGCGTCGTAGGGACGATGTGGGCAAAAGTGGGTGTTCGAGATTAAGCGGGCAGGGGGGGTGAAGCCAAGGGCCGTCAGAAGGGGAAACTGGAGATTGCAAGCACATACCTAGGCGATTATACGACATGGTCGGTGTGATTCGATGGATGTGCTGAGAATGGCGAAACGGTCAATGGCGAGTGGTTGGTGGAAGAGAGTCGACGATTGATGTGCCGCGTTGTGCCAGCAAGTCGAGCCAAGGGCGAGCGTTCTTTGTTCCCTCCGCGTTGCCCCTGGTGGCGCCTGGAATGAATAGCCGGGGAAGTGAGGCGTGCAGTTGTACGACTACTCGGATGTATTTTTGGAGTCGCCTCAGCTTCTGCTTCTAGTTACTGTAACTGTACGGCAGACAAAGCCGCCAAGTGCCGCCAACGCAAAGATTCTAGTGCTGTGCGAAGCGGATTGCGGCGCAGCAACAGCTTTGCGTCTTCGTCTGATGATGCGGCTCGATAACAACTGCAGAGCGCGAGAACGAGACAACGAGACACGCAGGAGGCCTGTGCGTACCCGGAACGGTTCTCGGCTAGGCGATCAAAGACAGTCGAGTCGTCGAAGAAGCTCGCCAATGGCAGCTTTGGAGCATGCAAGGTACTGTCGGGTTGTTTTTCTCTCTCTTGCGGTTCGCAGGCTATGCCGACGATCGCAACTCTGATGTGGTGTAATATCAACAGTCCGCGCCTAAAATACAGTGGTGTAGTGTACTCGAGATGCGCTCTCTTCAGTTGGCCTCTCCCGATGCTGATCACACACGTACAGGGGACAGAGAGCCAAGTCAAAGGGGACGAGGGATGAGGAAAAAAGATCAAACGGCGGTTTCAAAGTGATGAAGTAGCAGTTTCACTGAAGCTTCTCGGCGACCAGGGCCAAAACTCCTCCCCCTGGCAGCCATTCGCCAGATGACCCTTGGACCAGCTGTCGGTTTCAGAGACGCTAGTGGGGGGTTTTAGTGCCTTGTAGGGGCTTGGGGGCAGACTCCAGAGCAGTAGCGGGAATTCTACTGGCTGGCAGCACCCCACCAAGGGCTTTATTGGCCATTTGATTGCCTTGGCGACGGGAAGCAGTGACGTCGATAAGAAAGAAAAGACGGGCCACATGCGCGGGAGGGATTAGACGAGACGAGAGAGAGGTGAGCACAATTGGGAGTTGAGGTAGCTTCAGGGGGAGAGATATCTTGTACGACATGGAGCGTTAATCTGAGGTATTACAGTAGTGTAATACAATGTTTGTTCTTCTTCTGCATGTATGGATTAGTATTAATAGACACTTTCCGCCCAATCTCTCCGGCTCCCTGCTGAGGATCCAGTCCAACAGATAAACCCATACGGTGAGCGGCATTATTACTGATCCTGCATTCATGTTCCATCCCAATGCATTGCGCGATATCGCCTCGAGCGTTGAATCCAGCCGGCGTCAGCAGCAAGGCCTCTCCATCCTGGAAATTCCCGTTTCCGAGAATCAACGACAACCTGCTATACGAGCAGCAACACGCCATTACAAAGAATCTCCAAAAATAAACGCAGCCCTTTGAAAAGGTTGTCCACCAACTGTCAACTTTTCTACGCCAAGGCACACACCTCACAAATCAACGACAAGCCTAATGAGCTCAGCCTCGCCAACTCTGTTTGCCACCCGCCAATCACCGACTCTCACAGCGCGAGAGCTGAGCTCAGCAGAGCCTCCAAGCCTCTCCCATCGCGCGGCCTCGTCGTCACAGCTGATGCGTCTAGTGGACTCGCTAGATCGGAGCCAATCTGGGGCAAGTCTGTTTTGTGTTTTCTTTTTCCCTTTCCCCTCTCCATTCCGTTGATAAGGATCTGCATCCAGATTTTATAACGGGCCAACGGCTAGTCATTTGAGCTGCAAATGGCCGACAGGATACCTGCAGTACATACATTCCGCCGTGATACGAGTATAACCTAAGGTACGAGGGGATGAACCCTCCGTGGCTTGAATCGAAGACCCATTGACTTTGGCGGCGCATTACCCGACTCGACTACACACAGGTACGTGTAGGCAACTGTACCCGAGATGGACGTAGCCCATGTACACGGCATGCAATCCACCAACTTCTGTTTCCATCCCTCTTCAGCCTCAAATCCCGATTTTTTTTTTCTCTCTCTTCGCATCCAATGCGGGGCATCAAAAACTGCCTCGCGGGGCGTCAGCCAATGCTCAGGTACAATCACATGTGCTAAAGAGCCCAACCCCATCGGAGTTCTTCCCGCTGGCAAGGGTATCTGCAGCTAAAAGGCTCAGTTTAATCATCTTTTGACCTGCCATTGAGAGCAATCAAATGTGACATGTGCCGAGAATGAGTTTGTAGTGCCCGGTACTCCATGACTAAGGTAACTTGTAGTTGGCATACTGCTGTGAGTATTTGAGAAACCAAGAGCCGTGTAGCTGGACCGCCACAACAGACACATTTGGCTATTCCACACACCAACTTTCGATTTGAGTTGCTACAATCATGGGTCGAGAGAAAATAAGTTACATTAATAATCATATTCTCCGTGCCGTCAGCAACATCCATTGATTCCTGCGGCTAGATATCCCAACAACCTCCTAGTCCCCCTACAGACAGATGCGCTGGTCTTACAGTCGACGCGCTCATGGGAGATGCCGCCGCGCACATACAACGAAGTCATGATCAGGGACCTTTTAGTAATTGCTTAGTTTGAGTCGCCAAATGCGTTCTACCCAAGCTACGGCACGGTCCAATCTGACTGACATGCTAGTCATATGTTATCATCCGGGGTAAGCAGCAGCCGAGAACATCAAAGATTGCCGAGGGGTCTGTGTGGCGGCTGCAGCTGGACTGATTTCTTTTCATATTTTGTCATACATTGAAGTTCGATTCGAATGCCAATCGAAGCGCCTTAGACCAAGTTACGCGTAGCGCACCGACACCAAAGTCGAAGGTTTAGTAAGGGGTGTCGGTAGAAATGTTGTCCAGCGCTCTTATATCGTAGGTGAGACTCTTGCGGTGTATGTTACGTGTGAGAACGTAATGAAAGGCGGGATTGCTCAAACGGAGACGGCAGTGACGGGAATGATGATTCCCTAATTCCAGCACGAAAAACGAATACCAGTCTAGTTATCCATCCTATCCAGCTGCAACAGTCATCTGCGGAACTCCGCTCATCTCTCTCCATTTTTTTCTCATAATTTGTCCGATATGCCTCCTTTGGCAAGACAAATCAGATATCAATGAGTTGCACCCAAGTCTCCAAGAAGGAATCCAACATGACAAAGTCCAAGGATGGGGCATAACAAAAGGGCTCGGAACTGAGGAAAAAGGCAACTTTGGCTTTGGGGTCAGGCCGGCAATCTCCAAGATGATTTAATCGCAAATTCGTTTCATTTGCCTTGTTAGAAGTCCGTATTCGAGCTCAAGAAGCGCTGCCTTGATTTGGCACATCACTTATTCTTTTCACCGAGTTGAGATGATTCAAGAAACGTTCTGCTTTGACCATTAGAATATGCATCCACACAGCAAAAGGGCAGGAAAATGGCATACCTCCAAGTTTCCAACGATGTGAGAATTCTACCAAGGAATTTCTTAGCGTCCAAACATCCTCTCTCGATAAACCTTCCGCGCGAAGCTCGTCCAAGTGAGCGGCAGCGCCATATAGGCAGCAAAGTCCAAGGAAGCACGGCCTACTGTTGTTAGACCAGCCGTGCGCCTGGACCCATTCGGCTTCGTCACGACATGTGTCCATGATCATGTTGTGTATGCTGTTGAATGTCAGGACTGCTCTGAGTACGGTGAAGTTGTCGATCGACATCCTATAATAATTTTGTTTGCGATACAGCATGATTAGAGCACTTGGTGTTGGTTAGCATAGGCCCTTTGCAAGATAGAAGAGTACCAGCTACCGTCTGGTGTCACGAACCTAAGTGCCATAGCAACCGTTTCACAGAGAGGAAATTTGCCTCCTTCGGTGGTACGGATAAAGTCGGCAATTTCATTGCATACGGCGGTTTCGACAAATTCGTACTTTTCTGCGTCGGGTCCATTTACATTCTTTAGCATGTCACCGAGGCGGAGAACGTGCTCTGCTCGTGCCAACAGGTTGCGGATAGCATCCCGGCTGTAAAGATCCGACTTTGATGCCTGAAAGATGCCAGAATTTGGCGGAATATGGTGCGCTTCTACCAAATATGGCAGGCACTGGTCGATGTTGGACAGAACAATAGTCCTATAGAAAGGGTCAATATCGCGTTCCAGGCGATTATCGTGGGAAATTATAGCCCACCTATCCAGTAGAATTATACCACTCCAGCAAAGATCCAATTCCAAGTGATCGTAAAGGCCATGGCCCGCTCCCATACTGGGTTCTGCTGTCGCATAACTGTCGATGCTGAGACGGCGAATAAGGCCGATACATATCGTCAATGTCTCGTACGCCTCTTTAGTCATACCATGGCCGCATGCATATGCCGTCAGGATAATGCCACATTGTAGCAAAGTGCGAGCAAGGATATCTGGAGATGATTGTAGAATGACAAATAGCTGTCGTAAAGTGCGATATAAAAGGTTTTGTGTCGGCTGAGGTTGGTTTTCGCAAGGTCTCTCGGTGAAGGTATGCATACAAAGAAGCAACAAGGCAAACGCGTCATGGTTGCCTACCTCATCCAGATTGAAACGTGCTGCTTCGTCATAAATGGCTCTTCTGTCTAGAATTGGTAGCCAGTAATGTGCCAGATCAAAGTATCTGGTTACGACATCTGTTACGCTGATGCCGCTATGGTCAAAGATGTCTCTCACAACGTGATACAGCGTCGGCTGAGAATAGCTGCCTTGCATGTATGAGCCCTGCCTTGAACAAGCTGCCCAGAGTAAATCGCGCTCGCCGTGAGGAGATAGATGGAAGCTGCAAGGCCGGGAACAAGGTATTAGCATATGACTTGTGCTGCTCGACACTGGCACAAGTCCGCCAACGGCGCCGTGATCTTTGGTAGGATAAACGCATCGAATTGCCTTCCTAACAGCCATGATATTAGTACTCGTATGATGCCTGTTGTCACAGACGTGAAGCCGAGGTTGGCAAATGCCTACGTTGAGCACCGAGAACATTGAGGGATGATTCTGTCGCAGCGCTGCTTTTGGCGGCGGCAATTCAAGCATGTCCCTGGCGCAAGACTGGCCTGATTGGCAGCAACGTCTGATTCGAGTTGATTGCCGCTCGGCAGCAGAGCCACATGCTCGGTCATATTGCTGTGGATGGATCTATACCCAGATCTGACGTAGTTTGAAGACAGTGCTAGACGGAATGATTGAGACCACCACTGAGAAGCTAGCACACTTCACTTCAATGTTTGTTAGTGGAATCGAAGAGGGCGCGAGGGACAGTACATGTATATACGATCGGCCGACCCTTGTCAATTGTCTATTTTAGTTGTCGCCGTGGATGTTACGGGCTGGAGGGACGAGGCGAGAAAAGTTCTATAGATGGATGATTATTATGGACATCTCGGATAACGGAAAGCAGACGTCTCGAAGGCGGCGCCACAGTCTAGCGCAATTTGTACTACAGTGTAGCGCGAACTGTAAAGCGAGAGACTGGGCTGTCACGGCTATTGTAATGTATAAATCTTACAAACTCGATACTCTCGGATACACTTTGAAGCGACTCAATCTGCCACTATATGGCTTACAATTAAGTATAATCCTAGCTGAACGTATACGAGTATACGTACCAATTTGAAATTAAAGCCTCATGACAATCGACTCTTCACGTCGTATTACAACGCATATACGGTAAATGCAGTTTTCTAACTCCAGGGTGGCCCCGTGGAGCGGCAAATATTCCATTTGTCCGAACGGTACGCGTACATTTCTGCACTTAATGCAATAACATCACACAATGCCTCTAATTGGGATTCAAACATACTGCCAAGTCCAATTTTGCCGCCGCAACTCGACTCCATCACGGCTGTACGGCTAGAAGCGGAATCCACCCTCAGACTATTACCGCAATGTTCGCAAATAGTTGTGGATAAATACATTGCGAATCCCACCGTATCTGCACAACTTATTACGTGTAGATCCTCGGACTATCGCGGGCGAATGCGGACCATCGCATGATGGCTCGTGCCTGACCCCGGTTTCCATGTGTCCGAATCCATATCACTCCGTGTAACTATACAACTACCAGTTTCAGACGCCCAGGCACCCCGCACTCTCGGAGATGGACGTACGAGTATATATATCCCCCGTCGAGCTGAATTGAAGCTTGAATCATAGTTGTTGATCGTCTATTCAAACTATTCAATACAAAATGTCTCTTACAGGAAGTTGCTTGTGTGGAGAGGTGGCTTATGCCAGCAGCAGTGAGTTGTCTTCACACAATAACATGGCATACTTTTCACTTTATTCTCTAATGCGAATGCTTCAACAGGCCCTGCGACGCTCACGGCTCTCTGCCACTGCTTAGACTGCCAGAAGGTAGGCGTCAAGATAACTCCGTTCGAATATCATCGCTAATAATTCATAGTGGACTGGCTCAACGTACACCGCAAATGCCGTAGTCCCCGAAGCATCCTTCCAGGTCACCAAAGGTAGGTAAACTCTTTCATTTATGAAGAATCACAACACTAGTTCTAATTGATATCAGGCGAGCCCAAGTTTTACGACACTATCGGTGACTCTGGAAAGAAGAACAGACATTTTTTCTGCGCCAACTGCGGATCCAGCCTGTACGGAGTGTTGGACGTCATGCCGGGAGAGATTGTCATTAAGAGCGGCGGACTGGATAACGGAGCAGCTGACCTGAAGAACGTGGGGCTTGAGTTTTACTGTGAGAGGAGGTTGAGCTTTGTCCTACCAACAGAGGGAGCCAACCAAGTTCCTCGGTTTGGTTAGACAATGAACAACGCAGCAGTTTATGGCTCTGTTGGTTACTCAAAAAAGAAAAAAAGTTCTTCATATGGTCAAATTTGGTACTTCTGGAGAGCAACTTTTGACAGAGAGTGAATACTGTTAACCAAAGTCGAAGTTTCCACCATGTTACTCGGAGTCGTCCGACATTTATACCACCAAAGCGAGGAGGAATAGTCATATATTCAAATCAAAATTGCCATAGTTCATACATGACTTGAACTTGCTCATACTGGGGAGTTGGTTCCTTATCGTGGATCAAGAGGGCACGAGGCAATGGGGGAAGTAATGCGAAGGACAGAAGCCATTGGCCCTTTTGGATAGTTAACTAAACAACTCAACAGGCGTAAACGGGCCAAAAATGAGCCTTTTATTGGCTGACTTGGGCGAATTGGTTATAAATAATGTTCTCATGACTCAGCGATCAGAAGCAACCAAGCAGACTTGATCCCAATACACTATCACCATGACAGTGTTCATGTAATCAACGGCAGACTGTGTACGCCGCTTGAAGAGCAGGGGTCGGCCGACGCTATCTAGGCCTAGCTTCCGTTCCGCATCTCCCATTTTGCCCGTGCGCTGACAGGGGTCGGCCGACGCTTGCGCATGGGGCGAGCCAATGAAGCTCTAACCTCCAGATTTCATTTTCCAAAAGAGTTGTTGAAGATGCTTGATTCCTCAGTATATTGGAAACCAACAAGTAATTAAGGCTTGAACTTGTCACAATTCATACTGGGTAAGCAGCTTCTTTTAGACAAGTCTGACACAAAAAGCTCCACCTCGGTTCAACTGCCGATAACTAACACTGTCTGGACTACTAGGCAGGGCAAACTTGAAGTTGGACGATTCAGTCCAAGTGTAGAAGAGGCAGCTAATTAATCTTCATTAATAATAGAGAAGGCCTCTTTGTCATCCCCAAATTGTTCTTGAAGTAAGTCTTCGAGACTTTCGACAATGGTGTAGATATCCACTCGGATTTATGATTCCATATTTCCCACACATCTCGCCTCTTCTGCGGATATAAGTACTACTCGACGGCCGCCAAATACATATCATTCCACTCCATCAGCAATAACTTAAGATAATTCAAGCAGACAAAGTCACCTTACTCTTCTAAAATCTCTCTATACTTTATCATCCATTACAATGTCTCTCCCTACCACTTCACGAGCTTGGTCCGTCCGCGACATCGTCAACGACAGTTTCGATGGCCTTGTTCTGGAAAACAATGTTGCTCTTCCCAAGCTCGGCGAGCATGATGTGTTGATTCAGGTTGAAGCTGTCTCCCTCAACTACAGAGATCTTGCTATCCCAAGGGTAAGTAGACATACAGCCCCTCAGCGCCATCTACGAGCTGACTCTTTTACAAGGGACTCTACCCATTTCCCATGAAGACGCCTGTTGTTCCTGGCTCCGACAGTGCTGGTATTGTTCTCGCCGTTGGACCCAAGGTTACCAGAGTATCAAAGGGCGACCGAGTATGCACTCTCTTCAACGAGCACCACCAGACGAGCCCGATTACTCCCGAGGCTGTTGGAAGTGGCCTCGGTGGTGCGGTTGACGGCACACTGCGCAACTACGGCGTTTTTGGCGAGCACTGTCTTGTCAAGGCCCCATCCTCTCTCAATGCCGTTGAAGCTAGCACTCTGACATGCGCTCCCCTCACTGCATGGAACGCCCTGTACGGACTGCAGTCGAAGGCCATCAAGGCCGGCGATTGGGTCTTGACGCAGGGTACCGGTGGCGTTAGTCTTGCAGCTATTCAGTTTGCCGTTGCTGCCGGCGCAACCGTTGTCTCTACAACCTCCACAAGTGACAAGGCCGATGCCTTGAAGAAGTTGGGAGCTTCCCACGTTATCAACTACAAGGAGACCCCCAACTGGGGCGAGGCTGCTCGAGCTTTGACTCCTGGAGGTTTGGGATTTGACCACATTCTCGAAATTGGCGGCGCCGCAAGCGTCGCACAGTCACTCAAGGCCATTAAGCTGGAGGGTGTCATTACCATCATTGGTTTCCTCACTTCGTCCGACAAGCAACCTCCTCTGATGGACGCTCTCAACCACCTCTGCATTGTCCGTGGCATCTTTGTCGGCTCTCGACAGCAGTTTGAGGAGATGAACCGGGCGATTGACTCTGCAAAGATTCGTCCCGTGGTCGACTCCAACCTCTTTTCTTTTGAGGACATCAAGAAGGCTTACCAGTACCAGTGGGAGGCCAAGCACTTTGGAAAGGTTGTTATCCAGATTGGAAACTAGATTGACCACAAAAGTCATTTTTTAGTATGAGTATGCAATATTTAGCAATATGCCACTTTTATCATAACATATTTCAAAGCGATGTCTCTTCAGCCGGTGGTGATGTATGTTAGTTATGATGCCTTGTAGCTATGCCCTGGCGGCCGTTTTGAGTAGCTAAAAGACAGACAGCAAACACGACATAAGACAATAAAGGCATCAACCTCTTATTGTATACTAATAAGCCGCTTTAGCTACTTCTTACTCTCAGCTACTTGCAGCGACAATATGACGCCTAGCCACTTCTTTGAGCTGCTGCTGACAGCTTCTTCTCCATCGGATATCGGTAACCTAGTTGAACAAGGGTCGGCCGTCCCTAGCTAATTTGTTTGACAGGCGGGGAGTATTAACTACTAAATCGGAGTACTTCGGAGTAGTCTGGAGTACCCCAAGCTTATAAACGCAAGAGCCAGCCTGGTCTAAGCCTTGCAGACCCCTCTGCGGTAGCTTGTAGTTTATGCATGTTTCCAGTCTGTTTTACATTTACCTACGTCGTTTATATGGTTGTGGGTCGATTGGAAACTTTCACACAAATACGGCAGTCTTTCCGAACAGCAAAATATCTAGTCATCTGGGCGTATGCGACTAGAAGGGCGTGGCGTTTACGAGCCAGTATACTCACAATGGACACAAATTACTATAAAGGCTCCAACTGCTGTCGCATACATACCATATTTAACTCATTACATTGAATTCTGATTATGAAAGTCAAAAAGTCGGAGGATAAGGCCAACACGATGGACAAGCAGCTGGTTACCCTCGAGGATGATGGCTACTTCAATCTCGGAACATATCATCGTCCTATCACAACCAAAAGTCCCATTGCTCAGCGGTGGTTTGATCGTGGACTCATCTGGGCCTATGGCTTCAACACCCAGGAGGCGTCCAATTGTTTCGAGAAAGTCATTATAGCAGACCCGGACTGCCCAATGGGATACTGGGGGTTGGCGTATACCCGCGGGCCGTATTACAACAAGGCGTGGCGTCTATTTGACCCCAAAGATCTCAAGATGGCTCTTGAAGCTACTTACAGCGCGTCACGCCAAGCATTGAAACTTATAAGAAATGCCAGTCCAGCCGAGCAGGCTCTTATCCACGCCATTGTCGCTCGATATCCCCAGCCAACTCCGACCGACGACTACTCGGTGTGGAATCGTGCGTATGCTAGTGCAATGGAGACCGCGTACAAGCAGTTTAGTGGAGATTTGGACATTGTCGTTCTTTATGCCGATGCCCTCATGAATCTTACTCCTTGGGCTATGTGGGATCCATACAGCGGCAAGCCGGGCCCTAATGCCCGCACACTTGATGCTTGTGCAGCTGTCTCGCGGGCATTGACTCAAAAGGGCGCCGACAGACATCCTGGACTGCTTTATTTACATATTCATTTGATGGAAATGTCACGTACACCCGAAGTTGCCGTTCCTTCAGCCGACCTGCTGCGTGGCCTCGTGCCAGACAGTGGCCATCTAAACCACATGCCATCGCATATCGACGTTCTTATTGGAGATTACCGAAGTGCCGTTGCTGCCAATACTGCCGCTGTTAAGGCAGATGCAAAATTTGTGGAAAAGATTAGTGGCATGAATATGTATACGTTTTATCGGGCTCACGACTACCATTCTCTGATATACGCGGCTATGATGTGCGGGCAATCGCAAGTTGCTCTTGACAATTGCACTCACTTGGAAGAAGCGACACCCGAGAGGCTGCTCGTGGTTGAATATCCACCTATGGCAGATTGGTTGGAAGCTTTTTGTGCTGTTCGGCCTCACATCTTGATCAGATTCGGCCGATGGAATGATATCATCAATCTCACACTACCAACAAATCAGTCTCTTTACTGTGTTACCACCGCCACGCTTCATTATGCAAAAGGTGTCGCTTATGCCGCCACTGGGAACGTGACTGAAGCTCTGAAACAACAAGCCTTCTTCATCGAAGCTCTATCTCGGATACCGTCCTCACGAATGGATTACCCAAACAAGTGTGTTGACATTCTGAAAGTCGCCGAGGCAATGCTGGCAGGAGAGATTGAGTACCGCCGGGGTAACCATGAAGTAGCCTTTGAGCATTTGCGTCGATCGATTCATCTGGATGACAGGCGTCTATACAGCGAACCATGGGGCTGGATGCAACCAGCCCGTCACGCCTATGCGGCGCTGCTGCTGGAACAAGGCCGTGTGGAGGAGGCCGCTACGGCTTATGCAGAAGATCTCGGCCTCGATGAGTCTTTACCGCGTGGCCATCAGCATCCAAATAATATCTGGGCTTTGTGTGGTTATCACGAGTGCTTGACGTTACTAGGGCGAACAACAGAGGCTAAATTGCTCGAGCTTTCGTTGAAGCTTGCAACATGTTTAGCTGACATTCCTGTACAGTCTTCTTGTTTTTGCAGAGTTAATACCCAAAAGGTTCCCGTAGAAGGTGAACAGTCATGTAACATGAGCGGTAGCTGTCAATTAAGGTAGACTTTGAGAGTACTGTGAAAAGGAAGAACTACAAATACAGTTATAGTAGTAAATACTAAAGATAAATAATTATAATAGCAGCTACTAGAGAAATGTAGATATAGTAGTATATGCTAGATAAAGGTAAATGTAGTAGTAAATACTAGAGAAAAGTAAATAGAGATTAAATGCCACTTGTAAGATATCAAACATCTGAACCCATCTATGAGATGAAGCTTCAACCAAACAACTGGCAAACAGGAACCAAGCCAACAATGGAAATAGTTCGGAGATGCTTATGAACGATTGACAATAGTCAACTACCTATGGAGTAGTAAACTCAGCCTCGGGATCCCTATTCTAATCAAGGCTACAGCGAGTTAAGTGTGCTTGACAAAATGGTGTCTTAGGATTAGTGATGGCTTCACCAAGTTTAGTAATCCACTGCAGGATTACAAAATAGTTTATTCGTCACAATTTTTGACGAATCTGTTCTGGAAATTCGTCAAGATTGGAAGTCAGATGAATGAAATGTGCATGCTCTCTATTTTACAAATTCGCTAATTGTACTACCAAAATTACAGACAACAAGATAAGCTAAAACCGCGTGACTGCTCAAGATGTGAATGCATATCCGCCTAGCCTGGCGTACATGTACCTAAAGTCCATGCCCGGATTCTTCTCGAGCATATCAGCAGTCATCGACGCCGACCGTATATCCCCAGATGCCGCCATGTATCTCAGCGTGCGAATCGCCCATATACGCAGTTCAGGGTTTCTCGACGCACTGCCGGCTATGAACAACGCTGGAAGGAGGATGCCGCATTTCAGCGTCTGAATACTGGAGAAAGGGATGCTGTTATTCGGGCGGGCGGCGGGGAGGATAAACGGGGGTACTGCGGCACAAACATCCTCCGCGAAGCGCTCCGTACGGCTCAGTGATTCTGCAAGTGTGTTGCTCGCTTCATCAGACCCGTCATCCTCCAAATGGGTTTGGATGTAGGCTTGAAGCTGAAGTTGCATTATTCGAACAGTGTTGCGCACTTGCGTTGTAAAATGGTCCCTGTAAACATGGTAATAATCTGCAAAGATGAGAGATCGATAGGCGGGGTCCTCCTCCGATGCCATCACTTTCCTGGGCTGCCATCTCTGGGATACGGTATCCTCAATTTCACGATACGCATCGTGGAGGTCCTTTGCCGTTGCAACAATCTCGCGGTCAGACAATAACCCTTCGGCAACATCGATTCGAAAATTGATCATCCGTTGATTCATCTTGGAAAGGCGCCACTTGGCATCATCCTTGTCGTGATATATGTCAAGTCTTCGCCCTAATTCCGCCACGCCTTCCGGTATCCGGTGAGAAGCAATGTAGCAGCTGATGAGGAGGGTTATAAAGAGTTTGTTGGCCAACGTTCTGCTGACTTCGCTTCTTATCATGTCATTGTAGCCACGAGCCTTGATTAGTGCTAGAGCCCCATTAAGATGGGCCAGCCAAGGCGCCGCCGCTCTGAGGTCACGACCCATGATCTTCTCGTAGAGGTCGAGAAGTAGCACCGATTGCAGCGTGGAATCGGCGCTCGAGAGTTCTGGGTTAGAGAGAGCTGCATTGACTCGCCGTAGAGCAATCATGTATTGCTGAGCTGCTAGCCGGAACAACTCCCCTGATTCTATCGGGTTCTTATTCGCCGCAAAAGCGAGGCTGGCTGCGTCTACACTAGCTGACAAGTGATCATCCGCTTTTGCCTTTTCGTACAAGGAAGGTAAGATGTTATAGCTGCTGGATAAGCCAAATACATAGTGAGCAAAGAAGTCGTGGCGAGCGCGCACATTCCACGGCGTCTGCGGCTGCGGAATCAAGCTGCTGCTGGTGTTGGGCAAGATGACGTGATTCAGGGTGCCAAACTGCAAAGACACCGTCGTTGCCTTGGAAGCTAGCATTTTGCGCTCAACGCTGCGCGTCTGGTCACGGAAGATGAGTTCATTTGAGTCTCGGTATCCAAAGCACGAGATGTTGGCCCGCAGACACTGGCCACATCCATCCTTGCGCAGGTCACACTAGAAACCCCCATTTCCGCGTTAGCCAAGCGAACCTCATGTGACTAAGGATGGTGTACATGCGGGATCCGTACTTTGAGCTTGCGCTTTCTGCACGGCAGACAATCTTTGGAGGGTCCCCGATAGACCATTTCGTCAGGTTCCAGTGTCTAGTTTGATGTATGAATGGCAAGGGGAGTGAAGAGGTACCGGTACGACACCAGACCCCTGTTCGGTTACGCGCTGAGGGATGACAAATAGAGCTGGCACTAAGAGACGATCAAGGCGCTAAACAGCGATTGCACGCACTCCATACAGTCGACGGCCTTGTCGAAAGATGAAGTTTCATTGTGCAATCTCCAGCCTGGGCGTCTGCGGAAGTTGGTTGCATCTCGGGGCTAAAAGTCGGCGTGTCGGTTTGCCTCCAGAGCGGCCTACGTAACAGCGGGCGCTAGGCCTACAAGGGCTAGCGTTCCGGAGTTTTAGATCGGTGGATCCCGTACCTGCCCCCTTCCAGAACGATACAACGTATTTGACTTGCCGAGATCATTCCTCAGGCATGGAGATCGGGGTTATGAAGAGGGCGAACCGAGTTTATCTCTCTTCTGGGTTACATTTGACTTGATCGCTGCACAGCAAATCGAACTACCGGGGATAAAGCCAAGTCAAACCGCGAGACCAATGCCTATTTGGGACATGATTTCTAAGCGTCGACGACTGTACAACCACCACTCAACTGCTGTTGGTCTGCCGGAAGACAAAATATCCACCGCTCCATTTGGCCCCTGCAAGCCGTTGAAACAGCCAGTGAGCGGGTTGACGATGACTTCAACAAGTTATAGCTCGGCGAAATTAAGTCCGGCACTGATATTTCCATCTGGTTGCTAACTCCGGACATCGCAATGTCTTATAAGAGGTCGCCTGCCTGAACCAAGGCTGTCACAACTGCATGAACAGACCAGACTCAACTTCATAGTTACATCGAAAAACATACGCAAAAATGGTGTTTCAGTATAAGCGCGTTCTCCTCGTCGGCGCCACCGCTGGCATCGGCGCTGCCATGGCAGACAAGCTCATCGAAGAAGGATCCAAAGTTATCGCCGTTGGCCGTCGCCAGGAGCGGCTTGATGCCTTTGTGGCCAAGCACGGCGCAGAGCGTGCCAGTGCCATCCGGTTTGATGTCACCGACAGGGCTGGTCTCGACGATTTTGTCAACAAGTGAGCATGATATACGCCTTAACCTTACTGCGTTGACGAGCAAAGGCTGATCAGTGGCTGGAATTCAGGGTTGTCCAGACGTACCCCGACTTGGACTGCGTTTTCCTCAACTCGGGCACTCAAACCCAAACCAAACTTACTCGCCCAGAAGAAATCGATCTCGAGGCTTTCCATCATGAGTTCAACGTCAACTACACTTCAGTCGTGAACCTCACCATCAAGTTTCTGCCCCACCTCCTGAAGAAGGATTACCCCACCAGCATCATCGTCACAGGGTCAATCTTGGGCCTGATTCCCGCCTTTGTCATGCCAGCGTACAGTGCCTCCAAAGCTGCGCTCCGGTCCTTTTTCGATTGTCTTAGACGACAGAACCAAGGCTTCTCAAAGGTCAAGTTTATTGAGCTGTTGCCTCCAGCTGTACAAAGTAAGCGTTCCACTTCTCCAGACTCCGGTGAGGCTACTTGACAGTGAGCAACACTGACGTCTGCAATAGCTGAATTGCATGATTACATGGGCATTGAGCGTGGTCGAGCTCTGGGCATGCCCCTCGACCAATTCACTGAACAAGCGTATGCCCAACTTGCGACAGATAAGGAGATAATCATCATCGGAAACCTTCATGGCTCTACCGTGGAAGAAACACATGAGTTTTTGGAGAAGAGGGACGGGATGTTCAATGCTATATCCAACGCCATGGCGGTTCATTTCCAGCCCTAAAGAGACGGAGCTTGGACAATTGTATAAGACCTTTCAGAGCAAGCGAACCACTATTAAACGAAATTTTGTTTTGCAATGCCTCATATGTCCTTTTGTGTTTTGCATGGTTATGCAGTGATGTCCCATTGTCAGGATGGATGAGCATTCAATCCGCTACACTTCTTCTCTTACATCGCAATAGGTAAGCGATATATAGGTATGGTTTGGATTGTTAAGCTCAAACTGTTATAAGCCAAAAGCTTGATGGCCGGAAACTGTGGGGCATCGGCATGGGTGGAGTCCCCGAGACTTCGGAGCTGTCATCGGGCTATCCGTCTCCAGTTACCTGCTATCAGGTACTAAATATCACTGGAATGACGGACACTGACCGACCTCGGAAAGGTTTATACATAGCCCTATCTAATCCTCGTTCGATTTATCCGCGTCTAAGTCCCTATCAAAAGTCGGGCGATGGCGCAAACTTTAATGCTCTGTTCCGGACGCAGAATCGCCTGATCCGCCCACCCAAGCACCGCCGACGTCACCTAAACGTCGTCGGAGGCTACAGGCTACAAAACTAATGGAAAAGAATTCCATTTCGAAGTCTCGAGATTCTATTGGGATTCAAGAATCTTGAAAGACTTAATAACAAGAATTGTAAACGGCCTCTTGCTCATTACCAGCAATCGATCCAAGTACATCACTGCTTAGGGAATGCAATGCTCTCCTACATCTACACCATGACTCCCCCTACAAAAGTCTTCTTTCCCGCGTTTCAGCTGCAAATCTGCGGGGAGCTCTTCGTGCCGGAGCCAGGGTCCCCGAATCGCATGGGTGCGGCGGTCGTCATAAGCCATCCGATGACAGGCGTCAAGGAGCAAACGTCGACGGATTACGCCAAGCTCCTCTCCAGAGCCGGCTTCTACACCCTCATCTTCGACGCCGGCTACCAAGGCGAGAGCAGCGGCGAGCCTCGCGGGCTGGAAGACCCCCGCCAGCGCGTGGAAGACATCAAGGCGGCGGTGAGCTACCTGACGACGCTGAGCGGCAGAGTGGACGCCGAAAAGATTGGGCTGCTGGGCATCTGCGCCTCCGGGGGATACGCCTCGTACTCGACACAGTCAGACAGCCGCATCCAGTGCCTGGCGACGGTGAGCGCAGCCTGCGTCGGGCGCATGACGCGCAGCGGCGGCGTCCATCCGCACCACAGGGAGAACCCGCAGGCCATTGCCACGGCTCTCGAGGCCGCGGGCCAATGGCGGTCCAACGCTGCGAAGAACCCGACGTCCAAGCCCGAGGCGCCCGTCATGTTCGAGACGGACCCATCCAAGGTCGCCGAGGGCGCGGATTCTTTCTTCAGGGATGCAGCCGCATACTACGGTACGAAGCGCGGGAAACACGAACGAAGTACCCAAAGAGTTCCCCCGCAGAGCTACGACCTCATGGTCAGCTACGACTCGTTCAATTTACAGCATCTGATAGCGCCAAGGCCGCTTCTTATGATTGCGGGATCAGAGGCTCAGACGCTGCATTACAGCCAGGCGGCCATTGAACAGGCCAGGAGGCCCAAGGAGCTGTTTGTGGTGCCGGGCAAGAACCACTTTGATTTATATGACGACCTGCGAGAGACGGGACCAAAGGTGGTAGACTTTTTCGCCAGCGGCTTGGAGTGACAATTTAGAAAGAAAGAAAGAGAGTACGAGAGAGAGAAAGCGTACTTTGTACATTACAAGGCGTCTCAAGCTGTGGTTTCGGATTTTGGAATTTGGGATTTGACGTGTATAGTAATCAGGCGGGTTTATGCCGTGCTGGTCTCGAAGAGCTGGAGCCAGCAAATCTTGCCGCGCGAATGTTGAGTAATCGAGACGGAGTCGTATCTTACTAGCATAATTTTGCCCAACAGGCCTCGAACAACAAGTCCATCAAAGGTTCAGGCTGGCCATGTACAGTATGACGGAGGATCTGCCATCCAAAGAGACTGAAGTCGTGTCATGCTTATTAGAGAATCTCTGGGGTCTCGCTCGGGAGATATCATATCCGGCACAGGTGATTGCCAGCGAGGATGACTTAGGTATGATGAAGCAAGAATCGATTCCACTCCTTTTCCCAGAGGAAGTCCATTATTCCACCAACCGAGTTTGAGCGTGAGTTTGTCAGTTTGTTGATTAGACGGGATAAAAAAGAAACAAATGGTCGGCTAGATAGCCCAGCGTTTTGGCGCCCACTTCCGGCCTAGTCGCCGGTGTATGATCTGCAGGCTGTTAATAGGTAGATTGAGATGGCCATGCAAGCCATGGAATCCTTCTGTGTAGTGATTTGTATTGTCGACGCACGGCATTTTTGGGTCTGCTTCAGCTCGATTCACACGGAAAGGGGGCGGTCCACCAAACGCCTACACTGGCCTAGCTGGAGGATTGCGGGAGTCGATATTAATCAACCCGCCCATCCCAGCGATTAGTCTGCACTTTTTTCTTTCTTTCTTTCTTTCTTTCTGGCTACTTTTACCCTTCTTTTCTTCTCATTCTTCTACTATTCACTATTCATTATTTCAGTCCACCCCAGTCACGGCACTCGGTTCTCACCAGGTTGTTTGTTTGTTCCCCTGCACGGCCCAACTGTAATGTGACGCAGCGTCTGACTCGATGCACAGCAGCATAACGTCAGTTTACTTAGTCAGCCGCTTCAGGTCCCAAATCGCCCTTCAAGCCACACTCTGATTTCAAATCGCGACTCCAACAAAACATCACCAAAAGTCACTTCATCTCCCGTGGCCCAGCATCGCCGTGGACTCTCGGAAACAGGTCGAGGCAAACGCCCGCCCATCTCGCTCAGCTGCATGAGATGCACCTGCGAATGCTCTCCCTGCTTCCCTAGAGCCTAGAGCAAACGACCAAGTGACCATTGGCGTAGCCTCCCTGCATTACAACTGAGACAAGCTCGATCGCTCCAATTGGCCCAAGTCCGAGATTTATGAGTCAGCTACTTTATTGGTGCTTGGTTTAGGAGACTAGGTCGTGCCATTTAAAAGAAATGCTGCCGTTCCCCTCTTCGTCGCCTCCTCGCCGTTCCATCTCGCCATCTCAATCTCATCTACTTGAACGACCAATGGACTCAGACGAGGAGACGGACCCCTTCTCCAATCACTCATCGGAAATCGAAGCCGAGATACTCCTCGGTTTCACAAATCCCAGCCATAGACCCCCGGAAGGAGCAGTCGAGGCCGAAACGTTTGCCTACCATGCTCTAGTCAGCGAAGGAGGCCGTCCATCACATCCGTTGAGCCAACTCAAAAGCATCGTCTCTGCGCCGGGGAAATATCGTGACATCCTGGCCTTTTGGCAAGACCAGTCAGACGAGTGGCAGGTCTTTGGCAAGCAGCTGACCAGATGGAGGATGTTCCTATCTCATCAGAAATCATCTCGGCGCCCACCCCGATACCCCAATCATCTCGAAGAGCTCACTGAGCGGCTGGAACGTCACAGCTTTGCGCTTCCTCCTGGATTTGACAAGCCACCGAATGGATTCTGCAGACATATAGACCAGCAGAACAAGTTGGCAACATGGATAGAATATATCAACTACGAATTTACCAGGCGTGACGAGTATGACAAATGGCTCGAGACTTGCCAACCGGGATATGATGCAGCACTAGCCCAACTTATGGATGCACAGGTTCTGGGCCCATTCGAGCAGGTTAGGACGCCAACGAGTGACATTTGTCGCCCATCCAGTCTCGAAGTTACCAGACGAAGGGACGAACGCCGCAGGGCTGAGGAGGAATGTGAGACAGCCAGGAACCGATTAAACTGGAAGGATCCGCTTGGGGGACCGCGAACTAGTCAGCAAATGGAACGAGAACAGCGCCTATATACAGAGGCCAGAGAACGACTGAGAATGATTAACAAGAGAGGATATGTCATCTCCGACTTTGCTCGCAAGACGCATGCTTATCGGTTTGCCCAAGAGAGATCGGAGCGTCATGAGTTGTTACTGCGTTGGGCGCTGGACCAGATCCCCCTGATTGAGGAAGAGCTTAGGAGGGAGGACCAGCTGGCCTTGTCTGGTAATATTCGAGGCGTCTCCCCTAGCTGCGACCGAGCGCCGATGAAGCAATCTTTTCCGCTTTTCCAACAACTTCCGCCCGAAATCCGACATCGCATCTGGTGCGAGCTGATTCCGAGGAGGCCAAGCGTGCACTTTTTCGATGTGTTGAATCACCAGCGTAGACGTCATCTGGCACCCTCCTGGTCCACAGAGGAATTTCGCGTTCGTGCCACCACTTCACGCAACTCTGGCTATCTATCTGTGTATACTCTCCTGGCGACCTGCCGAGAGTCACGACGTCTTGTCGAGATATACTACATGTGTCGACATCGCGGCATAAAGTGTCCTCTATCAGGCGGAACCATCAACTTCAACGAGCAACCGCCCGACTTTCGGACATTTGACTGGATTCCATTTGATGATTTAGTTGTCTTGAACTTTCCTCCTATCCAGGTCACACACCTCCCGGCGGGAAATGCGTTCACCTTGTCTCCTGGGCCAAACCAAGCCGCACGGAACATTGGCGTGTGTGTACCGACGGAGATTATGAGCATGAACCATTTCAGTCCCACCGATGAAGGCGAGGGCGATGACGATGCTGCACAGATCCCCCTGATTCCAGAGTTCATCAACAAGTTACACAGACCCATTCACCCGGATCATGAAAATGGCATCATTCGCCGGGGGATTTGGAAGCTATACCTCATCGTCGAGGGCTGGGTCCCAAACCACATGACGATGCAAGTATCAGTGGGCATCGACACCAACACGTCCGTAGACAAATGGGCAGCTAACCACATATGCTGGCTCTCCCAATCCGCAAGGAAAGAGGAACGAACACAACCATGGAAAAACATAATGAGAGTCAGCCCAGAAGACGACTCGCCCCCTGAAGACAGCAACGAGCGCCGGCTATGGTGGCTAGGCTCGGGAGATTCCGCGCTGGCGTCCCTCTGCCCGAATGATTCGGTCCAAAAGTCCGCCGCGAGGAGGCTGCGTGAGTTTATGGAGACGCTTGCCGGAGCGTGTGACTTGCAGCCGTGGCATAAAGGCTTTAATGGCGTCGAGGCGTTGGGCTGGTTGGAGCCGGCGGGTATGGATGTGCTGGAGGCGCATCCGTGGGATGTTGTGGAGATTATTCGGAATCGAGGCGGACGGCCGCCTGCTCATTGGAAGGGCCGAGGGCAATTTCCCAACTGAGACAGCGAGTTGATGACTTTGATTTGATGAAAGGAGAAAGAAGACGAGACAAAAGATCTTCTGATGATGATAATGAGCAGGAATACACACCATTTTGGAATTATGATGACGAGTTTGTCTATCCGAGCTGAAACTGCGATACCCCCGGATACATTATACACCTATATTTCATCTTTGTATATATACTTTCTTTCGTAGCCTTCATATGGCTGTTCTAGGGTGCGCTTCATTTGGGTATAGGCATTATCACAGCGTGTGGAATACAAAACTTGAATCTATTCATATTTATTTGTCTATGTCTATCAGGATCTGTCATAGTGATACCTGATTGCAGCTTTTAATCTCTATTGTTCCTTCATCTCACAAGATTTGTTTCGCGGAAGAAGTTGGGGCTCTTTTGCGATGCTCTCTAAGGGGCGTTGGGCTTTTGACAATCTCCCTCCCCAGTATTGCTCTCTTGAGAGGAGCTATCACGCCTAGAGTAATCTCCTCTCTTTGTAAAAGGCCGATAATCACCGACATTACACCCTCGAGCTCAGTAATGTGAGATGCCACCAAAAATGCCAGCAAAAGAGGAAGCGGTGTGGTAATACGCTGTACCTCGGCTGTCTTTACCCGAATAGCCAGCATGCTGCCATCAGCCTTTGGACTTCGGATTTGTTTTGTCTGAAGCTGACGCAGGTCAGAGCCGCAAGCCGAAATGGAATATGCCGTCGAACGGCATCTTCCGTCAAATAAGACGGAGTGCCGGGAGGAAGGGAATTTCCCGAATTTGCTCGGAGAAATGAATGCACCGGCGAAGAGTCGAGCACAATATCCGATTAAGTTTGTGCTGCATTTCGAAGCGTTGCTCTGTTGTTTCATAAGCAGCTTCCGGTGCCTAGGTGCAAGATTGTGGCTCCCGGGACATGTGGTTGATAGCATCTCCCATCCAATGGTTGGACCGTAGCCCGAGTGTCATGGACGTCTTCATCTCTCTTGAGCTATATTCCCAGCCAGGCTTCAATTCCAGTAGGCCGTCATGTGGTTCGACCAGAAGGTGTTCGTAAAAAGGTATCCATCCGTCAGTTATACGTAAAAGTCGGTCAGGCCGCCGCGGGTTGTGGGTTGTTGCCAACCGTCTTATAGAGGTCCCTCAGCTCAAACTCTTCATGCGCACCATCAGGCAGCTCTCCTACAACCCGGCCCGGCTGACCAGCTACTATCGAAAAGCTCGGAATGACCATGTTCGCAGGGACAATCGTGCCATCCAGGACCTTGACGTAGTCCTTGATAATGGCAAACTCGTTGATGACGCACCCATTCCCGATGTACACATGATTCCCGATGCTCGCCGCCTGCACCACGGTGCCCTGCCCGATGAAGACGTGGTCTCCGATTCTCAGCGGCATATACGTGAAGACGCCTTTATAGATGCGCCCGGGCGGCCTCAGTAGGACGGCCCGCGAGAGGAAGCAGTAGCGGCCGATGGCGACGGCGGTGGTGTTTGCCGGGGCGGCGTTTCCGCCAGACGAAGGAGGAGGCGCGGCGGTGCGGACGAGGTCGCCTCGGATCATGACTTCGGGCTGGATGACGGTCTTTCCGCCGAGCATGATGTTTTGGGTGCCAACGAGGACGGCTTTGCGGGCGACCTTGTTGCCGGTGTCCTGGATGATGCCACGTTAGTAGGTGAGGCTTTCTTCTACTTCTTCCGGTCAAGATGGAGACAATATTGACTATTGCTATAAAAAGAAAGAGGACATCCTTACCGTTTCAATATAGTCTCCTTTTGCTGGACGGCGCGACATGATGAGCGTTTGTGAGCAGAGGTTGGAGTTGCTAAAGCTGGTGCAAGTTGCAGATCACGAATCAATGTGGTAGGTGTTTCTTGGGGACGGCCGTGGTTATGGTGGGGGCGGTTTTGGAGCTTGAGCTATGGCCACCTCTCGCCTACAGCTACACAGCCTACAGCACATCTGCAGCTACACCTACAACACTCCCACCTACATCAGCCTGTCCATCCCACTGGGAATCCGAATGCGACTCTTGGATCTCGATGGCATTTGTAACGCGTGGCCACTGCATCAGACAGTGGAGTGTCATCCACTCTCACAACATCCAAACGCCGTCCACTGGAGGGGATTCATGTTCATGTTCATGCACACACACACGGACGACATGGGAGGATTCTCATCAGGTGCTGGGCTGCATAACGCCTTAGACCGAATCCCGCCAAATCCTTACACGACGGAACTCGTCCCCGCCATCACTTTTTAGCCCTCCAACTCAACCACCCAATCCAGAGTCCAACAGCTCCCCTGTCAACTCGTCTTAGTTGTTGGTTTAGCCTGGCATCCAGACTCTTTTCCAATTCCAGCTTGTCTCACTTTGGTCTGGCCTGGATGGAGTTCGTTTCCGCTTTTGCACGCTGTGGGTGTCGCTATGGCTCGATTCATGGTTGAATGTGCGAAGACCTGCAGCGGCCCCAGGCTGCCTCTCGACGATTTTCGCTGCAAGGGCCTCGGGATTTCGCCTAGAGAATGAATAACTATTAATATATACATGTATTCCCGCTGGCTCTCGCAGTATTCGCACAGCTTTATTTAGTTTCTACGGTGTTTGCGTTCCCCCGACTCTCCTCTTATTTCGCTGTCTTAATATCCTCACGGTCGCGATGACGAAAGGCATTTCTTGACGCAACCAGAGTATTGCGGCAATACTCGGTATTCGCCGCGGCCATGCGACTTGGACCATTTCTTGCGACTCGCTCTCTAGAAAATGCTGCAACTTCGACCAAGGAGTTTCTCCAGCAGACGTCGCATCCAGTATTAGAGCCGGCAACCCGAACAGCAGTAGAGCGAGACTTTTCGTATCCGCCGATTGAATGTACTACTACTACGAGTACACAGACAACTCAGCTGCCCAGCCAAACCAACAGCAGTCAAACAAACATCACCCAGACAAGCAATGGCATGGATGAAGGAACCAAGATAGGCCTAGGAGCCGGCATCACTCTAGGGGTACTGGCGTTGATAGTGGCCATAGGGCTCTTGCTATATAACTTCGCCAGCCGGGAACCGAAACAAGAAGCGGATGCGGATGCGGACACTTGGAGCTGCGTAGTAGAGCCAAGTACGCCTCATGGTCCAAAGCCAGACTTTCCCACTCAGGAGATGTACCAAACTGGCGGGCGCCGATATGCGCCTCTACCAAACAACAACAACAGGAACTCTACATACTCGGACATCCCGATTATGCCAGCAGTGCCAGCTGTGACGGGCGGGCACCGATATGCGCCACTGCCAAACAACAGGAACAGGAACAGGAACTCTACATACTCGGACATCTCGATCATGCCAGCAATCCCTGAAAGAGCCCCTGTTGTGCCTGACCAGTGGGAAAGGCCAGCCGTTCCTCAGAGAGCACCTGTAGTGCTTGATCTGTGGGGAAGGGCGGATGACAGCTCGCAGCCTTTGATGAGTATTGCCGAGTTGGAGGATGGATATATTTGGAGTAGACAGCCCAGGATGTCGGAACTGAATCCGGCGCCATCTACATACCGACAATCGGTGTATTCACGACCAGCCGAGTTGGACAACAACGGCAACGATACTGGAAACCCAAACCCCGTGCATAAGATTCCCCGAAAGCAAGTTGGAAGTCAGGCTACGCTGCCGCGGTCAAAGACATACTGGTACATATAGTTGGGCCTGACATGAAGGGTGTCGAACATGGCTCAAATACAGATTTGTTGGCCAGTTATGGAGGCTTATCCAGCATCGCAGACTGATTCAGAGCTGTTAAGATGACCTAACGACTTGCATGCCTGATATTAGGTACGGCATTATGAGATACGAGAAGAAGATGGACATATGAGCAGGAGTTATTATTAGTTTATATTGTTACCGGATCGTAGCAGAGCCATGAATGTAAATGAAAGTCACAAACGTTGAGTTTCTTCTCCAGAGAAGCCGCATGTGCACGTACCACTCAAAAAAGGACTGCAGTGTCTCAGTGGAACGTAGACAGGCGAAGAAGAGAGCTTATCAGTGCAGAGAGATGAGAATATATAGTTAACCACGTCCATCTTAATTAGACAGATGAATAATGCTGAAGCTAGATGAAGCGAGCCTTCAAACAGGCCACCAGCACCTCAACACTAACCCGTTTCTCTTCAATATGCATGCAGTCCATTGTTCGGTACATATACAGGTGATCCATCGCATCCTTCGATACGTGACAGTGCATTTACTAGTAGATTCAAATACTGTTAGCGCAACCAGCGCGTTGGATGGATCGAGGATGGATCGAGGACACAGCCGGCCTTGATTAGCCCAAAGCAATGACCAAGTTAAATCCTTTGCCAACCAACCAACACAATGCTTTTTTTTTTTTTGACAATCCAACAGAAGTTTTAATGCTGTTTGTAAGGCTCAACCATTTATAGTAGAACCGTATTCAGCCCAAGGAGCGGCTAGCAGGAGGCGACGCAGCCGCCGGAGGTTTCAACTTCCGAGCAGCGCTTGTTCAAGGCGGACTTACTCATAACCAACAGTTTGGCCTTTTTGCGAGCCAACAGCCGAGCCAGTGTGTTATAGCGAGAGCCAAAACTGCAAAAAGACATGCAAGCAAAGAATGACTTATATTCATGAATTAGTAAGTATAGACAAAATTACATGAGACAACTCGCCCAAGTCGGAGGATGCGAAGGATCAAGGATCAAAGAGAGCCCATTTACACTACCCAGTTAGCCTCATCCCAGCACTCACCAGGATCAATGACAAAACACCCTCCATCGCCGCCTCCGTCATTCAAGCAGATTTGGAAACAGAACACTTTGAATCTACTATACAGGCAAGTCAAAGCAAGGAACTGCTCTTGGCGAACTGGAATCAAAGTTACATGGCCCTCACTAGATTAGCTAACTCTCGCAATTTCATTTTTTGAGCCCGGCGCTGTTCGTTAATCTGACCGCTGACAGGTGGAGACAGTGTTTATAAGCCGGCGCGAGGCCCATATTTGATGGCGTGGAGATGCTCTAAAAATAGACGGCCATGTGGGCAGGCCAGTTTAGCAAGATGGCCAAAAGGTCCGAGTTTGGAGAGGAGGAGAGAATAGTATTGATGCGGCAAGTGGTTCGTCCGAAGAGTTGCGAGACGGGGACTGAATCTTGTAGTACTACGTTGCGGTGATTTGTATTGCGTCGATAGGTTCGAGTTTTGTGCTGCGTTACCGAGACACAAAACAGGTGAGAGACCAAGTAAAGGAGATTAAATCCGCGTACAAAAGCAGATTCAGGGCGTCAAGTATGCGTATTACATGCAGCCAATTCCAAATCCATGCCGATCCGGACAAGAGGAAAAGATGCTTCGTCTATCTTCCGAACCATCAATAGGGAACAAGTTCATGTACTCGTCGTCATTAGCTGCTCCTCGCATGAACAACACAATAATCAACTCACGCCCGAACTAACAGAGAAGAAAAGAAGCCAGCAAAGACCAACCAAAAAACCTCAGCCCTCGGCGCCCATGTGGCGGTGCCGCGGGTATCAGACTTTCCGCTCTTGCAATCTCACCCGCGCCATGGCGTTTTTAGGAATCCCCAAGCCAGCCTTGCGCCTTTGAGCCTAGGGCCGTGAACATGGTCTGGACATCCATGCTAAGCCTTGCAGCTCAGCAAAAAACTGCGCAGGGATTCGACGCCTATTGTTTTGTTCTAGCTGAGGGTCCCTCCATGGATGTTTGTTTGTTTCTTGCCGTGTACTGTAGTATCAAGATCCCAGTTGAGGCAGGCTTTGAAAGCGAATGACAAAGGAGGGAAACAAGGGAACAAAGCATTCTCTTACTTCTTTCAGCTAAAACTGGCTAAACAAGCTAGCTGAAGCCAGTCAGCATTCTATTCTCAACGGGGGACTTCCATTGTCGTTTGCGTAGCCGGAGAAGAACGTCCCGGAGTGCTGGATGACCGCCTCCCATGACAGCTATGCCACGAAACCAGCAATGAATGACACGGCTGGAACGGGGCGAGTTATGTCACTCATCCAATCCATTGTCCGCGAGTCTGCAATACAACAAGAAATCGTAGCATAGCATCAAAGGCCACTCTATTTGCCGCCCGCCAAGAATCTTGGTTCATCAACCCATCGTCGAGTCAAACACCGCGAATCATCCAAGAAGCGCCCCGTCCCTCGGCTCACCAAAGCAACACAAGCGGTCGTACGACAAACACACTCGCTACACGAACCCGCATCTGGCCTCATCGCAATCTTCAGTGGGCGCCTCCGGGTGGGATTGCAGCTGGGGTCTGTTGATCCGGATGCAACCAGCCGAAAAGAAAAACAAGACAAAGAGCAAGAGAGTAAACCAAGATTGCTACTGTACCAAGAAAAAAAAACCACCCCAGTCCAGCCACACACAGATCCCTGGCTCTTACTTGCATGGGCGGCACACACACGAAGCGAGAGAGAGGGACTTGGGATTCCGATTTCCCGGCCATTGTGGACTTTGTACAGAATCTCATCTCAGCCCAACGTCTCAGTTGGCGAATCCATGTGCGTTTGTCTTAGACGGAGGCCAATTCCCCGTCAAACTCGCCTCCCCATCAACCTCACGACAAACCAAGACAACTCACCCAAAACACAACGCAATAGCTATTACTGTCATCACAATAGAAGAACTAGAAAAAACAAAAATAAATCCCGGATCTCGCAAAGTTCCGGACCACAATCGCCAAAAAAAAATGCCACGGACCGCACTACTGCAGCCCGCCGCTCTAAGCGCCCAAGCGGAGAAACCAAACCTGACCCTGGGCCATGCTGCCTCGACCACACCCATTCCGAGGAGGGACCCCTAGCCTGGATTTCTATTTCCATTCTCTTGCTGCCTTTTTTAGCCTCTGCTGTGCATGAGCTTAGCTTCTGGCTCTTTGTGTATCTGCTTATAACTATCCCGAGCTTCCCCAGCTCTTTGGGGGTGAGATCTGGATTTCAGCTCAGCACCAAGCTCTTCCTTCTTCTAGAAGCTCTTCCTTCTTCTCTCGCACTCTCACCTCCTTCACTTCGGATCAACAACAACATCATCAGTAAAGATGCTCAGCAAATCTCTTCTCTTCCTCGCCTCGGCCGCTCTGGCCCTTGGCACACCCGTCGAAAGGACCGTCTCCTGCCGAGCTCCCATGCCCGACCCTTCTCTGCCCTTGACCGGCGGTGGTAAGTAACCAATTCCACTTACACAACACTTACACACATCTACACATTTATATATCACACAACAAAACCAAAACTAACATCATTTCCCCCTCTAGCCGCCGAACTCCCTCCTCCCCCAGCAGGCCTCGAACTCAAAGTCATCGCCCTCGGCCTCGGCATCCAAAACTACACCTGCGCCTCCGTCGGCGCCGACGCAGTCTCGACCGGCGCCCTCGCCATGTTCTACGACATCAGCCTCCTCTACCCCGAATCCGGCCCCAACTCGCTCACCATCGAAAAGTTCAACCAACTGCCCGCCTTTGCCCTCAACCACCACGCCATCCCCCTCCACTTCAACGACTCCACCGTCGGCCGCGTCGAAGTGTCTTCCCCGGGAGCTTCTCTGAAGCGTCCCTTCACCCGCGCTGCTGCCCTCGATCTCGGTGAAGAGTACGGCAAGCTGCCCTTCCTCGGCCACCACTTCTTCAACACCGACGGCGCCCCGACTTTTATCCTTCGCCGCGGCAGCTTCAACGTCGTTGCTGCTAAGAAGGCCTCTGTCCCTGCTCCTGGTAGTGCAGACCCTGGTCCCATGGGCACTGGCGCTGTCGCCTGGCTCGCTCTCGACGCTGCCAACTCAAAGGGTGCTACGTTCGTCTACCGTGTCGAGACTGCTGGAGGAAACTCTCACGGCTGCTCCAAGGCTGCTGGCCAGGACAGCACGAGCTACGCTGCTCAGTACTGGTTCTACGGTCCCAAGTCCTAAGCAGCCAACAATTTAGACACTACGGGCTCTTTTCTTCTTCTTTTTCTCCAGTATTAATTTCTTTTATTCTCCTTGATTTCAACCTTCTCTTGCTTTAAAGATTTTTTTTTAGACGAGGGAGTTGGGAAAGGGTTTAAAAAGACTTTGTTTTTCTTTTTCTCTCGGTTTCAAGATACACTTTTTTACGGGCTTTCTCATTACTTCTCACTTCACTTGCATACTAGGTAGTTCAGGTTGTTCAGGAGTTGTGTTTGCTTTCCAATCGCATAGACAGAATTAGTTATTAGGGGGAGATATTATTAACTCGCCTTAACAATACATTACTTCATTCAAAAAAAACAACTCAAAGATAAAGAGACAGTGCTCCAAAAATACATGGCATTGCATAATCGGTGAATAAACGACTAAACTAACCCACCACCACCCTGGTGATTCGCCGATTCGTAACCATGTGCTTGTTCCCCCCACGACGTATCGCTTTAAAATCTCACAGCCCTTTTTCTACGGAATACCAATCTCGTCAAAAGGCCAGCTTTAGTTCTTACGCAATATCTCAAAATGCCCTTTTTTTCTGCACTAAGGGACTTGATTGACTTTACCAGTTCGCGATTAGGTTTACCGCTAGATTGCAGGATGCGTTCGCAACTCAACAAGGCGTTTCGGCTACGTGCAGTTGCGACAGCCCCCAAGTCAGCCTTGTTTGTCAACCAACGTCCGACAAGAGAACAAGAGCAAAGCAGCATACAAGACATTTTATCATTCAGGAAATTATACTGGTATACGCCATGTAGAATGTATTGTATACAGCATTCGTCGCTTGTAATAATTGTGTCTCGTTCCAACGCACGCATTCTCGCTTCACTAATACCCATATCCAGTGTCAAGTAATAGTCTTCCTAACGTAATAAACTCCTTTTGTTTTGCATAATTCTTCCGTCTCTTTGCTCTTCCGTGTCATGATGAGGGAATGTGCAGCATTCAGTATAGACTTTTCCATCCATGTTCGCCTCCGATAAAAATTGCACAAGGAGCGCAAACAAAAAGTCACTTCAATCCTGTTCTTTTGCGCTCTACACGCGGATTTACCTCCTGATGTCCATGCCCGCCTGGAGATCCTGCTCGAGTCCGTTAGGGTGTCCTATATATTCCTGTGGTCGCGGGTCCTCGGCGGTCCATTGGCCACCAGCTGACGGCATCGGAACCTGTATCTGCTGGGCCGCAGCCTGGTTGCCAGAAGCAGGAGCAGTACGGACCAGCTGTCGGAAGCGCAGTACCTCGTCCAGAATCATCTTTCGCATTTCACCCACATCCTCGACGACTTCAAAGTCGAAGTTGAACGTCGTGGGGCAGTCAGGCTCATCAGAAGCATCATGCCAGATGTGGAGGTATGGGTGCTCAAGCGCCTGCTCAACGCTGATACGCTGTGAGGGGTCAAAGGCAAGCATCTTGTCGAGGAGGTCGAGGGCGTCGGGGTTGGCGTCGGGGAAAAGAGCTGGGAAAGGCTTCTTGGGCATGAACGGCAGGTTGCGGACGTATTCTTGGGCACGGGGGGATCCTATGCGGCGGAGCGTCTCTTCATTTGGAGTTCCGAGAATGTGCAGAATCTGGTTGAGCTGGTCGACGTAGTCTCGGCCCTTAAAGAATGGTCGGCCACCCAGAAGCTCAGCAAGAATGCAGCCGACAGACCAAACGTCAACTATCATGTATGTTAGAGTTTATTTCCAAAGGATTGGCGAGCAAGCCTTGAAATGTCTTGCAATTGGCAACGTACTAGCTTTGGTGTAGCTCTGGAAGCTTAGCATGATCTCGGGCGCACGGTACCATCTCGTGGCAACGTACTCGGTCATGTATCCAGCATTCTCCTCGGGGTCGACAGAGAAGCCACGGGCAAGCCCGAAATCGCAAATCTTCAGCTCGCAGTCTGCGTTGACAAGCAAGTTGCCGGGCTTCAGATCTCGGTGGAGGACGTTGGCGGAATGGATATACTTGAGACCGCAGAGGATCTGATAGATAAAAGACTGGAAGTGGGCGTCGGTCAAAGGCTGGCCGGAACGGATGATAGCCGCCAAGTCGCACTCCATCAGCTCTGCATACAAATGTTAGCCTCGCCACGCTTTCTCTAGTTGTGCTGGCCCCTATTCTGCTGGGCAACAGCGCTGCGCGCGCCAGCGTCGGCTATACTGACCTTCATACAAGTAAGTCTCGTTAAAGTTATCGGGTCTAGGAATGTCCATATCATAGAGGCATGTGATCTAGAGGTTTCCACAGACGTTAGTCTTTATCAACGTGGCTCGTCGGGTCGGGGGCTGTCACTCACGTTGCGATGGCCGCGGAAGTGCTGCAGCAGCTTGATCTCGCGCAGAGCGCGCTTGGCGAGGATCTTCTTACTAAAGACATTGGTGACCTTCTTGATAGCCACGCCCTCGTTCGTCTGGTTGTTTACCGCGGCGCTGTTGTGCTTGCCCCAATTAGGAGCCGGTCGTTAGCAAGCCGAGCTGTTGATGGTATCGTGGAGGCGGGGGGTTTCGCAAAGTGGCAGACAAGCGGGGTGTGATGGTATGGCCATAGCTATAACTCGGACAGCACTAGAAAACTCACCATACTATGCCGTAGGCTCCCTGACCCAGCTCCTTGGTGACGGTATATCGTTCGTCAACGACAAAGTCCTGGTTAAAGACCTTGAATACCTTTCGTCCTTGGAGATCCGCCATGGCTGCGCTTTGTGTAGTTGTGTGAGGTAGCTTGGATTTCTCAATGTGGGTGTGGGGGAGAGAGGGGTTTATGTGCTGCTGAGCCGCTGAGGACAGGGTGCTTGTAGGGGGCGGTACAGCGCTGTCAAGTGCTAGCAAACTCGCTGGCGCAGCGCAACAAAGAAAAAAAAAAGTGAAGCACGACGGCTAGACAAGAGACAAGGACAAGGTGTGATATCGTTGGTCGCACAGGACGGGGGAAGAGCTGTGCTGGACCAGGAATGGATTCGAGAGTAAGAGAAGATCAAGAGATGGAGGACAGGAAGAAGAAGGAAGGAAAAGAGGCCAAGTAATAGTCGAGGACAAGAGAAGAGCGAGTTGCGGCGTGATCAGGGAGACGCGGCCACCACAAAACCGCTGAATATACTCTCCCAAACAGGACGAGCCGTGGTTGGCTGCTCCGTACAACAGACGACGTTTGATCCATCAGCTCTGCGCCGCTAACGGTGTGTGGATACGAACAAGAACCAACAAGAACCAACAAGCTCGAATCTCTTTGGCTCTCCGCAGCTGGGCTGAGCGACCCGGTGCACAGCCAATCGCGTTTTACCCCAAGATGTGATGGGCTCTAGCCGCGCGCATTGCTTCGTGTATCAGCCCCTTCTCCTTGGCATTTTCATTTTCCACGAGCATTGTGCAATCTTCAGTTTTCTCCATCAAGTTTGTCATGTCCTGTAGTATCAACATGGAGTCTCGGCTGCCATCATTTGTGGAGGAGCTTGTATCACATGCTTTGAATGAGGGATTGTTGGTCTAGAGAACGCCAGCCCTGTCATCTCATTATTAGGTTTGCTCTTTTTTGGCAAGCTGCATTTGACCAAAGGCAGAGCCGCGGTCTAATGTAACCTTCTGCCGTAGGAACATGAGGTGAGAGCTGGAAATCTACAGCCCTTTGTACCTATTCAATGGATCTGTGGCATCAAATTCTCATCAACATTATCTCGTCAGACGGCAAGGCGGCTCATGCATCAGCAGTCTAAAAGCACTAACAGCTGATTTCTTCAGGCTCTCGCGGTGGCGCAGAGTGGGCCAAGAACGAGCGGCAGCGGCGGTCAAACAATCAGTTCGAGCTGGTGTCTGTAAGAAGCAAGTCAGTGCCGAGTATCAACGTAGACGATGTAATTACAGTCAGAAATCTCCTACAGTAAGTAAGTAAATATATCACCTCAACTGCAGACTTTACTTTATGCATGCAGTAAAGTGCCTTGGGCACATAGAAGAGTCTGCATTGCCCTTGTCCTTGTCAGCGACCATTCCAGCGACTGCAGCCACTCCCGAGACCCGCATCCCAGACCGGCACATCTCTATCGCATCACCCTGTCCCAGCCCAGCCCAGACAAGGGCTAATCGCTGCTGTTCCTATAAATAAGCCCATCATCAGCCCTTTATAGATGAGCTGTGCCAGCAACGGGGGGCGAGCAGTGCTCTGTGCTTCTTTTCGTATGAGCATAGACAATATACTCCGGAGTATACCGAACCACGCACATCGGCGGAAAGGAGGCAAGTCAATCTCAGCTCAGGCACAAGGGTAATACTCGGTAATTTAACCCACCGCTCGCCAGCGCCTTTCAGCCAGTAATGTGGGGTGTCGTTATGCCATATTCCATGCACGGAGTCGATGGTTTGTATTATTAAGAGTTAAGAGGCCCAAATTGACGGCCAACTTCATTCTTCAACCTTCCTTTTACACATCCTCTTGTGCCACAAGCCCCCTTTTCTTTCTTTTGTCTTTTGCGTGTTTCCTCCTGCATTTGACTTGTTTCTGTACGATTCCGAGCATCAACAACTAGAAAAAAAAGCAGCAAATGTTTCCCGTACGGCCGAACCGGACAGCGTCTTTTGCCGCGCAGCAGCAAAATAAGAGACACAGCAGCATGCCCAGCATGACCAGATTGCCCGGCCAGCCCGTTTCCGTCTTGTTTGTGTGCTTGGGCAACATTTGCCGTTCGACAATGGCGGAAGGGATCTTCCGAGATTTGGCAAAGCAGCCGCAGTTCAAGGACAAGATTGGTGACATTGATTCTTGCGGAACGGGTTAGTAGCAGCAGTGGCGGCCAACGCAAAAGTGACAGCGAGATGTTGGGCAAAGATGCTAACGATGGGACAACGTCCGTGTAGCTGCGTATCATGCCGGCGACCCGCCAGACTCCCGAACAATGGAGACGCTAGAGAGCCACGAGATTTTCGACTACGACCACGATGCGCGCCGCGTAAGTTTGGGCCTCTCTCGACCTCGAGCTTCTTGAATCAGGCACTTGGAGCTAGGTAGAGGCACGGGCTAACAAATCATTTGTATTCAGATTACGAGAAGCGACTTTGATAGGTTCGACTACATCTTCGCCATGGATCTCTCCAACCTGTCGGATCTCGAACGTCTCAAGCGCGAGAACAAGGACTCCAAGGCCAAAGTGATGCTCTTTGGCGAGTACAGCGGCACGAAGAAGCCCGAAGTGGTTAGCGACCCCTACTACGGCGGCCAGGACGGTTTCGACAAGGCATTCGAGCAGTGTTCTCGCTTTGCCAAGAACTTTCTGCAAGAGGTGGTCATGAACGAGTAACAGAGGGTGGGCAAAGAGAAAGGGGGGAGAGGTCGGCAACATTACGATATTTTTGATGACAATCGGAGTAGATGGAAATTGGGGCGGAATTTGATACCCAATACTTTGAGATCCCCCTCTGGGGATACGCGGATTATACAAACAACTAATACGCCTAGAACGTGTCTAGAACATACACTACATTTTTGGGAATATTTGGCGGTTGGTGGATAGTACCCGGCATTAATCTTGAATTTAGAACCTCATTAATTGAACGGGAAACCCCGAACACATTTGATATACGGAGTCATTGGTATCTATGTGCCGGAACGTGAACGGATATTAGAGAAGCAATCCGTTATATTTGCTGGTAGCTGGATAGTAGACAAGATGGCACAACAAGAAGTGGTATCCAATTATAGATTTATTTCGGTATTAAAATGATAGATCACCTCCGCCCATCTAGAATTCCTCCAAGCCTTCCCAAGCCAAGCTTCTAGAACACTGCCCACACCTTCTAGACGCGCCCCGGCCAAGAATGGCACTGGATTCCTTGAGCATCAGTGTTAGAGAGCAGCGGAACCTTGGAGGTTAAACACTGCAACGGGAAGTACTTTGCCCGAAAAGGCACAATCCACAGACCTGTGAGGTGAAATGTATCCTCCGTGGTTAGCCAAAAATATAAATGTTATATGCAATTATATCATACGGCAGCTGTGAGGATGGTGGCTTACCCATAGAGATTGCAGTAGAGGCCGGCGGGTGTAGTGGCCAGCACTAGGGCAGCTGAAGATGCCTTGTCAAAGCTGTTTTTGCATTGATCAGCTTGCGGGCTCTCAAAGGAGTCTTTCCAATTGTTTATGGGATGGTAAAGAGGGAGGCTTACATGATATCGCCAACTTTTGTACAGGTGTATGGATCACCGGTGAATGCCTAGCTGTCTCCTACGTACACTAGCTTGTTATATGAGCAGTCAAATCAGCAACATGAGAAGTACTTTTAATATTATACCAAATATATACACCCGAAGCATCTAATTTACATATCAACGATGCCATCCATCACTTGATAAAGACCTCAGTTTTCTCATATGGATCATCGCAAAAGTTCTCACGAATACAATTCCTAATGCAGGAGACAAAGCATGTGGGAGCGAAGACATGCTCTCTCAATACTACCTTAATTATGATAGGTCAGCGTCACCTTTCTGCTCGTGTACCCATACCACTCGCCAAAACGATTTATCGAGTCTTAGAGTCTGGAGAGATCGAAGGTGAACAGCCTTATACAGGAGACGGTAATCCCAGTCCACCACATCAGATTAGAATGGAAGCATGACAACCAGGTTGTATGTACTTGAGCAACATTCATGACAGCATACATTCCTAACACTAATACACACAAGAACAGTCTGGTAATTCTCCAAAGGTTAATAGAGGATCGTCCACTGTACCGCCGGGATGATCCTCCGGATCGACGCCTTAGTACGAGTCGGCCTATGTAGCATCAACCTTGTTTAAACGGTGTCTTACATTAGAGGCTACGAGTTTCGAGCTTTCTCTCTCTAACCCCTTACTCTACGGAGGAACAATGTTACATCACACCACGTATTTTATAAATGTTAACAATTTTTATTGCTTTTCGTAGTCTTGACTCAATTCAAGAGAGGGGATGTCACACATTTTCCCACTGCGTGACTCGGTACGCGTCAATTTTCCTCCTCGGGCACCACAGCACTCGGGCTGCAGCCATTCCATGAACCTCATGACGCCGTTGAAAAGAAATTCAAAACCGAGTGAAAACACAGAGCGCCTTGCTAAGAGAAAAAAGGAAAAGAGTGGTAATGTACATGTAGTAGGGTTACAGGTTGCGTTATCATGAAAGCTGGTGTGGCGTGCGGGCAATATCCGTCCCAGGCCTGGTTGGTTGTGTCCAACCCCGACATACACCGCTGCTTGGTTTTTCTTTTTGCTTCTTTCATTCGTACAGTTTTTTGTTTTGTTACATGGCCACGGCCTGTCTCTGGCGCTCTTGGCGGAGTTTCTCCATAACTCCGATGACTCCGCCGTTGCGAAGGCGCTCGAGAACTAGCCGCATGCCGTCACGGCTCTTGCTGAGCTGGTCGATGGTCTTGGTGGAGGCAAGGCTTTCAATGCTGCGCTGGATGCCCTTTGCGCCGAGTCCGCCAAGGAATCCAGGCAGCCAGCCACTGCTCTCCTGAGCCTGACCAATCTTTCCTCTGATCTTCTCTCCGAGTCTTGACTTGAAACTGACGCTGGAGTTAACGTCGGTCTCGTTCCTGGCAACAGCCTCAAGTGAGCTGGGGACTTTAAAGTGTTGCTTTTCGACAACGGAAAGTACACCAGTGAAGTTGAGATTGCGACTCTCCGTCTTCATCCATCCTTCCTTGATGTCCACAACACTGGTTTCGAGAATGTATGAAGCCTTCTCGCCAGAGTTGCCACCTGAAACGCTTGCGGGCAGCAATTTGTATACTGCGCTAGGCATGCGGCTCTTTTTCAGGTGGATGCGGGTGGTGTAGAGGCGTTGGGTTTCCGGGTCGACATGGCTAGAGATGGTGTCGGTGCTGAGGACATGGGCGGCGAAGGGATTGAGCTGAGGCGAAGAGTATCGCAGGAAGTAGGCGAGGGTGACGGTCGGGAAAGGGTGGGAGTAGGTGTGATTGGTGGAATGCGTGAGAACCATTGTGAATATTGTTACAGTCGTAGTTGAACAAGAAGAAGATTGAAGAATTCTGTATTGGCTCAATGCTGCTGCGGTTTGCGGAAAATCCAGAGGCTCAGCGGTCAAAGACGTCAGATTGATGCATGAAATTCAGAGGCTCGGGCTCTGGCTTGGTCGCTTGAATTGCTAAGCCGGCAATCCGCATGTTCCGAGCAACAGGCCAAAGGAGGTCAATCGTGACAATACAAGTAAAGTAAAGAAAAAGGAGAAACACGCAAGAGGGCGGAAAGGGTGCAAGGCAATCAACCCAAAGCCTCTGACAAGAGGAGAGGAATCGACTGACGGCGATGGCAGTGGCACGAGCATCAACTTTTTTGCCGGTTATAAGCACGCGGCCAGCGGGGCTGTGATTGGCCACTGGTGAGGGGAAATGCTGCAAGTGGCCTCAATCCGGGGTTGCAGCTTCACGTGACGGGCGGCGGTCCAGCGTATGAGAAGCTGCAAGCTCTTGCTCCGTACCCCGCCACAGCTTTTTTGGCCATGACATGGAGGCAATTTGTCACCCTTGACATAACAGCCAAAACAGCGACACTTGACACCCTCTACGGAGGATTAGAGCCGGATAATGTGGCAAATGTCCAATCATCAATCGACAGGCAATGTTTGCTATCCAATCATACAGGCGGTCTGTCTGTTACAGTACATACAGCATGCCAGCCTACTGCGCTAATATCCGTATCTGTATCGGCCGCTCTATGTGCGCATCTCGTATATACGCAGTAACTAATACGCAAGTAATCCAAAAATCCAAAAATTCCAGAAAAAGGCAAAGCGTCGGCGATTTCTATCCCGCTGCTCCGAAAAGGCCCCTCGGCGATGTCGCATGGCGGCTGTTACAACAGGAACTCTTCGCCAGCAAAGTGTCTAAGAACCACCCAACCCTCATTAAACGTCTTCTTCTCAAATCGCACAATGACGGCGGCGTGAGTGTGTCTATCGTTTTGGATCCAGACCGGGTACTTTCTCCATTTGAGAGAGTTCAGTGAGCGAATCATTTCGAATTGGATTGGTGCCAACGCAAGGGTTGGCTGCGTCGGGATCGACATCCGCCTCTCTCGGGCCATTGTGCTTCTATCTTCGGCATTCATGCCCATCTCTTCATCCTCATCCTCGTCTGCCAGATACTCTTGGTTCTGCGAATTATTCAGCGCCTCGTAGACGTGTTCGACCTCTTCTCGAAACGACTTGATCAGGATCGGCACCCGGTACTCTGCAACATTGATGCCTGCTAGGCCGCCCTCATGTAGCTTAATGCGCTTCGTGCTTCGTATGGTTTGGAAAACCGAGTTGATAAGATAGGCCACCACGCCAATAGGAACCAGCACCGACACCGTAATCATGAACGGGACTCCTCTCATCCACCGCACGCCCGCTTCAGTAAGAGATGACAGAGTGATGGGTGCGGGAACCTTTGGTCGTGGAGAGAAAGGGTGTGCCGCATCTAATAGGACACCCTCTGGGTCGTTTTTGAGAAAGTTGACCTTGATCCGATCTATTTCCTTGTATGGGTCCGTCTTTTCTATGCAGGTCGTGTAGTAAACCGCGCTCCGATCATTAACGATGTTGCTGTATAACGTATGTCTCCTGAACTTTTGCAGTCCCAGCATGAAAATCGACTGGGGATCGGCCATGACAGATAGGAGGGGCCGGCCGGTATCTCGGAAATTATCAATCGTGAACAATTGGCTCCCAGACATGGACAGCGTCCTCGCGCCCAACACGTTCCACATGTGGTTATGCCATCCTTTGAGAGGGGTCCGTACGCCGAGATGCGGCGAGGCAAAGGTCGCAAAGTTCTGTTTTCCGGTATCAGCGGTGGCCCTGTCTCGACCTAGAAAGACGTATGCTTACCATGCACTCAACCGAGTCCAGGATGCCCTTTGCATACAATAGACCAACGGCATACCGCGATACCAGGCCGCCGAGAGAGTATCCCACAACACTCAGTTTCCTAATTTTGCCGCCATTCTGCTCTATCGTCTTGAGCTCCTCTATAATCTCGGCGCAGACTCGCTCGCCGCCAAGCTCGATGCCGTCGTAGGTGAAGCTGCCGCTGTTTCGCTTGGCCAGCAGGAGGTAGAGGTCGTCAGGGGAATGTTGGGCTCGTAGCGTCTTTGCGATATTGTTCATGTGGTTCGGATTACCCCATAGCTGTAGTTTACCAAGTTAGCTCAACTACACTACACGCAAGGAAGCTCCTGTGATGTCGAAATACTCACTCCGTGAACCAGGACGCAGAGGTGGTCCGCCTTTGTGCTTCCGCCAGCAAAATCCATCCTGAGCGCTGCACCTAGGAGTCTCGAGCCAGCCAAGCGAGCAGACATTGGCTGCAGGAGAGGCTATCGTGACTCGTCGAAAGGGGCGCAAGCAGGTATATATTACATGGGGGACGCATTACGTAGGTCCGAGGCGGTTTGATAAGGAAGTCCGAAGTCCACGTTTGGTTTTGGGCACCCAATCGAGTAAAAAGCGTAATTGTGCTGCCAGAGTCCGGCAGCCCCGTATTTGCCGGAGCGCTAGAGATAGTGGGCTGATATCCACATGCACTCACATGGTGATGTGATTGATAGGCGCCAAGTACATACGTGTAATGGACTTTGTTGAAATCCGTTTGATGAAAAGCGTCGTCATCATGTCATGTTTTTGCCTGTCCACCTATATCAGCTAGAACAACCTGGTATGCTCATTATACTTGACTGCGATCACTGACCTAGCAATTTCTTACCCTGTATGTTGCGTAACCAACTTGTAAACAAAGGCAGAATGTGCCTAGTATTAGTCAATAATAAGTGGTAAAGCAATAGCAAACTCAAAGTGAGGCAATTGCAGTATGCAGCTAAGGAGCTTATTTCTTTTCCCCTGCCTGTTGAGATGAACATGTTGGGGGAGCGGCAGCTTGATATTAGCTTGTTGAGATGGGTCGCCGAAATGTCGATCTAGGGAGTCCAATGCAGCATCAGCAGTGTTTATGATGAGTAAAAAGGAAAAAAGAAACGAAAAGAAAAGAAAAAAATGAAAAGGGGAAGAGAAATACTAGCCAGCGCCACAAGTCTGATATCTAGCATCCCGTGTCTCAAATGTCAAGCTATCAATATAAGCAGTGATAATAGGTCCCAGAAACTAGAGGAATAGACCCATAGTAGCAGATGTTTGAATAACATAATACTAGCAGTACAAAGCATTTACAGTAATAAATATTTGAAGAGCCGAGTATTTAATACTTCAAAGTTACTTAATTATTTAGTAAATAAAAAGCTTCCCTTCATATCTGGATTCTTGTTCTATACAATCATCTCTGTTTCGTCCAATGTTCTGGCCATGCAGTAACCATGCCCCATCCTGCTGCTTTAGCGGGCGTCCTTAGTGGCCATGCCATGCCTGTGCTCGGCAGCCTCACGCCTAAATATCGGCCCCTGACTTGCCCCTGCAGCACGACAGGCCTAGAAATAGTGCCTAACCTGGGCGTGTATCCATGCTTGCTTCATCAAAACAACCCCGAACTGCTCAGATCTCCATCAAACAACCAGCTCGTCTCTTGGCCGCTTGCTTTTGCGGGGAGACATACCGCATTATTCCATCCATACCGATGATTCCTTGTTGGTTAGGCAGATAGAGATTGCGCATCACTCCTTGCTCACTTTGATCGGGAGCTCCTCCCGCTAGGCCGCCATGAGCCTCTCACTCAAACACATTCCCTGCCCGGCAGGCAATAGATGCACCGCTTTCCAGTGTATATTCGGCCACGAAAAGGACAACATTAAGATCGATGAGGAGAGCGTTAGCGAGCCAGTAAAAGATGAGGCATTGCCGCCTTCAAATCAAGATCGTCCTAGCAAGCGTTTAAAGGTTGATGCAGAGAAACCTTCCCTTTCATCACAAACTGGTGTAGCCTCCAATGCTCGGACGGGGCCAAAGCCAGCCGAGAATCAGAAACAAAGCTTGCTGCAGAGCGTTACGCGTCCCATCTCACCTCCTCCGCTAAAGAGAAAGGCCACTGCTTCAACTCAGAGCGCAAACGCTGCCACCTCAAAGAATCCGCAGCCGGCCACGAAGCCAAGTGCTTCCACCTCCAGGGCGGCTGCACCAGCTAAACCAAAGAAGGCTGAGTCTCTCAACCCTCGACTGCTCAAAAGCTCTCCGGCAAGCCATGAAATACGATTAAAGCTTCTGAGGCTTCTCCACCAGGAATTCAAGCGCCTAAACGAGGAACTAAAAAAGGCTGTAAACGACCAAGAGCAGAAGCTCCTTTTATCCGACCAAGATCTAATTATCAGAGCCCTGGATGAAGAGCAGGCTTGCGCCATTGAAAAGCCAGCCGTGTATTCCAACGTCATGAAGAACAAAGTCATGCAGTACAAGCGCATGACTGCGGCTCAGTGGAAAGAAGCCAGAGTTAAAGAGAAGCAGGAAGCTCAAAAGAAGCTTCAAAAAGACAACGAGATTGATGGGGAGCCCAGAAAGATTGAGACTGGTCTCACGCACGCACAGGAAGTCGAGTTGTTAAAACGTATCCTTACACCACTCGACAACATGGCGAATCACGGTTATGTCCCCGCAGTTCCGACAGAGGAACAAATCAAGTCGGCCCGGGATGGTATGGAGGCAGCAAAGGGATGGGAGAAGTGTGACCGCTGCCAGCAACGATTCCAAGTCTTTCCCGGACGGAGAGAGGAGGATGGTGCCCTTACAACGGGAGGAGCATGCAAGTTCCACTGGGGCAAAACCTATGTTCCAAGCAAGGCACCTGGTGATAAAACAAGAGTACCCAAACGATACCACTGCTGCGGTCAAGAAGTTGGCGAGTCAGCCGGATGCTTCACCCATGAGCATCATGTGTTCAAGGCGAGTGATGCGAAAAGATTGGCCGCCGTTTTGAACTTTGCTGAGACGCCAGAGAATCCCCTGGCGCCAACGGACAGAGCCGTTTGTTTTGATTGTGAAATGTGCTACACGGTCCACGGACTCGAGTTGGTACGCCTAACTGCTACCTCGTGGCCTACAGGAGAGGACTTGCTGGATGTCTTGGTCCAGCCTCTGGGCGAAATTCTGGATCTCAACTCCCGCTTTTCTGGTGTCTGGCCAGATGATCTTGCCTCAGCGGAATCGTGGTCCGTCAACGACGATCTCAAGCCAGCTAAGGACGGCAATGAGACGGGAAGTGAGGATGGCGAGCTGAAAGCTAAGAAGAAGAAGCTCAAGATCGTATCTTCCCCTGAAGTCGCGCGGGATCTCCTGTTCTCGCTCATATCGCCTGCGACGCCCCTCATTGGTCACGGCTTGGAAAACGACCTTAATTCTGTGCGCATCGTTCACCCGACCATTATCGACTCCGTTCTGCTTTATCCGCACAAGATGGGTTTGCCATATCGCCATGGCCTGAAGACGCTGATGAATGTCCACATGAACCGCAAGATTCAGCAAGACACGGGCCCAAAGATGCTGGGCCACGATTCTGGTGAAGACGCCAGGGCAGCTGGAGATTTGGTTCGCTTGCGGGTCATGGATGTGTGGAATGATATGAAGAGGGTTGGCTGGCGGGTTGTCGATGGCGAGATTACGCCTCCTGAAGGCGAAGGGGGTGGTTTGACAGAAGCGTTTATTGAGGGACGCAATAACAATTTCAAGTTGGCTTAAAGCTGGACAGCAAGGTTGCTGAGAATGACCATGGGGGTGAAGGAAAACGCACAATTTGGCATTGGCCGCCATTGATGAATACACATATCTAGTTTCACACGTCTACACTTACGCTTATTCTTTCTTATAATAGGTCAAGCACACTTTTGCATTAAGCAAGCTTCACAATACATGAACAAAGAATTACAGCATAGTTTTTGTTTTCACATAAGGCTTCTATTGGCCTTTCATGGCTAAAAGTACAAGGTTCTCGTGATTGGGGATTTCCTTTCCCCCCTCATATCCCAGCAATGAGCGGGGTGTTCTCCGTGCTTCAACTTTCATTACTTTTTTACAAAATCCGCCTTTACGCCCTGCCTACAGACAGCAGCAATTGGCTGCCACTGCCTCCCTTTCCTCCCGAAGGCAGATACGCCACATTGGGGTTCGACGACAGGGCCTGCGCAATCTCCCTGCTGGCCTCAATCTTTCGGATCTGCACCAGGCCGTCGCCGGACTTGGCAATGGCCTTGCTGATGGTCTCTGCGCTCTCGGCCTCGCCCTCTGCGCGGATGACGTTGGCCTGGCGCTCCTGCTCGGCCTTTTCGACGATGAAGCGCGCGCGCTCGGCGTCCTGCTGGGCAATCTGCTTCTGCTCGACGGCCTTTGTGAACTCGCGGCCAAAGGTCATGTGGGTGATGGACACGTCCTCGAGGGCAATGTTGAACTCGGCGGCGCGGCGGGTGAGGTCGCTGCGGATGCGGTTGGAGACGGCCTCGCGCTGGGTGATGAGCTCGGCGGCGTCGAATTGGGCGACGATGGCCTTGAGGACTTCGTTGCCGATGGAGGGGAGGACTCTCTCGTCGTAGTCTGCGCCGAGGTTCTGTCATTATAGTTAGCTTTGACTGTGTATATATATATTGTCGTAGAGTACCAAGAGAATGCTTGTTTACCTGGTAAATCTTTGGCAGGGCCTTGACATCTGGCCGGTGCAAGACTCTCAGCGTCAAGCTGACCATCTGGAGATCCTTGCTGCCAGTGGTGGTGGCAATGTTCCTGGGCTTCGTGCGCACGTCAAAGATGACGCTCCTCTGCAACCAAGGGATCAAAAAGTGCGTTCCCTCGTTGACGACATCCTCCTTGACACCGGACAACCTGTCGAAGATGACGGCTCTTGTTCCGCCCCGGACGTCGTAGATGGACTGTGTGAGGAGGAATGCGCCGGCAGAGGCCGGGATGGCCATGCGGTACATGAGGTTGAGGGTTCGCGCAAACGCCGCCATTTTGAATTTCGCTGCTTCAGCAAGAAAAGCTCCTGGATCCTGGAAAACAAAAGTCGAACTGCTGAAATTCCCCAACGGCGAAAATGCGACTGAGCTTCTTGCGGATTATGAAGCTTCGTCCTGCCTTGTGAATCCAAAGGTTGTCCCGCAGTTGGTGCTTGATTTTCCGTCCGACGAGTGGCGCTAGACCTGTTACGGCAAGCTCGGCTGGACCCGCGAGGATGGCTCTGCGTTTTCACCAATTCCGAACCCGAACTCATTCCACCTCTACCTCTCTTCCCGCAATCGAAAAAGGATTAATCGCAACTCCGAGATCCTGCTGAATCACAATGAGACCTACTCAGGTTCGTCTGGGCGGCGGCGCCCCTCAACCCAAGACTGGCCAGTATGTGCAGCCTCTCCCCCGAACAGATGCGGCAATCGTACTACCCGAGTTTGCGGCTTTTCCACGAGATGCGAAAGTCGAGTTCGATGGGCAATGATGCGGCCTCTGCGGTAGAATGTTTGAGGAATTGATGCAGATGCTAATCTTTGATAATAGCTGGCTCGGTGACTGGGGCTCCTTTGGTGAGTTTGCTCTACCTGTCGAACGATTGTAACGGACCACCCGCGAAAGAGACTTTGAGGACGCAAGAGGCCGGATGATGGGGGAGTAGGAGGACGATTCAATGGGCCAATCCCTCGATTCAGCTGAAGAAATTGGGGTGGAGGACATCGATCATGTCAAGGAGCAACAATTGGATTAGGGATTGCGTCGAAAGTCTCGTCGGGACGAACTGCAAGGATTTGAAGGAGTCACTCGCATGCTAACATATGATGCTATAGGTGGTGCCAAGCAGAAGGGCATTGTCGACTACGGTCTGTCTGCCAACCGTCAGAACCCCTTTGCCGGTGCTGCCCACGATGCCATCTTCAACACCTTCCGCCGCACCAAGTCCCAGATCTTCTACTGGCTCCCTCCTATGCTGGCCGGCTACTACCTGCTGAACTGGGCCACCGAGCGGTATGTCGGCCCAAGTTAAACAAACTCTGCCGGTGCTGAATCCAGAGCTAACTTGACATGATAGAAACCACTACCTCAACTCCAAGGCTGGCCGTGCTGAGTTTGCCGACTCGGAGTAAAATGGTGCACGACTATGTTGAATTATGGGTGTCCAGGGGACCCAGTGTATATCAGCGTTAGATTAGGAGAAAACAATAGAAACGGTTGACTCTACGAGATACTTGATTACGTTCTTCGTTAGGAGGTTGATGTGTTGATTTGATATCATAAAGTGGCTTTGGAGTGTCGAAAGAGAGGACCAGGATATGTCACCAGCGAGAATGAGCGTAATCCTCATCCTCTATCTCGAGTGATATTATACGACTTGATGGCCCTCAATTCCAAGACTTTTGACAAACTCCCTCTATATCTGCCAGTGGCCAGCATAAAAACTCTCGTGAGCCCATGCTCTGTTCGGTCATCCAAATCTTGACCGACATGATAGGCTGAAACTGTATCACGTGACCAAACTGTAAAGCTCTCGGCGTCGGCACCACAAAACGCCGAAAATTTTTAGAGGGTCCCTCACCGAGAAAAAAAAGTTTGGTTTGAGTAGGAAATTTTTGAAGCGCCTCAATCGTGGGAGGACGACAGACATTGAAAAAACGCGATCCAGTTGCGCAAGACGTCCAATTGGTGCATCAGAGGCAGTTTGAATTCCATTCAGTCGACTGAACTCCTCCATACCTTTAATAGTCTTTCAATCGTCGATCGGATACTCTCTTTTCATCTTTTTTCTCTGGTTTTTTAAACTTTCTCGATTCAAATTATCCCATACAGCAGCCATGGCCTCCGACAGACCTGACAAGAAGGAGAAGAAGGAGAAGAAGGAGAAGAAGGAGAAGCGCAGCGAAGAGGCTGGCGTGACCAAATCCAAGAAGGAGAAGAAGGAAAAGAAGGAGAAGAAGGACAAGCTCGCTTCTGCTCTGGACGAGAAGCTCCAGCAAGATGTCGCTGCGCAGAGCGCCGTCAAGGCCTCTGACGAGGGCTCAGATATGGAGGAGGACAAGACCCCTGAGGTGACCCTTGAGAGAAAGGTTGTGCCGTTTGCGGTTCCTCTGGCCGATGAGAAGGGCCAGAAGAAGATTTGCAAGACGATCCGAAAAGGTAGGTTGCTTCTCCCTCGCTACGTCGCACAGTCTGCCTCTTTTTCTTTTCTTTAGCTTTCCCTCCCTTCTCTTGCCTTCCTCTATTCAAATAGAGGTATTGGATCTTGTTTACTAACGTCGACTCTTGTCAATAGCCGCCAAGAATGGTACCCTCAAGCGTGGTGTCAAGGAAGTCGTCAAGACCCTGCGAAAGTCCCCCGCCACCGCCCCCGGCTACACCTCATTCCCCGGAGTCGTCATCATTGCCGGTGACATTTCTCCCATGGACGTCATCTCACACCTGCCCGTGCTGTGCGAGGACCACAACGTGCCCTTCATCTTCGTCACATCGCGCGCTGAGCTGGGTGCCGCCGCCAAGACCAAGCGACCCACCAGCGTGGTCATGATCATGGAGAAGGCCGAGGGGAAGAAGAAGCCCGCCAAGGAGGCCGACAAGGATGATGATGAGGACAGCAGCGAGTCTTACAGCGAGACCTACGCTTCGCTTGTCAAGCTTGTGCAAAAGGAGGGCGGCAAGCAGGCGTTCTGGACAAAGGGTGAATCAAAGGCGTAAAAAAAGAAACAATGGTAGAGTGAGGGTGCGGTATTTGTGAAGAGACTTATGCTGGGAGAATGATGTTGGTGCGAAGCACTTAATCTGGGTGTACATTAACCATACCAGAGGGATTGTCTTGCAGCAAGACTTTTGTTGGGGCAACGGCGGCGTTCAGGTATATAAAGTACTGCATTGATCAATGGAACAAGTTTGGCTTTCTACTATACGAGTATGGACTCCAGGTTGTCAGTTGGGTGTGACTTCACAAAGTTGAACTCGGGTCATAAAAGGTTGAAGTTGCAAATATTCCAAATTAAATTTGACTAATTTAGGTGTGATGTTATACAACAAAGGCCATCAGATATGCTGGGCCTTTCCATTCCCTGTCCAACTCCTCCCAGAACCAGCCTCAGGAAAGAATTACCAAGAGATATCCCGTTTACTCAAAGGGATTGGTCCTGGTTCCCCACCAGTTGAGAACCAGGGACAGACCAATAGTCTCGAGCAGCTTAGCAGCGACATTGACGCCGACAGTGTCAAGAGGCCTCTTTTCGCTAAAGATCTGAGTGATGAACTACAAACACACAAAGAGTCAGTCTCAAAGAAGCAAATCAAAGAGGTGAAGGTAAAAAAAAAAACATACTCCAGGAGCCGACGTCGCCGCAAAGATCAAGGCGCCGAGATACGCAGCACCCTTGTGGCTCAAGGTGCCCGTGGCATTGAGCAGAGCGCCCACGCCGTAGCTCTGCAGGGCAGAACCGACGAAAGAGGTGCCCCAGGCGACGGCGGCGCCGCCGGCCTCGCGGGAGCGGATGAACTCCTCCTTTGTGTTGGAGGCCTTTGCGCGCTGGTAGGTCTGGCCGAAGACGGGGGCGAGGACGACGAGGTCGACGCCGTGGTTGAAGAAGGTGCCGAGGGCGATGGCGGAGGGTTTGACGGGAGGGAAGTCTGTGATTTTCAGTGATTAGTTTTGAGTGAAGACGGGGGAGTTGTGAATTGCAATTGAGAGTGGCGAAAGAGGAGCGATGAGGGTAAGATGAGCTTGAGGTTGAGCTTGAGACTTACATTGGAGAGACATGTTGACTATGATACGATGCTGTGATGAGCTTGAAAGAGAAAGATGAAAAGGAAGAGATCTGTTTATGAGTTGTGATTTTACAGCTATACAATAATATCCGTAGTATCTGTGCCGTCACAAGAAGTAGTTTCATCCCAAAGAGCAGCATCCCCCAGGGTATTTGTACTCCCTCCCCCCCTTTGCATCATCAAACAAGCCACGTTCTAGCTTCACCCTCTCATCTATTACGTCTTGGTGCCCCCTCCCCCTCTAAAATCTCGATCTAACGCCAGAAAAGTCTATCCCATTCTCTAATTTTCTCCCTGGAGAAGGAAGAGAGCTCCGCTAAGGTGAGAGAGTCCTGGCGAAACGATTTCGTCACCGTGATGATGATGTCACCACTACGCTCTGTATTTTGGTGCCAGGACGGCCCGGATGAGGAAATTCATTTTTTCCAGAACTCCACAGTGTCTATGATTCTACGACGGACTTGGTTATTCTTCTTTCAGAGCTGTTCGGATCATTTATTAGTTCCTTGTTAGTGGGATGGCTGGATGTCAGGCGTTCGTTGCTTTGACTCCGGTTTTGGTGGTGGTTATGTAATGATCGCGGCTATTCACGCCTAACCTTGGCTCTGCTTGACATCTCATGTATGTAATGCATGCGTCTTAAGACGAAAATCAGGCGCCGAATCGTCTGCAGGGCGCCGGAGCAAAATGCATGTTTCTCCAGAACGACGATCATCCTTCTCTAAACCTACTGTAGAATAAAACCTCGGCACAAAACCGCTAGGATACCTAAATCCAAAACGAAGCGGTTAAAAACCAACACCCAACCTCCTTGTATCTATACGAATCCGTTTAAAAGCGCTGACATGCACGACACGGACGTTTGAGCCACACCGGATACGAAAGCGAATTGTCATTGCGCATCCATCGAAAAGCCGCGAAGCTCATCCGATTCTTCCCCCAACATATTTTTACATGCAGCTGGAAAGATGAGCTAGAATTCCTATTTGCTCTGGGGGCGTTTTTTCTCCACTGCGGGGATGTGTTCGTCTTCGGATTTTGAGGCGTGGGGCAGGTTTTTGGTGTGTATGCCAACTTGGGGGTCTTTTTTTGGACGACGATGGGTGAGAACTCCGGAAAAAGGTAGTGATGGTAGCAGTAACTACCAATATATCAATTTCGAATAAATCGGATACCACGGGAGAGTAACAGTCAGTAAGAATCATCATCTGGGTTCTTGTAGACACACATCATATAGCTGCGATGGCCAACCACTCTCATAAATCACATCACATTCAAAAAAAGACAAAACACAACACAGAGAGGCACATAAATCATTGGCGCAAAAGACACTGGCAGTCTCCATATTGGCTTGAATCAAAGTTAACCCGTAACCATAAGTCATCTCCCGCTCCCCATCCCATCCATCATGCCCCATCCTCGTCAGAACCATAAAAAACCAAATGCCGTTATTAAACAAGAAAATGATCCCGCTTCCTCTTCGCCGCTTTGTTGAAAAAACCCATGCTGTGAACTTCATGCCAGCCAGCAGAATATGTAAAAAACTCCCATAACGTCCTTTCCTCGTTGTAATATCCGTACAAGGTTCGCTTTTGTTTCACGTTTTTTGAAAAAAGAATCCAGGTCGGCGTCAACCATGCACTCTTCTTTCTCTTCCATGAGCTTCCCTTTTTCACGCTTTCGTCGTCACTCGTTCTTCTTCGCCTCGGAAACTTGCCAGTTTGTTTTTGCCCAGTTTTTGCATTATGTGTTTAAAAAGCTGAGATGATAATAATGGGAAAGAGAGAGAGTAAAAAAAAAGTCAAAAAACAAATCTTTGCCGTGTGAATGTTCCCGTAACCCTCTATGCTTGGAGATGGCCATACTCGCCGCTGCGTAACCCTAATAAAGCTCTAACATCATGAACGTACTGGAGACCTTCCAGCAGAGGAACTAAATGCATCAAGTCGCCATCTGTCGGGTCGTTGATCCAGCCTTGGATCGGTATGGCGTTATCTAGTAGGTCGAGTTAGCTGGGGGGCTTGCGCCTCTACCGCAAGTCAGCAAACATACCTTCATGGAACAAATAGCTCAGCGGGCTATTGTCCAGAATCATCACTTTACTCAGATCCGGCTCCACAGAACTCAGGTCTTTAATGTAGGCTCCTTGTCGATATGTGCAGTGTTGACGGTAATATCTTGCCGAGAAGAACTTTCTTTCCGTTTCCAGCCAATCAATCACAGGGTCGGCGTACTCCTGAACAGACGCGGTAAAGACAACCAAGTTGAACCACTTGCACACTCTACGGAGAAACTCGTCGCAGAAGGGTCGCTTGTTGACCCAATACAAGATGGGGTGCTGTGCAGCGCTGCTCTGTCCGCTCATTCCCAAAGTCGCAGTGTTGAGCTGGACTTCTATCATGTGACCGCTGTTCATCCGCCCTCCTTTAGACATGCTGTGGATGAGCGTCTCGTCGAGATCTAGGATAAGCGTCTTCTGCTGCTTTCGCGAAGGCTCGAGAAGATTCAGATAGGATGGCTGTCGTCGGGGGATCAAGGGTCGTGGTGGTGCAGGTGTCTTTGGGTATTTGGTCAGGGCGGCAATCGGGGACGTTGGAGACTTGAGCTGCGCCGACAAGTCGCTCCGGCTGAGGTCACCCTTGCCATGAGAGGCGGTGGATTGTGATTTTCTATGTTTTCGTTGCTCTTCGTCGTTTAGTTTAATTCGAATAGAGCGCCGAGCCGCGCCCGTCTCCTCGCCGGGCTGGGCTGATTTGGAGCGGTTATGCCGGCTCTTGGCGGCAGCACGGGGTTCGTCTTCGGACTCGGAGGATAGACCAGATGATGAGGTACTAGAGGAATGAACCGTTTTCGACGGGATTCCCAGATGCCGTGTATTTCGGCCAGCCTTGTTCGCCTTTTCGGGAGAACCATACAGACTATCCGTGCCCAAATCGCCGCTGTGGAAGCCGAACAGCCTTTTCAGCTGTGTCATGGGCGCAAACTTGCCAAAGTCGTCGTAGAAGAAGGCGATCAGGTAGTATCCAGGCGCAGTCAGCGTAGCAAACAGCCACCGAATGGTGCCGATGATGCTGGAGGCGATCCCCCTAGGCAGAACATGCCACCATCTCGAGCGCTTCCCATCCGGCTTGGATTCGCAAAAGAGCGGCGTCTCTTCGGTGGCAAAGGATGCTTCGTCGTCGCCGCCGTATCGCTTCTCAGAAAGGGAACCCGAGCCCTCAGCGGCCGAGGGCTGGTTCTCGTGTCCATCCGCCTTGTCGTCGGACACGTCGAGGTCGAGCGCCTTATCGTCGAGGCCGGCGCTGATGCTGTTGGATCGGGAGTGGGTTGGACTCGGCGGCGGCGACACGCGCGCGGTGATGATGTTGAGCGAGTTCATGTCGAACATGGAGAGCACTCCATGGGACATTGGAGGCGGCTTCGGGTCGAGACGGGAGGAGATGCGCAACGACTTGTTGGAGGGAGCGAAAGGGAGCGTCGCAGCAGATGCCGAGGCGTTCGAGGCCGCTTCCGGCTCTCTAGGATGTCTGCCAATGGCCCTGCAACGCGCTCCAGGGGGGTTAAAATGAGCCTCCGCAGGGCGCGCGGGAAACGAGTGTCATGAGTGAGTCGCTTCCAAGGGGGGAAGAGGAGGTGAGAGAGAGGCGGATGAGAGACGGCCGCAGAAGTTTTGGATTGCGATGCAGAGACACAGCCAGATGAGACGAGAGAGAAGAAATGACGCTACGAGCGAGCCGCAGAAAATAGCACTGGACGGTATGTTCGCCTTTCCGAGGGTGGGAATTGTCTTAATGAAACAAGTACAAGTACTCGTACTTGGCAAGCGTTGAGGCCAAAAGTCGCCCCAAAGGAAATCGGGCCAGGTCGTCATCACGGCTAGCAATAGCGGGCCAAGGCCACTGGGAGGTCAGATGCCGCCCACGCTAGGGCGGTTTTTTGGGGGGTTTGCAGCGGAATCAGCAGGGCTGTTGGGGGAGCCCTATTTGCGAGCGTGGCCCAATGCGCTGCTCTGCTTGGAGCCCGTTTCCGGTCGAGTGCCGAGGGAAGCGGTATCGATACAAGAGAGTTGCATCGTATCATGATGCAGCCGAGGATATGTGGTTTTTCTGCTTTATAAGAGGTGAGTATCTACGAGGTTGAATGTATAGAGAGCAGCAACAGCAGAGACGGCTAGAGGGAAAACTCCAAACTCCAAAGTCTAAAAGTAAAATAAACCACTTGTCTACTTCTCCAGCTTCTACAGGATCGTATTCTTCTTTTTTCTCTTCTTCTCCAGAGTTCAACTTTGCAGTCTCGTATTCTTAGCCCTTGCGCTAGCAAATGTCAAATCAGCCCATGCTGAAGTTTGAATTTATTTTTGTCCCATGGCCGCTAATCTACAAAACATGCCAAGGTGCCAGAAGAAAAAGAAGAGCCAGAGAAAAATCTTCATGCATGTGCAAATACTATAGTATTGACAGATTGCAGAATACAAAAGTCCTTTATCTAGGTCTGCAGGCAACAACACAAGTACCGGTACCTTGCACCGGATTGTGTGTGCTGCCATTCAGGTATCGGGGCAGTTCCTCTCGCACTAACTGGCAATCTTACATTAGTGCATAGTGGGCTGCATTAAACTGAATGTACGAAATTCTTTTGTCGCCAATCCGAGCAGCCTCGCATGTTGAGTCACGATCTCGAGCAGCTCTTTTTGCGCCCACAAACCAAACCAACCCCGCTCAATCTCACCTCACCCATTCCGGAGCCTCTGAGACAGGACAGAACAAAACGCACCTTGAGCATCACTTGACAGCATCACGGCCGTATTTTCACTCCTGCTTCACCCACAGCCGAGAGCAGTCACAGCCGTTATAGCCACTTGGACGCCGCCTTCTGTCGCACAAATTTCGAGTCATAGCACTAAGAACGACATCCCACCGAGCATCGGCCCCTCGATAACCGCACGCAAAACACACAACCATCGCCCTCGCACCAGGTTACGATGCCCTCCGTTTCCACGGGCCACGCGCTCGACCTGGAAAAATTCCTCAAATCTCTCAAGGGACAGCCATTGGAAGCTTCCGTCAACAGCTTGATATCGTATGTGATTTATCAGTATTCGCAATGCGGGGCACGATAAGATTGTCGCATGGCGGCATGACATTATTGGCCGCCAACTGCGATAAGGGAAGCGAGCAAGGCAAATAGCAATACTGACCAGCACTCCATTACAGCCTCCTCAAACGAAGACAGATCAAGGGATCCGAGCCTTGCGCCGTCGCCACCGCCCATATCCTCCTCCAGGTCGTCGCCCGCTCAAAATGGCACGATGTGGACAGCCTCTTGATCAACGTCTCAAGAACCGGCCGTAAGCTGGTAGACGCCCAGCCCAACGAGCTTGTTATTGGCAACATTGTGCGCCGAGTCCTTGGCCTGATCCGAGACGAAGCTTCCGAGGATCGAGGCGACACCGCCGACGAGTCTGCGAGCGATGCGCCAACCCCAACCGACATCGTCCCGCCAACATCCATCAGCCAGCAGTGGTCGTCAAAACGCTTCGACTCGGCCAACAGCGTAGCTCCGCCGGCGCGCCCTCCCATCGTCTCTTCTTATAGCTCCATCAACCCTCCCAAGTCGCTGTTCCATCTCTTGTCGACATCCCCGCCCGCAGATGGAGACGTGTCGCCGTTTAGAAACTCGGGATCGTCAACGCCTACATGGAGGGGCAACTCGGGCCAGATCCACGCGCTGCGATCCGAAGTCATTGATGGCATCGAGGAAATCAAGGACGAGATCAGCCAAGTCGATGACCAGATCGCTGCCTCAGCCGAAGTGCAGATTCACCCCGGCGACTTGGTGCTCGTCCACCAGCCATCAACAACAGTGGAACGATTTATCCTCCGCGCTGCTCAGAAGCGCAAGTTTACCGTGCTAATCGCCATGGCACCACCCAGGAGACACTCAGCTGAGACCCAGCACACAACTTTTAGGAAGAAGCTGTCTGCAGCGGGCATCACAGTGGTCAACGTGATGAATGGCGGGCTCATGGCCTACATGTCACGAGTCAACAAGGTCATTATCGGAGCAAGAGCAATTGTTGCTACCGGAGGTGTCGTGGCCGATGCTGGATCTGCTGCTATTGCCCGAGCTGCCAAGGAACAAGGCGCCGCTGTCGTCGTGCTCAGCGGCGTCTACAAGCTTAGCCCGGAGAGCCCTTTTGACGAGAGCTCGCTGATTGAGTGGGGCGACTCGTCCACCTTTGTGAGCTTCGCGGACGGTCCTCTGGTGTGCGGTGCCGAGATTCGAACGGCACTCACCGAGCTGATTCCGCCGGAGCTTGTCGACACCTACATCACAAACTTGTAAGTTGACCAACCAATGGATATTGCCCTTTCCAGTAAGGAAAGTAGAGCTAGTAGCTAACTATCCCAGGGGCACACATTCGCGCGACCACTTGTCAAGCCTCATCTCAGACCACTACAAGCGAGAGGATGCCGACTTTCACATCTGGGAGGGGGCTCTCCCGTGATGATGATGACTTCACGATGAATGACTTAAAACAATAAAGTAAAAGAAGAAAAGGGGGGCCCTGCATCCAATAACATGGTTAAGGATGCTGTAGAAGGAAAGAAAAAAAGGATAAAATTGTTCCTAGCAAAGCAATCATGACATTGTGTACGAACACCTTCAAAGGCGTCGTCACTAATAAACGTTTCTGCTGCATCCGTGCCTGGTGCCACCTAAGCATCGTCGACCAGCCTTGAATGTCTCGTCTCTAAATGTCTAAAATGTGATTGATTGAATGGCAACAATGGCTTATTGATGCCGTTCACGTTGACAGCTTGTTCGCTTAAGCTTGATTCAAAAACGTCACCTCTGTAGCGGCCGCGTCAGCGAGCTCAGGCAGCTAAGAGGCCCTAATTGGACGAGGCCGGAGATTAGCTGCCTCAAGGTTCTGCTGCCCCTCCATCGCCAAAGGATCAGGCAATCCATGAATGACACACACTCGGCCTCCAATCAATCTCAACCAACGGCGCGGACAGGCAGCGACAGCAGCCAACGTAACTGGGCTGCGCGGCCTGTTGCTAACGTGCGGATAGCCCGAGAGGCTTCGATGGCACTAATTGGGCGCTACAGCGGGAATGGACTCGGGGGGCATCCATCGGTTCGACACTAAGTGAAGAGGCACAAGGGGATGGGATGGATGGGCTGAGGAGCCCCGCGTAATGCAGCAGGACGAATCCGATGCATGATTTTGCCTGTTGCACGTTGAGCCATACATAAGAGGTTTGTTTGCCACTATCCTCGCCATCGCTTTTTTCGACGCTCACGAAGCTGGCCAGAGAGTTGTTGGGTCGAGTACCCGGAGTCTGCCTAGGAATCGTGGCCTTGCTTTCGGATTCGCTTTTAAACCTTCGGCGATTTCTTCCACTTTTTTCGGATCATTCAATACCTACCTTGCTGTTCAAGACTGCCCAGCGACGCATTCTCTAGGAGAAGAGTATTCTTTTTTTATTCATATACTTTTTACACTGCAGAAGAAGCATCGGCAGATTATCATCGCCATCATTATATACACACATCACAATGAACCCCAACGACAGCGGCACTGCCAACACTGGCAACGGCCATCTCAACGTCCCCGGAGACGAAGTTCCTCCTCCGCCATACTCAGAGACTGATGTCTACAGCACCTCGGGCAGCTCTCGCTCTCACACAGCTTCAGCACCATCAGTAGCCGCATCGGCAACCGCAGCTGTGGCAACTCCATCACACAGCTTCGTCGACGATGCTGCCTCGTCGACTGCTGACGAGGTCATTTACACGCCTCCTCTAACTCCTCGTACCTCTCCTGGCTCAGGCCAACCCGCCGCCACGCTATACTTTGATCTGAGGCCAGCCCCCCAGCAAGACTCCAGCACTGACATTATCCGCATGACCCTTGTCCATACCATCGAGGTGACTGATGTCTCGCAACCTGATGATTTCCCTTATGAGAGTGACTGGGCGGGCCGAGATGTCACTGCGCTGGATTGGTCCACCTTTATCAATTTCCTGATTCCTGATCATACGACAAGACAGAATGAAGTTGTTATTCATAGAAAGCTGCTCGATGAGATGCAAAGATCAGAAGCAGGCAGTACCAACAACAGCACAGCTCAGGTAGAGGCCCAGCTCAACCAAATCGCCGATGCTCGCAATCCTACCAGTCCTGATTCTCAGCGCCGGAGGAGAGACGTTGAAGCCACCGTCCAGCAATGGAACGATGGCTTCTTCGGCCCTCGAGGCATCCAAGTTCGCCTCGAGCCCCCGAGAACTCCCTCGGCGCAGATGCCAGGTGCTTGGGAGGCCAACTTTGACCAGGTATCTGAAGCTGGTCGATCTATACAGTCTTCGCAAACTGCAGGCCGCTCTGCTCCGGCTGGCGGTGGCTCATGGGGCGGTTTCCAACTCGATGACAACGGTGTTCGATATGGCAACAGCTTTGTGGCGGATCAAAATGGTTTGCGCATTGGGAATTTGATCATGGATCAGCGCGGCATTCGATTTCAGAATGACGCTGCCCAAGGTCAACAGCAGCAGCCAGCAGTAGATGCCTGCCGGGATGTGCGCGGCCGCACAGCCTATCAACACGAGGGCGATGAAGAAGCCCACAAACGCTCTTGCTCGGTCTCCTCCACATCTTCTTCTTCCTCTTCGAGCTCTGAATCATCCATCGGCTCTCTCCCTAGCTACGATGATATTCCTGTCAACTCTGTGCAGCTTTACATTGCCCGACTCCAAGATTGGACCAAGAATCCTGACCAGCTCCGCACCAAGGGTGACGTCAAGCAGCTCAAGGCCGAGCTCAAGAGCGTCCCTAAGTCTAAGGATGTGGTTACTGATGTGGATAAGAAAGCTCTCAAGGCACAAATCAAGACATTGACGACTGTTTGGAGACAAGTCAAGAAGAGCCAGAGAAGGGAACGCAGGGCCCAGAGAAAGGAGCGACGCGGCAAGAGGAGGGCAGAGCGTAAGGAGAAGAGGCAGCATAGAAAAGAGATGCGAAAGGCACGCAAGGAAGCCCGGAAAGGCCAAAGCACTCCCGTTCCCCCGGTGCCTCCGCCTCCGCCTCCCCCGGGTATCCCCCCTCTGCCACCGCATGTTCCTGGAACCACGGTGCCGCCTGTTCCTCCCGTTCCTCCGGTGAATACCGCGCCATGGACCGGCAGCTTCCCATGGGGCCGTCCCCAACACGGTAGAGGGGGCAGAGGAGGACGCCATCATCCCCATCCTCACCCCCATCCTCACCCCCATCCTCATCCTCACCAACCACATTACGGTTTGCCTCGAGGCGGAGGCTGGGGTGCATGGAACAATCCTCAAGCCTCGGGCGAGAATGGCATGTTTGGGTCGCGCGGGCCGTTTGGTCCTGAGGGGCCATTTGGCCCAGGAGGACCGTTTGGTGAAAAGGGCATCTTTGGAGGCGACGGTCTGTTTGGCCCAAAGGGTTTCTTTGGACCTGGCCAAGATGAGAAGCAGCAGCAACAGCAAAGGGAGCAGCAACAGCAGCAAGCAGAGCAGCAGAGACAGCAACAGCAACAACATGCAGAACAACAGAGACAGCAACAGCAGCAACACGCAGAACAACAGAGACAACACTATCAACAACAAGCTGAGCAGCAAAGGCAGCACGCAGAGCAGCAAAGGCAACATTATCAACAACAAGCAGAACAACAGAGACAAGACTTTAATCAACAAGCCGAACAGCAAAGACAGCATCTGCACCAACACCAGCAACAGCAGTGGCAACAATACCACCAGCAACGGCAGGGCAGTGCCTCATCCAATCACTCCCTGCCCGGCTCCTGGCCCGACGAGAAAAAGCAGCAGCAGCCAACTTCAGCCTCGCAAGACGACGAGCAAATCCCGCCTCCCGGCCCGAGAGCTTCCGCAAAGTACAATACTATAGGGGCTCTTGAGAGGACCATCCAGGCTCAGACTGCCGCGGCGGAGAAGGCTGAGGGTCTTCAGAAGGAGCAGGTGGAGAAGGCGATTGCGACGATGAGGAAGCAGCTGGAGGCTTTGAGGGTGCAGGCTGACGAGGAATATGCGAAGGAGTTGAGTGAGAATTGATGATTTTGTTTTGTATAAAAAGATTGACTGGGATTTATGAAATATGTGATGGGCTTGGTTTTGATATTGCACAAGAAAGGATACTATCTAGCGTTGGATGTTTTGTGATACCAAAGGAAATACTGTTTTATCATTAGTTTGTTATACAAAGAAGAATGTCACTCAACTTTTTCATCTTGCTCTTGCTTTTGCTCTCCTTGACCACGTTTCTTGATTCGTACGGCAATGCTTTTATCTAATCCTCCCCCTTTTTTCCTCCGTACCAACCACGATGCCATGAAAGTCATGAAAAAATACCTCCATCCCCAGCAAGTAAATACGCACAAAGAAGAAAAATGCATCCAACCATAATACACATATACACAACCCCCAAAAGACCAAACCTCACTCTACAGACAGTAAACAACTTCTAATGCTTACTCTCATCCTTCTCCACCAAATCACCAACCCCCAACCCCCTTCCCACAGCAACCTTAATCTTCCTCTCCTTGCCACTATCCGCCTCCGGATCCCTACCCACCTCACCCACCGCCTCACCCTCATCCACGCCCTCGCTCTTTATCGTCGCATCTCCCCCATTGGTAGTCTTCTTGCCCTCTGCGTCCTTATCCTTGTCCTCTTCCTCGTCGGCATACCGCTTCGCCAGCTCCGCCACGTCGTCTAGGTCCAGGCGCATGCTAAAGGCATCCTCCCCGTCGGCGTAGTACTTGCTCTCCGTCTTCTCGTTGCGGAAGCGCAGCGTGTCTTCGTACAAGTGTCTCGCGGCGACGTTGGACACGCGGACGTGTAGGGAGACGTATTTCGCCTGAAAAGTCTCCACCATGGCAAGCTCTAGTTTCACAATCATTAGCACAATCTCGTCCTGCTAGAAACGTAAGGAGAAGTTGTAGTAGTTAAAGAACATACGGCTCTGCCTCATAAGCTTCTCCGCAATACCCAGCCTCCTGTGCGTCCTCATGACGCTCAAGCTCGTAATGTGCCCGTGCTGCACGCCGTCCGTCGGCTCCTCTTCCATCTTGGCCAGCACGTAGCCGACGATTTTTGGGTAGTCGTAGGGCCCCTTGCGCGGGCGGCTGACGTCGACGGCGACGAAGCTGAGCTGCGGCCAGGAGAGGGCGTGGTAGAGGTAGTACTTGAGGAAGTAGTTTTCCGGCAGGTTCTCCAGGTTGGCGTGCTGGATCAAGGGCAGGTCGGCCGTGGTGAGGAGGCGGATGTCCATGATGGCTGTTGTGTGGTCTTCTGTTGTGTTCTGGTTCGATTCGTGGGAGAGATTGCAGTTGATGGGGTAGGTAGCCGAATATATAGAGAGAAGAATATAAGAAAGGTATAAACAGCCACAATTCGAAAGAAGAAAATCCGGTTCCGGGTGCTGCGTGACCAAAAGGAACAGGCAGATGCAAGAGGCAGAAACACAAGTTGAAGCTGCCAAACTCAATGGGCCAGGCCAAAGTGCGTCTTGCGTCTCCCCCACCAAAAGCCTTGTCCGACTGCGGGTCCGCTTTAGGTGCCTGAAGCTTCAGAATTGCGTATAAGCAAGCATCAGATATAATTTTTTCTTTTTTTTTCTACGTCAAACTTTATATTCCAATGACAATATTGTAATTGAATTTCAAAAGTTTAGATAAGAAAAATGCATCATTCATTCTCATAAATAAAAGACAAACTACAAAAGACTACCTAATGTAAAAAGCATCAAAAAAGTCAATTTCCCTGCACATGTGCACCTTTGCTGAATTGTACATCTATTATCTTCTCTTTTTCTTTTTTCCTTATTCTCTTTTTCTAATTCTGGTCTACAACCTTCTTCTCACGGATCGGCAAGTCCTTGCTGACTTCAGCAGACGTCGCCGTCATACCTCCAGCGGCAGAGGTCTCGTCCTGAGCCTTGGCATCCACCTTGGCAGCATCAGCGGCCTTAGCAGCTTCGGCAGCCTTGGCGGCCTTCTTGGCCTTCTTCTTCTCCTTGTCCTCTTGCTTCTTCTTCTTGGCAGCCTCCTCAGCGGCGCGGGTCTCGGCAGAGCCGCCAAACTTCTCCTTCCACTCCTCAATCTTCTTGTCGTCTATCCTGGTGAAGAGATAGGCGGCCTTGCCAATCTTGTGGCCGGCCTTGATGGCGGTGGGCTCCCAGGTGTCGGGGATGAACGCCAGCTTGGTGTTGAGCTGCTGGCAGATGGATTCACTCGTAGAGGGCATATACGGCGAAACCACAGAGGCCAAAAGGTGGCAAAGGTTGAGAGCGAGACCAATGGTGGTGTGAGTTCGCTCGGGGTTCTCGGCCAAGTTGGCATTATCCAATCGGCCCTGAAGAAGGTTGTTGCCTTCTCTGCTAATCTCCATAAAGGCCTTGACACCAGCACGGATGTGCACCTTCTCCAAGAGGTCGACATACTCCTTCAACAGCCCGTTGACCGTCTCGGTCCAGGCGGGGAAGTCAAAGGTGTCGTCCTTGTAAGAAGGGTTAAACTCGGGGACAATACCGTCCAGCTTGGCATTGACAAACTTGACGATTCGGTTGACAAAGTTGCCAAAGTTGGCGAGCAGCTCGCTGTTGTTGGCCAGCTGGAATGCCTGCCACTCGAACTGAGTATCGCTAGTTTCAGGTCGGTTCGAGAGCAGGTAGTACCGCCAAACTGACGGCGAAAGGCCAACTTCTCTGGCCTGGTTGCCGAAAACACCAATGCCTCTTGACTTGGAAAACTTGCCGTTCTCGTAGTTCAAGTACTCAGTAGTGGAGAGGTGGTTAAGTAGGGTCCATTTGTATCCGGTACCAATCTCGGATCCAGGGAAGATGACTAGCATCATACTCGTCAGTCTGCATTTCATTTAAAAAGGGTATTAGAAAAAAATATTGTACGAACCTGTGTGGAAAGGCACATTGTCTTTGCCCATGAACTGATAGAGGGTAACATCATCGGGATTCTTCCACCACTGCTCCCACTTGTCGGTATAGTTGGCCGTAATGGAAGGGTAGCCGATGCAGGCATCAAACCACACGTAAATGACCTTCTTCTCGTAGCCAGGCAGGGGAACCGGCACACCCCACTTCAGATCTCTGGTGATACTGCGGGGTTCCAGGCCCTTTGTCAACCACGACTGGGTGATGGAAATGCCGTTCTGAGGCCATCCATACTTCTTGTGAGCGTCCTGGAACCACTTGTCAATCTCGGGCTGCAGCTTCTCCAGGCGAATAAAGACATGTGTCGTGTCGCGGGGGACGGGAGTAGCGCCGTCGACCTTGCATCGTGGGTTGATGAGCTCAAACGGATCCAGCAGGCTGCCGCACTTGTCGCACTGGTCACCTCGGGCATCGTCGTAGTTGCACTTGGGGCACGTTCCCTCGACGAATCGATCCGCCAAGAAGGAATCGTGCTTCTCACAGTAAGGCTGTTTTGTCGTCCGCTCCTCGAGGAAGTCGTTCTCGTGCAGCTTGAGGAAGATGTCCTGCACAATCTCCGTCTGCTTCTGGGTCGAGGTTCGGCCAAAGTAGTCGAAGCCAATCTCGAACCAATCATAAATCTCCTTGTGCTTGACGTGGAACTCGTCGCAGAGCTCCTTGGGGGTCTGGCCCGTCTCGAGGGCCTTGGTCTCAGTGGCAGTGCCGTACTCGTCTGTACCGCAGATGTACAGCGTCGGCCGGTCGCGAAGCTTGCTGAAGCGAGAGTAGACGTCGGCACTGAGAACACTGCCGACGACGTTTCCAAGATGAGGAACGTTGTTGACGTAGGGAAGAGCGCTGGTAATCAGGACGTTCTTCTTGCCCTTGACGGGCAAGATGGGATTTTCAACCGCCATTGATGCGATGCGATTCCGATTCGACTTGATTGCTTGCTGTTGACTGCTCAAACTCCAAACTCCAGACAAACAAGGCCGTCTCTATCGATATTTATCTTTTCTGCGAAAGACTCCAAAAACAAGCGTCACGCGATTGTAAGTGACTAACTCGACCAGGGTACGGTAATCAATCAATCAATGAAAGGCGCATGTGCAAAAAACTATTACAAGATTGACAATTCGAGTCATCGCATTGCCCCGCTATCGCACTATGGCTAATGGCGGGGTGTGTCACAAAAATTCTGCCGCCGCTAGCCTCTGTCTGTTTTGGGCGGGTGGTCAAGAGCCTTTGGGAGCGCATATTGAATTGCTAATGCTGAGACTCGGAAAAGATACTCTTTAAAGAAGCAAACAACCTTCTATACAATATTGTTGTAAACCACACTCAAGTAAAAATAATAAACCCCCAAAATGTCTTCTGATCCCCTCGATGACGTCTTCACTCTTGAAGACCGTTTCTACACCCAAGGCTACAACCAAGGCGTCGAAGATGGTGCCCGCGCAGGAAGAATAGAAGGCCGCTCATTCGGCATGGAAAAGGGGTTCGAAAAGTTCCTCGAGAGCGGCCGTCTCGCCGGCAAGACTCTCGTCTGGGCAAACAGACTTCCCAAGAACACAGCCCAACAGGCCAACTCCTCGGAAAAGAACACAGACCAGCAGACCAACTCCTTGGAAAAGAGCTCAGAAACATGCACGCTGCCGCCGCTGCCGAGCAATCCCCGGCTAAAAAAGAATGTCAAGCTCGCGTATGCTTTGGTCGAGCCAGAGACATTATCTACGGACAACAGCGATGAGGCTGTGCAGGATTTTGATGATCGGGTTAAGAGGGCGCAGGGAAAGGTCAAGATCATCGAGAGAATGTTGAATTGAGATGGTGATGGTGATCTCACTGAGACGGAGGTTTCATATCTGTGTTGATGCTCTGCAAAAGGGTGAGAGCGTCACCGTACACATTATTATACACATAAACCGGCGCAGAGGCATAGAATTTTCAGCATTCGTGGAGTTATGGCGTCAGAGTTGGGAATATCAGAGGAACTGTAGGAGTTTATAGGAAACAAAAATGGGAAATTCTAATCTTTCTTCATCTTAACTGTATTTACACAAGTCGACCCTATTGCCCGTCTTATTTGAACGTCCTAGTAGGATAGCTATTATCACCCAAGTATTAGCAAATCTCGTTCCATTCTTCAACCATGATCACGCCAGAAGCAAGAAACTTACCCTTCACCATATGTCTGATCCTCATTGAGCTCGTACTTGTGCACATCCCATCCTCCAGCCGCCAGAGCCTGTCCACTCGGCAGCGGTGGCAGGCCATTGACGAACACGTCCTTTGCCACATCCTTGGGCGCCTTCTCCAGGAACTTGGCCAGGCCCGTCTCGCCCTCCTTCTGCGCCGCAACGAGAGCCTTCTCGCCGGCCTCGCCAATCAGCTCGACCTTGGGCTGCGCGGCGCTTCCAACCGTCAACAACGACACGGCGTCGCCCTGCGTAACGACGCTGAGCTGCGGGTACGCGCGACGCATATCACGCTTCCAGTAGGCGTTGTCGGCAATATCGCCGGCGGGAAGAGTGACGGGGTCGTCGAAGCTGAGGGGGTCCAGGCCTCCGGGCGTCGGGTTTCGGAAGTAAGGGTTCAGGGGAACGCCGTTGGAGCGATTGGGGTCGAGGGCGAAGGCCTTGCGGACGGTCTCCCACAAGCCGGTGGACTGGAGGGTTTGTTTCTGCGGATTTCAACGTCAGCCTTTTTGAACGAAGCCAGAGTTGAGGCGTAAATTGACGCCAATTGGCGCTGCAGGGGGGCGGGACCGAGCAGGTGTTTCGAACCTTTGCAATGGAAACAACGCCTCCAGCAGCCTTTGCTGCCGCCTGAGAAGCCATCTTGCGTGAGCGATGGGAGAGCCTCAGTGCGATATGTCGAGTGTCGTCTGGGAATTGACTCGGCGTTGGTTGATCTCAACGAAGCAGAGCAATTGTTAGCGATTGGGCTAACCGAGGCTTTGCCGATGGCTTCCTTCTAGCTACCCTGCAGCCGACAAGAGAATATCGGGGGTTTTCTCAACGAAGCCAATTGAGCCTCATTGGATAAGAATGAGATGATGAATCCTTGGAATTACTATTCTCTGAGGGAAATTGTGTATTTATTGAGTCCATTGATGTTTGTAATTATATGGTGCTACCTGAATAGTACTAGGAGTCTTGGTTGGGGATACGATTCCACAGCGCCCTTTCAGAAATGAAAGGAGTTGGTTTAGTATCGCCATAACTATTTCCTTATTCTCCGTATCTGATAAATTAGTCGATTTGCATTGTTCTTAGATTCTCTCTGTACATAGAGTTTCTACTATAGGTGCCAATTACTCAAATATTGCATAGAATGACACAATTACAACCGCTTTCCGCAAGACAAACTCAGCGTCATCTCCTTGCAACGCTAGGGCATGGTGGCCGCATATGAACCATCTTCTCAGGAACCAGAACAAAAAAGAGCGAATAACCGGATCAATTCGATACTATCCCTCAGGAGACTAACGAGCAATACATACGATAACAGTGGGCCCTATACAGATTCCCAGTACCAGTACTCAAAGAAGCACGCTTGCTATCCCTGACAGCCATCAACTCCCACGCCAACTTGGAAAAAAAGCAAGACGATTAATTTTCAAGACACACAGCATCGGTACAAACAAAGCCAGCCACGACCTAGTTCTCTCCCTTCAACTCCTTGACCAGAGCCTTGACTCTGTCCACGGTAGCAGCAGGGCCGCCAGCCTCGGCAACAAGCACCTTGCCCTCCTTGTTGACGACAAAGACTCCGCGCTGAGTTCCCTTAGGCTGCTTCTTGAGGCCAATGGCGTCAATGAGAGTGGCTTGGGGATCGCAAAGAAGGGGGTAGGGCAACTTCTGCTTCTCCTTGAACGAGGTGTTTGCCTTGGTGGAATCAGTGCTCAGACCGTAGATGGCGAGACCATCAGCAGTCAGAGGCTCATAGGAGTCGCGGAAGAGGCACACTTGGTTGGTGCCTGAGAATTGTCAAGTCAGCATACGTGTCGCGTAAAAAAAAACTTGATATCAAGACAAGAGCGCGGATAAACGCGTAGGAGCCCAAGGGGAGGCCATTGATTGCATATTCAGAGGCAATCTGCGCACAAGAGCTCTGTAGGGAAAAAAAAAAAAAAAGATATATTGCACTTACATCCGGGAGTGGAAGCCTTGGGGTAGGTGAAGAGGACGACGCCGCTCTTGCTGTCGTCAAGGAGCTTCTTCAGAGAAGTCGTCTCGCCATCATTGGTCTGGATCTCGCCGCCAAACCCTTCGAGGTCAATGACATCGCCAACCGCGATCTTACCCGCAGCAGCAGCGGCCGGCTTCTTCTTGTCGTCCTTCTTGTCGTCCTTGGACTCTTCCTTAGTGTCGTCCTTGGTGCTCTCCTTGGTGTCCTTCACCGTCTCTTTCTCCTCAGGGGCTTCCGGCGCAGACTCGGTGGCCTCGTCGTCCTTGACAGGCTTGTCCGCCTTTGCACTGGGCTTCTTCACCTCATCCTTTGCCTTTCCAGCGGGCTTCTTGGCCTTGGTGGCCACCTTCTTCTTGCTCGGCGCGGGCGCGGGCGGCGCCACGGGGGCTTTGCGCTTGCGCAGCTCAACAGGCATGATATTGGTCTGGCGGTGCTCTGTGGCAGCGAGTTTCCCGATTTTTTGGTGCTCCCGCAGCTCTCCTGAAGGATCAGAAGGGAAAATGACACGTTGTACAGGTCAACAAAGCTGCGCAACGCGGTTGTGAGAAGGAGGCGCTGCAGTAAGCTAAGAGGAAAAAAAAAACAAGAGAGAAGGTCTGGGCCTGGCCTGGCGGTCGTTGTGACAGACAGCCCTGGGCAAAACCACCACAGAAATTCTGCCGTCGCATGCGATTCCTACTCCGTACAAGCCACCTGCCCGTTAGCTGTGCAATTGGCCCTGGCAAGCTGCGGCCAATCAAGGGCCTGGACCGCGCCGTGGGAGCTTGTCGAAGCTTGGACCATTTGCTTAACGCGGAGCTCCATTTTACGGAATGTTGCCGTTGGACTGGGGTTTCCGAGATAGTGACAGTGTCTGACAGGAAGTCTCCGTAGCGCTCCGGGTCTTGGGCCTTGATTCGCCCGTGGATGCGAGGGCAGAGCCATTGGCCAGGCACGAATCTCTAGTTGCTGCTGCTGGTTAACCGAATAAACTAGGTACTACTTCGTGCTGTTGGCGAGTCGAGTAAGCACCGAATGCTGTTGCTGGGGAAACAGCTGTACTGTATTGATCTATCTAGCATGACTTGCATCAAATCTGCAGCTCCGCGCGCAGGGTCTATAATTGGCACCCGACATGTATCACTTGGCCACGGCGCGGCTTGTGCCGTTATTATCGCAGCACTGATCCTACCTAGGCACTGTATAATTGCCGGGTACAGGCATGCTGTGAGGAGTTGGGTCACACCACAAGTCGGCGGCATCACCACATCCCTGGCACATGAAACGAGAGCCCCATGTGTATGTAGACTTCAGCAACTTTAATGCTGGTGCATTCATCGTCTTACTATCAACAACGTACATCGCATGCTTTTTGGCCTTTCCTCTTCAGAAGTAGAGTCTGGACGTAAAGTCATATCAAGGGAAGAGATATATTTGTCTTCCAAATATCCTCCGTGACAAAAACCACAATATTGGTTGGCAAATTTGTGTATCTTCCCTCCCCATTGTCAGATCATCAGCCGCATCGAAGGCATCATCCCCAAGACGTTTTCAATTTCACCGTGTTTCAGCATTTGAGCCGAAAACCTGCGTAGCCTCCAAGCACTTAGCAACGTGAGTTGCAAAATAGCTGTTATATCGTCGCATGAACCATGCCGAATCAACTTTTTGGCCGCACCCTAGAAAATGCGCGGAATAAGGACAAAAGGAAAGAGAAGGCCCGGATGGGCCATCATCGTGGGTATCATAGCTGCCACGCCAACTTCCTCTCCATTAACAAGCCGTCATGGAGAAAACAGCTTCCGCCATTTTAGTTAGGGCACTGAGCCTGAACGTGACCGCTCTGCTGGCACTTGTAGCAGATCTTCTCGCCTCCAGCGGACTCCTTAGGACAATCGCGGGAGTAGTGGCCAGACTCGCCACAGTTGTAGCACTTCATGCCGTTGACGCACTCGCCTGCATCGGGGTTAGTAGGGGACGCAAACAGCGATTAGGAAAAGTGATGCATACGAGACATGTGGCCGTAGCCACCGCATGAGTAGCAGGTCTTGCCGGCACCGCCGCCATAGCCACTGTTGCCGCCGTAAGAGTTGCCGCCGAAGCCACCTCCAGACTTGGGGCAGCTGCGGGCAATGTGGCCCTTCTCGCCGCACTAAAGAACAAATGATTAGGTCCAAGTCAAGATAAATGCCCAGCTATTCAATTGCGTACCTTGTAGCACTCAGTAGACTGGCCGCCGCCAGCACCTCCGGCCTGGGGGCAGTCGCGGGAAATGTGTCCCTGCTGGCCGCACTTGTAGCAGGACTTGTTGTCCTTCATGGGCTCAGTGCAGTCACGGCCTGGGTAAAATTAGTGGGTGAACGAGAGGAATGGTTAGTCAAAGTTGTCAGGGCTTACTGATGTGACCCTCGCCTAAGAACTGTTAGTATAAGCAACGCCAGTAAAATGTAGACATTACGCACCACCGCAGTTGTAGCTGACAAAAAAGTTAGTACATTAGTCGACTTCTCATATGAAAGAGATCAAAAAACATACCATTTAGCAGGGCCTTTGCTGGGGCAGTCACGGGCCTAAGAATTGTGTGAATTGAGAGCCTTGTTGAAGGCCTGGGCATGGATTTTCACTGTACCTGGTGGCCGGTAGAACCGCCTGCATGAACTGGTTAGTGACTGAACAAACAGAAAGCAAATTTGAAAATGAGAGCAGAAGCTAGAAGCTCGATGTATTCGAGAAACGCTCCTCACCAGAAAATAAATCATGTTGTGGTCACATGAATGTGGTGAAAGCAGTGCAGGGAAGGTTGGAAGGGTTGACAGGAACCTCAAAAAAATTCAAGGTACCTGACGGAGCAAAAACGCGGGGGAATTTCAGGTGAGGTAGTACAAGTGGCAATTCATGAAACACGGGAGAAAAAGAGACTCACAAGAGTAACACGCTCCTCGGGGAGTGTAGTCCATGGTTGATATGGCGATTGGAGAAGAGAAACGGGCTGCGAGGGCGAGTTGATCAATGTTAGCGACTGTATGTGAGCTTTGCGAGGTGAGCCCAAAAATGCAAGGCGATCTGCCGGCCTGAGGCTGAGGGCAACAGGCGACCCATTTCACAGTGCTATATCGCATTGCCCACCAGGGCCAACGACGCAAATAGCAGAATTGAGGACATTCCTCAGGTCGAGGCGATGCCGCGAAAGAGACGGTACTTACTGGGTAGTATAACGGTCAGGAATGAAGCGTCGAGAGGCTGTGGGACGAGGATGTTGATTCCACAAATCGATAATTGGAAAAAAAACGTGTAGACGAAAAAGGGAAAAGTTTTTGACGATAACCAGCTATTGGGCCCTCAGCCTAGGCCGGTCTAGTGCGCTGCTGGCGGTGGCCCGCTAAGCACAGGCGAGCGTGGGAGGCCCTTGCCAATCGGCGGAAAAATGTTGAGCCGGCTTTCGCTGTGTGTGGAATGCGAATGCCGAAGCTGGAGAAGCACCAATTAAGCTTCAGTGGCAGACGATGGACAGAGCCTGACATGGTGTCAAATCCATATTTTCTGTGCTTCTGTATTTCTACTATAAGTGACAGTGAACAGGATGCTAATGGACTGGAACAGGGTTTGGGAGATGCGAGCAACTTGGTTTCTAGTATTCTAAAGTCTAGCCCTACGTATTTATACAAGATGCTGCTGCAGCACAAAAATGCTTGCTTTCTCATTGGCAGCTCTCAATTGAAGTGACGAATCGCTTAGGGATTTCTCACTAGACTGAAGCATAAACATTCCAATCGAGTCACAAAAGCAGTATACTTTACGACGGAGACTCCAAGATATCAGTGTAAAGCATCATCTCCATTTAACTCGTGGGGCACGTGTCCAGCCATTCTTCCAGGCAGCCTTAATAAAGGTCACGTGGCCTGGCGTTTTCCCCCGTTGTTGTGGCGCGGTTTGAGCCGCGGGAGCTTCACGGTCTTGTTTATTAGCGTCAACAATAGCAGCTGGCTTCACGGCCCCAGCACAACACGACCCAATTGCGAATTCCTCGAAATGGACAACTGGTCGGAGAAGGGCCGGCCAGCTGTGCACGAAGCTCTCAATCATGTTTGGGAAACAATAGACCGTGAGATCCAAGATGGTACGTCGCAGCGCTACTTATACCGGTAGCTACGTCGTACTAACGTGAAAAAGAGCTCGGCCGGAGGACCGCGAACTACGCCGCGATCAACGAAACATTGAAGAGCAAGCTGGCCAATATCGAAGCACTTGAGAACGAAAACAGGAACCTGCGAGCTCAACTAGCAACTTTGTCTTTGAGTCCTCCTTCGACAGAATTAAACACTTCAATCGACAATGCAACCTCAGCAGGCAGACATGCCCCCACTTCGAGTATCGCGATCGCTCCCCCGGCTTCGACCTCTTCAACAACAAAGACACCTCTTCCAAACATTACTCCTGAAAATGCTGAGCTTTTTAAGTCCAAAATGAGATTCCATGCGCTCTCAAACAATTTCAAGGTGGCGAAAGAGGCTCTCCGAAAGAGGAAGGATGAGCGTGACTGGTGGATGGCGCGCGCAAAGAAGTTGGAAAGGCAAGCTAGGGCTGCTGAGGAGAAGCACGGTATACGGATTCTAGAACTGGAAGAAGACGACGAACCTCATGCACTACATAGAACAGGTCTCGCTTTTGAGAACCCGACTTCTGATATGCCACCGCCAACTGTCTTGGCAACCTTGGATAGCGATCACAACGCCAATGTAGATGATGCACAACTGCAATCTACTCAAGGCGATCCTGACGAGGCAGAGTCTGAGGATCTGCCGCCTTTACCAAAGAACGGCCGAGACCAGGATCCGGTTTTCATTAAGCCAGAACCATCTTCCGACCTCCCAGTAGTAGTGTCCGAGAGAAAGGTGAAGAGGAGAAGAGTGGAAGATGGAGGATATACAGCTGCGGCAGCCCCAAGAATCAAGGCAGAACCGGACGATTCTAGTCCTATTGCTGCCTCCGAACACTACCAGTTCAACATCCAGGAAAGTATCGACCTTGACGATATCGCGCAGAGGATAACTACTCCTCGAAAACGCAAAGACCTAGAAATTTCGGCTGTCGAAGATGCAAACGAACCAACATCTCCAATTTCCAATACAGCCCAAAGACCCGGTTATGTACGATTGGGTGGAGTGAAGCAGTCGGCTAAGGATACGCGTGGCTCATCTGTGCTCACGCCAATAAGCGGCAATAAAAGAATTACAACGTGGGCCGCTGATGCGGAGGAAACTCCTTTGAAGGATACATTGGCCCATGGAATTTCAGTTTTAGCGGAAGATGGCACTCCTTATGGGAAACAAACAGTTGAGAAGAGTTTGAAAGCCCTGCCTACGCCGACTTCGGTTGCCAAAGGCCTGCTGGATACGCTGCTGAATACTTCAGCTCCTGAGAATGCGGCCACGATCTCGCGAACACCCCAAGCTCGCCAACTAGAGCGTGTTTCTGCTGAAGATACGCCTCTTGACCTTCTTTTCCCCCAACCCCGAGAGCTACCCTTTGACAAGATAATGCGACACACTAAGAAGCGTCAAGACTTGGGTGCAGATGTAACGACACCTTCTAAGAAATCGTTCAAGAAAGCGCCTGGTCGAAGTAAATCCCCGCTCAAAAGTAGGGGATCCGCCTTTGGCCTCCGTCATAAGCCCCTGTCTGAACTTCGGCTTGATGATTTCAAGGTCAACCCCTCATCAAATGAGGGGCACGATTTTGCTTATTCGGAAGTTGTCAGAGATAAAGATGACAGAGCAGCCCTACGAGGCTGTACAGATATGCATTGTTGTGGGAAGCATTTTAGAGCATTGGCTGAATCACAGCGGCCAAATCCACCGCTGACGGCAGAACAGCGACAGGAAGAGCAAAAACTGCTGGAGGGCTATCTGGGTGAATTTGCCTATCGACTGGCATCCATGACAAAAGATGAAAGAGCTGAGTTGTGGATTGAAGCCAAGGCCGAGGAGCTGGCCAACAAATACGGCAGACATAGACATCGCTTCTCTCGCATGCAGTCTCCACCCGGATTTTGGAATGCCGATTTTCCAGATACACAAGAATTGGCAGCAGATAAGGAGGAGGCTTTGAGGCGAGAGAAGCGTACAATTGCAGAGAGGTATAGAGAAGCCATGCGACCCGGAGGCATGTGGCTATTTAGAGACGAATAGAACGTGGCGACGCGCTATGAGACAGGAGATATGAAGCAAAGAATCGAGCGAGCGAGCAATCATTGGCGTCTGGTTATCTTGGTTGAGGGCGGCTTGGGTTGAGATTTGGTGGACACTGAATTGGAGTTATACTTTTATATACGGAGCATTGAGTGTTGACTTTCAATAGAAGTAGACACAAATACATGGATAACTCTTGTCTTGAAGTACATATCAACGGCTAACTTCCATGCGCAACACATAATCAATTACCTTTATAGTTGTATATTAAGTTATCGTATATCATCTCTAAATCGCCGAACCCCGTAATGCTCCGTATATCGCATCCCAGGCTGCCGGACAATCCTCGGGTCGATCCAGTCAGCGGAGTGCACGGATGCTGGGACGATCTGAGCGCGCTAAACCAACCCATGGCCACACAACCAATTCTGCCTCCACAGTGACTCTAGAAGCCAGCCGCATCTCAACGGTGCTTCTAAATATCGCCGCCGGCTTCTACAGCCCATTTTTACTTCTACTCCTTGCCCCCAACCAGCCTGCTGCGGCCTCACCCTATTCAGAGCGCCCACTGTGGCCTTACCTTGGATTTCTCGTGAAGACACCGCTTCTTCTACTATCTCTTTAATTCTTCCCTCTCCAACGCTGATAGGACAATCGTCACTATCGTCGAGTCACGTTACCTCGTTGCGCAACAACTCTTAGCCGCGTCGCGCAGCTCCAACGACGCTCGCCATCACGACAACACAAACGTGCACCGCTTACTAGCTGTTGGCTACAACTGCGAGATTGACACTGCTCTCCCCCCAACCTCCGGCAGTGCAGGTAGATGCGGGAGTCGCAGCACTGGGCGATACCCGCAACAGTACGATCTCCCAAGCCGGCAGGATGAGTAACCGCCATCTGCCGGCTGGGCAGGGCATACAAGCCGCGGCCGGAGGCATCAACGGTGGCATGGATTTGAATGGAAACATGGGGGGCCCTCGACGGAGACAGCAGCAGTACATGAATCCCTATCACCAACATCAGCTGCAGAACCAACATCCGCAGCACATGAACCACATGTACTCCAACTATGCGCCGTATGCTCCCCAGCAGTATTATGGCATGCCGCCGCATCAGTATCAGACTGGAGGCGTTCCAGCTCCCGGATACATGCCCTATCAGAACTACAACACCAGGTCCCCGCCGCCCATGCAGCAATACGCCCCCATGGTTGGGGTCAGCATCCCGCCGAGCTACCCTCGAGCGTCTCCTAATCCGATGACGCCGTACCAGCCTCCGCTTGCTCCCGCCCCTGGCTTGCCCCATACTCCGTCCTCGACACACTCGTCACAGCTGCTTCCTCCGCCCACGCCCACGACTCCTCAGACGCCTCCGGTCGTTCAGCCAGCCCCTGTGCCGGTGCCTGTCCAAGAGACAACTCCTGCTCCTGCTCCTGTTGCCCCTTCCCCTGTCGTTGCCCCTGTTGTCGAGTCACGCGAGCCTTTTCGCCCACCGGTGAGTTTTATTGAAGCAATACTGGCCAAGACTTGGATGCCTTACTAATTTTGGTGAAATAGCTTCCCTGGCTGTCACGCCCCGACGTCGAATTTCCCGTGAGGACTCCGCGATCAAAACGGCAGAGAAAGCTTTTGGGTGCAGAGGACAAGGCAGTATCGCTGCCTACAGGGCAGTTTGATGTCTCTGTGGAACAACAAATCAACCAGGAGCCTGCGGCATCTGCTCAAAGCGAGCCAGCCCAAAAGCAAGAGAGAGGGTCTACTTCGACTTCTGATCATGCTGAAACCTCCAAATCCGTAGGGGAAGAAGGGGCGACTAAAGCTTCCGCCACAGCTGATGCATCTGGCACTCGCCCAGCTGCACCCGCTGCACCTGTGGTCCCTGTGCTACCAAAGCATGGCCCTAAGCCATCCGCTTCTGAAGCTTCTGTGATGGCGGAGCAGGAAAAGATCAACGGAGATGCTGCCAAGTCTGAAGATCAAGGGGCTGCGACTGATGCCTCCCCTGAGGTCCAACCCAATGGCACAAGCCACCCTCCAAGCCCCGTGGTTAAGGCTGCACCTACCAGCTGGGCAAATCTCTTTGCCAAGCCATCGGCTCGAGCTCAGACGGGATTGAATGGTTCAGCTGGTGGAGATGTCGCCAATGGAGATTCAACAGACGCCGCAAATAACTTTCCTGGGTCAGCCTTTTCCAAATCAAACGCCAGCTCTCTTGCTCAGGCAATTCAGTCATACCAAGTCGAGAACAATGACAAGATCGATTTCCTTGAGCCGCGCGGACTCATCAACACTGGTAATATGTGTTACATGAACTCTGTAAGTTTCTTTTAGGCCTGATATAGACCATAGTGGATCTGCTGCTAATGCGCTTCTTAGGTGCTGCAAGTGCTCATGTTTTGTGTGCCGTTTTACGACTTGCTTGACCAAGTGGGCAAAAAGGCCGCTCACAGCTTCAAGAGCGAGACTCCTCTGATTGATGCCTTGATCATGTTCATGAGGGAATACAATGTACTCAAATCGTCTGCGTCCGTTGATCAGCTCAATCGAATTCTGAAGAACGAAGATCTCGAACGTTACGGCGAGCCCTTTACCCCTGAGTTTGTCTACGACGCTATCCGACAGCTCTCCCGATTTGCCAGCATGCGAGTAAGTAATGAACTTTCCTGCAGGTTATTCTGAACTATGTGTGGCTAATGATTGTTTTTGTAGCGTGGTCATCAACAGGATGCAGAGGAGTTCTTGGGCTTCCTGCTTCAGTCACTTGACGATGAGTGCACCCACGTCATGAAGGATTTGCCAGTTGGACACGAGGAAGTGCCTTCATCTAACGCTTCTACCGGGGGATCTGTTGCGGCTTCTGACGATTGGCTTGAAGTCGGCCGCAAGCAACGCGCCGCCGTCTCTCGCTTATCGGGCCACAACACATCAACCCCTATCACCAAGATCTTTGGTGGCCTTTTGAGATCTGAGTTTCGCGTGCCAGGGCTGAAGGATTCCATCACTACCGAACGCTATCAGCCTCTTCAGCTGGACATTGGATCTCCTGATGTCAGAAATGTTGTTGATGCCCTACGTGGACTGACTCGTCCAGAGCGTCTTCAAGGAGACTTCAACTCCCCTCGTGGGAAGGATGTTACGGCCACGAAACAAGTCTTTATTGAAACCCTACCGCCAGTCCTGATCCTACACCTCAAACGATTCCAGTTTGATGCTGAAGGTCATGGAACTGTCAAGATCTGGAAGAAGATTGGGTATCCTTTGGAGCTTGAAATCCCCCGCGAGGCTTTGTCGAGACAGAAACGCCAGAACCTCGACGATGCTTCAATGCCCAGATACAAGCTCATCAGCGTGGTGTATCACCACGGAAAGAATGCTAGCGGCGGCCACTACACCGTAGACGTGAGGCGACAGGATGGTCGCGAGTGGATTCGGCTGGATGACACTGTCATTCGGCGCATCCGGCCCGAAGACGTTGCCGAAACTGGGTCCGAGGAAGATGCCAAGGAGGTACGCAAGGATGCCGCCTCGAATGTTAGCAGCAACCGATTCGGAGCCATGAACGACGACGACACTGGCGATGAAGACGGTTGGAAGCAAGTCACTGCGCCAACTAATGGTGGCAAGCGATGGAGCAGTGTTGTCAACGGTGGAGCTAATGGAGCTGTCAAGGAGAAGCAAGTCAAGGACAGCATCAAAGATAACAAGGTCGCATATCTCTTGTTTTATCAGCGTATATAAGCCAGCACCTGGCTGGGCATCCGTTTATACCACTACGACATATAATGGATTTCATTGCCGGTGGCTGGTGTGCACTAGGAGGCTTTTATTGGAAGATTTGTTTGTACATGATGTGTACAGAACTACACGATGTATCGATATATGGAAACCACTTACTATTGCATCCCAGGTTGGAGCTATTTATCTTGGCAAGACCGTGGGCGACAAAAGGGGGCAAGAAAAAAAGACCAGCTCGAGCAGGAAGGGAAAACAAAATGGATGGAAAAGGTGGCAGGGGTTGGCGGGTGTTTAGCGGCTCAGATTTGGCGTTGCGGCGTCTCGGCAGGATTTCTTCCATGATTTTTGTCGAGACTGAAAGAAGACGAAAAGGTGGACTGGGGAGAGAGACTGGACTCTTTAACGTGAGAGCTTTTGGGCCAGGGTAAAAGCGTCTTTTTTGTGGAAGCGTTTTCTTTGCTGCTTCCAGAATTGCGTTGCAACTCCTGTACAATATCACATAGCCAGTTTGAGTAATGACATGCATATACTATATATATATATCACTGTGGGAAAAGGGGAGGGGAGGGGGCTTGTTTTATAATGAGCAAAGGGAGGCAAGGTTTAGACCATGTCTATACATTTTTATTTTAATACAAAGAGACCTGCGTAGATCTCTAAACAACCCATCACTTTCGCCGCCGCTGCTTGATCCTGCTCCTTCCGAACCAATAACGTGCCATTTCGTTCAGTAATTTTCTTCGTATTTCTTTAGTGCTTCTTGATGACGGTCATGGAATCCAGGGCGTCCTTCTCAGCGAGCTCGGCCTCGACCTGGGCGAGGATGTTGCGCAGGTAAGGGACATCCTAAGAAAAAGCATTACAATGTCAGTCCAATTTTCGTTCGAGGCTGTAAATAAATGTTCGAAGAGGGTTGCCGTACCTCCTCGGGCTTGGTCCACTGGTCCTTGGGGAGCAGCTTGTGGGTGTAGCTGCACTGGACAGAGCGGCGGATGCGGTAGACGCGCTCGTAGGACTCCTTTGCGGAGAGGCGCTTGAGGGCGATTTGCACGGCTTCGTTCTCTTCCTCGAGGAGGTCGTCGTATCTGCGGTGGGCAATTTGCGTTAGCATTTGGGTGACTCTCTCCATTCCATTTTGCGCAACGTTCATGCAGTTCCTCCACCAGCTTTCCATATCATGATAATCTCCCCTCTATTTTTCTTTTTTCTTGCTGTATCCTTCTCATTCCCAAGCTCATTGGGTGCATCCCTCCAACAAAAAAAAAAAAGGCGAGCATTTAAATTCGGCTATTCGTACCTCAGACCGAGCTGGCGGTATCCCGAAGCGCCAGCGTACCAATTGGCCGCGGGCGTCAGCGCCTTGACCAACCAAGGCCTCTTCAGGACGAAAGGAGCGAGGGAAACCATTGTCGAGGCGGCTGTTGCTGCTGCTGCGAAGGGAGGGAACAAGACGTTTCGCTGGGTTCGATGTTCGAATGCTCAGATTATGCGCGAAATGGGATGATTCGGCGGGCCCTTGCAAAAGTTGGGAGAGCTCGGGATGTCACGTGGGGAAGAAAACGGCCGTTTTTTTGGTGGTGGGGGTTTTTGGGTGTGTTTTTTGGGGGGAGGGCCGTAATGAACGGAGATGGAACTGTAGAATAGGCGGGATGGTTTTCCGTTTCGTTCCGTTTTCCTGATTGATGTGTTATAGCCGCGAGATCATTGGCTGCATGTAAGTCTGCTGTAGACACATGTACATTATGTAGCCATGGATACACTGACTCTCTTGATGCAATCGGAAAACTCTTTGTGGCAAATGGACAATGATAACATGTAGTAGAGATATTGGCATTCATACTACCCATCTTGTACTCTCATAATAAGGCAGTATTGGGAGTATCAATGGAATCCCCTCACTGCACTGCCATCCCCTGCAACACCCGATCCAACTAATTCATCTAACTAACTCCAAGCCCCTCGTGGTTGTCAAGATCTTCTCTTCCGCCATTCAACGCAACGCTCTATAAGTGGATGTGGGGAGCTCAAGTATAGGCAATGGTCACTCATTGTGTTATTTTTGGGCCTCGCGGGCCACTTGTCCACAACGGTATTCTCCGACTTCATCTCCATCCCAGACTCGCGAGCAATCTGCTCAAATTCACGTGTATTCATATACCTGCTACGATGTCAGATAGAGCCGCTCTATGTGATGCGGAGGGTAACTCAACTCAATAAAGTATTTGTCAATAAGTCTAGGCACGTTCACCAGAGTGAAAAGCTGGTGGGTGGTTGTGGCTTTTGTATCGAAATTATTGTATAATAACTGGAGTTGAAAGGTGGTAAACAGACTTTGTGCATTGCCTCGGGCATCTTTCGGCTCCTTTGCTGCGTTGACGAACCACGTCATTAGAGTGGCATGAGGATTATCTGCTGGGTCCATCAGGTGCCCAGAGAAGAGTTGAAACGTGTCTCGAATGCTCAATTCTTCTCTGCCGCACACATTCGACACCTGTGTAGCCAGGAAGTACTTGGAATTTAGTAGTAGCTCAACGCAATTACCTTTGAAGAGCGATTAGCTAACCTCTATTCGATCATACTTTCTCCTATCCAGGTGACGAGGAAGCGCTCGAATGGCAACATTGAAAAACGACAGCCCGATGTCGTTTGGCCCTAGCCATTGAAGGAAATTCCCAATCACGCCCCTAAGAAAGCAGTAAAGCTTCCCGTACAAATCGTTTTCGGCAGCCCACGGCATCTTGTTCACGTCCAAGACGCCCCATGCAGCAAGAGGACTACCACTCTCAGCATATCTGTACTTGAGAATCTCTGGAAACAGGGCGCTTTTGAGTGTTAGTATAAGGAGAGGCGGAAAGGAAGGGGAGGGGGAGATTGACCCATTTGGGTAGACAAAATCAAGGCGTGAATGCCCAAAAGGCAAAAGCATCCCGTCTTCAAGGAACCTCTGATATACCATGCGCAAATGCGGAGAGCCCGTCATCTTGGAATAATGATATTCTCGGGCTTCGTGTCTGTATGGATCCAGAGTGACATGTTGCATTCGGGCCTTTGCGACGTGATAGCGGAGCTTAGGGGGGGTTTTTAATGAGTTAATGACATAGTTCCAGCGTACTACTGGGAGGGACAGACGAAGATAGCTGCCTCCAGAAAATTCCCACGTGTGGTCGAGAACGGTATCGAGAGCTTTGCCGTCCAAGTGGTGACGAACTTGCTCCAACAAGGGCTGAATCTTTTCTTCCAGATATTGCACAATGTCTCGAGTCAAAAAAGCTGAATACCAGACATGTATAATGGTATCAATGGTCCTAGACATATCTGCTTGGTCGTGGCCTTGCGCCGACTGTGTGGCGTCAAGAGCGCACAAACCCACTATCACGTTTCGTGAAAGGAAAGCAATCCTCTCAGTGTTGATCGTGACATCCACGAACCAATGGGACCGGGGCGGTAGTCTAGCTATTGTCCGAAAAAGATGGCGCAAGTCACCGGAATCTATGTGTGCATTGAGTCATTAGCCATCGTACCATCAACAACCACCCACCTCAACTGTTACTCTACGGTTGCCTTGCCAGTAAAAAGTAAAGACAAATATTCATCGTCGGCATCCAGGGCCTCGTTGTTTTCCACGTTGAGAACGTCAGCCGCTAGTGTGCCGCCCCAGAGAAGCCTTTTGTCCTCCATCAGAGGAAGAGGCGGAGGAGCAGGATCGACCGTGGTCCAATCCACGAATGAATTCTTGCGGCCCTCAGTCTCATACCCAGGATGCCATCCGTCTTTGACCAACAGGGCTTCGCAGTCCTTCTTGTGCTCTGGCCAGTGAGCGTCTTCGCACATGACACTGCAATACTTTACATGCTGTTAGCAGTACACGCGAGGAGTCAGGGTTGGAGTCGCTGACAGCCACCAAGGCACAGCCGCGGGTACACGGAAATGCTCCGACTTTGTTGCAAGTTTGGAAGTTGGTGCAACTGAGTTGGCATTCTAAATGAACCGGTGTGTCCATTTTGCTTTGAGACGAGGCTCTATTTACTCGTACAGATAGTGATAAGTTGAAGAATCCTGGTGGTGAAGAAAGGAAAACAAATTGAATGGGTTGGAAATAGCACCAGATGGCCTTCTTCTCAGACCTTTTTCTATCCATGTGTATCACTATCACTTTCCTTCCAGCATGTGCCATGATCAGTAGTGGGCAAGAGTGATGGGCCTCGCATCTGCCTTGCCTGGTACATGTATTTTGGCATATATTGGACAGATCCAGATCCAGAAACCAAAATACCAACCTCAGATAAGTAAAATACGTGGCATCGCTAGACTTTGTTGACTCTCTTCAGAGAATCATGGTCACCAAGAAGTATGAAGGCAGGCCGGCGCTGTCGTTGATACATACATTGACTCCGGTGAAGACGAAGTCCGATCAATCCCGGCCGACCGAGAACATGCTCTCCATTAAGCAATGCGGCCACACCTTGGAGGATGAAATCAAGAATTCCTCGACTGGTTTCCCCGCCATGTACGGACATCTAGCGATCCAGATCAGATGACCCGACTCGCTGATTTTCCTGATTTTGTCCCGGGAGCTTTTCGTCGAGTTATGGTTTAGGTTAGGTATGGTTGGATTGGATTCTATGGCTTATGTCACCCGGTTAGAAGTTTTTGACTGCTGCACGGAAGATGCAGGACAATGCCGTTGTCTTGCCATAGGCCAGCATGTGATGACGGTGCAGCTGCACTGCATGACCGAGCAGCATGTGAAGGTCGGAAAGTGATGATGGGCCGGGAGCGAGGTCAAATCCACTGTTACCTGCACTGTCACGATATTGCTGTATGATTGAATGGATGGATTGAGAATTTGCGTATAAATGGACAATGCGTGCTCGGTATCGGGATCGATACTAGCCTGCTACGTACCTGTACATGTACCTCGCATTTATTCGGCGTCTTGTCCCTGGCTCGCCTTGCGTCATTTGTCTCTGACGTAGCGACTTTTATTTTCTGTCCCCTGTATTTCGTCAACCAAAACATTGATGTGATCCGTTGTTGGTCTTGAAAGGAATCAAACTTATTAACACATCAATACTTGACCTCATCACAATCGGTGGCGCACTCGTGCACAATACTTTACAGCACGGTAGCCAAAGCCATTGCCATCAAATCACTCCCGGCGATGGAATAAGTCGGCACACGCCCAGCCCCAGCGCATGCGCCCTGTACGGTAACCGTCCTTACTGCGCTTGGAGGGGCCAGTCCCCACTGCAGGCCCCAAAATCTCAACCGCTTCGGCGCTCTGCAGTCAGTGGACAGCGCCGATTGCCTGCCCGGCTATCTTCTTCCCACTCCACCAATTCTCGCCCTCTCTTCTTCTTCTTCTTCTTCTTTTCCCACTCTCGTCTCTCCTCCCACCTTCGACCTCGTCCCTCCCGAGCGGCTGTCCGCACGTCCTCTACACATCCCGACCAGTGCGATTCATCCCACAGCCTCGGCCGCTCTGGGCGACTCTTTCTACTCGCTGCACAAGTCAATGGCCGGCGGCGTTCGCTAGGCAAGGACGGATACTGCGCGTGGGAGCATTCCCCGCAGTACCCGGACTTTCCTGGACCGAACGGATCCCAGAATCGAGAATATCACACATATTAGGAGCAGGGTTGGAGAGAGAACGATTAATACTTCTTCTTTCTCTATATTCACTGGTAGAGCCGCAGAGCGGCGTGCTCGACGTCATCCGCTGCGCTTGGGACAATCTCTCGGAAGACGCAGCAACGCCGGAACAAACAGCCGGTTTTTGTATCATCACCACCAACAATCCTCAACACGAGACCTCATAGCCATCGGCGCCAACTTCTAGCCTCCTTAAACAGCCAGCGAACCTACAATCACCGCTCCGACAACCTGCAACCTTAGACTTCTTCTTTCTTCTTCTTTTCGCCGAGGGTGCTATGTCTCACGACCAGTCCCCCGAACAAGCTCAGCCCTCCTCTGCAGATCATGCGTCATCACCCTATCGTCTTGCCGATTCTCCAATGTCAGCCATAGCAGGGGGTCTCTCCCCGCTGCACCGATGGACACTCTCCGCCTCCGACTCCCAGTTCAATGCCTTGTCAGGCGCCATTGGCGGCTTCACGTCCGGCGTCGTGACTTGCCCTCTCGATGTTATCAAGACGAAGCTGCAGGCTCAAGGCGGCTTCACCTTGGTGGATAAGGGCCGGCATGTCGGCCACCCCAAGTTGTACAATGGGCTGGTAGGGACAGCTAAGGTCATCCTGCGTGAGGAGGGTATTCGGGGGCTGTACCGAGGCTTGGGGCCGATTGTGCTCGGATATCTCCCTACCTGGGCAGTGTGGTTTACCGTCTATAACAAGAGCAAGACATTTCTACATCAGTATAATGGTGCGTGGGTAGACTGTCATACTTTGTTCCTGCCATTGAGCCTTGCCCGACTGACTCTCCATTGATGAACAGAAAACCCTCATATCGTAAGCTTTTGGTCCTCCATAATTGCCGGCGCCAGCAGCACCATTGTCACGAACCCTATCTGGGTCATCAAGACCCGTCTCATGTCGCAAAGCAATCCGAACACAGCTAGAGGCCATCACCACGCGTTTGCTCGCCCCGGCAATACCCCGACGGCAAGGCCAATTCTCCACGAGTGGCACTACAGATCAACCATTGATGCGGCGAGGAAGATGTACACCTCGGAAGGCCTTTCTTCCTTTTATTCCGGCCTCACCCCAGCTCTTCTCGGCTTGACTCATGTTGCTGTTCAGTTCCCTACGTACGAATTCTTGAAGACAACGTTCACCGGGCAAGGCATGGGCGAAGTGCAGGAAGGGGAAAAGGCGCATTGGGCAGGTATTCTTTCTGCTTCCATTCTATCGAAAATCCTTGCCAGCAGTGCGACGTATCCGCATGAGGTCATTCGAACCAGGCTACAAACCCAGAGACGACCAGTTGCGGGCGAGACCTTCCTGGTGGATATGGCAGCGCCCGGAGCCAAGCCACCCGTGACCGGACCCAAGTATAGAGGCGTCGTCATGACATTCCGGACCATCCTCCACGAGGAAGGATGGAGGGCGTTTTATGCTGGCATGGGTACAAACATGATGCGAGCCGTTCCCGCTGCAACGGTAACAATGCTTACGTACGAGTATGTTATGAGGGAGTTGAACAAGAAGAAGAACCAAGCTCTAGAGATAAAACGGGCACTGCAGGAGCAGCCTTGATTGAGGCCCATCGGACAAACGCGGGTTATGCATCAGGCGGATTATTTCCAGAAGAGGATGGTTTCATCTACGGATGGTTTCATCTACGGATGGTTTCATTTTCTCCTCTTCTCTGCTTTTCATATGTTTATGGAAATGGGATTTACGAAACAATGAGCAAAGTATCATGGGGTCAGATATACCCTTCTTTCGGACCCTTACCCCCTTTTATTCCACCCTTTTGGCCAAATTGTAGGTATAGAACAAAGTCTGATTTCCAACCGGAATTTTGTAGCAGCACCACTCTCATATGGGATTCTGGGGTCCAGGCCCCTTATCTCTGTTCCTATTTATTCGTCAATTTTTTCATCGATTTTCTGTTTAATTTGCTTTCCCCCCTTTTTTTATTTGAAGAGGTTCATTCTGCATCTGGAGAGAAGTGGCGGGGCAGCGTTTCTTTGCTTTGCTTTGCTTTGTATCTTTTGTTCCCTTTTCATGTTAAAACAGAAGAACGGCGATTTGATTGGAAAGGGAGGGAGGGCGGATGGGAGGTGTTGGTTTTCGGCTGGTCTGGGGTGGGTTTACCTATGTACATCTATCGATATAGCAATGCAGACGAATACGATACGATATCAAAGGCTCTTTTTTTTCTTCGATAACGGATTTGAGTTCGCTGGGATGGATTTTCCGATTGCGCGATATTATGCTGCTTTTGTAAGCCGCTTAGAAACGGGTAAGCTTTTGGATTGTGGATATGGGGATGTGGATGAAGTTTTTTAGTAGCGTTAAGGGGGCGTTTTGTTTGGGGCATCGTGCTGGTTGTTTGGCTGAATTATGGCAATTGGAATTGATCAATGCTTTTGTTTGATAGGTGAACGTGATGTTTATGATACGTTCAATCTATATATGTAAGTGCCTATCTTATATGTCTAACTGTAAGACTTGTATGGCTGGAGTGTGTCTCCTGAAAGGCATGAATCAAAATAACGCCGTACAATATAGCTAGCCCCATAGCATGAAACCCTCATAAACAAGAAATATCTTATACAAAAAGCATCAATACATTTCCCCTTTCTTCTTCAAAACACACGTGTTTTACAGCATAGCCTTGGGGAAGTTGCGCATAGCCTGCCTGACACCCAAGTCGCCGAGAATCTCCTCAGCACCGCCCAGGATGGCGTCGAACTTGTAGGTGCGGTTGAAGTGCTCAATGTACTTGCCCATGCCGGACTGGGTCAGGCCGCGGCCGCCCCAGATCTGGACGGCCTCGTCGGCGATCTCGTGGGCGCCGCGGGTGATGCTCATCTTGAGCAGGCCGATGGGGCCGGCGAGGTGCTGGGCCTGCTGCTTGTAGGGCATGTTGCACATTTGGTAGGTGATGGTCTCGAGCCAGGACTGGTTGGACTCGACGAGGGCGATCATCTTGGCGAGCCTAGAGAGAGATTGTTAGATGGCTTTGCTTTGGTATTTACGAGTTTTGATTGCTTACTTCTGACGAATGACGGGCTGGTCAATGAGACGCTTGCCAAAGACGATGCGCTGGTTGGACCACTTCAGGCACTCCTCGATGATGAAGCGCTGCGCGGCGAGGGAGCCGCAGGCCATGACCCAGCGCTCGTGGTTGAAGTTGCTGAGGATGACGTGGATGCCCTTGTTCTCCTCGCCGAGGAGGTTCTCGACGGGCACCTTGACGTTGTCAAAGGTGATGTAGGCGGTGCCGGCGGCGGGGGAGTAGGACGTCTTGATGGGCTTGGTCTCGACGCCGGGGCCGCGCTCAATCAGCAGCACGCTGAGGGCCTTGCCGGTGCGGACACCGACGACGAAGTAGTCGCAGAAGACGCCGTTGGTGATCCACTTCTTGGTGCCGTTGACAATCTATGAAGAAACACATCAGTTAGAAACGTTTATGCTTTTCATGAAGAAGAAGCAACTTACATAGTGCTTGCCATCGGGCGTCTTCTCAGCGGTGGTGCGGAGACCGGCAACGTCAGAGCCGGCAAAGGCCTCGGTGATGGCCAGGCAGAGCTTCTTCTTGCCGCTAAAGACCTCGTCGGCAATCTTCTTCTTCCAGGCCTCGTCCTTGGCAAAGTTGAGCACGGCGGTCAGGCCAATGGTCATGCCGGCCATGTTTCCGTCCTGGAAGCCTCGCATCATGGGGCGGCACATCTCCTGGCAGGCGACCAGGTCGTGGAAGTAGTCAAACTCCTCGCCCTTGACGACATTGTTGAGCATATTGACGCCGTGGAGGTGCTTGCCGGGGCCGAGGCGCATGTGCAGGATGCCGGCCTGGCTCATCTTGTCAATGACCTCCTGGCTGATGGTGCGGCCGGTGGCCTCGCAGTCCAGGGCCTCGGGCTTGATGACCTCCTCGGTGAAGACGCGGACGGCATGGCGCAGCTTGCGGTGCGAGTCCTTGAAGTAGGGGCTCTTGAAGTGGGGGGTCAACCACAGCGGCTCGGCGTAGGGGACGGGGCTGAGGTCGCCGGGCTGCGGCGTGATGACCTCGGGCTTCTCGCCCTGGACGGTGCCGATGGCGAGGTCGGCGTAGCGAGAGAGCACCTCGTGGCGGTGGAGGTTGTAGAAGGCAGAGGTGGCGTCTTGGCCGGCGATCTGCTTGAGCACGCTCTCGCCGCCGGGGTGGGCGTCGACGAACTCGGTCAGGTCGTAGACGGTGCTGTCGATGATGCACCACAGGGAGTCTTCGGAGGTGTGGTTGCGAACCTCTTCGCGGGTGAAGGTCTTTGCCGGGGGAGCCATTGTGGGCGAATTAATAAGGGAGAGAAGAAGGTAGATGGAAGTAGAGGGAGGAGGAGAAGAAGAAGACGACGAAGAGACTCAGGAGTTGAAGAGCTTCAGAGACACGAGGGAGAGAAGGAGAAGGAAAAGAAGTAGAAATCGTATTCGGGCGAGAAGCTTAAAACGGAAGCCAGCCTCAATTGCATTCCTGAGGACGACGTTGCTTTAAAGCTGGGGTCTCGGTCCTGATGCTGGCCGGCTTACTCCAAACTCCAAATGCATCCAGCCGCGAGCCTCGGCAGAGCTGGGGGCGGGTACCATATTTGGGGAGAAATAAGCGGCGTGTGATTGGTCGGAGACGGTAGTGCCATTTTTGAGTTGCTAGTGGCACCCCGTACTTGGTAATTCGGCCGTGGCAGCGATGGATCTATTGGCAGTGTTTGGATACATGTAGACAAGGACACGAGCATTTCTAGGACTGTATTCTGGTGTTTGGCATGTATTCAACGTGATTTGTCTGCGGTGACTGCTGGCAGTGCTGGATGCCTACATTCTGCCTCCAAGGGAGCCTGGGGCGGATCATTCGGGGACTTTTAGGGTTTAGACTTCAGCTGTGATCTCACCCTTGTTCTTCCAGTCAGCTTTGGGGGATGCAGTCTGGAGAGAGATTGGCTAATGCAAGATGGCTCTTCTCGGTGCCTTTTCATTTGATTCAGCCAACTCCATCCTCGGTGTGCGAAGGATCAATACTGCCTCCCTCTATGGCTGGGTGCTTCAGCTGTAGCAGATTCATTGTTGCCTGTGGGAAGCTTGCCAGATACAGACATCTTACACCCGGACAGTATTACGGCATAAGCACCGGTTGGTCTCGTCATGTTTGTAGGCTACTGTAATACACTTTCCAGGGTTCTATTAGACCGGCTTCTTTATGTTACGTTTACGGAATACTTGTGATGGACTGACAACTCCTGTGTATTTTCGTGGTGAGTTAGATAGTATGTTATCTGTCATTACCCCGGAATGAGGGGCATCCATCGCCCTGTGCTCGACATCAAATTCTAAGATATCCACCATTATATAGTAATGGCTAGTAGCAGTTACTAGAGAAATGTAGATAGAGTAGCGAATATTAGAGAAAATAAAAGCGCCTTGGCAGACCGACCTCCAGCCTCGGCAGAGATCACACAGCGGGACCATTGTCATACGATGACCGAAATGGCGGGCCTGTGATTGGCTAGGGGGCTTTTTGTAGATTGTGGGGGGGCTTGATCTCACAAATCTGTGCCTGGGGCATGTGAAATGCAGTGGGACGATGAATCTGTGGGCTTCCCTGTACATACCGTAAGCACCTTGCTATACCGCTACACTGGTAGTTATTGTACAGAGTAAATGATCTGGAGAGTGTAATTTATCAGATGATGCAGCAATAGCGATAATTCTCAAGACGGAATATTTTTTTCAATTTGTTATTCTATTGCTAGATATGCGTTGCTACGAGCTTACATCTACACTTGCCTTCTCATCTTGAGTGATGACCGTCTCGATTTCACCAAACAACAGTCATGACAATCCATATCTTACACTAGAATAAGACGACTACGTTTTATCTCGCTATAGGTAAATTTAAAAGAGATATCAGCTCGGGCATCCCATGCACAGTTGAAAAACATTGAAGCCATAATTAGGCCAGGCAATTCTGCCGCTATACCAGAGAGGGCTGAATGGACCCTGGAAATGGAAACCAGCCTGTTTGGTGCTAATCCGGCCAAACAGTAGCCGTGGAATCCACTTCTTCCTTTGCGATGGACCAAATTATTCGGAACCCGGCGACGACTTTTTTTCCAGCTTCATCTCGTTGGATGCGTTGAATCTGCAACACTTGCATTACGGCTTACGGACTCAAGTCTCAGTCAGACGATAACACGCGATAACTCATCAAGGATTAGAGGTACTTCAGAGGTACATTTAATGCTTCGGATCCTGAGCAGCTGCAGCTTGCGTCTTGGTACATGTACGTTGACTCGAGTCTTTTCTTCTTCTCGTGTTTTGTGTCTCTAGGTAGGAATGGATGAAGTTGTAATAGTCCAGTGACTATTGCGATCACCGGATGGCTTTGTGTCTTCCATGTTTATTCTTTACTTGCACACAGCAATTACACGTACACTCGTCATGGATTCATTAATATGTAGGTCGCTTTTTACTGAGGGATGCGCTATGGCAAGCGCCGTGCTCGGTATTTTGGCCACCTCCAGTCACCGGACCTGCTGGCGCCTCGTGGCCTGGATTCGAGGCCGGCCTCGTGATCGACCAATAGCGCTCTTTTCATCTTATCTGCATCTGAAGCGGCAACTTGGCCTTATTATCTCGCATATTAGATTGTCCTTACTGTTAGGGGCCGGATTTTGTCTTGTTTTGCTTTGGCTTGCCCCTGTTCATTTTCTCTCTTATATCATTTCGGTTGTCTCTTATCGTCTCATACATTCCTGACTGTTAGCCAATTTGGGCCCTTTGCTTCAATCTCACCAACGCATCCACTCTATTGGGAACCTCAAAGTCAAGTGACTGGACAATATTCATCATACGCCTGCCGATATCTACCTGGAGACCTTACTTTGGTACTTTTCAAGATGGACGCTTATGCAATGTACCCAGCTAGCCTCTCGAAACAAGCTTCATCCAGAATATACCAGGATCTCTGGTCTTCACGAATCCACAGCCTCGTCCAGCTGGCATCGGACCATTCGCTGAAGAAAGCCGTAGCCATGGAGAGTTTCAAGCAGGTATAAGCTATTTTCCACCTATGCCTTTTACATGTACAGCCCATGGTCTATTTTGCCGCACGCATATAAGCCACTTTACACAGCCTTTGGTGTCATCCAGCTGACTCCCATTGCCAAAAACACATCACCATGCACTGAATCACTGGACTCTTTTCAAATGACTAAACACTGAAAACTGCTACTCACACAACTTGCAACAGCGTAGAAAAGGCGTCCCGGGTTCAAAACCACACGTGGGTATCATTGGCGCAGGACTGGCTGGCCTCCGGTGTGCGGATATACTGTTGCAAAATGGATTCCAAGTGACCATCATCGAGGGCCGTGATCGCATCGGCGGCAGGCTCTACCAGGAGAGACTTGGCAACGGTCACTTGGTTGATATGGGACCTAATTGGATACACGGCACTGACGATAACCCCATGCTGGACCTGGCAAAGCAAACGGGAACGGCCGTTGGAACTTGGGATCTGACGTCTTACGTCTTTAACGAGGAGGGTAGCTTATTGCCGGTGCAGGAAGGAGAAAAATATGCCACTCTAGTGTGGGATATCATCCAAGATGCCTTTATACATTCCAACAAGTCATCTGCAGACATCGATGATAGTATAAGTCTGTTGGACTTTTTCAAAGAAAAGGTGGTGGAAAAGATTCCCGAATCCGAGGACAACTTCCAGAAGAAGAGAGAGACGGTGCTGCAGATGTCTGAGATGTGGGGTACTTTCGTCGGCAGCGCAGTTGGTCGACAGAGCTTGAAGTTCTTCTGGCTGGAGGAGTGCATCGAGGGCGGTAAGTTGGCCTGAGTTTCGTGTTGTTTCAGAGAGCAGCCAAGAAGGAAAGGAAACTGATGTTATCGCGTGGCATGACTCTCAGAGAACCTGTTTTGCGCCGGCACATACGAAAAGATCCTGCAAGAGGTCGCACGGCCAGCGCTTTCACATGCCACAATCCAATTCGAATCAGTCGCCGACAAGATCTCCTACAGGACAGAGCAAGATGATCAAGTCCGAGTCCAGCTCAAGGGCGGCCAAACCTTGGCGTTTGACGAGGTCGTCGTCACATGCCCCCTGGGGTGGCTGAAACGAAATCTCACCGCATTCGACCCTCCCCTGCCGTCAATGCTCACAAAGGCCATTGGCTCCATCGGCTACGGAAGTCTTGAGAAGGTTAGTTGCCCGTGCCTGTCCTGTGCCTGTGCCTGGATCGACGAATGAGGACTGCTTCACGGAGATGCTAATCTCGAACCTGCAGGTCTACATTAGCTTTCCCAAGGCATTCTGGCTGCCGGCCGAAGGCGATGGTCGCAGAGTCCAGGGCTTTGCCCAGTGGATCGCTCCCAGCTATCATGCTGAGAACCCTCGAGGGTGGAATCAGGAGGTGGTTGAGCTGGCCAGCATTGCGCCTGAAGCTGCTCACCCCACGCTCCTCTTCTACATTTACGGTGAGCAGTCCGATTACCTGACTGCCAAGGTGGCCGAGCTGGACGGCACGGATAAGAAAGACGCCTTCCTCCTGGACTTCTTCAAGCCATATTATTCCCGGCTGCCGCAGTACTCTGAAGAGTCGCCAGACTGCCAGCCAGTCTGCTGTCTCTCAACTAATTGGGTGCGCGACGAGCTGGCGGGACACGGCAGCTACTGCAATTTCCAGGTCGGCCTGGCAAACGGCGATGAGGACATCAAGACGATGAGACAGGGTTTGCCGGAGCAAGGGCTGTGGTTAGCAGGCGAGCACACGGCGCCGTTTGTCGCACTGGGGACGGCAACTGGGGCGTATTGGAGCGGAGAGTCTGTCGGCAAGAGGATAGCGGAGGCATACGAGCATGAGCACGGCGTGGAAGTGGCTCCATAAGATTTGATGCATTGGTCTAAATGTGTATCCATCCAATTCATTGTACTTTGCCTATCGCAGTCATCTGTGATAGTATTACTATATATAAATATACTCTACTGTACACTTATCTGCATCGCCGTCAGATTCATTCCTCCCATTGGACCATCGTCAAGATGGAGCGCAGGCAGCATCTGGAGCAAAAACTTGGGATGCTCAGATGCCTAACGACTCTGCATGCGCGGATGCATCTGTGGTTGGCCTCTGGCCCTATCAACCTATCTCTGGTGCTGCCGTGACCCGCCGATCCACTGCTAGATGCATATGCCAGCAATACGGACATTGGCTGGCCAACCGGCTCCAGGGGCGCAGATGCGTGCGCTGTCTGGGATTGACGTGATATCGCGATAGGGAAGCGGTGGTGTTTTCATTGGACGCTCTGGCAATGGATGTTGCACTGCCGATATCAGGCCGTAGCCGGTGGCCTATTTTCAGTGGATGATTCTCCATGGCTCGACCTGACCTGACCTGACGCAGGGTACCTCTCGTGCATGCGACTGACTGACGTATCTGGGAGGTACCTCCCGTCGGGCCAAAGTTAGCACGGAGCAAAGCGGAGCTGGCCAGCACGAACCTGCGCCAGGTACAAGCCCGGTGGTACTCGGTGTAGGGCAGTGACACTCTGGTACTCCCCGACTGACGTCGCCAACGGCTAATCGATAGCGGCCCCAGCGGTCAACTGACGCTGCAGCGCCCTGTCTCTGCCTGCCATGACTCCCGCGAACGTCACGAGCTAGCGGGTGAATGGGGCCCTCCAGGGTCCTTGATTCAGGCATAGCGCTGCCGCCATAGGTATAGCTGCGTACTCACCAGGTATCGCCTTAACTGCCTGGGCAGCTCATGAGTTCCCTCCAGCCCCTCGACCGCTTGACTTTCCTTCCGCCTTGACCAGTCCAGTCCACTAAGCCCCGGACAAACTCTCTCTTGCAGCAAGTTTGGAAACCATCCATCCATTCTTCATCTCGCTTCTTCTGCTCCATCCAGCAGGCAAAAGCCGCAAAAGCCAAACCCTTCCTTGCGCCCTGCTTGCCTCTCGACAACCTGCTCTCGCGCCTTTGATGCCTCGTCGTTTCGCCGTATAATCATGAACCTCGTCCCCGCATTTGGCCGGGGGTCTGTTGATATCGCGCCTACCACAGCGTTTGGCTGGCTGTTCTGGAGCCGGTGACGATTCGATTTAACTTTTTTATTTGCTCTTTCGTCGCCAGTGCCCAGCTACCTTGCCTGCCTCTCCTCTCTCCACCTAAGAACCATCCCGATAATCCAGCACCTCGGGACGAACCATCATGGCTGGGCTATTCCAGTCCTTTCGGAGCTCCAGCATGCCTAAACGGCTGCTGCGATATGCTTTATCGCGGCTGGAGCTCCTCGACTCTGACGCTTTAGATATGGACAATCTAGATCTTGCGATAGGTAGAAATACAGTCTTTGAATTTCGGGATGTTGGAGTTCAGCTAGATGTGAGTCTTCTGCTTCTCCGTTGAAGGCCGTTGGACACAATGGGGAAGAGACTAACATCAATTTCAGAAACTGGAGAAGCTGCTGAAGCTACCCGAGACGTTTGCGATACAGAAAGCCAAGGTTTTACTCCTCCGAGTGACCATTCCGATGGACTTTTACACGAGCCCCATATCTATCGAAGTTGATGGCGTGGATGTCAAGTTGAAAGTGGTAACAACCGGTGCCAAGTCCAAATCGGGCCGTTCAACTACGGCAGCCAACAACGACGACGATTCCTCAGCAGTTCCGAATACTGTTGACCTTGCGCAATCATTCCTCGAAACGCAGCCATCATCGGAGCGAAGAAAGCTCGAAGCAGCGCTAGCTGCAGAAACACAAGATCTCGGCGCATCCACTTCCATGAGCGATGACAGTAGCGAAGATGAACCGATCGTGGGCACTGGGCAGCCCTTGTCACTGCCGGGCTTCCTGGCTGGCTTTTTGCAGGGAATCGTTGATCGGATGCAGATAAGGATTAAAGGCGTGGGGTTCCAGTTGGATATGGATATTCCGGTGGATATGAGTTCATCGACTACAGAACCCGTGTCTTTCCAAATAGCCCTGGAAGGCATCGACATCGAGGGTGTTACCACGAGGAGCGAGGAATCTCGAGCGTCCGCCATAGCAGCGCCCAAGGAAGGGAAACGACAGATCTCTCTAGACAATGTCCGCGCCTATCTAATATCTGAGGCCAACGTCTTTTCTACCTTGACTCGGTCATCTTCCATGACTTCGCCGTCGGCAACATCTTCACCTCTTAATACGAGGAATCCACCTTCGAGGCAAGCTACTTCCTTGTCTGTGGAAAGTCTGCAAACGCCTGCTTTTGCGCCTTCCTTCACACCGTCGATGATGTCCTCCCGGCGAGGGTTCCCTGGCCAGTCGTCACAATCGCCTCGAGACAGCGTTCACAGCCAGCGCATGTCGACATCGCAAGCGAGCAGCAGTAATCCATCTATCCAATCGCTGCATTCGAGCTTTATAGATCACATGGCTGAGTTGGATCGACCCAGCTATCCCTTGGGGGATAGCGAAGAGGCTCTTGGAATTCCATACGACCTTGACTATCAGGATGAGGGTGTGCCGGATGACGAATGCCCTTCGACTCCCCGCGCCTCGCTATCCCGAGGATTCAACTCCCCTGATAACGCAGTATTCCACTCACCCGAAGACCCTGAATCGAATTCCTCATCGCCCGCAAGGCGATTGTTTGATAGTGGGCTGTCAAGATCACAAGGCATGGAGGAGCAGATTTCAGCATCAACCTATTCCTTATCGCGACAGCGAGAAGATTTTGAGCCGTCTGGCACTCACTCTTCCACGGAGCTTGGGCCTGAGGGCCATTATGAGCCAGGAAATTTGGCTGAAGATCTTTCGCAATCACATCTATATACCCATGAGGAAGCCGAGAGCATGTATATGAGCGCTTTTTCAAAAGCAGAGAGTCAAGCCGACATATCAGGACTTGAAATTTCTCAACACACACTCCCCCCACCCGTTGATCTAGTAGTCGAACAATCTGTTGAACAAACGGCCCTACAACCAGAAGAACAAACAGCAGAGCTCGCTCGGACCCCTCCAGCCTCTCCAAGGCGAGGTAACCAATCTCCGCCTACATATGCGTCTCCCAAATCCGCCATGCCTGGTGGCTGGGATGACAATGCCTCTCAAGGCTCATCCGGATCTGACAGAACAATGTCCCATAATGCCGTGACGAAGGAGCATTCCCCTCCCAGGGCGGATATACCAGAGCCTCAACCTCAACCAGTTTTTGAAACTGAAGCCGAGCCCAAAGCCGAGTTCGAAGTTGAACAGAAGCCAAACTCTCCAGCAATTAAACCAACTCCAACAGCTGAGGAAAGGAACAGCCCGATGGAAACGGATGAGGAGTCACAACACGAGGATGCCGCCACTCCAAAAGGGCCAACACGAGTTGTCAAGGAAATTTTACATCTTCAGACAATTTCCGTATATATACCTACGACGCATCAACATATAGAAATGGAAGAAGACACTTCTGAATCGGTTGCGGAACTTGCCCGGGCGATGAGCAATTCAGTCTATCCTCAGGCTCCTGGAGCCTTCTCCGTGCATGCACCAGCATCTGGTTCTGTGTTCGATCACAGGCCTCACATACGACGAACTCAGAGCATTGATAATGTTCTAGAGGTCGATTTGTCCCCAGTTTCGATCCGTTTTGATGCGTCTCTGGCATTTGTGCTTGCCATGATTGTTGGAAAGCTTCTCGAGGCAGTGAAGAATGACAATCCTGTCAAAGCCCCAAGCAAGGGCGCTGATAATGCGCAGCAATCAGATAAGGTGCCGGAAATTAAAGTGTCAGTCAAGGAGATATCATTGGATTTCCTAAGTCGACTTGGCGGGGTGACAGACACTCCTCATCGCCACCTGGACCCCTCAGCATTCATGTTTGACCATGAAGTTCTTCTCAACGCAACATTGGGGAATTTGGCCATTTCCGTGTCACCTGTCAAGGTGACTGCCCACCCCGCCGGAAGAGGTAAGCCAGAGAAGCAGGATGCTATCCAGACAACGATTGATCTGGAAACTTTCCGCTTCGGATACACCAATGACGATATTATCTATTTTGACAAGGCTAGACCCATGAGTACGTCTGTAAGGGACACTTTTCTTTCAAACGGGCATGATGTTGGCATCAAGATGACACAGTCCAAGGACAGCGTCAAGACGGAGATTGAGACGCTGCCATTGGCTATCCGTATGGATTTGCAAAGACTTGATGAGACCTTTAGCTGGTTTGGAGGTTTGAGTAGCTTTCTCAATATGAGTGCCTCGATGACGTCTAGCCCATCACCTACACCCAAACCGCCGCCGAAGCCAGCCTCAACGCAGCGGGCGAGGGGTGTACGATTTGATACACCTATCAACCCGGACGACAAATCGGCTACTTCTGAAAATAAAGTCAACATGCGGATAGGTGGTTCCTACATTGAGCTCCTGGGGAAAGAATGTAGCTTTGTCGCTGAGAGCAATGCTATCAAGCTTATCAGCAGAGAAGAAGGTGTCGGAGTTGGGTGTAGTATGATGCGTGTGTCTGGGCCGTATCTAAAGAATTCCTTGGCGGACCCTGCCATCAATACGGAGATACTCGGCATGCGGTTGGAGTTTGTGACGACTCCAAATGATTCGGACCTTGAGAAACTGCTTGGGTTGATCACGCCCTCCAAGGCCAAATTCGACCACGGAAGCGATGAGATCATGGTTGATACTCTTATACGGCAACGAAGGAAAGGCTCGGTACTCAGAGTCGGAGTGGAAACGCTGAATGTGCGGGTGAAAAACTTGGCTCAGCTCGAGGTTCTTCCAACCCTCGGCGAAGAACTGGCCAAGCTGTCCACCGTGGCGAAATATCTCCCCGAAGATGATAGGCCTGGGCTCATGACTCTCGCCAAAGTTAATAAATTTGGCGCGAGCGTTGACATTGGCGGAACCCTTGGACAGCTTAGCAGCGACATTAAGGAGCTTGAGGCTGCGCATATTACTGTTCCGTCTTTGGTAGCTATTGCAGTCTCGGGGATATCTATCAAGCGCAACAAGACCGAAGAGCTCGTCAGTTCCTCAATTCTATATCCTTCGGCTGAGATTGCGAACCGCGGCCCGGTTATCATGGCAAGAATGATCGGAGACGACATTGAGCCTGTTGTGAAGCTGAACCTACAAGACATCAGCATCGAATACCGCGTTCCAACGATTATGGACGTTCTTGGTCTGGCCAATGACGCTACTCCTCAGGACTTTGAAGACAGCCTTGCTGCCTCAGTCGCCAGTCTTGGCGATCACGCCCACGCAGCATTGGCACGGCAGCAGCCCCCATCGCCGACGAAGTCCACTACGAAGCAGAGTAAGCCAATGACTTTGGATGTGTCGTTTCGGGACTGCCTTATCGGCCTGAATCCTCTCAACCAAAAATCAAAGATGGTCGTTGTATTTACAGACGCCCGCCTTGCCGTAGTCCTTCCCAAGGACGAGGTTACTAACGTGAGTCTCGACGTTAACAAGGCGTCTATTCTACTCACGGATGATGCTTCATTGAGCACATCGGATCACCGCGTCTCCTCAAGCGCAAGACGCCGAGCGTCCTCTTCAGCGTCCCCTCAAGTAGTCTCAATGTGTGCTCAGGGATTCGTCGACATTTGCTACATGTCGTCAGCAAAGGTCACCGTCAGTGTCGCCCCAAATGCAGATGGTGAGAAGCAGGTGGAGGTTGACGTTCGAGACGACCTTTTGGTGTTAGAGACTTGTGCAGACTCAACTCAAACTCTAATAAGCCTGGCAAATGCCCTTTCACCACCAACCCCACCAAGCAAAGAGAACAAGTACAGGACCAAGGTGATGCCTGTGCAAGACCTGCTTGCGTCGATTTCAGCCGAGGCATTTGGAAAGCCGGAAGGGGAATACGACTTTGACCAAGACTTTGCGGGTGCACAGGAGATGGCCAAGAGTCAGTCCGATGCGGGCTTTGGGGGCGACTCCCTTCGCGTTGAGTCACAGTTTTACGGAGATGAGCTTGGGGGAGAAGAGCTCTTTGATGCCATGAAGCTTTCCGCTACATCACAGGACGCGAGGATGCAAGGTACCAACTCGGCAGTTTTCAATACTGGGCTCATGACTTCTACCAGCTACATCTCCGAAGACAGTGATGATTTGTTTATTCAGGATGACTTTTACACGGAAAACGCCGCCGAAGAGCACGCCGCCAAAATTTGGAACTCAAACAAGAACACGTACGACAAGGCCCCCGCAAACTTGGTGAAACGCAGCCCCCTTAAGGTGTCTGTAAGGGACGTCCACCTCATCTGGAACCTATTTGACGGCTATGACTGGACTCATACGCGCGACATCATCAGCAAGGCCGTCCATGATGTGGAAGCAAAGGTCTACGAACGACAAGCACGACTCAGCGGGCAGCAGATTTTTGAGGAAGAAATCGAGGACGAAGAGACGATTGGCGACTTCTTGTTCAATTCCATCTACATTGGAATTCCAGCCAACCGAGATCCGCAGGAGTTGGCTCGTGCGATTAATGAAGGCCTTGCTGATAATGCAACGGAGACGGAGTCAGTCGCTACAACAGCAGTGACGGCCACGACGAACCGGACCATGCGTCGAGGATACCCCAAGTCACGGCGCTTGAAGCTACAACGAAGCAAACACCACAAGATCACCTTTGAACTTCAAGGTGTCAATGTCGACATGGTTGCATTCCCCGCTGGAGCTGGAGAGACGCAGAGCAGCATCGATGTTCGGGTTCAGAATCTTGACATCTTTGATCATGTTCCCACGTCGACATGGAAGAAATTTGTGACGTACGACCAAGATCAGGGCGAGCGTGAGATGGGCACCAGCATGGTGCATCTCGAGCTCCTCACAGTGAAGCCGCTACCAGAGCTAGGAGCATCAGAGATTGTTCTTCGGGCAACCGTGCTACCCCTGAGACTCCATGTCGACCAGGACGCTCTCGACTTCATCACTCGCTTCTTTGAATTCAAAGACGATAGCGTTCCGGTGCACTCATCACCCAGCGATGTGCCCTTCCTACAAAGGGCTGAGGTGATGGATATCCCAGTCAAGCTAGACTTTAAGCCGAAACGAGTAGACTATGCCGGCCTTCGGTCCGGGCACACGACCGAGTTTATGAACTTTATCACGCTGGAAGAGTCTAGGATGGTCCTCCGGCATGTAATCATTTACGGAGTCACCGGCTTTGATCGATTTGGCAAGACGCTCAATGACATTTGGTCGCCCGATGTCAGAAAGACGCAGCTTCCAGGTGTCGTGGCAGGCCTAGCACCCGTGAGATCTCTGGTCAACATTGGCAGCGGGTTCAAAGATTTGGTTGAGATTCCCCTCAAAGAATACCAAAAGGACGGTCGCATTATTCGAAGCATATCTAAGGGAGCCGCGGCGTTTGCTCGCACTACCGGCACGGAACTGGTCAAGTTTGGAGCGAAACTGGCCGTCGGCACGCAGTACGCTCTACAAGGGGCAGAGGAGATGCTCAGCGGCGGGGCTCGGCCTGAGGAGAGCTGGGAAGACGATGACTTGGATGCAGACGACAAGAAGCAAATCTCGCTGTATGCAGACCACCCCACGGGTGTGATTCAAGGCATCCGGGGTGGTTATAGATCACTTGCCAGAGATGTGAACCTGGCACGAGATGCCATTATCGCAGTGCCAGGTGAGGTGATGGAGAGTCAGTCAGCTAGCGGTGCGGCCAGGGCGGTTCTGCGACGAGCGCCAACCATCATCTTCCGACCTGCAGTGGGTGTGACCAAGGTCATCGGCCAGACGTTGATGGGAGCCACGAACTCGATTGATCCCCACAATCAACGCAGAATTAACGAGGTAAGAGCATGGTTCCTAGCTTTTTGTGTTGGAAGGACGAATTGGCTAACAGTCTGATAGAAATATAAGAGGCATTAAGTATATGCTGGAGAGAGATGTGTCGTCTCCCCTAATAAGAAAAAAGAAGAGAAAAAAAAGTTCAAATGTTTGACGATACCTGACTACTATATACCTGAGAGAAGCATCTTTGAGTTTATTGCAACTGGCGGTTTTATAAAGCGGTGGCACACGTTGCTCAAAGGGAACAAGCGCCAGGGTTAGAATTCTCTCCTTTTCCTGTACTGCCTTTTTGAAAAGGCAGTATATAGCATAGTTTGGCGGAGGGGTTTTGATGACAGTAATGTCGCATTTCTTTTGTGTTTGGGAAGGCGTTTGGATTATCGAACTATACCTGAACAGAATGATGTTTGTTTTTTGATTCCCTCCTTTTTTATTTGGATAGTACTGGAATGGCTTGGAATGGGATGGATTACAAGGATAACTTACAGAATGACGGCCCAAGCAAAGCACAGATATTACAAGATAGACAGCGCCTGCGGGTTATGGATATATACAAACAGAGCTGTGAATTGAAATTCTCGAGGGTGCAAAAGAATAGGTCTATTCGCTTTTTGTGGCTTGTATCCTGTATGTCTATAGTACCTATGTGCATATATATATACATGTCTTGATGTGAGATGCAAAACCCCAGAACATGATGAAGCCAAAGTTGCCTACCCATAAACAGAACTTGGTCTAATCAAACCAAATCAACTGATCCATGACCAATATACAAAACCCCATCCTTTCCTTTCTTTCTATTTTACTTCTGTACTGTACTCAAAATTCGTCATTGATGCCGGCCTCCTTCTCAGCGGCTTTCCTCTTCTTATTAGTATCTATCCACCACTTGTGAGACTCTTCAGTCCCCGTCCACTCGCCCTCATCGTTGATCTCATCCCACGGCTTAGGACTCAATATATAGTGAATGTTCTTCACCTCGTCGTCCCTCCAGATCTGGGCGTGCACGCCATCCCAGCGCAGCGTCTTGAGCGCATTATACGTATAAGGCAGCGGGACCCAGCGGCCGCGGTATAAATCAGACAGCAGCGACTGGTCGGCGAAATCCATGTTGACGGCGTCGGCCTCCATGTGGGCGAGGATCTGGTCGTAGAGCGCGGCGGACGGGTTGACGACCTGCAGGCCGCCGTTCATAAAGCCCAGTGGGCCGACGGCAGGGTCTGCGCCGACGGTTTGTGCAGTATCGGGGTCTGAGTGTTGGGATGTGAAGGCGCAGTTTTGGGGGATCCAGTTTTTGGGGTAGTGAGGTTTGCGGAGGGGGTTGCAGACGCAGGCGTGGCCGGCGGCGAAGACGCGCTTGGAGGAGGAAGAAGAAGATGTGTTTTCGCCGGATTCGTGGATTTGGGGGTCGTCGAGGGGGAGGTCCATGAGTTCGTCCATGTTGCGGAGGACGAGCATGTCGGAGTCGAGCTGGACGATGCGGGAGTACTGGGTGAGGGAGAAGGGCACGAGCTTGCTCCAGCAGTCGTAGAAGCGCGGGTCGTTGGAGTAGTCCTTTCCGTTGGTGGGGAGGATGTAGTCGATGCGCTGGGAGGGGATGCCGCGAAGTTTGAGGGCGTCGTGGCCGGCTTGGGGGAAGGAGTCTGTGTAGAGGGCGACGAGGGGGTATTTTGAGCCTGCGGCGCGGAGGGAGTGGTTGAGGGTGAGGAGGCCGGGGAGGTAGGCGGTGTTGGTGATGAGGGTTGTCCAGACTGTTTTGATTGTATGGTGGTTAGTTTTTGTTTTGGTGATGTGTGGTTTGTTGGTGTTGAAGGTTTTGAGGGGACTGAGACTTGCCTTTGTCTGAGTCGACGGCTCGTTTCTTGTCTGCCATGATGACGGTTTGAGATCGGATATTAATCTGGAGGGATAGATTGGGACTGGACGAGTATCCGGTGAGCGAATTGAGTGGTTTGAGGGAGTTTGGATGCAGCGGCAGCGTTTGGCGCAAAGTTGATGCAATGGTGGTGATGGCGTATTAGTTATTAGGAATCGGCGGGGAGGTGGGGTAGCTTTTTTTATCTACTGTTTAAAGTGAGATTTTTGTTCGATGATGCCATTTGACGAGGGGCCGGGCAAGGGCCGGAAACTAAGAGACGGGCTAGGCCTTGAGATGGATTAGGGAATTTGACGTGGTGGAGTGGAGATGGATTTGATTGATTTATACGCATTTTTGAGGGATATCTCGATGTTGTGTAGAGATGAAGATGTGGGGATGGAGGTGGGATGGGAATAAGCATGTGATGAAAGAGTTTGATTAAAAGAGAGTTGATAAATAAGAGTGAATAATATAGTTACAGAAGAAGAGACAGAATGAAGAAATAAAATAAGCCTTATACAACAAAAACATGCTCCCTTATATACCCCTCCAATTAAACTTAACGACTCCAAAAGCATATCAACTCATGAGACGAAACTCAATAAAGGCGACTGCCACGGGTTAATTGCGACAGGTCCATCATCGTCTTCAGTCCACTTGTAGTCCTCAAGTGGTACGTCCTCGACGACCTGTTCCTCCTGGCTGTCGCAAGCCATGGGATACGGCCTCACATAATCCTTGCTGGAAAAGTTGATAGTGTTTGCAACTTTATAGACGCCCCAAATGTCCCAGGTCTCGGTAGGCGTTATTGCACGAAGCGGTAACGGTGTCGTCGGGGCGAGGGGAGGGCTGACGGGGACGAAACTCGGGGCGTATGGGCTGAGAGGCTGAGAGGAAGAGGTCCAGGATAATGAGCGAGGAGTGTTGCTGTTGTTTGTGTTTGTGTTTGTGTTTGTGTTTGTGTTGTTGCAGCAGCTAGCTAGACAGCGCTGGTTGACTGAATCGTACTGGTTGAACTTGAAATGCTCGTAGTCTGGCGACTGTTGAAATTGTCCGCTGTGTGAAGATGGTGATGGCATTCTCTCGTTGGGAGCCTCGATTGCCATGGATGTGGATTCATCAAACAGGCCGAGACCTGACGGCAAGTATTGATGTAGCTCAGGCGTCGCGGGTGGCAACGGTGACACTGGCTTTCCAGTTCCTAATCCTAGAGGCCCAGTCAGGGCTCGAACGTCTGCTCTTGGCCCGAGAGGAATCACGGCATCCTTCTCCAGTCGACCGCTGCCGTATAAGCCGACATAGTCGGGGCTGACCTCTGGATATTCAACTTCGCCCCGTGAATTCACTCTCTCCTTGGGTCGCAACTGGTGGAACATGACTGACGCAGACGCCCGCAGAGTCGGATTCTGCTGCGCCATGGCCTCCAGCTCGCTCATTTGCACTCCCGCCTCGACAACCGCCCAGGCCGCTGCCGAGGGGGGTCTGTTGGAGAGCTCCGTTTCGGATAAGTACCCACAGGAGATGGCCAGTGTTACGAAGAGCGACCAGACGTCTTGTTTCGTGGTTAGGGGATATGTATCGACGTACGTCTCCGGAGCCTTGTAATAAGTTTTATTTATGTCGGTTATAGCGAGGGGTTGGGCGAGGGCAAAGTCTGTGAGCTGAAAGTGGAAGCCTGGTCCGCTGGCCTCGACGAGGATGTTGGTGGGTTTGATGTTTCGGTGGGACAGGCCTTCTTCTTGGAGGTAGGTGAGTGCAGAGAGCATCTGGATGGTCAAGTAGTAGAAGGCGGATGTTTTCAAGTTTAGATCGTATTGTAGAGGGATGAGTGCGCGGAGGTTGCTTGGTTTCGGGGGGATGACGAGGAGTGCCATTCTGGGTCGGACGAGGGCGTAAAGGATGGGAACAATGTTGCGCTGTAGGATTCCGGATCAGCCTAGTTTAGAGATGGATTTCTATTAGAAAATTGAGATGTAGCATAACTAACATGTCTAACTTTCTTGATGGCGGCAATCTCGTGCTTCAGCCGCTCTCCTTGTGCTGGTGTTGAAATGTCGAGCTTTTTGATGGCTACCATGTTGTCCAGCTTTTTGTCGTAGGCGCCGTATATTTGGCCATGAGTACCGCTTCCAAACAATTTGAGGCCCATGAAACCCTCTGAGAGGATTGCGGATGTCAGTTTGTCGCCCATGGCTACTTTGGATTGGAGGGTCGTGTTGCTCTGTTGGCGAGTGGTGATTAATCAAGAGCGAGGGGATGAGAGAACTGCACGAGATGAATGGAGCCAGACTCTTTTCCATTGGCAGCGCGGGTTCCTCTTATACGGTCAAGAGAATGAGACAGTTCATAATATTCATCCTCTTATTCAAGTACTAAAATAAGGCGAGGATTAAAACAAGGCGGTGGTGGCCGCTGCAGTTTGCATATTAATCGGGGTCGTATATTAGTATTGTCTTATATTAGTCCTCTCCACGAGCACGCAAACATGCAGTAATACCAGCCAAACCATCATGGTTGCAAAACGCTCTTGACCGGTGACAGGGATTCTGTGCTTCTCATAGCCTAGTTGTCTCATTGCAAGCCGCGTCTTTTGTTGTTAAATCACCCAATCACACGGTGGTCGACACCGCTAGAAGCTCATCCCGCCTGGCAACAAAAAAAGCAAAGAAAGGCTCTCATGCGCAAGCAGCTGCCGTGTGACGGGCTGAGAGACGGCTACTGGACACATCCTATGCGCCAAGACCGCGCCATCTTTAAGCCATTCATCAAAAATTGAGAAACATGCCGGGGGGCGGATCGCTTGACGTGTCATATCTCAATCTGCCCACGGTTCATGAGCCAAGAGATGAGCAGTTCGGCAGACGAACGATGTGGTCGGTCTTTGGTTCCTGTTGTATCGCCTTTTGGGGATGCTTGATTCGTTGGAGATAAGATGATCTTGAGATGGTCGCGAAGATGGAAGATTCTCCGCCTGTAACATTGGAGCATCACGTCTCGGCTGCACGGCAGATGCAGAGCCTGGATCCAAATAGCCACTTTGATGTGATTGGGTGTGACATTGCTCACCGAATGCAAGGGAGAGTGGGTTAGAATATAATAGAAAGAAAGATAGCCAGCATCAGACTCGGAAGCCCATCCGCGGCCCGTCCCGGTCTTGGAGCCTTCAGATACTGTGTCCCGTATACTTTGTATAATGATTTATGACTGGGAGAAACCTTCCATAAGGTTCCTCTACAAATCGTAGCACGAGAGAAACTCAATACCAAGTGCCCAGAAAGCTGAGGTGGAGAGTCCGCGGAGGATTCTGCTGACAGGGGAGAGTATGGTTGTGCAACAGTACCTGCACTAGCTTCCCTCAGCCGCATTAAACCTGGTAAGACAATTCGGTTGCGGTCTGGCTCTCTTAAGATGATCATTCTTTTCTTTCCTTTTTTCTTTCTGTGCCGTCCCCCCTTACAGTGCTGAGGGTCGGATCATTATAGTAATAGGATTGTTTGCTGCGGCGGCAGTGACGGGCCTCCTTTTGTCTTGCATGTAAGGGGTGGAAATCATTGGTGTGCGCGCGTTCAACCAGGTGTTTGGACTTTGAGAGCTGAAATGACGTTTGGAAGTGAGCTGAGAACTGAGGCGGGGGATTCTGCCTGACATTCATCGTTTTGACTCGTCAGATTTCTTTGTCTTCGGGTTGTCTCTCTGGGGAAACGATGGGGTGGGATTCAATGATATGTCACATGTGCTCCGTAGATTGAAATGTCGTGAATGATCTTCTGTTGACTTTTATGTCGTTGCGCCGGTAATGTTTTCAGGATATGTTTGCTGATTTGAGCACCATCTTTTCACTGCTATGACCTGTCTGTAGACGCATGCGTTCGAGGACCACATCAGCCTCAGTTGTAAGCATAGGCTTTGGAGAGCAATTTATAGCTGAGCTTATCACGAAGGCTAAACCAGATTCTTCAAGGAAATGCCATAGAATATAGTGCTATATATGGTTTTTGTACCTTTATACACACAATGCTCTTTTACAAGTTGATGTAAATGTTCAAAAGTGGATATATGCTCATCGTAGTATGTGCCGAGCCAAGACTCTGAGCATTTCAATGATCCTAGCTTTTGCGTTTCCCCAATACTAAAACTATATTTGGCACAAAATACATCACTGCCAATCACTACTGTTTCTCCCATTGAGTGACACAGTATCTTTATTCTGAGCCTGATATCTATCTGTGCGACAGATTTCCGCAATGTCTTGTGCATAATAACTGATATCTCTGAAAGTTAGAAGCGACGTAGTACTAGTGATGAACCATTATGCAGTGTCCGCAGTGTGATTTAATAGCCTATCAGCAACATCTTTTGATGCAAAGAGCTTCTATGGTTCACTCATGGAGATTTTCTAGACCAAAGCACTGTTATTGAGTCGCGGGCGCAGCTATATCAGGCACCGCCAAGCTCACAAATACGGGTATCAAGCTCTGACTCGAGTTAGCACGCGGCTAGTATGCAGACTGTGCATTACGGCATCTAGATATACGCTCCGCAAGAGATCTACCTGGCACCTATAAGCGAACTGCAGCCTGAAGATCTGATACGCGTGCCGTCTGTGGAGTTTGATGCAAGAATAACGAGAAATGTCCGTGCTGTGAAGATGCCGAGAAGACAAGGCATGAAGGTTATTCTGGCAGTCAAGGCCGGATGGACTTGGAGAAGTGGGATCTAGGCCCATTCACAGGGCTTTATGCAGGTAGTATTTGACTTGGACTTGGGTTCTTTGTTAAATAAGGGTGTCAATTTGACGTTTCAATCAAGAAAATTTCCATTACAAAGGGCCCAGGCGTGTCTTTTTCTTTAATGTTTGGGAAAGGTAGTGCGTGGTAGAGATGAGATACGGGTATCAATATTGAAAGTTTACCCAGCTTGTGCTCTACCACTCGGCATGGCAGATGCAGCTGTGCTTATCATACAGATTACCATGCCCAGTACGAAACTTACAAAATAAAGAATTATTGGAAATGAAGTAAAACTTTGTCGTATGTGCTGGGCGATGTGAGGATGAGTCTTGATGAGTCGCCATGTGCATTATAACTGATGGAGGTTAGGTTGGTGTATTAATGGGAATATGTACACGCATCACAGGAATAATACGGCCGAGCTTCCTGAATTGGCATGCCGCAATATGAAGAACGGAAAAGCATTTGGAATCACGAAAGGCTCTAGAATGTACTGTAAAGATAAGAAAAGGAAGAAAAGAAGATGGAAGAGAAAAGAACATTGGAAGCCGAATGCCTGTAGAAGATGCAGGTTGACAGGGAACATTGAAGGTCACCGAGACACGTGGGCTGGGCAGGATCTTGATCCAAAGTGATTACAGTAAGCCGACATGACATGGGCATGGGCGGGAACCTTGTCGGGACGGAGACTCCGTATCTCGCACTGCCGTTTTTAGGAGCGTTCTAGTTTATTCGACGGAGGACAGAGCACGGCTGGCCTGAACTCGGTCGTACTCGTATGTAGGAGTGGAATGAAGTGTTATGGACGGAGTAATAATGTTTGAGAGTACGGAGTAAGTAATGTCCTGTAGGTACTGTGAGATCTGGGTTTAGTTTGCAAAAGGGAACCTAGAAAAGAGAAGAGGGGGAAGATGGGATAGTCCCGTGGATTTACCCGTTTGGTCGTGTGATGGATGGACAGACACGAGGCGGTGAAGCTGCTGCGTTGTTGTGCATTATTGCAGTTGGTTGATTACAGTACATAAGAACATATAGTAACTCAGTAAGAAAAGGAAGAATCGTTGATGGCGGCTAAACATTAATACCCAAGAAACAGAGGAGAGCAGAGCAAGACAAAAACAAAGACCGAGACTCAGACAGATCCAAAGAGCTTGGCCAAGAAAACAAGGGTTCAGGGCGCTGGCGGATCCCCGTCAGATTTCCCAACGCCGGAATCTCGGAGATGTGCCGGCGGCTGGTCCAAGCGCAAAGGTTGGTTAGTACAGTAGCTAGTTGGGCTCAGTTGGATTGAATTGGCTGCCGTTGCGTGGCTGTTTGCTTTTCAGGAACGCTCCCCAACGAATTGCGGTGTCTTGGATTTGGGGCCCAGCCAACGTTGGGATGGGATGGGAGGAGATAAAGGCAGAGAGATATGGAACAGATAGACAGATAGAGAGAGATACGGAACAGATAAAGAGAGACAAGATCTTGATTCACAGCAACTCGGTCCTCGTAAGCAGATTCATCAACGTCTGATGGATGCATGCACTCGTACAGTAGCTGTGCCCGAACAAGCCAACCCAGAAGCTGGCACAGGCCTCCATGACCATTTTCGCACACGCAATCACGCATGCACCAGCTGATGACCGTCTGTCTGTCTGTCTGTCTGTCTGTATGTACATGCATGCACGCACTTGGGCGAGAGACGAAAAGGAATGGAAAGGAAAAAAGCAATACTAATGCCATGGCTCGTTCCGGCTCGGCACTCGCGGACTTTTCTCCTCCGCCCATCCATAACAAGAGGTTTGCACGATTGAGGATGAGTCCATATGATGCGAAAAGAGTATTACACTCAATCCCATTAATCGTTTGCGGAATGGTTGAATACATTCGCAGCCAAAGCAGCAGTTCGTAAGGTACTCCATTCTCTTCCCAAGCCAAGCAAGCCAAGCATCGGTGAAGTCGCTCCGCTGCATGGAAGAGTCAATGCAATGGATCAATGGATTCCTGCTTGGCCCCCCCCCCCCCTTCTGTAGCTTCAATCTGTAGGTGAGTCCAGCGCCCAGCTCCACCTAGGCAGCACCGATTCACAGGGGGGCTGTGCTAGTTGGAAGCCCAGGCCGAGGGGGCTAAAAGGCTCCAGCGCTAACATTGAAGCTGCTGGACAAGACAAGCTGGAAGCTCGGATTGCCTCCCCTTGGACCACTTTTTGGCTTCCCGGCTCCTCAACAGCTTTTACTCGTGTGCCCCTCGTTTCTGCTACGAAGGTACCCATTGCCGCCAGCAAAATTGTACGGACGAGGGAAGTAGCCGGCTAGCGATAGCCCCCGAAGCGCCCCCGCCCCGGAAACGGCCCACCGGCCGGCTCGACGGGTGCGTATTCGTAAAGGCCAGGGTCCCAGTTGGGCTTGTACTTGGAGCATCTCCAACTTTGTTGAGTTTTGAAGCTTCTCTGCAGTGTCAGGTATGTACCAGTATGGCTTGCTGGAGGTATCCATTCTCCGCTTAATCGCACTGCCGAACGGGGTAAGAATTCAAGGGGGGGAAACTCTCTCTCCATGCCATTCTGTCCTGTACCGTGAATCTTCTCTCATGCTATTCGCTTTTGGGTCATGCCACCAAAAGCCCGTTTGGCGTCCTCCTTTCCTCAATCCGCTGCACCGCTTGTTTCTTTGGTTCCCGCCTTCGTAGGTTGCGTATAAGTAACTGCCGGCATCGCCATTCCTCTCTTCCCCCCTCTTCCCTCTTGTAAAGTTTCACTCTTCTTCTTCTTACTCTGTCTCCCTCTCTCTTTTTGCTTTAGCATTCCATCCATCTGTTCCCATCTCAGCGCCGTTTTAGTCCCGACTTGATTGTTGCGTGTGACTCTTTTCCAACATCCATCTACATTCACCATTGCCGACATCCGCAATCCATACATACACATACATACATCTTCAAGCATCAAACATCATGTCTCGCGTTACCGCTCCCGTCGCAAAGCTTTCTCGCGCCCTCAGCTCATCAGCCGCCCGCGCCGCAAACCCGCTGCTCGACGCTTCCACTTACAATGCCGGCGCCGTGCTGATGCCAAAGTACGCCGAGCTGCTGCGCAACCGAAGAAGCACCATTGAGCTGTCCGAGGTACGTTCATGTCACACTCAATCTCTCTTCTCTCCATTCTCCAAGATAAATCAAAAAGCGCTAACAATTCTCCTTTTCCAGTCTCGAACCCTCACCACAACCCACCGCCCGACTCCCCAGCCCTCCATCGCCAACCGCGCAAAGCCTCTCATGCAGACCTTCTCCAGCTCTGCCTCATCCGCAACTCCCTCCTCCCACCTCGACGCCGCCGTCCTCCCCGGCCTCGCCAGCCTCTCCTCGTCAACTTCCTTCGCGGATGTTCTCCCTCGCATGCCTCTGCTCCCGGACAACTACGCCGCCGCGCATCCCGCCCCGGCTGCTGACTTGCCCGTCTCCATTGCCAGCTCGTCCATTGTCGCAGTCAACCCCGACACGGTCCTCCCCGCGACGCCGCTGTCTTCATTAAGTGGTGTTTTGGACACCATTGAGCTCAAGTTTGTGCATGAGGAGCCTGCTGCCGTGGCGCAGGACGAGGGCCAGAGCCAGGGCATGATTCGGGATCTGTGGAAGGGTATGGTTGAGGATGTTTTCGGGTCAAATCAACCGATTCGCAAATCAAACTGAAACCCATCCGTCTTTTTTTTAAATCATGTACAACGCATTTGTTTTTTTCATGCTGCATTTTCTTTTTGCTTGTATGAATCTTTTTTTTTATGAGCTGTTGCTTCGTTGAACACATTGGTCATGAAGACAGGCCATCCCAAAAAGGCATTATGAAAGCCGTGGACAGACAGAGTCAGAGTCCCCTCGTTATGAAACCGAGATATATAGGAAATTTTAATCAAAACATCTTCATTGCATCATTGCATTATCTAAACTACTGGTGCCAATTCGCGATAACCATTCTGTGATTGATCTCCATCGTACTTATTCTCCGCATGCCCGATGGTCAGCTTTCAACATATCAAATCATGAATCAATGTAGCGAAAAACAAGGCCTTATTTTCTTGACAAACTATCGGCGTCGACATCTAATGCTCGACGCCGATATGCTGACTCTCCGGGGGATAGTAGCGCCTATATAACATCATTGCGCACAAAAAAAAAAGCGTCGTAGATTAGGTATCGTCTTCTCGTCCCGACAATCCCATCTTGTCCCCTTTCCACCATCAACTTGAGCTTCACACACACACATGATCTCTTTGCTCCACCGTCCTGGAATTGATCATGCGATCCGCAACCCACAACCGCCATCCATTATTATACACCGCCATCTCATCACCGTCTTCACGCCATCTCCGTTTTACCTCTTCTTGGCTGATGGCCTGGGCTTACACTCGTCGTTGTTAACGGGGTGCAGCATGACCTTGATGGGGTAGTTTTGCGTGTTGTGCTGGAAGCCCTTGCTCCAGTCGTAGCTAATGGCGTAGGCAAAGATGCTTCCCGTCTTGTTGAACGTCGTGGCCGTGATGCTGCCGCCCACGTTGGGGTAGCCCTTGAGACGGTGCTTGGCATCCTTGTCCCAGAAGTGGAACGTGCCGTCCGATCCCGCCGTGCTAAAGGTGCCGTGAACCGGGTGGAAAGAAATGTCGTTGACGGCGTGCACGTTGACCACGTTGTTGACGGCCGGGTCACGGTGGCACTTGAATGAAAAGTTGGATCTGGGTCATGTTAGCTATACACTCTCCCTGACAGGTATAACCACACAAAAAGAGTGCAATGGGGCTGCAACTTACGTAGAGTCCTTCTCCTCCACATACTGAATAGCGCAACGGCCCTCGATACTACCGATTGCGAAGCCCGTCGAGTCAGGGAAACAGCTGACGACTCTAGTCTGCCACTTAAGGGGGCTCTGCAGTGTCTTGTAGAATTTCGTGGGGTTTTTGAGGTCGACGACGTTGATGTACCGGTCGGCCGTGCCGACGACGAGCAGGTTCTGCTGCACGTCCATGGTGTAGACACGCTCCTGGCATGCCAGAGTGGCCGCAGGGCCTTGCTGCCGGAGGTCCCAGTACTTGACCGTCTTGTCCCACGAGCCGGAGACCACCATGGTGCCGCTGCCGCTGTCGAAGAAGCGCACGCTCCGTACAGGCTGGTCGTGTGTTCCGATGACAATGTCTTGCTGGGACGCCAGATCGCAGACCTTGACGTTCTTGTCTGCACCGGCGGAGGCTACCTTTGTTCCATCCTATTTTGGAGCACATTGTTAGTATTTCGCAATTTGACTGGATCATACATGTTCTCTCGCTTTCTCTCCATCTGTTGCCTTATCTCTTCTCTTCTTCCCCTCTGCTTCAGACGTCATAATATACCCTTGCTTACCTTTGAGAAATCGCACCCCAAAACAGGCTGGCTGTGCTCAAACGCGTGACGACCCTGGCTCTGGCCATTCTGGGCTATTTCGTAGATGCGGACCTTGTTGTCCCAGCTGGAGATTGCGAGGAAGTCGGGTCCGTTGGCGGCTGGCGAAAAGACGAGGTCCGAGATGCTGTCGGTCGGAGGATCGCTCAGCGCGACGTCCTGCTTCAAGTCGCCCACCGTGGTCGACGCCGAGGCGCTCGCCGCTGCGGAGCCGAACAGGGACATGATGTCGGATATCTAAATCGAGCGTCGGCAAGATTGCCAATCTCGATCGCGGAGTCGGTTTTCGAGTTTTTCAACTGTTTTTTTACCCTCGACGCCCAGGCGCGTAGCAGCGCGAGGTTCCCCGTCTCGTGGATTTCTTCGCCTTCTTCCTCGCCCTTGAATTAGACGGGCTGAAGGCTCGGGAGATGCTTTCGTCGCCAATATGTTCCCCGGCGGCGTCGCGCTTTTGGGAGGATTTATAGGCCAAAAGTTGCAGCTCCAGGCACGAAGGCAGCGACCTAGCATTTCTCAACGCGACGCTCGGATTGGCTCCCAGCCCGCAGGCAGTCGGAGACACAATCGATAACAGCATTGTACGGCATTGATGCATAAACCTACTGCTTTGTGCCCCACTAAAAATTCACCACTAGAAAAAAAAATTAGAGCTTGATGCAAAGAGTTTCTCTTTTTCTTCTTCTCTTCATCCCCCTTTGCTCAACAAATCGCCATTCGAAGCTTACAGACGGAGATGCTGCTCGTCAGCGTCTCGTGATATCTTCACGACCCAGGCTTTGGGAGAAAGTCCCCGGACGTCTCCTTTTCGGAGCATGCGGAAACGCGCCGCCATAGAAGCACTGCGGCTGACCTCCGCGCCTTGGCCCAGCTGAGGCATCTGGCCCTACCTGCTGCTAAATCCGTCTTTCGCGAGACATTTTGTCAACCCTGTTTTCTGCGCCTCTGGCCCCCATGGATGAAGATACGAGTCCGAGCTGGATGGTGTAGGGGCAGGGCCGCGGCGATGTCGAGCCGGAGATGGATGGTAGGCGGACGTTTTTTGGTGTCACGGCTGCGGTATCGGGTGCAGAGGATTTGTTGTCGAGGTCGATAGTTATGCGATTGCCCGGCGAAAGCTTGGTTACTCGATGGGGCCCATTCTTGATGCAAAGGGGGACCCGTCAATACCATGACGGTAATCCTGTTTTTTTTTTACACTCTGAAACTTCGCTGGAGGTTTTTTCTTCTCTTTCTAACTGGATGCCCTCATGGTGGAGATGGTCAGAAGCTCATATGATGATGACCAATATAGAGTCAAGCACCGAGTCAAGAAAATCTTGCCGTTGTGGATAAAAATATTTTAATGTCAACTGATAGGCTTCTGACAATTTTCACTTGATGAGGGCATTCATTGGTTGGGTTAGTTCATTCATAGATATCTAGTAGGCAGCTCATATTCTGGTCAAGCGGCCTAGATACTTGTTGTGGCTTCTCTACGGAGCACAGAGTATTACACTCGTATTGGCTGATATTGCCAAGGTAAATATAAGAAGCCTCGTAAACTGATTCGAATAAAGCCTGTCACCACAAAAGCTGTCGACTGCGCCAAGCGACACAAGAGTACGAGTATTCGGCACAGCGCCGAGACACTCCCCTGTCACCAGCCCATCATCTGTCAGCTCTCACAAAACTGCCACGAGAGGACAAGAACGAGATGAGATGAGAAATAAAAAAGTCTTCAGTACTACAGAATCCTGCCAAGCCAAGCCCACTCCGGCCAACCTACAGACACTAACATCCAACTCGCAACGGCCGCCAAATGGGCGATCAGTCTTGAAATTACAACATCTTGGCGCCGTCTGTCTTTTCCCCCTAACTAACGCGGGCTAAGTGTGTGACAGGAAATGCCAGAAGCTTGCCGGAAGCGGCTACGGATTGTAGATCGGGGGTCAGCTTTTGGAGCTGTTCCTGCTTTCTGCGCTTCTTTCAATATTAACCGGCCCTGGCCATTACAGTATTTAGTATCGCTTTCCGCGCTGGCTAAGATGTGGGACTTGTGGCTAATACAGTACGAATTCAATATTGTCATCAGTATCACTTGACAAGTGGAGGACAGAAAAATCGCGACCGAGAAGATTTCGAGCACCCGCAAGTTAAATCATACGCCTACAAAAAGAATCACTACTATATTTACATTTCCTTATTAACTACTACTAAATCTATATTTTTCTAATAAATGCTACTAAACCTATATTTTTTTTTAGTAACTACTACTAAATCTATATTTTTTAGTAACTGCTAATTATATCGTAAAGTCTGGGTGCTGGTGAATTAGGCGTTGCCCTACAAAAGCACTACTCGATGAGTTGATTAGTTGCATATATTTCTGAATGTATGGTGCCTATTTATTTTGCGGTCTTGCTTTTTCTGACTCCGCTTGCTTGGATAGCCCATCTAATAGTTACCCATTTGGCTGTTCCACTTCTGGCTCTAGATTTGTTTGTACCCCTAGCAGTGCAGTAGTATCTTGGAATAGAAGTTTCCTCTGTTTTTTTGGTGGCCTGCTCTGTGATACTTTATGGCGTCATAATTCTCCAACTTGTCCAATACAATATAAATTCCTCTCAAACCACAACACCGCAATACTCTCAAACTCCAGGTAGTCATAAGCGACGAGGGTATTCTTGATTCTTGGGATTTATATCACCAGTTGCAAGGAATCTCATCCATTCCTCAAACGTGTGGTTGATACGTATCGGTTGGCCTCGCTCATCAAGTGCCCATTTTCTTGTATACATGCCCCTATACGGCCACGAATCTTGTCGCACGGTCTTTCCGAATTTTTGGAGATGGCTGCTTTAGTGTTAGAATATCTACCAGCTGTGAGTAAGTCAAGGAGAACTTACGCATAGTTTAGATATAATAGATATCCGTATTGAATGAAAGAGCCGATGATGGAGATTATAAGGAGAACTTCGTGCCACGAACATCCTTTTGGCCAGAGGGCAAAGTAGACGATAGCACTGGAGATTATGGTAACATAGCCTTGGAAATTAGGATAAGCATGACGGTATTCTCTAATGAGTTCCTGCTCGAGTTAGAACTTGAGCAGTGATTGTAGGACAGCTTAATAATGGCTTACCTCAACGTCGCTCCCATAGTTCTCTGGCAAGAAGTAATTTAACCGGCTTGCAACAAACGTCCAGTAAACAACCTCCCATCGCCAGCCTTGAATCTTGGGCCCAACCCAGAGGAAGCTTAAGATAGATGGGCCCCAGCGAGGAAAGCTAGACACCAATAACCCGCAGATGATGTCCCAAACTGAATAAAGACTAATCTTCCCTTGGCTGAAGTAGACAACACAAATACTAGTGGTGCTAATGACGTAAACGTGTCCAAAGGTAGTGAAAATTGAGGAGAAAAGATACATTCGGGCGTAGATGGGGATAATCAGCAAAAGTACAATGCGCACCAAGTCGCGGAAGGCGATTTGAGAATGAAGCGGCGTCGTGTCAAGTACCGGGACTGTCCCTGCAGTAGATAATTCAGGCATCTCAGTTGAAGTGGAAGCCATCTTTGACGTTCATAAATAGAGGAAACGCGGTAGGGCTCTCTATCTCAACGCTAGGTTTGCAGCTTGGTTCTTCCACGTTTCTTAAGATCGCCAGGATATGGCAGGTGCGGGGTTTCTTTGCTTCAACTCAGATAAAAAATGTTGGGCGCTTCGACTCGAGTTACTGGTCCGCTTAGAAGCCTTGCATAGAGGGACGTGTCACAGCAGCTGCAAGGGTGAAGAGGGTTCCCTACATCGTTGTAAGGCCTCAAAGCTCGAATAAGGCTCTTTCTTAGGTTTTTGGGGGTCAGGGCTGTGGTAGAGGAAGCCTATTGCTCTATAAGAGGAGAGACTTTGCAAGTCATGCGTGAGGGCGATGATACAAATGTAATTCTCTAGTGGGAGAGGTTCAGGGTGTCTAGGAGTGGCTATGGAGTATGTCTCAAAGCGGCGCATCGTTGGCTTGAACAGTCTTGGCTATATAGGTTGTATGAATAGATGATTTGTTCTCGGGATTATCTTCTGGTTCTTCTGTTGGGCCGGGTTCCGTTCCTTTCTCAGAGCCATGTTCCGTTCCATTGTCGAGTTCATCAAAGGATTTGGGCATTTTTCTCGTTCGGGTTTGTGGCCGCAGTAGAATTAAGGGAGTGCTAGTAGAGGCAAGGCGCTCATTATGGTGGTTGGGGAAAGGAGTCGTCTTCGTATGCGAGTGTTCGGGTGTCAAACCCCTACGCGTAATGAAAGTGAACGCAGGTGAGAGCTTCGGCGCATCATCAACCGATCCTGACGTTCTCTCGAATGGATTTGAGGAAGGGTATATACTCCGTAGAGGAAGAATGTAGACTAATAGACAACTGGCTGCGGTTGACACTGTACTAGCCACAGTACGCTATACATTGCTCCGTGCGAAAAGAGATCCTAAACTAATATAACCGGACGCTTATTTCGGGTTTCGCTGTAGCATGCTGTTAGTCGTGGTACCTGGTCTGGCATCCTACGGGAAATGTCTCTAGAGCACGAAACCCTGTCAGCTTCGCCCAACATTTCATTCCGTGAATCGTCCTTTTCCGTGGGCTTGGCTGTCTCGTCGTAGCATCAAGCAACCATGCCCAATCTGCCAGTCAGAAGCAAAACATGGCTTTTCCCCCCTCACTTTAAAAAATAAAAGCAGCAAATCGCCGTTCACGCCGACCCTCCACCTGAAATCCTTCCAGCTTCCACCAAAAATGCGCCACCATGCAACCCAGACACAAACAAGCAAACGGTGCCTGAATCCTGTCAAAGAAAACCCCCCTAGCTGCTTGCTTGGCCTCCCCTCCCCTCCCCTAGTCAGTTCACCATCCAACCCTTCCCGATAGCGGGTTTCACTTCTTCCCTCCTCCCTGGGCCCTGCTTCTCTTTTTTTCTCGCGGTTAAATGTACCTACATACGCGGGAAATATTGGCATGGGCTTGACGGCTCCTTAGCTCAGTTTTGTGAGGAACTAGGCTCTGTGATGGGCAGCGAGCTAAAAAAAAAAAATCCCCAGCTTGGCTTGGAACGGTGTTAGCCCCCCCTTGTTTGCGTTGGGGGTAACATCGCGCATCGTGAGTGGAAGACCGGGTCGAGTCAAGTATGGGGGAAGCCAGAGAGTGAGAGCCGATGTGATTTCGTCCTGCTGGGGGGGACCCTTCTTCCTTTGGCCTGCCGGCTTTCTGTGTGATGTATACCGTGTGATCCCGTAACAAGTTCCCCGATCTTCTTCTCTTTGTCGAGCAAAACACTCTCTCTTTTTCTCTCTTTTGTCTCATTGCAGAGCGAGTCTCTCTCTCCAAACTGTACTTTGTAGTTCTTCCCGCGTTTCCAAGATGAAGGCCCTCGTCCACATCTTCGTCTTCTTTTTCGCAGCCCTCGCGGCTTGCGCATCGTCCACCACCGGCAACATCACCGCTCTCCTCGACAGCCTGCCCAAGTGCTCCATCAATTGCATTGTCGACGGCGTAGCCGAAGACGGGTGTACGCTCACCGATCTCTCCTGCGGATGCTCCAAGGTCAATGAGCTCACGAAAATCGTGTCGCCGTGCCTCGCCAAGGCAAACTGCTCGCTCGAAGACATGACTCGTATGATTCCCCCCTCCCCTTTGGTCAACTCTCTATAAATATCATTGCATCGTGTTTTTTGTCTCCTAACACTTGGTTGTTATAACAAAAACAGAAGCTGCGTCCACTGTCGTCCAGTTTTGCGAATCTGCCGGGTTTCTCGTCAACAACACGTCGACCGATCCGGCTTCCACGACAGGCGCAGCGCCGGCAGCAACCACCACGTCGGGCGCCGGCCGATTTTCGGACGAAATCGGGTTGGCGTTCGCTGCCATTGGCGTGTTGTTGACGATGATGGTCTTGTAAACAGAGAGGGTTTGCTATAATGTTATCTGAGGAGGTTAGGAACGGCAATGGGAAAGGGCAAATCGAACGCTTGGAATTCAGAAATAACGCTCTTCAGGTAGAGCCATGCATTTGCTCAGCAACATGTATTGTACAACAATTGGCGGCTGTTTTCATGACAAGACTTGGCGTGTAAAGGAAACAGCTAAGCAGGAAACATATCTTATCATTCCAGGTTTTCTAGTAACAGCTGAAGAGCAGTTCTAGTCTAGCGTATCGTGTCATTATATCATCAAAGCATCTTTTCCCTCAAAGTTTTCCCCAAACGCACTAGGCTGTATCAAGGTCTAAACATTAAAAGAAGAAAAGGGGGACCAAAAAGGAATATGGAGGAGTTCGCAGGTGTAGTTTTGGTTTCGTCGTCGAAAGAAGATATTAGCCAGGTCCGAATCTGGCAAGGGCACCATAGTTGCCGCCGTCAAAGCTATCGTGAAGTCCGTCCAAGGCGTGGAATTGCGAAGCCAGCTTCATGCCTTCACGGCGCTGAGCCTCGACACGGCGCCAGTCCCACTCGTCATCATCTGTCAGGTTGACATCGCTCAGGTCTACCGATTCGTCGCCCAGATAGTTCTCGCCGCTCTGCCATCCACCAGGTCGAGGAGGCAGCAAGCCGGCGCCATTCAGCACGATGGCGGGGTGAACGGTAAAGCGGCCGACTTTGAAGACGTACTTGCTCATGGCGGTGGCATGGATCTTCTTCTCCCAGCCGCTGGTGGCATCCTTGTGGTCTCTGGTCCGGACGCGCCGGAAGTTGGGATCCAGCCACTCGGTAGGCCTGGCAGCGCCCTTGGGCATGAAGTAGCTGATGATGTAGAGCCACTTGCGGTCCCAGCAAGCCACCCGACTCCAGATCTCGTAGGACTGGTATGGTGAAATCTCCCGCTTGAAGCTGCACATGACGGAGCCCAGGGCGATGGCAAAGTTGCCCTTGACTGGCTGGCCGGTGCGCGGGTCAAGGACGAGCCTTGTCTTGAGGTTGTTGGACATGCTGCGGATGGGGTCTCGCAGCAGGTAGGCACAGAGGTGTGTTCGTGAAACGTCGAGGTCGGCGAAGTAGGTAGAGTTTGACTTGTGGAGGTTGTAATCGATCTCGAGCAGAGCCGCTTTGGTATCGGAGATCATGGGCTTGAAGAGGGCACGGGGCCCGAGTTTTTGTGATTTGCGAAAGACCATGTGGTAGAGCATGGCATAGAAGATGCGATACTATCGATTGAGCTCGGTCAGTCAGGATCCAGCGTCGGGAGTGAGAAGGGGTCACGTACAGTCCACGCAAGTGGGAGCGTCTTCCAGTTGAAGACGATGAACAGCAGCAGCAACACCCGCGATGTTCGGCCTGGGCCCGTCAGAAACGACTGCACCAAGGCAGGCCAGTTGATGCGCCAGGCAGCATAACCCATCGATCCGACGGCCACGGAAATGATGGGGATGGTCAAGGCGAACCCGCCAATCCTGGAGGACGACATGGCTCGCTCGTGATGGCGTCCACGCATGTCCCCTTTGCGAGAATCAGGATTTGGTGTTGCCTTGGGTTGAGGCGCGCGCATCGAGTTCGCGATCGATGACACTCAGGTGCCGAAAGGCGGTGCGGGACACTTTTGGGGGGTCGGGCAGCAGCAGCGCTCTAACAGTGCATCCAGCGGCTACTTCGAAATAGATGAAGCGGGCAATATGATATCGAAAACAGATCCCGCGTGCGTTTGTATAAAATCAAAATATCGAGGTGAATCTAGTGTCGCGCGTGGCTGGAATGCGACAAAGAGGCGCATGCACAAACGGGAGAGCTGCGATCCTGTATAGGCGAAAAATCCAGGAACCGAGCCTTTTTGAATGCAGGGGTTTGGCGCGGGCTTTTCGCTCGGCTCGGGTCCCGCTAGTGGTTTTTTTCGGTCAGCAGAAGACCACGAGCCGAGGTTCGCGTGAGAGAGGATAAGATGTTGGGGCTGATAAGACGAAAAAGCATATACTGAGGTGTGTGATGACGTGGATTAAATGCGCAGAGATGGGAGGAATTAAAAAAGATAAAGGGAAAGGGGGAAACGAAGAATAACAAGACTGATTCGAGAAAAAAAGGGTCTTTTTACTATTCGAGAAACCCAAGACACGGCATGGCAGTTGATTGTTTGTGCCTGCATGTTCCTTCATGCTCAGGGACCCGCACGCGCCTGTGAAACTGCATCATGCAAAACCCCGTGCCAGTAGCCGATCGCTGAGATGCGCAACTGCGTCAGCAAAAGAGGGGCTTGAAGCTTTGGTAACTTGCAGGCTGCATGAGATAATATGGAACATGGAGGGACGGCATCGACATGGCTGGCTGGCTGGGCATTGATTTGGTAGCACCTGATGCTTCTCTTTGGGCACGCATCGCCCAACAGAAACCAGCAAGCGCATTAACCTCCAGGTCTCCTTTTTTTCACATCTCGGCCCCCCTTTTCTCAGGATTATTGGTTGAGTGAGCATTTGAAGCCTGGGTTGTTCTGTATCGAAATCCTTTATCATTCCCGACTCCCTTCGCATAAAGGGCTGCCAGCGAAGCCCTCCTTTCCACGGCCGGGCGAGTAAGCGGCTGCCATGTGTATCCACTACGGCACGTCTACAGTAGAGCTCAAGGTTCACGATGTTGACTGGAGTTGGTGTGCGATAAGCAGTTAGACTGATGTCAGTCAGCTAGCTGTATGATATATCCCGTGGATACCAAATTGATTGCCAACATTAAACATAATCGACTTTGACGAGAGCTGTTGATATGGTAGGGCTGTTCGTATCAACACAGTCAAGACCATCCAAAACAATCCGTCCCGTTGCACCGGCTCAGATCAAGTACCACTTCATGAAACAAAACATGCGCATGAAAATAGCACGTGGAAAGGGCAGGCATTTATCGTAATCTCGGCATGAGATAAACGACCAGCCACTTAAATCCGGTGATGTCGGGCCCGCAGTTTCGGAGCCGGACTTGCTTCACGGACCCTGCTCCGTTCCTACCTACATTACTTATAAACAAAGTGCATCCTAATCCAGCCCACTACATACACCAGGAGGTATTCAATTGTAATAAAAATTCCAAATTCGTGACTTACACGCCGCTGAAGGATTCACTCAATGGTTTGGCTAAGACTCACTAGAGCCTTCGTGCAGCCCCTAACCTATAACCGAGAACGAGCATGTGGATCGACAGCGTTTGACTGTCAAATAACAATATTTTACCATATGATATTAGTTCAAATGATTATGAGAGTTGAGGATTGTCATGGGGGTCATGTCATCTGAGCAGAAGCCATCCGTGTGCTCTCAGTGTATATAAAGGACGCGGCAGTCTGCACTTTGTCATAGAATCATGATTGTCTATCAAATCCAAGGTGAATCCCACATCCCACCATGGCCCCTACATTCGATATCCCAAAAGAGTTCCAAGCAGATCTCACACTCGTCGACATCACAGACAAGCGTACAAGTGAAGAGATTCTCGATTCGCTTACCCAATACATCCCTGTCACCTCGGAAAAGAATGTCTGGGCATATTGGCATGCCGGCGTCGAGGCCATGCCCAAGTGGTGTCAGCACAATGTCATTGACTGGGTGCGCATTCTTGGTTCCGAATGGACCGTTCGCGTTCTAGATACGGTTCCTGGCTCGCCAAACCATGTTCTGAACTTTGTGTCTGCTGATCTTCTTCCAGAGACATTTATCAAAGGAACAATGAATGGCCCTTACACGGGCCAGCATTCAGCGGACTTTATTCGTGGTGCTCTGCTCTACACTCATGGCGGAGTGAATATGGATGTGGGCTGCATCTTGATCAGACACCTGGACCGAATTTGTTGGAATGAGCTTGAGGATCCGCATTCACCTTACCAAGTTGCTGTACCAATCATGTTTGGCCAAACTATAGCAAACCATTTTGTGGCTGCTCGTAGGGGTGACCCATTTATCCAACGATGGTAAGCAGTTCTGTACACCGTGGCTTGATAACACCCCTCATATCTTATTACAGGCATCAACTATTCACACACATTTGGAAAGGCCGCAATAGCCACGAGGGCATCTCAAATGACCCCCTCATTGCATTTTCAAAAGAAATCGGGTTTGAGCGGGCTTCTGAAGCCAACTTCACCTGGGACTTCAAAGTCTCACCCTTGACTCTTATGGAATACATCGCTCAAGTCGTCTGCTGGCAACGGCTTTGCATGCTTGAAGATGCCGGAGATGGCTTCAGTTGCTCTGACTACTGGCAAAAGCATATCTTCTGTTGGGACGTCCAAGCTGAGAATTGGGGTGGTGAAATGACTGTAGGTTTCGATGGGGCAGGTCAGAAGATGTACGACTTGCTATCACTCAAGCGTGATATTGATCTAGAGTCTGAAGAGTATAAGAAGGCATCTGAATTGGTGTGGAGACTCCTGACCAAATCTAGCATGCAGAAGATTACCCATGGCAAGAACTTGACTCATTCCGTGCATCTTGGGACTCTGTGGGATGAGAACCTGGGCAAGGACTGCGAAGAAGGGACGTTTGGAGAGTTGCTGAGGTACGGAACTGTGAGGTTTAGGCAGACAAGGGAGACTATTGTGCGCAAGGAGGCAACTAAGGCGAAGATGCTCCTTAAGAAGGGTGTTCTTGAGCCGTGAAAGGTGGAGCGTAGGAAGTTCTTGTAACGAAATAACTACGGCGGCATAATTCGTATAAGTACGAGTACTGGAAAGATATGAAAAAAAAGAAGGTCTTAGATAAAATGTGAAGAAATCTTGAATCATCTGGCCGTTTCTGGCCGTATTTATGATCTGTATTTCTGATCTGTATTAGTATACAAAAAAAAAAGCAACAGCTTTCGCTAATCCCGCGTTTCCCTCTCGATTCTTTCTTGAGCCGCGCTGTAATTGTGGCTAAATAACCTGCATCATCTGGAGAATTGCCAAAGTTGCCAACACTTTACGGTAGTTTCACGGTTGTGGAGTGCTTCTTTTTTTGAGAGATCTCGGGCAACCTTAAAGTTGGCTTTCATATGCATGTAAAGACTCTTTATCTCCACCTTTGATGGCTCTCTAAAGTTGATGCAATGTCAATGCGAGAGTTCAATTTCCGGGGAATCTCTAATGTTGTAAGCTTGTATGCGGTAAATTCTCCATAACGTACAATGCATGTTATTGTGCTGCATTTCTGGGAGATACGCGTATTTTAACAATGTCTTTCTGTAGGAGTTAGTTGAGGGATTCGAGTGACTAATCAACTTTGTATGATACTGTCAAGATCAACCATCCATATTATACTTGACAACACCAAAACTTGAGAGCTTTCTTAGGTGCCTTGAAAATGGCCGTCGTAGTGTTGAAGCGATAAGAACCAGTCACAGCTAATATATACAGGAGCCAACAACGGAAAATTCCCTGAGTGGTAGGAAGAATTCAAGAGGCTCTGGAAGCAAGTGAGCATCAAATTTAGCTACACACGTAAGTCTAGCGCTCAATTCGGCATGTTACCCCCACTCATATCCACTGAAGCCCTGGAAAATACAACCAGACGCGCGTCCCGTAAGGCAGTCCCGTAAGGCGGTTGACCCAATAAGTGTCAAGGTAAATAAACATGTCTTTCAACGCAGTTAAAGACTCACGATAATTGGCTGATTACTCAAAAATCTGGGTTAAACACTGCTTTGCACTGCCTGAAAGTGGCATTTGAAAACACGATCAACTGTCAAGAAGCTAGCGAGCTAAGATGGAACTACTGGGTTGGTGCTAGTCATGGCAACAACAAAGGGGAAGCCTTTGTGGTTCTCTTTCAAAAGTTTTGTGATAATCTCAGTTTGTTGTTGTTTACCTGTGTAAATAAGTGGTGATCTTGTACTAAACAGCGGTAGGATTTTAAGCCTCAACGCCAAGTCTCATATTGACATACCGACAGCATGAAAATAAGCATATCTTCACGCCTTGGCTGTATGACACCTAACCGTAAATGTATTACGTACGCGTATCGGTGTCGAACTTGACAAATTAATTTCCAAATATGCATACTACAGGACATGAGTAGCCTATTTTTAAACAATTAGACGGGTACCATTGCCGGGAAGAATACGTGGACTTGGACATGACAGGGAGTCCTAGATTGTGGTTGGGTCCACTTTGATGAGTTTCAATTCATTAACCCGTATTCAGTATTTATCACTGAAAAGGGCTGCTTATGGCCGGACTCTTCCATATTTGTCTTTGGTTTTGTATCTTTGTTTTCTGCCTCCTTTGTGTCACTCGTTCAACTCAGCCATCAAACGGGGGACAAGAACTCCCGCCGACATGGCTTTCCTCTCCAAATCCCTTCCGATAAGTGTTCAACCACGGGGACTGAGGGTTAGACCACGATCTTTAATCTTATCCGCTATAATACTTTTCGCCTGTGTATGGACCCTGTTATCACTCAAGCCTACTCCAGCTCGAGAGCGAGTTGTGGACGCGATTACACTTCGAGTCAAATACCCCTTGACATATAGACATATTCACTCTTTTGAGAAGGGTAAAGGAGGAGGTAATACAAACTTGCTCTTAGCACCTAAAGCTTTTTAAAAGCTTTGGTGTCAATCTCATGTATTAGCAAGCAGACTCAATTAACAAACTGTTGTTAGCATGGTATATCCCACCAGAATGGATTGACGCAAATCAATCACCGCCAAAGACAATCATTGAAGCGGCTGAGTTGGCTTCAAAAGTCGCCAAATCGAATCCCGAGCGAAACATTCCATTCTCGAATATCCCCCTTTTGGTTCATCAAAAATGGGATTCTACTAGACTGAATGGCACAAAGGAGATGATTGTCTCCTACATCGAAGATTGGCTGGTGGATGCCATCTCACCCCCTTCTGGAATGAGCCGGATGGCGTATTTTCTTTGGGACAACGAAGGCGTTTTGTCATTGATAAAGGAGAAAGAGAAAGAGTTGACGACTGATTTTATCGAAGTATTCTCTCCGGTGGAGAAGGTTGATATTTTCCGGATAATAGCTTGCAAGTGGTTTGGTGGCATTGTAAGTCTTTGATTCCAGCAACATCGTGTTTTTTAGTTGTTTGGAAGCTAACTGGCGGGATTAGTATGGTGATGTTGATACAAAACCACTTCAACATCCGTCTACGTGGATTCACACAAACGACGTCTCCGAATGGACTGATGAGGAGACTGGAAAAAGATATGGTTTGGACAATACCGCATTAACGCGTTTGAGTCAAAGCCACGGACAGTCGCAGCCAGTTAATGCAATCTGGGGCATCGAATGCGATGCGAATCCGAATACAGATGACCACTGGCGCTGGGCATACACTTATCCTGTTCAGCTCACAAATTGGGCATTTGCGTCCGCTCCGAAGCAGCCTATCCTCCAATATTTCCTGGATCGCATAGTTGAGAAAGCGCAAGAAGCCAGGGATAGAGCCGAGAATACGCCCGGTGTCGATAGCGTCTCTGACTTGCATTACGACCCAGTCGTGCGAACAGGACCGGTAGCTGTTACGGAGGCTACCAGTTGGTGGCTAGAAGAGCAGGACGGTTTGAGATGGAATGCTCTAACTGGTCGAGAGGATGGTGGGAAGACAAAACTAGTCGGTGATGTGATAATTCTTCCTATAACCGGATTCAGGTATGTTTTTACTTCAAGTTACTTTTTGATATGCCACTGTGCTTGAATTATTGGTTAACGCATCTTTACTTTAGCCCGACACAAGAGAAACACAGCAGAATGGGTGAAAAACCTTGGGACGACCCTGAAGCTAGACTTGCCCATACAGCCATGGGCTCATGGCATCACACAAATCTTATAGTGGAATATGGTAAATTTTGCCGCACTTGGTTTGGCTTGTGTAAAGACTGGCAAAAGATGTGGTAATGGAATTGTGAGCAATCGGATGGTCTCTATGAAATACAACGGTCTATCAGCGAATGTTTTTTTTTTAATATAAAGCGTACTCTATCATAATACTAATAAATTTGCAAACATCTGCTGAGCAGCATACCTAGATTACACTGATTGCTCATTGTTACGATATCTGCTCAACATTAAAACCGGCTCTATTTCAAGGAGCAGTTTCATAGTTGACGTTTGCTTTGTTGCCTTGTTCGCAGTCGAGGTAGAAACAGAGAATTGGAAACCTGGTTTTTCAAAGCGAAGCGGTACTCAGCAGCCTCTACCACTACAGTTCTGCTGATTGTCAAAAAATCATCTAATCAAAAACAATGGTCAAATTTACGCAACCATTAGCTTCTGGAGCCGATTATAGACAGTTGTATTTTGGTATTGTTTTTAAATGCGGTATATACGCAAGTAAACCTCTTCGCCACGCTTCTTTTAGGAATGGCTTATGACAAGTTACAAACCAGACACGCCTAAACTGCCTCGACGCTTTCGTCTCTCATAGCTAGCATAGTGATACACTCGGATAATCTGTTAGTCTTGCATCGTCCCCTACAAGTTGACCCGCGGTACATACTTGTGATGCCTTTCCTGGGGCCGCCTGTAGGTTGGCGCACCCCTCTTCTCTGGTTCGAAAGGGAGGCTTCCCTCAACTTGGGATGGTGAATATCGGGAGTTTGCCGAAGGGACTTTAATACTGGGATACTGACTTGATCACTCAATGGGGATTCCCTGATACTCGTCGTATCCAAGAGCGAGGTTCATGTTCTCTGTTTATAGTTGTTAGCCAAACAGAAATGCAGTTATTCGTCGTCGTTCTTCAAGAAGACTTACGCAAGCATTGGGTCGCAGCGCCCTTGTTGAGGTTGTCAATCGTGGCGCAAACCACGACACGCTTGCCGGTCTTGTCAACAGCGAATCCGCCAATCTCGACATGGTGCTTGTTCTGGATCGACTTTACAAGCGGAGGCTCGCCAACGATCTTAACGAGCTTCTCACCAGCGTATCGGTCTTGGTAGATCTGAAGAATGTCTCGAGAAGTCATCGTCTTGTTCAAGGGGATGTTAATGGTCAGGTGAATGCCGCTGAACCAAGAGGCGCTAGAATATTGTTAGTCTCTAGACACGAAGAGGAGAAGGGAATAAACTGACACATGGGGCATAAATGCGACCGGCGCACCACCAAGTTGATGGCTGATTTCTCGCTCGTGGATATGTCCAGTCAAGCTGTCTATTGAAAGTTAGCTTCCTATTTGCTTGTTGCCGAGTTCCTATCCCTTACATGGAATTAGGTTGTCACGGAGAAGGTTGACGTCGTTCTTGGGCGAGGGCTTTGTGCCAGCGCCACTGTAGCCCGACGCTCCAAAAACGTTGACAGGTCCTCCCAGATGCTCCAAAAGAGGCGCGAGGGCCAATTGCGAGCCGGTAGCGTAACAACCAGGGTTGCTGATTCTCGTCGCTTGAGCAATCTTGCCTCGCTTCTGCAATTCAGGCAGTCCGTAGCTCCATGAGTCATCGAATCGGTAGTCGGCGGAAAGATCAACGATCAAGCTGGAACTCTGGCCAAGAGCTTGCACAAAAGGCAGACAGACGCCATTGGGAAGAGCCATAACCCAGCAGTCTACCTTGCCATCCTTGTCCAGTTGAGCTACGTCCTCAGCAGACAGGTTCTCATATACGATGTTGCGCTTGGTATATCCTTTGAGCTCCTGGCCCGCGAGTTCTCGAGAAGATACATGTCGAAGGTCAATGAGGGGGTGGTCGTTGAAGAGATCGATCAGGGCTTGGCCAGTGTAGCCGCGGGCTCCAATGAGGCCAATGCGGGATGGCGTCTCGTTGGAGGCGTTCTTCTTGCCCAGGGGAGGGTTCGGGTTTGTGGTGGTAGCATATGACAGGCGCGCCGTGGAAGATAGAGAACGGGCGATGTTGGTGGTTTGTCCGAGGGAGATTTTGGGCATCGGCGCGACGGTGATGGAGGCCGCTCGGGGGGCAACGCGACGGGCGCCGATGCGCACCGCCCTGGAAGTAGCAGAGAACATGATTTCAGTAACAGCGAGCTCAATTGTTCGCTAGGTTGGTAGAGCAGGTTGGATGAGAGGGGATGAAAGATCAAATGTGTCAATCGTCAAAAGAATCATTGACTTGAGTGGGGTGGATCGATCTAATCAATCAAGAATTTTTGACTTGTGTCTGGCTAGCGGCGGCCGAAATCGGGCAGCCAGTGACGCACCTTTAATTGAGTTTCCGCCCCAGTTTGATTCATAGATGCCAAGACGGAATCCTTCCACGATCCCAATTACTGGTATCCTTTACTATGTTTTCAAACCCTCAACAGCCCCAATTGTTGACCGGCAGCAGAAGCGGTTGTAATGGAATAAGATTGACATGGGACGTAAAAAAGAGGACAACATGAGACGAGAAAACGACAATGAAGTGGACAAAAAAAAAAAAAAAATGAGCATGACATGAGACAAAATGCTCTCCTGGAGGAGGAAAAGTAATTGCAGGTGAATCAAAGAGCAAGTAGGGGATAGAATCACGGATGTTTGATACGTTTACCTGGGCAGGCGTCTCGGCAGGTACTTACATATCCATGTACCACGATATTCCACTAAGCTGAGACGCATATAAGCACTACCAACAATCAACCAATCTCTGTTCCTCAATCATCGCAGACCGGTTCTTCCCCCTCCTGCATTTCAATGCTTCATTTGTAAATAGTAGCTTCACGAAATGCCTCGACGAAACATTATCGTAACTGGTGCTACAGGACGACAGGGACGGGCGTTTATACATGCGCTTCTTAGCTCACCAACTACAACTGATACAGCTGATACAACATACCATGTTTGGGCCGTGACGCGAAATACGACTTCGCCTGCCACGGCATTGCTTCTAGAGGCCGAAAAGGCACATAGAAACGACATCACCGTAATCCAAGGCGATCTCAACAATGGCGCGAGAACTAAAGAGATCTTTTCGGAAATAGCTGCTCAAGGCGGCATCTTTGGCGCTTTTATTGTCCTCGCTTATCCGGGCCTTGGAAACAAGAGCGACGAAGAGGAGAGACAAGGCAAGGTAACACATACCTGCCCCCAACAAGATCAAGTAAAGGAACATAACCAAGAATAACGTCAGGAAAATAGATGCTTGCGGATCTAGCACTTGAGTTCAAACTCGACGCGCTCGTTTATTCGAGCACGATCCCGCCTGGTCCAGATCTGGATGACGCTTTTGATGCGTCTCATCGATCTAAGCGGGAAATTGAGCTCTACTGTAAGAGCCTTGGTGAAAAAGGCTTGAATTGGACGTAAGTACAGAAAAGGAACGTGATGACAATGTTATCGGCTAAATGAGGCACTACAGGCTCGTGCGACCTGGCTTCTTCATGGAAAATTTTGATGGATTTATGGGATCGCTCGCTGTTGCCATTCTTTCTCAAGGACTCAGAAAGGAAACGGATATAGCACTCGTTGTATGATATTTCTGCGCAGGTTATGTTTTGCAGTCAGTTGGCTAATCGCGATTTAGGCGTCCGAAGATATCGGCAAAGTTGCTGCTGGAATCTTTCAGGTTGATCCTTCTCCCCAATATGAACCCGATTAATAAGTGCCCTGCTAACAGAATTGTCACACTAGAATCATGGCAGGTTCACTCACAAGACGGTATCCATAACTGGCGGATGTTTATCCATGAGCGAGATCAAATCAGCGTATAAAGATGTCATAGGAAAACAGATGCCTGCTGTTGCCTCTTTGTTTGCCTGGTTGATTCTCAAGTTAAGTTCCGGTGCTCAGCATGTGTGAGTTTGCCCTTCGTTCAACCCAATCACCTTATTCGATGTGCTAATCCTCAACTAGTGCTAAAGAAATTGAGAGAAATTATGATGTTAGAGTTAGCGGAGGATATCCGACTTTTGACGAAGAGGTTGAATTGGCAAAATCGCTCTGTGAGCTGCAGACTTATCGCTCATTTCTTCTTAAACGAAAAGAGCCGAGCTCTTGATTAATGGAAGTACGGATCATAGCAAAGTATATGATGTATTGATGCCCTCTAGATATGCTACACATTACAATTATGAAGATACAATCGGAATCAACTCAAGAGTAATAAGCGTTCCCTTAACGAGAGTTCCTTTGACAACGCCAGCTTCTCCATTAGTGTACAAAGCCAGCTTAATAAAAATCTCAGGCACCACTCCATTAGCCTCAGCCATCTCCTCCTTAGTAAAAGCCCCTTCAACTCCGTGATAGAGGTAAAAGTATCTCTTTCCAAACTCACTGTGAGCCGGTGCCGCGGCCTCCCATTTATATCTTACGACGCTATCTGACACAGTTTCTTCAGCACCGGGCTTGTTGAAAATAGCATTGTATAGAGGAACCACGTTGTTCAACGTCTGCTTGTCCTTGATGAACAGAGAGATTGCCGCGACGCCAACAACGCCTGATGGATGAGACGTGTTTTCTGGAGTAGTGGGCGCTCGAAGAGATCTCGGAGTGCGATCAAATGTCCAGAAAGGCTGTTGATTGATCAAGATTTGGCCTCTGTAGTCGTCAAAGTTGGGTATAGCATTGGCCCAGATGCGTTTCGATCCATCTGCCATTGTCCTGAATCCAGGCTCTGGATCAAGGTACTTGATTCCGACTTTCGAATCTTGAATTCTTGCTTGGACAGCGCGGAACCGTTCTTCTGATTCGTTTGAGCCTTCTTCTTCTTCGCGGCTCAGGATGGTGTGAGCCCAGTGGATGATGTGTCCGTCTGGTTGCTTGCCCCATGGATGCATTGCTCTATGCTGTGGATTCAAACCGTCGACAAATGCAATGAGCTCCAAGTATAGGCCGTCTTGGAAAATGATGAGTTTGTTCTCAGTCATGCCGCCCTCGTGCACGCCACCATCGAGGATCGTAAAGGCTTCTGACAGCCATTGAGGGATTGACACAAGCTGGGCATGTGGAATAAGAAGAATAACATGGTCAAAGGCTGACTCTGCGGTAGATTGAGAAGCCATGACTGGAAATATTTGCCTTGTTTATATCTCGATTCAATCTGTTTTGCTGTTCCCTCGAATCCGTGTAAGTCAAATCCATTCTCCACAGGGCTTTTAAGCATGCCCCAAACGGACATTATCACCACCTATAAACTCCACCGGTTTTTGAGGCGAGGTCGCTAAAACTCCGACAGAATCAACCCAAGCCAAAGCCTCTGCTCTAACCCAGTTAGTCCAGTCTGCTATTTCGTGTTGGATTCCTAATTCGGCATACGGCGGTATTCCGAAATCCATCAAACATTCATCCGATACTCCGTCTCTGAAGTAAGAAAACCAGCTTCTGATTATAAATTTCTTCCATAAGTGGATTATGTGGAGGCGGAAAGTGTAAGTTGACCCTGCAAGTGACGGTTTAGTGTTTGTTTCAATATGCAGTTAAGTTGGGCACAAGTTGAGTGATCAAGTGGTTGATCGCCGTAGTATGGGATGTTACGTCTGTATCTGCCAGTGCTCAGGAACCCTCAATAATACTGTATTCACTACAAACGGCCAGCGTGAACGATGTTTCAAGTCACTATCAAACCGTTAAATCAACACAAGATGCTGATATACTACTGTTAATTGGTACAATGAGAATATTTTTGTATTTAAGAAATAGTGAACGAAGTAGTGACGAGTTGCGGCTCATTTGATCGAGATAGAGTCCTGTCATTGTGACGTCCCAAAATGGCCCGTAAATAACCAGACGGTATAGTCCCGATTCGGCTTTACACGATTCAACCCAAACATAATTCCGGCCTCTCCGCATCGCATGAACTGTGCATCATATTTATTTGTCGTTTGCGTTGCGTTCGTATAGTATATAAGGGACATTTTGCTCCCAAGTGAAGGACTCTCTAAACAAGCACATTGAAGCTCCATCCAGCGAATCGCCCTACAACCTGAAGTGTCCACCATGTCAGCTCCATCAATCCTCCTCCGCAATGCCACCATCTTGGTACCAGGCACAACAGAAAACAAACCTGTTGCGTCCCTTCGGAATCACTCACTTCTTGTAGAAGGAAATAAGATTGTTCGTATTGCGGCTCATATAGATGCCCCCTCTGATAAGACGCAAGTAATCGACTGCATCGGCAAGATTGTGTCTCCTGGATTCATTGATACGCATCACCATGTGTGGCAGACGCAGCTCAAGGGACGACATGCGGATCATACCTTACTTGAATATGTGCCCGCTGGTAAGTTTCAAGCTTCTTAATGCAATGGTAGACCGTTTCGACGCTGTGACTGACATATTTACTAGGCAATATGCAATCTTCCAACTATACCCCTGAAGACATCTTTTGGGGAGAGCTGGGAGGCTGTCTCGAGGCATTGAACGCGGGTACAACCACAGTTGTGGATCATGCGCACATGAACTACTCACCAGCTCACAGTAAATTGTCAAACCATTCTCGTATACAAGTCACCAGCTAACTCCATTAGATACAAATGCTATCGCTGCAACTGCATCCTCAGGAATTCGCTCCACCTTCTGCTATGCACCCACCACAAGGGTAAAAGAGTGGGATCCCGAAATCACTGTGGACACAGATTTTCTGCCAAGCTGGGCAGTCGAACAAGTCGAGGAGCTCATCAAGGCCGGTCCGTACGGCGATGGGCGAGTAAGCGTTGGGTTGGCATTCGATGCCTTGTTCCTCCCGAAAGAGACCGTGGCGGATCTGTATCAGCGGTGTCGACAAGCTGGAGCCAAGGTCACTACTACTCACTACTGTCGCGGTGCAATTTTCGGTGAGTTTGTCTGGCTCTATGATTCAATCAATTGTATGATCTTGGGAGAAGCTAACTAGATGGAAAGGGCAACATTCGATTGTGGATATGCTTGAGGGTCACGGTGTCCTTGGTCCAGATATTCTTCTCTCTCATGCAACCAACCTCACAGATGCTGATGCCAAGAAGCTTACTGAAGTCAAGGCCAGCATCTCATCAACGCCAGATACCGAGATCCAGATGGGTCTAGGATATCCAGTCTGCTTCCGAGACGATACAAAGTCCATCAGCTCTCTCGGCGTCGACTGCCACAGCAACAACGGATCCAGCCTGATTAACCAAATGCGACTCGGTCTGCAAGCAGAGCGCGGTCTCCGCAACTCAGCTCTCATCGAGGCTGGAAAAGCCCCAAAACATCTCAATTTGTCTGTGCAAGAAGTCTTTCGCCTGGGAACTATCGGTGGCGCCAGAGCTATCGGCATGGAGGATCAACTTGGGTCTCTTGAAGAAGGCAAGCTCGCCGACATTGTCATTTTCGACGGTCTCACTCCTGGCATGATTTGCGCTTCCGAGCAAGATCCCGTGGCTGCTGTTGTGCTGCACTCTTCCATTGCGGATATCGAGACGGTTATCGTGGACGGAAGGATTGTGAAACAGCGTGGAAGCCTTGTCCCTGTTGATCTTGATCTTTCGCTGTCAGATTTGAAGCCTGCCAAGACGCGATTGGGGTGGCCTGATATCGCGCAAGAGCTGTTGAAGAGTCGCCAGCGAGTGATTGAGGCGGGCAAAAAGTCTTGGGGAGGCGATATGGAGAAGGCATTGGATGGAGTGACCAAGTTGTTTTACATTGATCCAAATAACTTGGTCTAATTACGTTGAGATTTGCCAAGATTGAACTGGTCATATGATGTAAAATACCAATGTACCTACACGTTATCTAGCAGTCATCGCTCATAAATGTTCATTGATAAAAGCCTTGTGAAAATTTTGGGTTCTATCTTATTATTCATTACGCTTACTGTCCATCTCACTCATCTTTCCAATAACGCCTATAACATCAGCATCCAAGAGGGGAGATACCAAAACGCCTGTGCTGGATATCATCTCCAATTCAGCTTGATCGAACAACGTGGGTTCCATCTGCAGGTTCCAAGACTAGCCACTGGCAGGCCAGATTCTTGTTTTCGTTGTGCTTTCTCAGAGTAGCAATGATCTGGTTGGCAATGTCCTCAAAGTTGGAAATGGCAAGGGCCAAGATGGTGGGGCCGGCACCAGAGAGGCACACGCCGAGGAATCCCGGATGGGTCTTTGGAGACATGGATTCAACAATCTCGCACAGGCCGGGGATGAGCGTTTGGCGGTAGGGCTGGTGAACTTTGTCTTGCATGGCAAGGTTAATGAGCTCTGGGTCCGGTGGCGATTGGCCGAGAGCAACAGGAAGCAGGGCTATCCGCTGCAGGTTGAATACCTAAAGAACCCACATGGTTAGCTCCAGAAGAGCACTTTCTTAGGTGCTGCGAGTGTGTCGGATACTTACCACATCGGAACGCTGGTAGTTTGGCGGTAGGACAGCTCGGGCGTCGTGCGTGGGGACAATGAAGTCTGGGATGATGGCGACGGCCTTGATCTCCTTGTTCCACGGGAACTTGATGTGGTGACCAATTCCGTGTGGGGGCTCCGGGGGTCGCTTGCCGGTGTCGACTCCTCCTGCTGGTGCAGGCAACACTTCACTCAACGGGATCTCAACTCTTGAGGCATCCTCGGGCTTCAATGGCATCAAATAGGTACCGACGAATCCTCCGAAGAGGGCGGCACCGACATTGTCAGGATGTCTCTCTGCACGGCAAGGATTGTGTTAGCAAGAGTTCCATGGTTTGTATCAATGTATAGCGTAAGAAATATTACTAGACGTACCAATCATCAAGCAATAGTCAAACAGCCTGTCCTGATCCAAGTCATGCAGACCACCAACTTCCTTGCCCAGCATCACGCCAGCAACAACAGCCGCTCCGGAACTTCCCAGTCCCCTGCCCAGCGGAATAGGGTTCTTGATGTGGACATGGGTCTCGATCGGGAAGCTGCGCTGATCGTGACATCGCAGGACATAGAGCGCAACCCTGGTGATGAGGTTGCTCTGCGGATCCAGGCTAATATCGCCAGACTCTTCACCCTGGCCTTCGTACGTCACCCTGCAGTTGAGGGGATGCTCCGACTTTGTCTTTGAGCGATCGATGGTGACGTGCAGCTCGAGATACATGGACAATGCGAGGCCGATGACGTCGAACCCAGGGCCAATGTTGGCGCTGGAGCACGGAGTCTTGATCACGAATGACTCCATGGCGGGCAGAGACGGCTGTCGGGCTTATCCGTATTCGCTCGTCTTGATTCGTTTCAGCAGGCGCAATTCCTGAAAGGGAGAGCAAGGACGGAAAGGTCTTTTGTCTGCGAGTTCCGGCCAAACAGATGTTGAATTGGCGAGCTGGCCAGTTTCTGTTGGCTTGTTGAAGGTTTGGGAAAGGAAAATGTCTGCCCGGCTGGCCCAAGCCAAGCCATGGCGTTGCGGTTTGGCAGGACCGATAACCGGAGCTCATCTATCGATAGCGGGGCTTATCAGACCCTCGAGACCCCTCCATCGCATGTTCATGTTTAAAGCTTCCAGGTTCCCTTACAGACGATTGCAGAAGAAGGATCATGCGATTTTGTGATTGGGGGATTAACATTTTGCTTCGTTCAATTGATGAAAGTTTTTATTAATTGCAATGGTAAGTCAACCGGTTGCATCCACGGGAGATCCAATGCCGAACCATAAGAGGTCTAGCTACAGCTGCTATCCGCCATCAGCTAGTATGCAGCTTTCCTCTGCTATTCCGCGCGATTGATCTATTGTCTGTATTTAATTTGGTAAAATAGCATCTGCTTTGTCCATAGTTTACGCAACTTATGTCATGAAGTTACACATATTTGGTGGGGTATAAGTGCCGACTTCTAAGCTAAAGCTTGAGCAGGCGACGAGAATTGAAGCTATGGTCTATGGATATAATAACATGCGAGCAAATCCAATGTAGTCTCACTTATATCTATAGATAATAAAGGATGAGCCGTGCCAAGATGCTAACATATGCATAGGTATGAGCTGTTCCACCGTAATCTTCAAAAATGGGAAAAGGTAGGGCCAAGAAGTGGGCGTGTTATGTATACGTGCGGAGATATATTAAGGCAGTGCTAATCCTCCGCTTCCTAAAAGTTTGTCCTGATTGGGCGCCAACGTGATAGTGCTCGGTGTTTCCAAAGACCAGATCCTTCTGTCTCTTATATTTTATTCCCGTCCACCATGCAAATTGGTCTAGAACATAATCACGGATGTTTAGTCTGGCATAGTGCTTATAACGTTGGAACCTTTGAAGTCTCAGAGTCAGCCCTAGGACGGAACCCCTAGCCGGGTAAAAAGCCATATGTTGTTCAACAGTAGGAGAACTATTAAATACTCCTGAAGAATATCCCCTCCAGTTCCTATCGTCGTTCATTTTATTCATTCCTTCTCTGCGAACAAAAGGGGTCAACTCCATATAGATACTTTCTCGTTACCAGCAGGGCAACTCAACAAACCATCATCATTCATCATGGGGAGCCTACAGCCCGAAGATGTTTTCGCTCCCGTTCTTCACACTGAGCGCCTTGCTCTTACACTCTTTAACATGAATGATGAGGACGACCTTGAATTCGTGGTCATGATGTTCAACATGCAGATGCCTGGAGGAGGTCCTACAGACGGTAACTGGACCGGCAAAGACATACGCCGTCTCAGCTACTCCCTAATGTTGAAACCATCCGACGCCCATGGTCGCCTCTCGAAAGATGCTGCCATCTATCTCGCGCGCCTGGGAGATGCCACAGGACCGCGCATCGGTGTCATTAATCTCTGTCGCCGCACTCCAATCGTTCCTATTGACATAGGGTACATGGTTTTACCAGAACACCGAAAAAGCGGTTATGCCACTGAGGGTGCAACAAGGGTCCTTCGATATATTACGGAAGAGTTTGGCATCAAGGAAATATGCCTTGTAACGGATGATTCGAATATCGCGTCGAAAAAGATTGCTGAAAAGTTAAACATGGTGGATGGCGGGCATGTCATGATGAGCGGCAACAAGTGCGTCGTTTTTGTATTGCCGGGTATGAAGAAGCTGGAGGGACAAGACTTTCCGTTTTGGGGAGATGGTGAGGAGTTCTGAGTGTGAGGACCTAGATTAGGTGTCAGAGTGTTAATTGATGGAATGGCGCGTATGTTGGAAATGGATCCAAGGAATCAGTATATGGCATTATACCAAACTTTAATTTGAGCATATTGATGGCTTCTTGCGTTGTCTATCTACATACATGTACTTGGTCCTACTCTGCTGTACAAGCGCTTGAATGGGCAGCTATGTGAGTGAGTTGAATTAGCTCTAGAGCTGTTTACTGTTGCTGGATCTCTATTCTTATGATTACAATGCAGTCGTCCCCACCACAAAAATAGACCGAAGATTATATACTATGTACCTACTCTGTACTCTGTGCTCTATCAAAGGATTCACTAACTGTCAATGCTGGGGCGTCGGCGATTCACCGTTCGGGTTATCGGGTTCTAATGGTTCAAAAGGGGCATCACCGCCGGCCACCTACAGATGCATTGCAGCATAAGAGTGCTAGTAGTCCATCCGATATCGCGAAAAGAGAAGAATTAAGAAGTCCCCATGCGACGAGAATAAGAATTTCTCAGCCCTTGTCATTATGATTCCAAAGGGATTATCGTGTTACCGGCGCTACACGTTATTCTCGTCACCACTCTTACAACGCCGGTAGTACTCGTACTCTTTTCGCACATGCATGCATGAAGGCTGTCCTACCACCGCAAGATACAGTAATCGTACAACAAACGCGTAGATCAGTTATTGTGGACCGATCAGGCTGGCTCGGGAATTAAAACCCGATGCATCAGGCAGAGCTGCGACTAAGAATCAGCACCGGTAGGTTTATGAAAAGGCCATCTCAACTGTCAACGCCTTACGTGTGGATACGATTCCTTCGCAGTTGACATCTGCCAAGCTTCAACTACAAAACGTCCCTTGGTGTACGATCCCTCCCGTATTAACTCAGCTCCTCCTCTTCGCCTCCTAAAAAATCCAACAGGCGTGCTGTAAAACGACACCCCCGGTCAAGCTTTGCCGGGTCCCTCGGGTCGAAATCGTCGGCCGCAGCGGCGGTTGCACACAGCTTTGCCTTATTCGAACAAGAATTATGGGCATTGCCGGGCATTTGACGTTACTCCGCTGCAGACCTTCGAAAGCAAGCCTACTAAGCTACCTGAGCTAGAGGCTGGGAAGAGTGGACGTCGCCTACCCGCATTTTCGTCCCTCCTTTGTTTGTTTTTATGCATCTTTTTGTCGTTCGTATATGCTGGTACACGCCGTCACCCGGCGAAAAGGTCGCGGGTGCGTACATGTGAAGGGGTTCTATAGAGAGCTCCAGAACGAATCAAACAAGCCATCCGTTGAGATGGAGAGCAGAAAGAAAGAAAAAAGGCAAACAGACAAATGCCCGCCAGCCCACCGTTGGGCTTCAACTAACACGCAGCCATACCGCCAGCCTGCCCATTTCTCGTACAACCCGCATCACCTGGCCGGCACACTGCGTCATCAATACGAGCCGGATCGGCACTGCTTCGCACTAATCGCGGCTGTGGCGATGCTTCTCCAAGGGTCCCGCGTCTGGGGAAGCTGGTTGGACGACTAGGGGGTGGGAAGGTGAGAAGGTTGAGGGAATCAAATCGCCCGATGGCCCGGAGAGAGGGTCGTGCAGAAAGATGTGATGATTTGGCCTTGGAAGCGGACATTGTTGAGAGATCTAGAGGGGGTGGAATTGAATGGATCGAGGTTGTCTTTCGTATGTAAACGAGTGGACAATTGGAGTATAATTAGATTGTTAGATTGTTGGACTAAGACGAGAGCAGCCGCGAATGAAACGCTGTGGGCAGCCATCTTCTAACCCAAAGCCAAGAATACGAGCTTAATTGACGATATCATGATTCCACTCCCAGCAAGTATCGAGTCTAGTATACTCTCGTACGCGAACTTTGGCTGCTTATGGATTCCTCCTCGGCTTGCACAGCATCGAGTCCGCTTGCGCCGGACATAGACTCGAAAAAGGCCGGTTACTCGTACTTGTATCACCGCAACAGAGTGGCCCGCGCCGCACGTACCACGTACCAACGCAGCGGATCTTGTTCTTTGTCGCCCGCTGGCTCTGCTGTTGGTACTAGCCCTAGCATCAGCTCGGCAGACAAACAAGCAGCGAGTCCGGGTTATTATTTCTTATTGCTAGGATCTGGTATTTTATGGGGAGGCGGCAGTGGAGATACAAGGATGATGTGGTGTTGCTACTATTTGTGGACCGAATCGGCATCAGATGATCGGACACGAACAGCAGAGCCGGACAACTTACCTGAGTGTTTTTGCAGTTGACGAGTCAGTTTCTTTGCTGGTCCCTGCTGGCGGCTTTGCTGTAGCTTCTCATGTGGATGTATGTACATGTATGTATGTAGGTAGCCATACGAGAAGGAGGAGGCGGAAGGACTTGGCGATGGCTGGATACTACGATGCATCGGGAAGGGAGGAGGCAAACTCGAGTCTCGATGGGGAAAGCTTGAAGCGGTGATGATGGGCAGGCTGCGTTGCGCTTCGTGTATAAAGGCCGGGCTTGTCCTCGTCTTAGATGGCATCTGCTCAGAACAACCAGCTTCACTCTTCTGCCTTCATCTCAGCATCAATAGACTTGCTCATCCTCGCGATCAATATTACTATTCACACTCACCTCGACTTTCGTTGATATCAATTCACTCTACACCAGTCAAGATGCAATTGTCCAGCCTCTTCAAGCTCGCCCTCTTCACTGCTGCCGTTTCTGCGGATACCGGTAAGACCTTCCTCCTTCGCATTCCTCACTACACTCTGTCTTTACTAACAATCATCTCCTGCAGTCTCGTATGATACCGGCTACGACGACGGCTCCCGCTCTCTCAACGTCGTCTCCTGCTCCGACGGCCCCAACGGCCTCGAGACCAGATACCACTGGTCGACCCAGGGCCAGATCCCTCGCTTCCCATACATCGGAGGTGTCCAGGCCGTCGCCGGCTGGAACTCTGCTAGCTGCGGAACCTGCTGGAAGCTGTCGTACAGCGGCCACACCATCTACGTCCTGGCCGTTGACCACGCCGCTGCTGGCTTCAACATTGCGCTCGACGCCATGAATGCTCTGACCGGTGGCCAGGCCGTTGCATTGGGCCGTGTTACTGCTACTGCTAGCCAGGTCGCTGTCAAGAACTGCGGTCTTTAAATCTGCCTCTCTTTTTTTTTTTTTTTTCGACGAAGAAAAATCGGGTTAAACCTTTTTTTGGTTATTGCATTGCATTGTGGTATATGGCGGGATTTGCATTGGGCTTTGGGTATTTTCTTTTTCTTATCATGGGAGTACGGGACGAGACGCATTGGATGTGTAATGAGCGCGAAGCACAGACGACCTAAACGGCATATTATTAAATACACAGCACCCTCACCGGGTATCATTAGCATTCTAAACAAATTGTGCCCAGCGTGAATCTGATATAAGAGAAACAGCTTGCCAAAGGCGGGAGTCGACGGGGTCTTGTAAGCTGATCGACGTGGCAGCATGGGGATGCATTAGCTGCGACTTGTTAACCAGTAAGCAGTCACTCATCCTTGGCCACGGAGTACATAAACATATGCAGAGTTCGATTGGCCTAACCGATGTTACAGTTGTATTGCGGCCGTTGTCACCTCTTAAACTTGTTTCTCATCATCAGCTTCAGATCGGCAACACGTTGACGTCAGTTAATGCCATTTGTCGCATCAGCTTACCTCGCATCTCAGTTTCCAGTCTCCATCACTCCCCAGTCCATTCTGCCTCGATGAACCACATCCTCGACTTCTCCGGTCTCCAAATGTCGTTAAACTTAAACCGATCATCTGCCCTCGCAAACAATTGCCTCCAATCATCCGGCTCTCTTTCCCTGGCATTCACAGTGACTTGCATGAACAGGTCCAGCGTCCTCATGGTCTTCTCCTCGATGTACCCTGCCGTACCAGGTTCCGGTAAAGCACCGTCGTTGATGATGACCTTTGCTCCTTTCCTCAATGAAGGGATCAATGCCCGAAGGATTTGTAGACAGTATTTATCTGAAAAGCCGTGAAAGATCATACGGAAGAAGTAAGCGTCGGCGACAACGGGCTGCGGCGTGAAGAAATCGTGGGTGGTGAGATCGACTCTGGATTGGAGATGTTCGGGGACTTTGCCAATGGTTTCTGGGGTGCGCATGCCTGGGGTATCTTGGACAATGAAGGTGAGATTCGGGAAGGATTCTGCAATGGCAAAGGAGATGTAGCCCTGGTTGCCACCCATCTAGCACATACATCTGTTAGTATCCGTCTTGTGAGGCTTTACATGTCCTTGAAAGGAGTAGAACGGTGATGACTTACATCGACTACTGTGGCCTTTTGAGGTAGCTTACCCCATGGATACCCTTCGATTACTGATTGCATGGAATAGCCCTCTCCACTGCCGTGGGCTTGCATAGCCAGATTATATCTCCTGGAAAACACTGCATCCTGTTGAATAAAGTCGAACCAAGGAAGATCCTGCTTATACGCAAGATTGACACCAGTCTCTGTGGACTCTTCGCTCGCAGGCCACTTCTTCATCGCCGGGATGACATTGGCAACTGGTAGCCACAGGTCATTACACATGAAGCCAACCCAGTTGCGCAGAGGAGCGTCTTCTCGGATAAGCTGCGAAGTACGCGAGTGAGCCACAAATCCCTTTTTAGGCTCTGTGAAGATGTTATTTGTCATTGCGTGGCGGATGAGACGGCGTAGATCGAGCAGGGAGATGTTGAGTCCATTGTTCATCTCTCTGACTTTTGCTGTGAGATCTTCATACGAGATGGTGTCATCGAGGGGCACAGCATCGGCAATTTTGAATTCCCATATTGATTGAAGAGAAAGAGTGTTGACACACTGAATAAGTGAGAAGAAATGTTAACTCAATTCCTTTGGCTCAAGTAGCTGATTGTCGACATGATGCTCACATCCCAAGCCAAATACCTCAACCCTTCCTTTGGGCCGAGAGCAATGTCATGCAGCTCTTTGGTTAGAGCTATAAGATCTAATCGAGCCTTGTATGGCTCTTCATCGTCTTGAGAGATGGGAAACTCCACAAGCCCATTGACATCGAATGATGCCGCATCTAGACCTTTGGCAGTGAGGTGGTCGGTGATAATCTTAGTCTTGGCCGAGATCTCCTCAGACAGAGTCGTCATCCGCTGGACGGAACGTGATGCCATTGTCGGTATTCTGCGTCAATGGGTGACGGGCTAATAGGGTGAGAGCTAAGTCGAGGGATTATTCCACTCCATTGCTCTCATCATGTCTCCACCCCTCCTTTTATTCTGAAGCCAATGGTGGATAGATCTGGTCTTTCGCCGTCGCTTTCCAGCTCCGCGGACGCGGGGAACCTCTGGTGGCACTAGGAAGCGCCGGCCATTACTAGCTCTACGTGAGGTAAGCGTAGGTATGTGTGTTTTTGTTTCGATGAATATCATCAAAATGTTTGATATTTTTATCCAGGTTTTCGGCCTATCACCACATTAAATGGTGTGTAGCCGTGCTGACTGTTGTCTGTTAGCTCTCTTCGCACGTCTATTAAATACAGTTCCAATTCTTCTATTGTCCATCCGAGGCCTCGCGTAAAAGGCCTCACGGCAACACCGTAGAGCGCATCGTGAATCATGCTCCTGTTGTAGAGCCCGCACTTTTTCATATTGATGTCTTTGGGCCATGTGCCAATGGGTATTTTGAAGGGTATTTCGTCGACATCGACAAAGCCTCCGTCGGTGACGTTCTTTTTGTTGTGCCGCATCGCTAGCAAGTCGACGTTGAAATTCTCTAGTGCGCGCTTCATCGTCTCGAAGAAGTCTTGGACTTTGTTGCCTTCGCGCACCGTTCCATCGTCGCACTTGACTTGGAATTGAAGCTCTTGCAGTTCGATCCATCCACCAGGTTTTAGGGCTCTGCAGTGAAACGAAATGGTTGTCAGCAAACATTGAAGGTTTCCTTTAGCATCGCTTTGATTAAGGTACTGAAGCCAACTTACTTGTATGCGCGCGATAACAACAGAGGCCAATCGCGTATTGAAGAGGTCATATGCCGTATATGGATGTAGTCCAGAGAGGCTTCCGGAATTACCCACTCTGCTTCGGCATCGTCAACTATGAACCGGACGTTTGGCGGTACCCACTGCGGCTGGATTGGACTCAGGTCGATGCCCGTGATCTCGGCTCCTGGATATTCGTCTCCCACTGTAGTAGAATTGCGTTGTTAGTTATTCCCCTGTACTGTCGGCGCATTACGAGACAAGTGAGAGAATAGAGAGCTTCTTACTGTCGATAGCCCAGATGCCCGTCCCTGTCCCTATGTCCAAAACATTCTGTGGGTTCTCCAACGGCGCAAAGTGGAGTTTGCCTTGACACAGATGCAACACCATAGCATGCTTCATATCCTCCCTCTCCTGCTCCGGCTCGTCGTTGGGGAACTGATACCTGCCCTCTTGAAAGCGATGGTAGCGCCTGTTGTTCTCGAATTCGTAGTCGCGCACGGCGCTGCACACCGAGGTAGACGCTCGCGACGCCAAATCGGACTCGTAGCCGCCATCGCTGGCCGTGTCGTCTGCTTCGATGCCCGCATCCGACGTCGGGTCTGTGACGAGTGGCGCCTGGAGCGGCTCAAGCCTCGTTGACCCTGCGGCCGCCTCAGCTGGACTGGCGGTGCGAGGCTTCTTGGTCGGTGTTGCTACAGGCGATGTTTCGTCGTGACCATGCTTGCCCGAGGTGTCCCCCGGCTTGTCCTTGTCCATTGTATTGTCGCACTCGCTTGTTTCTTGTCCAGGGCGGGCGGATGCGATGCGCAGGCGGTGACGCAGCGAAACTGCTCACTATTTGCTCGCCAACGGGCCGCTGGTAACTTGTCAGAATCGCGACACGGGATTGCGCCCAAAGAGGAAGAAAATATCTGACCTTAGTCAGTCATCTGCGCATGCGCTCGTCGCCGTATTGGCATGTTAAATTGACGTTGACAGGGGATGAAGATGCGGGTCGTCAAGAGCCCAATCAAGCAGTGGCGCATCGTCACTTTTAATTGCCGAAAAGCGACGGTGCCAGCGCTCCCGGTTTTAATAGCCCCGTGTACTGCAGCTTGCGCATGGAAGCTTCCATCGTGCTAGGGGAGACGATCCGTTGATAAGGCTCAAACTGCTACGCTGCTAAATGCAATCTTCAACGTTAATGTTATTTTGCCCCCCGGCACGGGCCGTGGACTGGCTCTTGGTTTAACAGATAGAAATAGCATGGACCGTCCATGGTCCAACAAACGATGCGTTTGACGGCTACTGATCTTTTTTCTCATCCGTCGAATCTGGCTGTGACTTGTCCTTGCCCTTGAAGTAAGTCAGGACCCCAACACCGCCAGCACCAGCTACAGCGCCTCCAGCGGTCTGAGCTGCGCCAGCCAGCACACCAACTCCGTATCCTCCAGCGGCAGCACTCTGGAATGTTGCGAAAACACTCCCGGCGACAACGTTGCCAATGCTTGCATGGATGGCCGATGCAGCAGAAGCTGTAGCGGAACAATAGTCAGTAAATGAACATATGGATATTATACCTTTAGAGCAACTGATGTAGATGGGGCTGGAGATTCACTCACAAGCGGCTATTCCTGCCGGCGTAAAGCCTGCTGCTCCAGCAAAGCTCATGATCGGGGCTGTGAGAACTGCGGGAGCAGCAACAACAAGAAGCCCGGTTCCGGTAGCTACTGTGGCTACAGCGAGGAGGGGATTCTCCCTAGCTGCCTTGCCGAGCTGTGTGATTGTTCATGTTAGCTCGGTCCTCTATGTAAATTTCCACGGGCAATAGATGTTGTACTCACCCGCTGAGCCGCAGCTTGGGCGTTGCCCATGAAGTTCGTCGAGCCCTGTTCGCCGTTCTCATTCGAGCATGTGGCTTTCTCCCCCCCAGCGGCCTCAGACATATCACGTATCGCAGTGTCTATGCTCGAACACTCGCCGACTATCTCATCGTTCGTGACAGCATCTTCAGCCCTCGATTGACTTGTTGCTTTGATTGGTGCGTCTTTGCCGTCGGTCATTCTGATTTCGACGTGGGGGCAGCCATCTCGAGCTGTTTCGGATGGATTTGGGGCCACATTGACCAAGTTTCCTTGCTTCTCTACCGCAGCTTGATCACTAATGCGTGCTGCGATGGACTGGTTGATTTCGTCAGTTTGCACGCTCGGCCAGGTTGGAATCAGTGATACATGATTGACATGTAGGCACATGTAACTTGGCTACGATGCTGCGTTACTCACATGGATGCCATTCTGAACATGTCCGATAGCGTGATGGATCCCTCCTGTGCTGGCATGCTTGGACAGCTCGAGCTGCGCGTTTGCCAAACCTCCTCGAATCTGAGCAAGAAGAGACATTTCTTATGCTCTTACGTTTTGTTGTAAGAGCAGTAAGAATCCTGTGAATTTGATCGCCGCAACTCACTGTTACGATACGATGCCAATATCTGCGAGATGGAGATGCTAGGATGGAGGAAGCGACAGGTAGATGTACAGTACCTAGATATTTGGTGTGTACCGGTAAAGGTGTCTGTCAGAGGGGGAAAAAAGGTACGGCTAGGAATAAAATTCCTCCCCTCGATTTCATTTCAAGTTCACTTCAGGTCACATGTATTTTATCAGGCAACTTTCTAGTGGGCAAGGAGCTGCATTCAATTGTCATGCACTGTCTGAAATTGGGCCGCCAATGGTGGCCTGGGAGGCCTACCACACATGAGGCCCTGAGACGGAGCCCAATCTGTCAGTATGACGATCTAACCCAGGATTGAAGCGATCACAAACTTGAAGACTGGAACTTTCCCTTCCCTACATTTCTTACTGCTCAGATAGATTTACGGAGAGGAAGAGTACGTAAGGCTTATGAATTTTGCATTACACGTCATAAGAATTGTGTATTTCTATCTCAAACGCCAACGAAACGGCGTAAGCGCCCAATAGAGACCCAATCATTTATGATGAATCTGTATACCAAGCCAAATAACAGCCAAGATACAGTTCAAGCAATCAAGTGGCTGAAGCTCCTAGCCAAGCCAGAATCCCGCCTCCAATACCTCCCACGGCTGCTGTAACTCCACCTACGGCTTGAACAATGCCTGTCAAGATCCCGAGGCCATATCCTCCAGCTGCTGCACTCTGCATCACTGCAAAGGAGCTTCCAGCAGCAACACTTCCCATACCCGCTTGTGCGCCTGATGCAATCGAAGCTATAGCATTTTATGAATAGTTAGTAGATGCGCAATAATAATCACTATGGAAGAAAGAGGCCCATTCAAAGGGAAACGGGAGGATTATCGTACCTGCGGCGATACCTCCAGAGGTAAAGCCCATCAGTCCAGCGATGCCCATGATTGGGGCCGTGATAATAGCAGGAACGGCAGCAATCAAGAGTCCAGTGCTGGCAACTGCGACTGGCACGGGATGTTGCTTCACGATACCGGCAACCTTTACGAGTGTTAGCAACCAACAAGTGAGTATGTATCCACGTCAAAGTCGCAAATGGCAAACGGAGTATTTACATGTTGAGCGGCTGGTCCTGATGCCGCCTTCAGCATTCCTCCGCGAGCTCGATCGATGTTTTCTTTAGTGGCATGCTATCTTCGGTTAGTTGTTTACACGTAAAAACACGAAGGGTCTGAGTATTATACCTGGCCGATATGCTGCACAGCAGCACCGACGCCATCTCGAACTATCTGGACACCATGGTGGATGTTTTCCTGATTGACGTGCTAAGCAAATACCATAAGTCGCCCGAACGTTGGAAACGTAATATGACAGTCTGTGAGACAGGGCCCTGGAGAAATACCTGGCCAATTTGCTGGGCTGCCATTCCAACACCGTCCCGAGCCATCTGGAGACCGTGGTTGATGTTTTCAGGGTTGACGTGCTGCGTATGCTTAGCCATAAGAACACAGTCGGGCGAGAGAGCCGGTCTTGAAAACATACCTGGTGGATATGCTGCGCTGCAACGTTGATGCCATCTCGAGCTATCTGGAATCCGTGGTTGATGTTTTCCGGATTAACATGCTGAGCACATTTAGCCACAAAGGTATAAAAACAACCTCTCAGGCGAGGTAGGGGATTTCGAAGACAAACCTGATTGATCTGCTGAGCTGCAACATTAATACCCTCTCGGGCCATCTGCAATCCGTGGTTGATGTTCTCTGGATTGACATGCTGAGAACTGTTAGCTCTCTAGATGCGAAATGAGCGAAGACAGTTCAATGATGTACCTGGTTGATTTGCTCTGCTGCATGGCCAAGGCCATCTCGAGCTATCTGGAGGCCGCGGTTGATGTTTTCCGGGGTGATGTGTCGGGCAGCCTCCTGTTGGGCATGGGCCAAACCTCTGGCGATCTCGTCCCAAAAAGCCATATTTCCTCTTGATTGTTATCTAATAGGAAGCAAAGTAGAGCACGAGTGGTAGTTACCTATATGCCAAACACACCGTGAGGTCAGTCAAGGGTCATCAAGGTGAAGTAAAGGAAAGGGAAAAAAAAATAAACATCACGATTTTTGGCTCTCGTTTGCCTCTACCCCTCCCTCCCTGCAGGTGTTGCAATTTCGGCCATACAGGTGACAGCAGTTGTTTGAGAGTACGTGTTGATGCGGGAGGCCTACCATGCGGTTGGATACGCGTTTGTACCTTATGCACGTGAGAACTCTGCAAAGAGCAAGAATAATGGTATTGAAATGGTGTATGTTCATTGTGCGCATACCAGGTAAATTGCATGAAAGATGGAAGAAACTTGAAGATGACGTGGAAACCCGCTCTTGGAATCTCTCTAGCTTTAATGCGATGACTCTTGACCTCTGTCTTTTTAGCTCTCCATCATTCTACCTTTTGTAACCTACTATACCTACATATATAGCTTTCTATCAAGTTGACTGAGGTCCCTTTATTATAACATACTCTTTACCCATAAATAGTAGATTTAGTAATTCCTGCGGCATTCCTTGCTTTGTTTGTATCGTCTGTTACTCCCGGCTAGTATCTCACAGCCAGCTGCGTACATCTACAAAGGTATGTAGCTTCACGGTTTATGTTTTTGCAGCCAGCTTCTGATTCGTCCACTGTCTCATATGCTTAATGAAGCAGCCAATAGATGATCGCCCGTATCCAACTAGCCAGATGTTATCTAGATCGCCGACAAAGAGGAGCTGATGCTTGCGGAAAGAGAGCTAAGTTCTGACTAGCTCGCAGTTAGCACGCCTGCAACGGAATATTAGATAACGACATGGAACTCGAGGTGATCTCAGCCTTTTAATCTTATTTTGTTTCTTGCGCGGTCCGTTGCAAAAGTGGTGAAGAGCTTCGTGTAGCTTGCCATTGGGCGGCCCACCATCACCATGAATTGCAACGAGCTACAGGAAAACACCATCGGGGAGCGATATATGATCAAGCGCCCCAAAGCGCTTCAATGGTTCCACAACGGCCGACTGGTCAAGCAGAGCGAAGAGGAGAGACAAGCCGGCCGCTTTGAGCTCTTCCTCGACCTTCTTTGTACGTCAAATGAGATATGAACTAACGGAGAATCTTTAATTAACGCAGTCTATTTACTGTCACCATCTAGATGTCGCCATTGTCGCAAACTTCAGCGATGACCTCGCCGAGAATCCAAATGGACAACACCTCGCCAAATACATCCTCATCTTCGCGCCGGCATGGCACATATGGGTAGACCTTCGCGAAATCATGAACTCGTACTACACCGATGATCTCTTACAGCGGCTCGTCATCTTATGGGTCATGGCTCTCTTGGTGCTCTACGCAAACAACGCTCGCCTGGTCGATGAAGATTTATCCGCAATGCAAACGACGGCGGGTGCATACGTCGTCGCTCGGTTTACCACCATGTGCACCTTTCTCATCTGCTCTTTTGCGAGCTATCAGCATCGGACGCAGGCGCGCATCATGGCTTTCTTCATGTTCATCGGTCTCTTCCTTACGATACCGCTCTTTTTTGAAGATGTTAGCATTGGAGCCAAAATCGCCGTTGTCGCAGTCATAATTTTCTACCAGGAATTCACTTGGTCGCTCACATTGAGTCCATGGCTGAAGCGCAAATTGAAGCTCACATACAGCACAGCGGTCGACATTGCTCACGAAATCGACCGTATGGCGGCATTCTTCATCATCATTCTGGGTGAATTTGTCTACAGCGTGATTGTCGGAGACCCAGCCGGTGTCGGCTTGACATTAGGCTATGCCAAAGCTGCTTTTACTCTCATTATCGCCTTTTGTCTCAACTGGATTTATGTCAGCGGCGATGGAAGTTTAGAGGCGACGCACCCAATTCGACGATCTGCCTGGACGGCTTTTGCGTTCTTTCTTCTTCACTTACCGCTTTCTGCGTCTTTCTTGATCGGTGGTCATATTGCCGCTATAAGTACAAGACTAGACGAGTTCGAAGAAGGACAGCGGTGGCTCTTGGGAGGGGGTCTAGGAGTGGGCATGTTCTGCCTTTGGATATACGGCATGCTTTATCGCACACACGACGAAGACTGCCTGATTATGTCCAAAACACCTCGTATAGGCATGCGTTTAGTCGTTGCTATAATTCTTCTTTCTCTACCTGCGACGAACGATGATCTATCTACGACAGACTTTATGGCAGTGGTCATGTCACTTTTTGCATTCTTGGTCATATGGGAAACCGTTGGAGGACTGTTGAAGGGCGCTCAAGTGTTTGAGCCTTGGACTGATAGGAATCCGCCTTTAAGCGATACCGAGACTGGCGAATGAGTGATGGATAGTGTGGAACGGCGAATAACATAACCTAGAAGCAAGATAACGATTTACACCGGTACTAATAGTAATTACATACCTATGAAGGTGAAATGACATTGTTAAGATGATAAATAAATAAGGCGCATGCATACATATACACTAATTCATGCTATCATGCTTACGACTTAAAATCATGTTGTAAAGCGCCAACGCATATGCCTGCAATCCATACCCCCAATCCAATAAAGAATGTAAAACAGTTCGCTTGCTATCATAATATTGATCATACGTCACTCTGCTAAAGAACATATATATGTGTATTGCCCACCATGATCCCACCTTCTCCGGTCACCCGTAATAACCGAGGTTATCGCATTGTCTTAAACCGGCTTCAAATAACAAACACTTCGCCATTTTCGAGCCTGAAGTCTTTGTAAACTTCAATGTTCTCACATTGTCGTCTAAGGGCTTCTGTAAGAAAGCGATGAGCACGCTCTAGATTCTTACTGTAGCTGCTCATTGCCTTAAACCGACTAAGGACCCAACGCTGATGAACCACGTTGCTTGTCTCAAGAGCAACAACGAAAAGAGGCCATGCTACCCTAATAGTGCCTTCGACCCCTTGGTGTTTATCAGCTTGAACAGCCAAATCAATTATGGCGGTTATATGAGCTTCAGGCACGATTTTCATCTTGGTGGTCAAGCCATTTCTCCTAGTAATCCGCAGGAGCTCGAGTTTTACAGCATGATATATAGGAACAAAGGCACGAATGTTGGCTACCAAGCGATGTGAGTTGTCTGTAGATAGGGAAATATCTGATGCCACTTCAAGTAGCTCCCCATATCGAAGATCAATTTGTCGAAAAGCGGACTCGACCGCTGGTAGACGCTGTCTGAGGTCGTTCACATCAAGATTAGACAGTTGAGCCACGATGCCACGAAGCTGCATGGATGCACAGAGAAACGCGAATATGTCTCGATTCTCCACGTCATCCAGCAACTCAACTTGTGGATAGGCATCACCCCACATTGAGCGGTATAGCGAGTTTGAATACCTATGAAGCGCGTCAAATCCGGCAATCGATGATGAATCGTCTGGCGCCATGATATTTTTCAATTCGCTATTGCACTGACCACCGAGCCCAAAAGTTGCGGCTGTCGAATCACAGAGAGAAATCCAGACGAGCAGCCGGATTACAAAGAGTGACAGTCCAGGTTGCTGGGAATCATCCCGAGGCTGCATTCTGCTCAACACTGGCGTTCCTTGCCAACCTCGTGTGGATATTTGATCTGAAAGGCTGCTGCAACGATGCTTTACAATCAAAGCTGCCCCAGCGAGGTGATTCGATAATCCAGAACACGTTCCGTCTCCATATTTCTGCTCATAGACAAGCATCAAGTATAGCACCGCACAGATGGGGTCCAACTCCAACTGCCGACCATCGTCTGCCGTTCCGATGACATCGGCTAAGAGGCCTAGAGCAGCCGAGTAATGTTGAACGGGAGTCCACTTATTTTGATCCCGTTGTACAAGTTGAGAATTGTAATCAGCTTCTCCGTCTGAAGTGCTGTTTCGCCGGAACTCAATTTCATGACCACCGATGGCTAATAACGCATGCATAACCATTGGTTCATCTTGCGCCAGGGTAAATATGATAGAAAAAAGTGAGTAATCCGGATTCTTGGTGTGGTGAATCCTAGCAAAGGTGGTACGGAAATACCGTATCGCCTCATGATCGGCCGAAGTGAGATTTAGCGAACTCGCACTGCTGGGGAACTCTGGAAGCTGAGTTGGAAGAGCAAGAGCTCTGGTCAGTGCTGCGCGTTGTGCCCAAGTTGGTAATGCTTTCGAATTTTCCACAGCTAGCATATATCCTCGAGATATAGCTAATAGGTCGTTGTGTTTGATCTTTGGCTCATAATCGCCATAATCACAGAGCCGTCTTAGACGTATACAGCGCTTGCATCTCGGCCGCGCCTCATCACACTTCACCTTCTTGATGCGGCACGTATAGCATCCATTTTTTGAGCGGCCTTTCTTTGGATGAGGGCCAATGGTGGAGTCGATATGATCCATGGCAACCACCCAACTCAGTGTATTGTCTGACTGGCGCTTTTGACTCGCGTTCGCAGGGATAAGTCTAGTATGTATGAACTAAAGGGCGTGCGTTGATGAAAGAGGAGAAGTTGTTTCTGAAAGACATCAGCGATCCTTTTTGTGGGCCTACGAGATGCTCTTTGTCTTAAGAACCTATATGATGAAAAGGAGGCCTGTGAAGATGCAGTCTCGTGCACCTAAAGTGAGGCTGCGTTGCCGACCGTCGGCAGCCTCAGCCGCCGCTAACAGTCTTGATCAATAATGCGCCTTGACTCTGCCGTGTTGGCGCCACACGAGAATCACATTCAAGGCTAGAAGCTGATACTCCGCACGGCGCTAGCCAGGAAGCCGATGGTCGGTAATAACGATGGGTATTGAATGGTTAGAGATCCAATCACGGTCATGATACCAGATTAGCCAATCGATCGCTCCCACTTTTAGAGACAAAAAGTGTCGAACCATCGATGACATAGCTCAGGTATATCTATGCGTTAAAAGCTGCTCAACCTTTGCTTCACATCTTCATTTGCAAAGCAGTATTGCATTGATTTAATCAATCTTTCTGCGCACTTTTCACACTCTCTAGAATATCAAGGATGGCTTCCAAGGTTGATATTGAGCAAGTACGGCAGCTCGTCAATTCCCACCTTGACGAGCTGAGCCCTCAACTCCGCACAGTCAACCAAAAAATTCACGACAACCCGGAACTTGCTTACAAAGAATTCGCTGCACACGATACAATTACTTCTTTTCTGGAAAAACTCGGGTTCGATGTAAAGCGCAAGACTTGGGGCCTTGATACAAGCTTTGAAGCCACAATCGGCTCGGGAGGTCGTCAGGTTGTCGTGTGCTGCGAATACGATGCTCTGCCGGACATCGGTCATGGCTGTGGCCACAACCTGATCGCCACATCCTCTATAGCTGCATTTCTCGGTGCGGCCCATGCTCTCTCTAAGCTGAATGTTCCTGGCCGGTTGAGAATCCTGGGAACACCCGCTGAGGAGGGAGGCGGTGGCAAGGCAAAGCTGATTGAAGCCGGCGCCTTCAGCCCTGCAGAAGACATTGCCGCGTCCATAATGGCTCACCCTATATCTGTCAATCTCATAGATAGCAACGGTATCAGTGGCATCTCTGGGGTTGCTGGATTTGATCTCATTGCCAGCCACAAGTTCCGTGTCGAGTTTCGCGGAGTGACCGCTCACGCAGCTGGTGAGCCTTGGAACGGTGTTAACGCTCTAGATGCTGCTGTAGCGGCCTATAACAATGTGTCGATGTTGCGTCAGCAGATCCGTCCTGATGAGAGGATGCATGGTGTGATTGAGGTCGGCGGCACGGTTCCAAATGTGATTCCCGACTACACGCGGATGAACTGGTATGTCCGAAGCCCTACCAGTCAACGTGGAGAAAAGCTGGTGAGACGAGTGAAGGCTTGCATCGAGGCAGCTGGCGCGGCAACAGGCTGCGAAGTGAATTATATCCCGTGAGTAATACTAATCGCTCATCTCAAAGACCCCACGATTTGCTATTTTTACTAATGAACTGGAACACAGAGCTGCGACGTATGAACATGTCATTTCCAACCCCACGTTGTGCAAGGTTTATGCGGAAGACATGAGCAAACTCGGCGAAAGGGTCGAGATAAGCTTACCAGAGAGCTTCAACGCTTCGACTGATATGGGCAACGTGACTCATGTGGTGCCTGGCATCCACGGTGGATTCGGTATTAAAACAGGGCCAAACGTTGCCCTCCATAGCCGCGAGTTCGCCGCTGCTGCAGGTACAGACGAAGCTCACGAGGTGGCAATGAAGAGTGGCAAGGGCATGGCGATGCTAGCTCTTAGGGTTCTGCTTGACGATGACATTGCTGCGAGTGCGAGAGCTGAGTTTGACAAGAGATATGAATAGACAGAAGACAAATTAGCCATCTTCCGAATATATTGAGTGCATTTACCATATGAGGGTTGCAATATTGATACTCGTATATTGCGTGGAGTAGCATTGTCTCAAACCTGCATGTTACTATTACTCACATGTGCAACCTTGGCTCGGGCAGGTGAACATATCTGGATGAATGGGATGCTACCCAAGTAAAAAGAGTCCGATTTGTCTATAGAAATGCATAGAACTCTCAATCTGGAAGCTCCTAGACCGAGAGGCAAAAAAATGGCACAACCTGCGCTGCTGTAAGTAGCACAAGTGTAAGGAAATTTCTGATCGCGATGTTGCACTCGTGCAAACATTTCCGCTTCCAGTCTGTATCCCCCACACCCCGCCTAGAGCCGGATTGCGTTTCATAGAAATTCGTAACAGACAAACAAAAAAACCGCAAAAATATGCATATCGATCGTCATTGGATTAATTGATGATTAGCAAGACAGCAATTGAATCAATGTCCGTCTTCTTTTCCTAAAGCGTCTACCGAGATTCTCTGTTTGCTGTCGCTGCTTGGCGCGCTTCTTCCAATGAGACAGAGCGTAGGATCCCCGTGTTACGCGGGATGATTTGCGGCCATAAGACATAAGAGGAGCCGCTCGGGGCTAAATTGGGACGAGCCGTGGTACCGTGGGGTTGAGAGGCGCATTTACCGCTGTGATGTTGCTACGATGCAATGTCGTGAGAAAGTCGATAGAGGTTTATCACAAGTATTTCCGTTTGCTTGAGTATGTTTTTGAAACATCAATTAGGGCCTTGATGAGGACAATTATAGAAAAACAACGACAATTGCCATTAATCTCAACATGAAGAAAGAGACTTGTCATAAACTTCGCTTGCTGTTTTCCGAACCCTCGCACCAATTGTGTGTGCTCGGAAACTTACATGTCGATCCCTCCCCATTTCCTTGTCGTCGCCACGGGCATCGGTCGCGATTAGGATATAGCGCACAAGACCGCTCCGGTAGCCGGCCGAAACATCTTAAACAAGAAGGAACGGAAGATATCTCAGCTGGGATTAAGAGGAGGCCAGTGAGTCTGGCGTTACACTCGCCATAGCATGAGCTCGCAACATAAATACTGCCTCCGTCCCGAGTGCAACACAGATCATTTCCTCAGTTCTCTCATACAACAGAAAGAAAATTTGTTAAAAAATGAAGGCCGCTTTTCTCCTTCTCGTTGGAGCCGCTCTGGCTTCTGCCCAGACCGTCTACCTCATTCGCCACGGCGAGAAGCCCGATGATGATGATGATCCCAACTTGAGCGCACAGGGAGTGCAGCGCGCCCAGTGCCTGAGAAATGTTTTTGGTGCCAGTTCTCAGTACAACATTCAGTACATTATCGCTGAGAAGCCCAAGGGTGTGTGATTTTTCTCCGACAATTATGAGGCGGCTTGCTTTTGGGACAACGATCAACTAATCCGGTCAAATGCAGATGGCGCCCGAATTCGAGCTCTCAACACTGTCACTCCTTTGGCCAATGACCTCGATTTGACAGTTGACACAAGCTGTGGCAAGACCAAGTCCGACTGCGTTGCTGACCTTGTCAATGACTACAAGGGTTCCGGCAACATCCTCATCTGGTAAACTCTCTGGAGAAATTGTAACCCGAATTGATCATGAACGTAACTAATGCTGAATGTCTAGCTGGGAACACAACGAACTTACCAACATTGTCGAATCTCTGGGTGTCAAGAAGGGTCCTGACTACCCTGATGACTCGTTTAACTTGATCTGGACGGACCCTTCGCCGTACAACAAGATTACCAGCACCACCTCCGAGAACTGCCCTGGCTTGGATAACTAGCGATATAAATTGGCGAGAAGATGTGATAAAGTTTCTCATGGACCGCGATGTATCCGCGATGTATATACCTAATGCCCACACGTGGCTGACATATAGACATACAAAAGAGTAAAATGAATTTACAAGTTCGCATACGCCGAGTCAGTGATACTATTGAGGATCTCACATGGTCCATATGATCCAGATACGATACCATGATTTACGACTAATTGTGATCGATAAGTAGGCAAGACATACTGAAAAGGAACTATTTTAATTACTCTTCTATATATCTCAATACAAATGAACCATTCACTCACCCTTGAATTGCAACGAATCAACCGGAGAATCGTAGCGAATATACATTACAATGATTAGTTAGCTTAAACTTTTACATTATGTTACCGAACAGGTAAAGACAAGTTCAGCTGCCCTTGCTCATCATAAAAGCATAAAGACGACACGTGACCACAACTGAGAAACGAGATCTGATATAAAGAGGTAGTCGAAATAGTATGAAATTGAACTAATTAGTCCAATCTAATAGCAATCTTTCTAATTCCAAACCCAGTCTTATATACTCGTCACTCCTGTGTTTGCAGCGCACATCTCATCGTCATGAAAGCTTGCTAATTTACTTAATTACACGCATGAGTGATTATTGACTCCATCGAGCAATTTTTCATATCACCTACCGTATCAATTCTAGAATACATGTTCATATAGGGCGCTACGTAAGCTACGAGCTTAAGTCATCAAAGTTATTTCTAGCTCAGGTCGGTTGTGCACGATCAGTTGATCAAAGCAATAGCCGAGATAGCCGATACCCGGCGGGTATCCTAAGTTTCAGTCATTTTCATCCATTTGGTATCACGCACTGAGGGTGGAGAGGGTGCTGAGCATCCAATTGAGATATGATGAAAATATGGCCACCTAGCACAATGAGCCTGACGATCGCCCGCAGCTAAGGCTTAGCATAGCCAACTTCGCATTAATGCATTCAGAAGCGGAAGCAGCTTGAGCAGGTTTTACATGAGGACAATGCGTGAGATTTTAAAGACTACGAAATCTAAGAGTCATAAAAAGAAATGACAAGGTTCGTAGCAACTGCAGTTGATGATCATATGACCTATCAGCAAAGAATTAACTCGAATCAACTCTAGAGAGTTTGGGTGGGGGTCATGACGTTTATGTCGAGGCGATGCTTTAAACAGTAGAGTTCACGAGGATTTGTTGGACGTTAAACCAGTATTGAAACAGGCATTGTAATTGGTTAGATCGCTTACGCAGCCCTATCGCTTTCGTCTTTGATCGTCAACTCCTGCCTGGGACGTTCTTCGTTCCCGAGCTGTCAAGCAAATCAAGTTCCTTGGCTGGGGAGTAAGAAACGCTCCTTTTCTCCGCAATTTTCTGTTAATCTTGTCACCCTGCATTCATTAGCTGCTTATAGAAGAATCCCCAACATCGGCCGTCGGCCGTCGGAGGAAGACTGAGTTGTCTACTGGTTCCTTTGCTACGGCGCACCTCTTACTTAGACAGGCTAGTGTTACGTGAACCAGATCGTCACGATTTCTGGCTTGGGACTCACAGTATGGAGTTATTAGAGCATCCTGTTGTCCATTGCCAAATATTAGGATAGCCCACTGTTTAGATACTCTGTACAGAAATTCAAAATGATAAAAGTTGCTTTATCGACTAATGGTAGGTGAACCAACCTGTAGCAATTGGACAGTGGAATACACCGTGAATGATTCGTTTTTCTTAAGCTGAGAGTGTTCATTTTACAGCAATTGCGTGTAAAATATTCCATACAGTATCATCCGACTGTCTCCACGCTCGTGTCTGATGTGAGCGCTAGAATTGGACTCCAGTTGTGGTTATAAGCGCTACATGTTTGAACCAACAATCTCCACAATTAGCTTGTTCGTTAATCTGATTGATGGGCAATTGGGGTCGTACGAAGTTATTACTCTCGTAAAATATGCGTAACTAAGTTTTCCTGTTGCTATATAACCCTCGGCTTCACAGCCTTTTGTACAGTGTTCTTTTCTGCGTGGCAAAGTATCAGCGAAGAAAACCAGCGGCTTGTTTTGAGCAGTCTCGAGATTTTGCAACCATCACAAAGCTGTACCAAGTTTTATTTCATGTGAACATATTTTTTTCACTATCCGAAGATCCACGCTTCTAATAATTAAACAATCAACCTCTCAATACCTCACATCAGTTCAGCATGGATCCCAACCCTCCCAGTGGTGTTGACGTCTCGCGACCTTCTGTTGCTCGCATGGTATATCTCACATTTTGAATCAAATAGAACTTGTAGGATTGAAGTTGAGTTAACTTGAATTCAGTATGACTTCTATCTTGGTGGAAAAAACAACTATGCTTCAGACAGGGCCGCCGTGGCGGCAGTCAAAGAAGCACTCCCCAACATCATCGAAATCGTGGCCGAAGGTCGCCATTTTCTGAGACGTGTAATTCGGTACATGTGCTACCAAGGCATCGACCAATTCATTGATATTGGCTCGGGGCTACCAAGTGCTGATAACACTCATCAAGTAGCCCAGAGGGTAAACCCTAATGCCCGCGTCGTTTATGTCGACATTGACGAGTCAGCTGTCGTTCAAGGGCGGCAGATCCTCAGTGGAATCTCATTAACGGCATTTATTCAAGGGTCGGTCCTAGAACTGGAGCCCATCTTGAACCACCCTGAGACGCGCAATCTCATTGACTTCTCAAAGCCAGTGGGCGTTGTCATGATGGGTCTATTGCACTTCTTTGATATTGATGTCGATCGCGGTATTCTCAATACCTTGCGGCAAAATCTTGCTCCGGGGAGCTTGGTTAGCTTTACTCATGGAGTCTTGGAGTATCAGAAGGAAGAAGCAATTGAAGATTTGCTGGCTGCTTATGCAAGGACACCCACACCATTGATAATGAGAACAATGACCGATATTGGAAGAATAATGGAGGGATTTCCCGCTGTGGAACCAGGACTCGTCTTATTGCACGATTGGAGGATGGATATGGCCGAAGAGGGAGAATCTGAGCCTCCACGATCACTCATTTGGGCCGGAACTGTATTAATCATCTAATCCTTCAGTTGATGTCTCTTTGTAAAAGGAAACAATTATAAATGGAAAGGAGATTGTCAAATTTCTGCGATAAGTCATGAACTGTAGGGATTGTATAGCAATATTTGTAGAGTCATATCATTACGGACTGCCTAAGATGATTTCCGCCTCATCTGTAGAAAACACTGCATCAATCCGCCGCAAAATACAAGTTCCCATCACAAATAACGACAATATGTCACATATTAAACGAAGAAATTGACCACACATCTCTTTGGCGAATTAAGCTTAAGTTAGTGCTCGATATAGCAAAGTGATTGAATGCCGAAGACATGTCTCTCCTGATTAGCAGAGCAAAGCTTATATCACATGCTTATATCAACTTCTTTTATCCTCTAGTAGACCTTTAACCATACTTACAAATCAGCGCCTAGCGTTGCCTTTTGTGGATTCCAAAGGCAACAATATTGCCGTTGGGATATGAAGATGATGTCCACTTGTTGGGACGTAGGCCATCACAGATAATCTCTACTTTAAAGTAAGGCCGCGAAGGGGAAATAATCCAATTTCAACATAATCAGGAGGAAGAAATTATGTTACCTGCAATTAATTGCACCTTTCTGGAGACTCGGCAGTTGTCATTTCTCAACTACCGATATGCCTCTAGTCCCCTTGATACTCGACGCCCTCTTAGACAACGATGATCATATAAACTGGGGGGCCCATCATCCTTCGCATGACCAAACCCATGGAATTTTCAATTATTAATGCATTAATAACACACCAAGATTGCAACAGAAATTCTTCAAATTTGAACGTCATTGAGGGTATAAGTGAGTCCAGATGGCGAGTTATCGCCTGGGCTAACCGTGGGCAACCAAAGACGCTAACCGCTTATAGTAACATTATCCGCCAAGACTTTGGATTTGGTATAAGTCAGGGCCAACATGACGATTCTCTTGTTCGAGAACGGCGGGGGAGACGAGGAGGATTTGATAATCCGAGTCATCAGACAGAGTATTTGCATTTATCATGATTATTGATTATTAACACTCATTTATGTTTATGATTGGAATTTGAATTGCTATGATGGGAGTTGTATTCTGGGGGTTTTAGGTAATTCTCCCGAGTTGAGTCCTTGGCGGGGTTGTCGAGTTGTGAAAGTTTAAATAACTGCTTGCCTTCCACTTGAATCGAAAAGAGCCATCCAAACAGCACACTCAATTCAATCTTAAACACAGTTGACAATTCGAAAATTGTATCTTCATTCTTAAACCACAGCTCAACAAACAACAATGTCTTCCTTCAAGGGCTCCGTCAGCGTTACCCACATCGGCACTGCCACTGCGCTTCTTCAGATTGACAATGTCACCTTTTTGACCGATCCTCTCTTCGCTGCTGCTGGCACTGAATGGGACCTCACTGTTGTCCAACTCAAGACGACCCAGGACCCCGCTATCAAGCCTGAAGACCTCCCCGAGATCGACGCTGTCCTCCTCAGCCACGAGGACCACCCCGATAACCTTGACGAGGTTGGGCGAAAGGTCCTCGAAGGCAAGAAGGTCTTCACCACCAAAGACGGTGCGAAGAACATTGGAGACAAGGCAATTGTCACGGGCTTCAATGCCGGTGACAGGGCCACCCTCGTTGCAGGAGGTAAAACGTTCGAGATTATCGCCACTCCTGCGGAGCACTTGCCGGGAGGCGAGTGTATTGGCTTCCTTGTAACCTCGGCCGATTTCGGAACAACCAATGGCCTGCCTAATGCCATTTACTTCTCTGGCGACACCATTTACAACCAAGATGTTGCCAACAGCCTCAAGGGCTATCACATCAGCCTCGCTCTTCTCAATCTTGGCAGAGCGGCTGTTGACGTGGGTGGACCTGAGCCTATGCCGATCACTTTGGATGGTAAGCAGGCTTCGCAGCTTATTTTGGATGCCAACGTCGAGAAGGTTGTGCCCATGCACTTTGAGGGATGGGGCCACTTTAGCGAGGGCAGGGAGCCAGCCGAAAAGGCTTTTGCAGAGGCAGGCGTCAGCGAGAAGGTCTTCTGGTTGCCCCGTGGTGAGAAGAAGGTGTTTTTCTAAAAAATCAAATGGTATTGAAGGTCCAGTGCGGCCCTGAAAACACGTCTTAAGAATGCTGTATCTAGTCTATATATGAGCGTCATTGGTGATAGTATAAGAATGAAGTAAACTTTTTTTTCTCACCACTCTGTATCACACCCCATCATCATCCAAGATCCACTGGGCGATATAATCGTATCCCCGATCTCTAATGCCATGAATCACTCTTTCACACCATGATATCAGTTCCTGGTCGTAGAAGTGGTTATACCGGAGGAATTGATAGGCTATCCTTGTTGGTAATGTCGCAGAAATGGCACCAAATAGTCTCATTTCGTCTTGCACCAGATATTCAATGCTTTGGAAGATCCATGTTGACATTTGAATCGCCACCTCTGTGATGATGGGGCTCTCCGGGCTCTCTCCGCTGATCAACAGTTCTTCGTCTCTCAGCTCCGGGTAGTCCTCCCTAAGTTTTCTGATGTAAACGATGCACATTATCCAGAAAGTCCAGTAATGGGTCATAGAATTTGCGGTAGTAATATCGGGAAACCACACATGAGCTTTTTCTGGGCCTTTGCCGAGGATGCGAAAGGATGGCTTGTTTGTGAGGCTTTGGAAAGAGACATTCCAGTTGACTAGAGCGTCAAGAAGGTCTTTGAGAGCTTCAAAGACAGCATGAGGTGAATTTGCATTAGGAGAGCCGTATTTGAGCTGGTCAATATCCACTAAAATAGATGGAATTGCGGTTGCTTCGGTCATGAGAGCATGGAATGAGTTGGCTTTGACATGTTGAAACGGAATTGTCCTCCACTCGTGAGAGGATAGAAATGTGGGCTGCTTGTTTCGAATCGAGTGAATAATCTAGTTGAAAGGTTAATAACCGCAAATTATAGGTTCAGATAAAAGAGTGGCTCATACCATGGCCGGACGAAGTCCGATAAAAATCCTGTGGGACGGCCCGGAGGAGTAAGCTTCTGGGCTATGCAACTGGATCAAGTCGCTTAGGCCAGCGGCATGAGCCGCGCTGCTGGAGATCGCAGTCGGCAGGATAAGCTATTAAAAGTAAATCTAGTCAGCTTCTCGGGAACAGGAGCCACAGAATAAAGTAAGTAAATGGGTTCGGCACGTACTTCCGAGATCATCAGGCACATGATGGCCACCGCCAAGACGTCAGAATCGGCAGTGTGTGTAATGTGATGCAGACTGTCATGAAGCGAATGTAATGCGGAGCAATGCGCCGTCAGAGCATCTGAGATCGGCGCTATCCCGTTACGGCCCCTGGACAAAATGGATACGGCAAGGGCCTTGACTGATGAAGACAGAGCCATCTCATATCGCCGGGTCATGGACAGAACCGGCAGAAGCTCGATCCAAGCTCCACATACGCGAGGATAAATGTCCACATCCCAGTTCATAAATGCCGAATTGCTGGATAGCACCGTTGGTGAGAAGTTCTGTACAACTAACGAGATGATATCCTGGAATGGCCAAGCCAGCGAGGGCCTAACTGGTGCAGCGTCATATTTAGCTATTGGCTTGGCTTCTTGGAATATTTCGTCGCTGCTGTCCGTGGAAGTGCTAGTCTGTGGCCTTATGCAGTCATTTCGTTTCTTTCCGACCTTTCCATCCTTGCGCGTCTTGGATTTTGTCGATGGTCCTATGGATAACTGGGATGGTATGAAGACGAGGTCATACTGATACCCTCCACACTTGATCTTCGTCCCTGCGCATTGCGAGCATGAGGGTCGCTTTCCATCACACTGAGAATCCCATATTTAGTAATTATTACCGAGATGCAAGACATATTAGATGCCAGATCGTAGATGAGAGATGCATTTCTCCAAACTGGGCAAATTCAGTGTACGAGTAAGAACTCACCCCCAGTTTCCGTGCCCTGCATGTATGACAGACGGTTAACTTCCGAACCTTCATGGTGTTTGCTCTAACGTGCTGGATACCAATATAGGCAATATACGACGAACTGCTCGTTCAACATAGAAGCATAAGCCGAGAGCAATGCTTTTAGCTGGCGGCGGCCAAAGGGCGTTGACATATTGTGGAGCCGATTGTACGGACCGGAATGGCAGCCGAAGACCGATGGCGAACAACCGGCGAGCTGATTGGGGAAGTCTGATACGAAGCTAGACTCTTCAAGGGATCAAAAACCGCCAAGGTGACTAAGTGGACGCTTGATCTGTGGGGGCTCGGCCGAGATTGGCTTTTGACAGCTTAATAACAGCAGCGGTCCGCGATAGAGATGCATGGGGGTTGCGAGACTATGGAGCACTATCGTGTTGTGAGGCTGTTTTGTGGAAGATATTGTTCGATGGGGGCAGATGTAAGGCAGATTCTAGTGTCAGCCACTTTTAGCCAACCTGCACGTTCGAAAAACAAAGTCTTCTATTATGTGACTGCTCATCTTGAAGACTAGAGAGTTGCAGCGCACCTAACACAACATCTACAACACAACAGCTTATAGTTATCTGCCGACGGGATCGAAGCAATAGTTACAGCGTAAGTAATCTCATGCGATTCTCAAAACGTAATAATAAAAAGAAACTTCAAGGCTGATACAAGGAAACTATTTCAGCTGTCTCTTGGCACGGGCTGACTTGATCGATTTGCCTAGGTAACATGGCATTCGACCCACATACTATTAACCTCCTACATAGGCATATATTGCAAAAGTCTCGTTTAACTTCGTTTTCCCAGCTTAGATTAACGCTGATACTGCTGAAATAGGAAAATTCCCCTTTGCCGATATTTTCTTCCGACATTTCTATTACCAATCAGGCCCCCAAAGTTGATCGCCACAGGGGTGGTTTAAACTTACCGCCATCTTCTTATTCCCATCGGCCAACTGGTACCCCGATCTATTTCATGATGCACCACCAGAAAGGCGTGGCTTTTCTAAACTACTGTATTGTGTTGCTTCCAGCCAACAAGCATATATCAACGTCTTCCATCGAGGATTTTACTGTTTGAGCATACAGTATCACCCTAATACTTAATTCCGCAAAGTCCATTAGTATGCATCGTAGACAGGAAGACTCGGGCTGCGTCAGATTCTTTTGTTAGATTGGGCGTCATACTTTTCGATTTTCCTTCAATTCTGTGATCAGTAATCACTAATAGCACTGCGCTAGATTATTTCCTGATTGAGCTTGACGCTTCAGCCCTTCATCTTGTCATCTCCGTATGGCGTACGGAGAACAGCAAATCATCCGACGCCGGTGATACTTAATTATCTCCGACCATATACGCCCTAAACAAGACGCGAGATGTCCGAGTAACATGGCGCCAGGCTTTTTTTCTTTTTCTTTTGATCAGCTGTGCACTTATATGCTCCAAAAAAAATACAATAGTCTTGAAAGGAAAAATTATATCTCCGTGGAAGAAATCGACCCGTTGATACATGTGAGTTTCATAGCTGGCTATAACATACATCATACATAGCCTCGAAGCGACGATACTGCGATCCAAACATCACAATATGTATCGGAAATCTGTCAACTCGCGGTCCGTCTTATTCGAAACTTCCAGTTCCTGCTCCTCGGATTCCGACATAGATTCCGACACATTAGCTGGCAAGCCGTACTTCATATCGCGTCGCTTATTCTCGAAGATATAATAGAGGAACAAGGCGAAAGTAAAGAAGGTGGCCAATCCATAGCCAGCCAGCGTTGCTCTGATCCCTTTCTACATCACATCCGTTAGAAAGAGGGCGTCTTGTGCAGCAGGACTACATAACTTACAGAGTACCTCGGAGCCTGATCAGTGGAATAGAACTGCGGTCCGGCAATATTCCCCACGCAATATGCGACAAAAAGCATGCCCGACACAGTTGATCTCTTTGTAAATCCTCCCACGTTCGATGTGATGAGGCTGAGCTGCAGTGGGGTAGTAGCAACATAGGTAGTTGTGATCCAAGATCCTCCCAGGCGTGACCACTTTTGCTCTGAAGGTAGAGCATATACCATTACTATACCAACAAGTGAGACGATGGTCATAAAAACCATAATAATGGTACGCGGAATTTTCGTATATGCCGCCAGGATAGAGGATAAGATCATGGCGCCGAGCTGGATACCGCCAGAAGGCATTTGCATGAGAACCGCTGTGAGGGGACTGAATCCGAAAGCAGCGACAAGGATGCTTCCAAACTACGCTTATGTTAGCCTGGAAACCTTCGACCCAAACTTCACTTCAAGGGACACATACTGCGGAAAGACCGCCATTAGCAACAGAAACCGTAAACATGGCCAAGAATAAGAGCCAAGCCTGAGGATCTAGGAGGCCTGCCACCATCTGGGGGATTTTGAACTCGGATTTCTCCAGTATACCAGTCTTGTTTGCAATTGTACGTTGCAGACATAAAGCTCTTTCGTCTGGAGTGAGGAATTTTGCTTCTGATGGGGAACTGGGGAGCAAGAACACCAGAACGATTCCCCAAAAGGTGGTTACTCCGCCTAGAATTAGGAAAAGAAGCTTCCAAGTCGCAATCTTGCTAGTAGTGATTTCTCCGACTCCATGAGCAATAATACCAGAGAGAATATTGGCCACAGCATTTCCCGTAAACCAGATGAGCATGCTATTCTGTTTTAGCCCGTGTTCGAACTGTGAAGACTGTCATCTACTTACCGCGCTGGTTGTTCTTCGCGCTTGTAGAATAGTCCTACGATTAAAGAGAAACCTGGGCCCACTGCAGCCTCCGTTACTCCCAAGAAGAATCGTACAGTCATTAGGCCGGCATAATCTTTGGTCGCTGCATGACACATCAACACAATTCCCCACAGCACTACTGTACTGGCGACGTATTTTGCCAGCGGGGCTCGCACAGCGAGATAGGAACTGGGGAAGCTCCAAAAAAGGTATCCAAAGTAGAATATTGACGATGTCCAACTATATTGTGAACCTTGAAGTTTCTGGACTTGTCAGCAACGGGTATGCTCAAATTAGGCTCTCCTCCCTGTTCTCTTTTATGAAAGAGGAGTATTCATTGTATTGACCTACAAGATCTTTCAGGATGCCAAGTTGGGTAGCGTATGAGAGGGTAGACTTATCCATAAGCTGTAGCATGTAACAGATGCCCATCAAAGGAAGGATGCTACCAATGAGTTAGTATAGAACCAGGTATTTCATCTATTATGAGAATTATTTATCTCACTATAAGTCTATTTTCCTCACCACTCGAGCTTCTTGCTCTGGAGTTGGTTCAACTCGTAAAACATCAGACACATGAATGTGCGTGCCATCCTTAGCTCCGTTTGAGTTAGAGAGACTTTCTTTGTCTTCCATATTGGCTCCAAATTAATCCGTAAAACTAGAGACTGGCTTTAATCAACTGAGAATGGACAGGCATTCAGCCTGTGCGCCGCGGATAGAAAGTCCACGAGTTGCTCTAAATATCTAGCAGGGAGCCACCATTTGCGTTTGTATTATAGGGTATTTATAGTCATTGAAAAGCGTCGCAATAGTGACCCTCTACCCCTTTTCTAGCCATGAACAGCAGCTCAATATATACTCCCCTGCGATGCGATTACTATTTTACAAGTCCGTTTGTTCAGCTTACCGCCGAAAATAGTGTATAGAACGACACCCTAACATAATATTTCTACGGATAAGCATTCCGACTGGTACGAGTTGCTCAAAACCCCAGTTTGGTTGACAAGGGTTCTTTTACTGATTCGGAGGCCGATCCATCAAAGATCTTTTAGCGGTTCACCCTTTCGGCGATTTTTTGGGTCCGATGTCAGCAAACAGCCAGGACACAATACTTTCACAGTAAAAAATTTCTAATCTTTTAGGACTATAGGTGCATGTACATACAGGGTGAATCGAAAGGTGGTTTTGTATGGGTTAGCTACGTATTAAAATGTATCAAGGGTACATGTCAATGGAGCCGTTGCTGCAACCGAATTATAATAGTGTAAGCAACTAGAGTACTGATTGTTCCGCAAATCTTACCCATCTGTCACCGTTCGCTTTGCCCCTTGTATTCCCGCTGACTATGAACGACGTTATTGGCGAGTTAGACACAATTTTCCCGCTTACTATTCCAATATCCTGCCCATAGCAGGCCGATAGTCCAACTATTAAAGAACGGAAATCACCTCTCATAAGCTCTTAATGTTCACCACATAAGCCTCCAGCTTTTATTTACTTGGAGTCTCAAAATCACCATGTCCATCTTATCTTTGATCATCTCATCGCTGGCCACGTGCGTCCTGGCAACTAACAAGCCATCAACGTAAGAGTCGCAAGATTCGGGGTCATGCAAGTACAAGCCTAGTTAGTGGCTTTGGGATTGCCTGTTTCTGGACAATATTCTCGCAGCTACACCACCTCAAGAAATGGCTCTCAGTCTAAGCTACCATTTTCTTTCTATCAACTGCCACATGTAATGCTTTGTTTGCGTTTTTTCCCCCTAATGTTGCTACTTAGAGGGCTATACGACTTTTGTTCCTCGCCAGCGTTTTCTCTACAATTCCACCATAAACCTTATCCACAAGCACATTAATCATCATCCGCCTTAGCTCTCAAATACTACAAACTTCCGTGAAAGAAGCAAAAAGATAAATCTGCCCCCACACAGAATTGAACTATGGACCTTTGCATTACGAGTGCAACGCTCTACCGCTGAGCTATAAGGGCGTAAGAGTATCTTCCGTAGATTTCCCGTCACTGGACCGTCCGCCGTTATTTCCGACTAAGAGCAGATACAGGAGGCTCATGGAATGGGTCGCGCCCAGAGCAACCTACATGTACACTTTGCCTACTTCAAAGGCTGTGTTATTTAGAGGGAAAACATTACTTACCACAATTCACGGTTGTATGCAAAGTGCCTCGTAGAGGGGTGGCTTCAAGTAATATTATTGGCTGCCTCGCGATAAGAGGCGGCCTCCTCATGCGGCCTGCGAATTTCACGCAAGGGTTCAAGCCAATGAGAATAGATCATGATGGCCATGGGTATATTAAATGCATTCAGGTGACGTGAAGGATGAGGCGTGGAAGAAGAGAGAGGCGCTGTTGCCTACAGGGATATACGATGCTGTTCATTTCTACGGAGTATCTGATTCACGATCCAAAGCTAACTTTTTCATGTGGCTCACATTGACGGACACATTGGTCTTCCGCTCTGTGAATAACTTATTGTATTATTTCCAATATTGATCTTAGCCAGCATGCGTCGTTTCTTGAAGCAGTTTTCGCCAAGTTCATCTACTACAGGAAGCGGGGATAAGTCACTCGCGGCAGGTGGCAGAGCACCCTCTTCAAGGAGTTCACTCGAGAACATTGAACAGAATGCTCGCCACGCGCAAGAATCTTCAGGTGCTATTAGTACTGATAGTCTGGGCACGTCTTCGCACACCGGCCAAGAGCGCATCAATGGATTAATAGAGCTGATTAGCCAGCCGCCTGACAAGAGCGATGCTGTTGATGTCATTGCTATTCACGGGCTTAACGGACACCAAGAAAAGACGTGGACTGACACAAAGACCAGAGTCAACTGGCTCAGTGATGCGTCCTGTCTCCCTAGAGACATTCCAAATGCAAGAATTTTAACCTACGGGTATAATTCGACCTCTTATTTCAGCAGGGCAGATCCAGACGTTCGCGATTTTGCATCAGCGCTGCTCGCTGCACTTAGAGCCAAAAGGAAGACCAATGCTGAAAAACAGAGGCCCATGATTTTCATCTGCCACAGCCTTGGTGGCTTGGTGTTTAAGCAGGTACGTGTCAGCGATCTATACGACTTTCATGCATGATTCTAATTAAAGCAGGTAGTAATAAGGGGCCATGAGCAAGACAGCTTCTATGGGCCATTAATTGAGAAAATTCGTGGTGTGGTGTTCCTTGCTACACCCCACAGAGGATCGGATCTTGCCTATTGGGATAGTATCGGAACGCAAATCGTTCGTGCGGCAACTCTGGGCATGGCTACCAACTCAAAGATAGTGAAGGATCTGAAAGTGGATTCAGAGATGCTCAAGCGCATCTCTGACTCTTTTGCCTATCGTGGGGCGGCCTTTAAAATCCGGAGCTTTTATGAGACGGAATTCATGTCAGGTCTTAATTGTTGTGTAAGTAAATGACCTGCTATTTCACTCGTATCATTTGTTTGGTCACCTCTCATAGCTCATTTTCCTAGGTGGTTGATAAAGACTCAGCTAGGCTAGGATGGAGCAACGAACTCGACATCGCATCGCCGGCCAACCATTCTGGTATTTGCAAATTCAGCTCGCGAGAGGACCCAAGATATGAAACGGTCGTGTCTGAGATAATCGATATGATTGATGTAGAAGAGGATAATATTGACCTCACTCGTGAGTCTTAGTTGCATGACAGAGGTAATTACTCTAACCTTGCCTATGATAGCATTTACTGCTAGAGCCAAAAATTGTATGAGGCAGCTCAACTCAGAATACACGAGCAATCTTGATCAAATTGACGATCCAGTTCCCCAGACGTGCGAATGGATTCTCTCACATGATAAATGGAAGCAGTGGAAAGCTTGCTCAAGCACATCTTTGCTTTGGATTACATTGAACGCCGGGTGCGGGAAATCTGTCATGGCCAAATTCCTTGTCAACTATTTCCAATATCGCTGTGATGCGAATACAGCCAAAAACCTGGCTTACTTCTTCTTCATGGACGGGGTGACAGGGCAGAATGATGCGTCCGCCGCGGTGTCAGCTCTTCTGCACCAGCTCTACTGTTCCCAAAATCGCCTCATCAAACATGCGCTGACAAAATTTGACGGCACTCCGATTCATGTGTTCAACAATTTTTCGACTTTGTGGGCAATTCTTGTTAACAGCCTTGATGATACGCAAAGAAAAGATGTTGTATGGATTTTAGACGGACTAGATGAATGTGAATCGCGCTCTCTTCGGCAATTCGTTGATTCAATCGCTGCGTTGATAAAGCGGCCGAAGACCACCAAATTAAAAATCATCCTTCTCAGTCGCCCAACCAACCAAATACAGCACTCTTTGGGCCTTTTCACCAGAGCAGATCTGTCTGACGATAGCTGCAGTAATAAGTTCAGGCTTGTTGGCGAAAATGAGTGTGACGCTCTAACCGCCGATATTCTTCACTTTGCGCAGTGGAAAATTGACGAGCTTGCATCAGCTTCAGCATTTCCAGAGAATGTTTTGGCACACTTGCGCGAAAGATTGGTTGCCGGGGCAGACTATACATTCCTCTGGATATCGCTAGTGATGAAGATGATCGAAGATTCCGCGATAGATGGAATATCTGAATCTGAATTGGGAAGAATATTGGAAACTAAAAGGATTCATGACATGTATTGTCATCTGCTTAAGGGAACATGTAGGACAAATCCTGCGAAGACCCGGAGGCTTTTGGCCATTCTTTTGGCGTCCGTCAGGCCTATGACAGTTGATGAGATGTGCGCAGCGGTGGAAATAATAGAGGACGATAACACAGAGACAACAAAGACCGTTGTGTGGCAAGATCAAGGGAAGATTGAGGCCGGAGTGGGCCGAAATGTCAATTTCCCGCAGAAATGGCAGCGCCAAAGTTCAAGTTCTCAGTCTCAGCCTCAGTCCAAAGCACAATCTCTTCAGACACTGGGTCAGCGTCTTCATAAACCATTTGACAACCATATCCGCCAACTATGTGGCCACTTTGTAAGAATAAGGCGTGGCAGAATATATTTTGTTCACCAGACTGCACGCTCATTCTTGGCCACGGCAACGTTCATCCTGGATGAAAACGGAGAGGATCTTGAAGACAAAGAAACTTGGAAGCCCATTAAAGCAGACAGTGCACATCATACACTTCTGCGAATATGTGTGAGATACATAAAGTTGATCGAGCTGGAAAAGGATCACAGACAGATTTTGTCCGCTGATAGCGCACAAATCGCAAAATATTTGGAGAGCTGCAAGAAAGATCCTACAAAAGCTTTCTTTCTCTATGCAGCAAGGCATTGGATCAAACATTACAAAAATTTACGAGAATCGCTGAGGTATCGGTACGATGAGCTACTTCAGCCAGACACAAGTATTTTCAAGACATGGATTATTGTCCACAAATCCTGGTTGCTGGAGCAAGAATCAAGCGACAATACGCCTGGGGCGCTTGAGACTGGGACGCTTGAGACTGGGGAGCATGAGACTGGGGAGTTTGAGACACCAGATCTCTTCGCGAGCATCAAGCATAGCCGCTTGGAGAAGGCAAAACTCGTGGTAAAGTTTGACCAGCGTTTTGATGTTTTTGAAAAGTGGGTTGTGAAACATAAAGCCCATTCGGACAACAAAAAATTGGCACAGTCTCTCCACGCTATAGCGCAAACTTTTACAAAGCTGCGCCATGATTTTGATGGTCACCTTGATAACGAGAATTGGATAATGTATCGATATAAAGTGGACGGGGCAAAAGGTTTGGTCACGGAAGTGCAAACGTTGTATCTAAATCCCATGCGACAGGAACTCGAAAGGCTGGAGCGGCGGCGAGCGTGGGCTTTTGAAAAGAATCCAGGACTTGAAGATTTGTTGCGGCAGATGCAATCTGAGAAAGATTACAGACAGAAACATAAGGAGATGGATCATGATCAAGCCCAGATGATTCACCTACAAGTTGAGAGAGAAGTCAATTTGAGCAAAGTACTTGTCCATTTTGGGCTTCTTCATTTGGAGGAAGCCGGGCTTGAGGGCGACGACTTTTTGCGCGAGTACTGGCAAAAACACAAGGGCTCAGATATGCACCGACATCTTCGAATAGACAGCCAAGAAAACGCAGACGATAATGAGCATGACGACCGCAGTGACGAAGAAGTGGAAGAGAGTGTTCCGAACTGGGTCAAACATTACACTCACACAAAGATAGAAGCAGCAGCAAAACGATCTTTATTATTGATGGTGGGTACTCCAGGAGCAGAGCTTCCAGAGCTGTCGAGCTTCAAGCCACGTTACTTAGATGAGAACATGAGCCCGCCGATAATGGAAGATGAGTCGTCAAGTTTGAGTGAAGGAACAGTATAAAGGTAGTTTGGCTATACACTACTTGGAACATTTGAAAGACAAGAATATTGAGCAGCAAATCTCAAATTCTCAGACTAATTAAATAAGTACATAGAAGTGTAATGAGGTGGGAAGCAATACGTGATTCAAATCTCCTTCAAAAATCCCACCTCAATCAGCTTATCGGCATCAATATTGAGGTCTGCCAATTTCGTGCGCGAGTTCTCCCTCATCCACAGGAATATCCACAACACCACTCCTCTGAAGAATCCAGCGACACGGCTGGTCATAGAACCGCCACTCTTCACTCTGATAGCTTCCTTTCCAAGAATGTACACCATCTGAGATCCATATGCAGCCCGCAGTGTCTGAAGCTCCGTAAAACCAGGGTGACGACCGTTGGAAACGGTCAGTTCAATTTGTCCTACCAATTCGCGCGCGAGGCCCGGGTGCAACACGTCATCCATATAACCGTGACGGAGAGTAACGTTGTAGCAGTTGATAAGACCGCTCCTATGCGTAATAATGTACCGCTCTTTGAGGGGCACTGAAGGCACTGTGAGAGGTCGCATGTGGAAGAAGATGACAACTGATGGCCGGGCAGCAAACTTGATGACAAAATGCGTAAAGCATGCGGGCAGGTGCTTTGTGTCTCCGGCTTTGTCAAAAAAGATACCCAAGCCGGGCACAGTCGTGATGGGCATACCACCAAACACATCATTCAGGATTAGAGACTTATTGGATGACCCCGAGGTTCCCTGGTCTGACTTGACAAGAGTTGCAAGCGTAAGTTGATCCAGCGATTCGGCCTTCCACTGAGCCTCTTTGCCGAATCGCCAGAGAGTGAAGACGGAACAAAGAATGGCAGCCAGTACAATGGTGAACCAAGCGCCCTGTGGGACCTTTTGTAGGACGGATGAGAGGTATGCGCCGTCGAGCGCGGCAAAGATCAGCCAGACGGGCAAGACGATGTAGAAAGGCAGTCTCCAGACGAGGATCGCAACGAGAGCAACCATACATGTTGTAACTATGAGCAGTGTCAGCCAAATGATCATTGCCAGAAGTGGGCAAATACGTACTGAAGGTAACAGCAATAACACAGACACCATAGGCGTTACCAAGAGATGTGGTCTAAACAGTTGGTCAGTCAAGAAAGATTAATAGGAGAAAAAAAGACATACGTTGCTATATACAGCAGTGACAATGACCGTACCAATCATTAGCAGCCAATTCGCCAGTGGAATATACACTTGCTCGGAGAACTTTCTGCTTGTATGAACGACTTTGATATGAGGAAAATATGAAAGGCGCATGATCTGGGTCAGAAGCTGAAAAGCCGATGTGATCATAGCTTGCGATGCGACAATCGCTGCAAGAATGGCCATGACTAAACCGAAGCCCAGCGTGTGAGGGGGCAGAGTCTTGAAGAAAGGGTTTGTGAAGGCCGTTTGAGTCTTGTCAGTCGAAATGAATGCAGCCTGACCAGTGTACGCGAGGAGCAAGCACGGGTAAGTCAGGCATAGCCATGAAATTTGCACGGCACGCTTGCTGAAAGCGCCCAAGTCGGCAAAGAGTGCCTCGACGCCAGTAAAAGCCAGGAGTAAACCTCCCAGAGAAGTCCATCCCTCCTTTCCGTTGCGGGCAAGGTACGTGAAGGCGTAAGAGGGGCTGAAGGCCTTGAGAACCGTGTGATCATGCTTGACAAGATTGTAGATGCCAGTAACCATATTGAGGAGGAGCCAGATCGTCACAATGGGCGCGAAGCTAGTTCCAAGCTTAGTAGTTCCAAAGGGTTGGATAAGGAAGAGTAGCACCAGGATGGCGCACGAGATCCCAACGATGGCTGATGTGGAGAAGTCAGGCTTGACGACTTCGAGACCTTGAATGGCACCGAGGACAGATTGCGCTGGTGTAAGAACACCATCGGCCATGACCATGGAAACTCCCAGCACGCCAATGAGCTGTAGCATAATCTGGGAGAATTTGGAGTTCTCGAGGAAGTGGCGGAGACTCTTGGCACCAGGCTTGAGATCGTTGGTGTGATATCTCTCCATGCGTACCATGGAGGCTTCTCTAGGATCTTTGTTTCGCGCGATGTTGGTGTACCTTGCTAGGAGACTGTAAAGGGCAAAGGTACCTCCTTGACCATCATCATCGGCGTTTAAGACGATAAAGCAGTATTTGACCGTAACAATCATAGTCAGAGACCATATAATAATCGACAAAGCACCGACAAGATCATCCCACGAGGGTTGGCTGGAAAAGGTCGACGAGAAGACATAAAGAGGAGAGGTTCCGATATCACCGTAGATGACTCCAGTAGCTTGGAAGCTGAGCCAAAAGAGGAGGAAGCCGCTGTAAGTCTACCGCAAGATCAGAGAGGAATTGACGGCGACGACTTAACAAAGCCGCCGCCAGGGAGAAGGAGGGGATTGGAGGGAGATAAAGTGTTCCATACTTGCTTACGATGACCCTGTAGGTCCTCTTCGGTGATTCTTCGTGCCTTTTCTTCCTCATCTATATCCAAATCTGCCATCTTCTCCGAAGGTTCAGTCTCCGAGGTTGATGGGTTGCCTTGTTCGGCCGCACCGTAATGCGCATCATTGACCCTCATGATCGGGACAACCCGCTCAATGTCTAAGTCGCCCATTGTTCAAAATCGACGTATAATCGGGTTCCGGAGTATGCGCACAGAGACCTGAGGATGAATCGCACTATTACAGCTGCAAAATAATTACACCAAACTATGTCGCAATAACGGGGGGATCAGCTCTTTATCCTTAAGAAAAACCCAAAGTCTGACATCACTAGGTCATGATAATGACGGCAAATACCATTTAGCAATTTTTATGAGCAAAAGTTTCCCATTATTGATTGCTGATAACTACCCGCAGAGTTCTGTCCATTCAGGGTATCACGAGACGCTGATAGCAGGGAGTGAGGCCGCCAATCCAGTGCCGCATACCCATGTCTGAAGGCCAGGCCTCTAGAGTAGGTCATGGATAGAGGGTACTGTATACATTCCTGGTGGGATGCTCTCAGCTCAATTATAAAGCTTGAGTAGTTCGCAGCAGATGTAACGGCGACAACGTGGCCAGGATTCAGCTCTTGAACTAAAATAACCAGGACGCCACCCAGCAAAGTCCTTGGAGTTTATTATCTGGTGGGATTGTTCGTTACCCTGGCTAGTGAGAAAAATAAATGCCTCATAATCATAGGCATCACCAAGGACCTTTTGTGGTGTTGATGACGGTATCCAGCTATGAGGCTTATAAGATGGATATTAAGGCCCTCTGTTAGCCCTATACATCCGCGGAGTCTCTTCGGTTACCTAAACACGTGCATCTGCCCACGCTAGCATCGTATTAGTGCGTGGGAAATCGCCAAGCACACATGCAGTTACATCTGGCTCATGATAACAGTCTTGGCTCAACTTCGTACGATCTACTTCAGGTACAGTTTCGGTATAGTGTTTGTAGCAGTAGGCCAATTGCCATGTGGTTTCCCCAGCTTCTCTTATCTTTGTCATCTCAAACAAGGTCAATGGAGGGGAATTTGCCTTTTGCTTGCACTGGGATTGACTCTATGTAAGTAAAGTAAGTGGCCAGAAGTCTGCGACCACTTCACCATGCGCTACCCTAAACCGCAAAAACATTGTAGCATGAAGGAGTTTCCAAGTTTGAGCAAACGCCCCGGTAGACAACCAAATAAGCATTCCAAGTTTAATGAGCCGATCTTGGTAAATTGGCCCCCCCTTAGGTTTTTACTGTAGAAAAATGAACTGACCATCCGTTTTGGGAGGGGGGGCAAACTTAAGGTCTTGGTCGCTGTCATTGTCTCACTGACTGTATGGTGGCAACCCCGGCCACTTAACTCCGCTCCTCGCTTATTTCTATAGAACTTTATATAATTTGAAAGAAAATCTTATGGAGAATGAGCAGGATTGCTGAAAAGTCAACAGACTTATGATGTCGCAGCCCTGATAGGCCATTAGGTAAAGATGCGCATTAGTAAAGCAGTAACCTCTCCTGGTCGGCTTTGTTTGGCGGTCTATCTCACAGAAAACATGACAAATGAACAGTAAAATCTCTTAATACAAATCCAAACAGACTAGTATATGATCTGCGATGTGATGAGCGGGCAGCTGTTTCCATGGCGCCGTGGTCTTTTAAGCCTCGCGCATCCTGGAACTTCTTCGCCCGGAATGGGTGGACCCGTAGGGCTGGGAGGGTGATGATCGCCGCTTCAATATTCTTTATTTCGGAACCACAATTGAAGAGGACGTAGATTCCTCGAATATAACTTTGACATTTCAGCTTGACTGATGGATAGTAGATCACGCGATGTAGCACAGGTGAGCCGCTAGCTATTATGGAGTATACAATGGACGATTCATTGAAGTCTATGGTGAGTGCGGATTTGTCGTATCCCACTTTTGTTTAAACAGATGAGCTTCTACAACAGTGTTGAAGCTCCATATTAATCAGGGAGTTAGATGAAGCAGCTCTAACTAGCGATGCAGTACAACACGTATGCTGGACTTTCATGCTGAATTCAGAGTCAATCAGAGAAAGCATTCGAGCGCAAACCTTGTGTATATAGTTGTATGGACATTTCCGTCTGCTGCGGCAAGGCACAATTCTGTTTACCAACTGCCACTGCATGTAGTGTCATGAAGAAGGTGGGACTTTCAGTTCTCGTCTGCGCCTCGCACGACACAGCCATACTGGAGGAATCAGGGTATCGGCATTCGCCCTTTTTGGGCGCCATATCCAAAGAACTTGCCGTGTGTTCCTGAATTAGCGTCATCTGCACGGCACGAGTGTGGAGATGAGGTCCGATCTACAAGGTGGCTAATTTAATGCAATCGTAGCGAGACTACGTGATAGGTAAAGACTGGTCTTGCGATGGGTCTTATGTGTGTTGTTGGCTGTAAATGTGTTGTTGGTTGAAAGATGGCTGAGTCAAGAGTCCTACGCCATACGAGGACACACGATATAGTTCATTTATGGGATGGCGCTCGTGTTATTTACTCGGAGTCGCCCCTTTATTGTTTCCCACGGCGATATTCCTCACTTTTCCTCACCAGACTCAATCAGCAGTCATGCGTCGCTGCGCAGCAGCCCTCGCTCTGTGCTTAACGTCAAGTGGTATGCATTGCCTTGATTCTTCATAAAGCTTCTAACTTGCAAGAGATACTGACCGCTTGCAACAGCGTTTGCCGCACAGTGCGGCAATACTACCATTCACAGCGCCGCAGACGCTGATGCTTTGCGCAAAGCCTGCCGTGTAGTCGACGGCACCATTACTATTCCGCTGAGTTTGAATCAGCTGGAGAACATTTCTCTCGATGGTATTGAGGTCATCAATGGCGACTTGAGAAGCTACAAGTGCGGCTCTATATCCATCAAACGCCGATCACCGACAAATAGTTCAGTCGTAAGCTTCTCAAGCTCAACCCTTACAACCATCCATGGAGATCTTGCGCTGGATGGATGTATCCCAGACTTTACAAACATTAGTTTTCCAAACCTCAAGACTATTGACGGAGCCTTCGATCTCGTTAATTCTGCGTCTCTGGCCTATCTCGACATCACCAACCTAGACTCGGTCGGCTACTTTCGCCTCTACTCCCCAACTCTTGTAACGATGGTGCACAACGAGCTGCGCAATGTCACAGGAGCCCATGGCACCAAGAAGGTTGTTGTCGAGCAGACAAGTCTTACCTCAGTTGATAGCTTGTTTCGGAATCCCCTCGACATAGGTGATTCTCCCGCCAGTATCGAGGGGAAAACCATAATGTTTGAGAATTTTCCAACCCAGACCTTGACCAATGCGACCTTTGGGTTCGCACGGGCGGGAAGTCTGTCAATCGAAGGCAACGGCACCTTGTATGTGACGCTAGGTGGGCCAGATCAAACGACCATGGCCCTCACAAACATGACATTCTCTCGTGGCACGGCGGGGCTCATCCGAAATCCTCAGCTAGCAAATCTCACAGTGGAAACCGTGACCTTGGGTTCATATTTCGAGGGAGCCAACAACTTTACGGATCTACTGCTACCATTTGACAGCATGTCAAGTCTGACTATTCTTAACGAGCAAACGTTGACGCAACTGGAATTGCCACCGCAGGCCGTTAACTATACCAACTTTAGCGTCACACTCTATGGTTGCACGAATCTGAACTTGAGCAGCCAATTCGCAACTAACCCAGATGGGACTACTCGCCAGACATGGTATTGGCCACAGAAGGATATCAAAAGTCTCTCGCTTATTGGCAACATTTCTACCCCTTTCTTGTAAGTTACTGCCCAATACTATTCCCCAATAATCTCTATGAGATGGATGAACTAATACTCAAATTGTTGTGCAAAAGTCAAACCTTGTTTGAATACGAAGGCAACTTTACAAACACGACCGGCCGACCTACAATAAGCAACTTTCAAGTGGAGCCAACTAATAAAAGTCTCCTAAGCTGTACTCCCTTTAAGAAGTTATCACAAGAGGGCGTTGTAAATATTACAAACTTCTTCTTTTGTTCGTCTGCAAACTCCCACGAAGTAATTACATCAACGACATGGTTGTTGGTGCTAATTGTAGCTGGATTTCATTTCTTGGTTTTCGTATAACGATTCACACCTCTCAACGTGGAACAGTGTCATGACACTTGATTGGTTAGCAAATATTAATTTAATCATCACGGTATTTCTTCTCGCGGGTTTCCCCAGTCTCTGGTACAAACGACTGTACGTGTAACACGAGTCTAAAGCCCCGTGCAGCAGAATGCAAGCAGAATCGCAAAGTCTACAGACCTGCATCATCGAAAGGAGTGTAATTGGCTATCGTTCAATTGCTATGGAAATTTTGGTTGCTAAGCAATCTCGAATGCAGACGTCAATAATATCACAAAAAGAGCGGCAGTTTGAAGAGGTTATAGACCGTCCCGGACTCCGGTTTAACACTAGATCAGCCTGGCATGCTCAATTCATCTTCAACTCCGGCCGGCCAAATTAGAAGTAGAAGCTGAGATTATCGATGGCATTTGCCCCGTTGTAGTCGTGCAGGAACTGTTCCCTTGCAACAATAGAGTCTTCCAGGTGAGTCTTGCGCACTATCATAGCCTCATCCTCGGCCACTGACCTCGCCACAAACACCGTATTTCGGATCTGTGCGATGTTAGAATCACGACAGTGGGGTGTTAGCCGTACTTCTCGGCCGTTGAATGTCATATTCGCCAGCCCGTCGATTAGCTTTGCGCAATCTGGACTACCGTGCTTGGTTTTGGCCTGTTCCAAGAAGTACTGCCACACCGCCTTGCGGGCTGAGGCCCGTCTGACAGAACCTTGTTGGAGCAAGCCTGAATGTCTCTTGCTATTTGCGAAAGGTCGAAGTTGAAGTTATCTTCCACGTAGCATAGCGACTGCTCTAGCCCGAAGGTTGGTGTCTCTTAAAGGCTCTCACACACTTCGGTAGAGCTCTCCGTAGTACCACGAGTTCCTATCAACACAAGCTTGCGCAGTAGCTTTGCCAGACAGTTGAAAATATCGATCCGTAAAACCTCGCTCTGCCTGGCAGCTAGCCGACGGGCAGCCCGGACGGACCTCCGAGACAGCAGGCGGCGTAAAGAACTACGACAAACTCGAGAGAATGACTCAACGAGGCCATCAAGTCTGTAAACTACAGCTATCTAAACTTTATAAGCCGTATTCGAGCCAGGGACGAGCTTGACAGTTTGCCACTGGATGAGGACCAAGCGGGACAGAAGGCCGGCTCTACCCCCAGGCCCGGTGTGACACTGAATGGTGCTCTGGAGTTCGACAACGCCTTCAAGAGTGAAGACGAGGTTGACGACACCTTTTGGCCTTGCTGCTCTCACGATAACGCTTCGGTTCGTCCTCAGCTTTTGGATGCCTGTGGCACCGGAGGAAGTTAGTCCCATCATGAAACCCACGGACTTGTAGAAACTCACTTTGTAAGCGTGTCTGAGCCAGGCTATCCACTTCTTCTTATTACTCACCATCACAATCCACTCATAGCAGCTCCTACAAAGACCCTCCCAAACATTTGGATTTCCACCCATGCGTCTTGTTTCCCGAGGCTCATGGACAGGGCTACCCGTGGTCATGCTAATCCCATGGCAGAAAGATTTATGGTACCAGAAGGCGGAGTTCTTTAGGACCAGCCATCTGCCGGGTTTGCAGATGCCGCACCAGCCCTCGCGCTTGTTTCCATGGCCACGCATCCATCTGGGAGTGTACAGATCGCCCTCATATCTCAGGTCTTGATCATGGGATACCAGGTCGGGATCTGAAGCGTTCAGGTCTTCGGATGGCGGCGTGGTTTTCTCCTCATGGAGTGAAAAGAACATATCAGAAGGGTCAGACAAGTCGGAGTAGTGGCCATGAGGTGATTGGGGATCAGTGTTGCTCTGAAGCAGCCTAAAAACCCCGCGAGATGGTAGCGGTCGGGGCGGTCCATGGTGATGGACGTCTTGGTGAGATGTGTGCAACGGCATTTGCGACGGAAAAGTGTTTTCCTAAAGTGTTGGCGGGCTAGTCATCAAGAATAGTTGTTGAAATGTAGCCTAGAATTTGTTAAAGCTGAGCGGCATTGTTTTGTGGGCTGTTGTCGGAGAAGAGGTTCGCGTAGACAGGCGGCATTGCCCGGCTGCAAAGGTTTCATGCCTAGCATGATGCAAAAACGGCAGATGACGTTGACTTGGCGCCTTGCTATAAGACCTGGTAGACCATGGTTTGTTCCTTGCACTCTCGATACCGTAAGGAGCTGATCGAAGGCCGGACTGTAGTAAAAGCGAAGCTCTACCGCCTCTTTGAGTTTGGACTGGTCCAGAAAGATGTTGAGGCTTCATGCGTGGTGACGTTACTGGTGACGAGCCTTGATTAGACGCTGAAGGGTAGTCAGAACTGAAAGACGGCGCCTTGGACAACGCGCCCGAGAAGCTTTCGTACGAGGATATATCTGACAGAGCGTCAGACGTCGGCATTATAAATGACGAGCCCGATATCTTGCTCTGATTCGCTTGGTCATCATAGTCCAGATAATCACCATCCTCAGTCGGAACAAGGTCCGAGTATTTCCAGTCGAGAATCGGTGTGGCTTCATCAGTGGGGTAGGCCTGGCCGATGGACATGTCAGAATCCACGGCCTGGTGTTCAAAGCCATCGTCGTAAGGCTTCCACTGGCCATCTATTCTCTGCGTTAGCCTTGAATAAAGGCCAGTCGAACATAATCAAGGATGCTTACAGTTAGTTGCCCATAGGCCTAAGACTGTACAGTTGATACATGGCCTCAGGATAGGCCTTAATGCAACCCCTGATAGAGAAACGTCAGTAAGGCTGAGTGAGTCTAGAAAGGGATGCAGCATACAGTGCCCGGTGTATTCAATCGCGATCAGGGAAGAGCACACTGTTAGAGATTCCGGGGAGCCAGAACTTTCACCTTAAAGTGTATCTCAAAGCCACTACAGTTCCCAGGAGTAGTGGCTACCGACACCCATGTGAGTCAGCAAAACACTACCGCTGCACATGCAGCTCCGCGGATCTCTCCTGCAGGAATAGTGAGAGCGATGACACCTTAAATGTTGTAGTCGTTGCGGAGACGAGAGAACGTACCCCAAGGTGTACTTCGTAGAATTGAGACGGTATCTCGATCTGTGATCCCGGCGAGGTGGATGCATTACAAAGTGTGATATCAGGGGAAAATGTAACCCCAGCCTGTGATCCCCGTACCCCCCCAACGAAGCTCGATCCATAGGCTTCTGCCGCCGATTTCCCTGGCTCACACTTGGCCAGCTGGTGGGTCACATTGCCAACGGCAAGTTAGGAGCCGCTCTCGCCTATCGGCCGTGTTCCTGGCGAATCATTGGTACCATCCTCGGGAACGCTTCCGGCGGCATTCCGAAAAGAGAAAGTATCGGCACCACTTGAGGGCCAACATGATGAGCTGCCTCGGCCATGCAGCTTGCATGGTTGGCCAGGCACATGCAGTCAAGATGCATTGAGATAGGCTTTGTTATCTCTTGGTTGCAGTAGCTCGCTGACTTCGCCAGAGCGGCCGTAACTCGCGGCAGCAAGAGCTTCGATGGAAACAACATGGTCTGGTGTCGTCGCTAAGGATGGCTTCAACGTTATATAAATACTGTCTTCTCCAGAGTCAGTCCTGGTATTGTGCCTTCTTGGTAGTATCATGTAGTCATACCCAGCATCCTAATTTGCCAATGCATTGCGGATGTGAAGAACCTCTCAAAGACTCCTGCCCCGATCACTGCTAGAGTTGCTGGAGACGCTGCCAGTTACTTCACCGAACTCCTGTCGCTTCATTACTCAGCTGGAAACGACGTACTATCCCACAGCAGATAGAAGCCTGAGTTGGTCAACGACCTCAATACAGAGCCGCAGCCTCGTCCAGACAGTGGCAGTACTCCGCCAGGCCATGACTTCAACATAGAAGACTACACCCGTGAGGAAGCGGAGCAGTCAAAAACGCCCATCAAGGACTCCAATTTCCAAAGGATTGACGAGGGGACGCTTTGGCAACGCAGTGTACGATTCAACATTACGGCCAAAGAAACCAAGTATGTGTTTTGTATTACCAACATGTAACTAGGTATACTGACGAAGAACTAGAGTACCACCACCTCCTCCCGGGGATTCAAACCTGGACAACATTGTACAGAAGGGCAGTCCAGATGTGACGAAGGGCATGTGATTCGCCAAAGAAAATGAGTAAGTGCCTCCATTATGAACGTACAAAGATGCTGACGAGGTAGGCCGCCTCCGGCTCCCTAAAATAAAAAGCTAGTGGCTTTTTTGTTATGTTATTTATTTAATTTCCTCAGCTACCTAGCTTACTAATTAGGAACTCAGACGCCCTTATTCAAGTTTAAAGAAGGAGGAAGCACTTCCTTTATGACTGCCCTCTGACAGAAAGATGCCAGAAGTTTCCAGACTTGGTACCAAAGCTGTTGGATTAGGCTGTTGAACCCGTTGATAACAGTGCACCCCTTGGTAACGTGAGAAATGAGATTGTCTCACTGGAAGTCGCTCTGATCCCTTAAATTTCCCTTTGCCTGCGAAAACAAAATGGATTGATCCTACTATGTCTCTAGAGTGGGATTCTGATAGAGATTACACATCAGATGACTCCTCGGGGTCATCATCGAATAGCGATGGTCAGCATGAAGGCGCGGATATGGTCGAGTTCGTTAGGAAAGTTTCGAGGGACGCAAATATCGGTGGTAATGCCGTTACCCAGGCTCACGATAGTGAGGATGGCCGTGATGTGGACGATAGAGATGAAGATCTTGAGGACCTTGACGAAGCTGATGACAGCAGCCACCAACTCAACGAGCAGAATAACGAAGGGCCTAATTAGCAGAGCCAACAGATTGACTAGAATATGTGTACTTGGTACCGCTGATGGCATATTTGCTCGGCATCTTTAGTAAGGTACATCACAGGAACTATAATTAAAAAATACTCTAACTGATCTAAGAAACCGCCCAATATTCCAAATCAGCTGGGACTAAACTTGTCGCACGGAGGGCGTGGCAAGGCAGAATGGAGATGACCCTGCACCATATTCGACTGGAGCCCCCTCCTCGCATTGGATCAGGAGCTGTCCGTCATGCGGCTGGGGTTTGAAGAAGGCAATCAGCACCGCGGTATATCTGAATCTAATCAGCTGCAGCTCTATATCATTCCGACAGGGTTCCCTTCCGAAGGAGCCAAGGGAACTCGAAGCTCACTGCCGTGAAGAGCAGGACAAAACCTGTGATGATTCCAAGCCGTTTGACGCTATCACCGACGAACTGCGGCCACCACATTGGGCCGAAGAGAAGTCCAAGGCCTATTGCAATAACAACTTTTGCAGCGAACGTCTCTAAAGAGTCGGTACAACGAATTCGCCGACGCAACTTAACTATCTCTAAATACGTCATGCATGCAAGTCCTCGCAGTTATTTGTTAGTTTAGGACTAGTCGAAATCAGCCCTGCCTGCTGACTTTGTAGGTTCACAGTTGGTTTCGACACGCGTAATCTAAATGCGTGGCACCCGCCGTCGGGAGCGGCATGCCCCAGTGTTTCGGCCCTCAGCCACCCGCCCTGCCCAAACTGGAAAGCTCAGCGGCACCGTTGCCAACTACCGGTAATCCATTGATATCTCGGTGCTCGGCTCCAGCTCCAACCACTGGGCTGCTCCCCATTTTGCTCCTCTGGGCTGGTTACGAGATGGATTCTCTCAAGCCTGAGAGTTATAGCACGCTGGAGGCTTGCAATGACATCCCAACTCAACATGGGCAGAATCCGATATCCCCTCAGAGTAACGAGACGCCAAACCCCGAAGCATACGCCTACGCGCTCTGGGATGAAACCCTCCCCGAAGTCAGACCGTCCAGTTTACCAGAACACCACGCATTGGCAAGTTCGCCGGAGCCGCGAGCCATCCAACCGGCCCAAAAGAAACGAAGACGACGGAAAGTGACAATTCTCGCCCTCGTCGCCGCAGCAGTCGTCATTGCCGGTATTGTGGGAGGTACGGTGGGCGGCATCGTTGGTCGTCGAACATCCTCGATGAGCCCGACGTGCTCCAACATCAACATTCACTGTGCTTCAGCACTGACTGCGACAAATCGAACGGATGCGAACGGCTTCGTCCATCGTACCATCTCCTTCCAGGATCCCCACAATGCCATCATCTCGAGGCTGTGGGACTCACAAAATCGGACTTGGACAACGGCCAACGTAACTGATTACTTCAGTAAGAAATCCACGCCTCTTCCTGGCCCTCCCATGCCGGGAAGCCCTCTAGCTTCCGCATCCACGGACGGTAACTTGTCCATTGGTCCATTCCACCTATGGTACCTCGATCCGAACCGATCAATATGCTCAGTGTATCTCGATCCGGACTCCAGGACCTGGATGATCGACAGCGAAGTCAACGAGGCAACCCTGACAGCCGGCATAGCACTGGCCGCGACTTGGCAGAGACCTTCGGGCGGTCGCGGTAGCAATAAAGACGGACATTGGATCGTTGCCTACCAGTCCCCTCTTGGAGACATCCTCACCGCCAACTCGAGCGACTGGGCGACCCCCGTAGGCGCGGTTGTCTCGTCAGATGTCCCGCCGAACTCCAGCCTAGCGATAGTTCCCCAGCTGAACGGCGCCTGGCTGGATGGCTTGGCTCTCACATTCGAGAACCTCGGCAATCCTAATAATATGGAAAAGACTACCCTGCACGCTCAATGGGACCATGGTGAGTTTCTGTCTATCAGCAGTAGATTATTGTCGGCTCGCTCACTCGGATGATGCCTAAAGTCGGGGACAACGGTTTAGTCACCGACCTGCCAGCAAACCCACAATTCGCCATCACCCAGTTTAACAACTGGACTAGCTTCCTTTACCTTGCATTGTTTCCCGACGACAAATTGACAGCGTCTTGTTATCTCAAGGATTTGTTTTTTGCTATTCCAAACATCATTTTCTCGGGCGGGCCTACCAATCAATTCTCGTCCATAGCTAGTACGACAGACGCCATGTTTTATGGAATATTCAACGATACGATAATAGAATACTCTGTCGACACGGAGAGTCAGTCAACGTTTCACTATGTTGGCGTAGTATATCCATAGCTCATAGGTGCGGCTGGGCACAAATAATTTGATTTGCCTCTTGACAATAAAATGATGCTCTCGCCCAAATGCAAAACAGCTGCTGAATAAGCTTGGTCTGCCCTGCTCTACGATCAGACTGCCTGAGCTTAGGGCAGAGCTTAATCACGCCTGGCGGAGGATTGGCATTTATACATAGCCACCCACAAGTATATAACCTCGTATAGTACGTGGTTTGCGCAGACTGAAAGCAGGGTACACCCAGCCTGCTTGAGCTTTGACGTCAGGCCGTTACCAAATACGGTTTCGACAGGATGGGAGATAAGCTAGTGAGTATATGTCTTGAACAAAACCCGTTGAGAAGGGCGTCTGCATGCCCAGCGAATGTTGAGAAGAGCAACACGACTGGCACAAGGAGAAAGGATGTACCCCAAAACTATGAGCCTTTAGTAAAGAATCGGATCGTACAAAACCTGCAAATCCACGATACTATGAACAGTACAATCGTGAAATGGAGAGCCGGATTGAGTATTCTTTAGGAGGTTATAATAGAAGCGTTATGAACGATACTCCCTGGGGGACAAGAGCGCACTGCCGGAAGAGGATACTTATGAAGGAGAATGTAGATTTCGAATCAGCAAAACTGCATTTGCCTTCTGAAAACTTAATATATACACTTTAAAAACTAAGAGCTAGCAGTTTAAAGTCCAAGCCTAGTTGCAAACTAAATGAGTGTATAGCTGGCCGGTATAATCTAAGAAAATAAGCAGTGGGCAATATAGGTCTGCTATGTATAATACTTATAAGCTGCTATTTATAACTATTTGTTTTATGATTTACTTTTATTTATGATTCTTTAGCTTAAGTATACTTAAGTATTAAGCTTTATGATAGTCCTCTAGGCAAACATTCGGCGCTGATCCTAGATACCGCAAATCAGCCGATGAGGTCGACACGTATACTTCCCCTTTTTTCTGTAAGACACTGGCCGAGACGATTGTGAGCAATAGTGTTTTTCGAAGTATATATTATAAGACTATTACGCATATTCGCTAATAGCTTCTTTTATTCATTTATTTACTTATATCCAACTTAGACCATGACATTCAAATGTATATGCAGCCCTTCAGACTATCTGTGTATTGAGCGGCAGAGGTTTCCGCTTCGCTCCTTCAGCTTCATGTGAATGTGTCTGCCTCGTCTGTTAGTAAGGGTTATACTAACGCCTGTTGCTTTATCCTTCACTTTCTCGCAAGTTTGCATCAGCCAGAAAAATGTAGTATTAGCATATGAATTAATATAGTATAATATAGTATTAGAAATATTATTTATATAGCACCAAAAAGAGAAACAGTAGGTATCCCAGAATACGTTCCGCCGCAGTATTGTTCTGTTGTCGGATCGTCTGGGAAGTTGCATCGTGTATTGCATTGAAAGTCGAGCCCGGTATTTGGGTAGTTATAGGCAACAAGGACATCACCACAAGTGCATATGGAGTTGCCTGTAGTCGTGTCGGTTCCCAGAGTGAAGTACAGGGTTGGGCCCGTCGGCAAAGTATAGCAGATATTGGCACAGTCGTCGATCGAGGTTGTGAGAACCTGCTGTGAAGCGTATGGAGTTAGGCCGTAGGTGCCATCGTTACTCGCGATGTAGCAGCCGAGATACCCGTACTGGTTCGTGAAACCCGCTGTCCCAGGGCCAGGGGGGCCTTCAGGACCTTGGGGACCGATAGGGCCTTGAGGTCCAGCATCACCTTGAGGGCCAGCGGCTCCTGCTGGTCCGGTATCACCTTGAAGACCTTGCGGACCCTGAGTACCCGGTAGACCTGCAGCACCAGCGGGACCTGCAGGACCGGTAGCACCATCGGCACCGGCGGGACCTTGAAGACCTTGGGGACCAGTGGCACCTGCAGGACCAGTAGCACCATCGGCACCTGGTATACCCTGAGCACCCTGAGCACCCGGGGGGCCTGGTAGACCTTGAGGCCCGGTGGCTCCTGCTGGCCCGGTGGCACCTTCGGGACCAGCGGCACCAGCAGGTCCAGCGGCTCCGGCAGGACCAGCAGCACCTTCGGGACCGGCGGGACCCGATAGACCTTGAAGACCTTGCGGACCCTGAGCACCCGGTAGGCCCTGAGCACCCGGGGGACCCGGTAAACCTTGAGGCCCGGTGGCACCGTCGGCACCGTCGGCACCGGCAGGACCAGGAGCACCGTCGGCACCATCGGCACCGGCAGGACCTTGAAGACCTTGAAGACCCTGAGGGCCAGTGGCACCTGCAGGACCAGGAGCACCATCAGCACCGGCAGGACCAGGAGCACCGTCGGCACCATCGGCACCGGCAGGACCTTGAAGACC